GTAACCGCAAACCTGCGACAGGGTTGTAACCGCGACCTGCGACACGGTTGTAACCGCGACCCTGCGACACGGTTGTAACCGGCGACAACGGTTGTAACCGCGACACGGTTGTAACCGCGACACGGTTGTAACCGCGACACGGTTGTAACCGCGACACGGTTGTAAACCGCGACACGGGCGACACGGTTGTAACCGCTGTATGGTTACAACCATACCACGGTTACAACCGCGACAACCTTTGTATGAGTGCAACCATACTTACAACCGAAGCACGGTTGGACCCATACGAAGCGCACTCGTGTACATACCTCATTGCACTAATTCTCATACCCAGCCCCTTACCGTAGGTTAGCCACTCCTATGGAGCACAAGTGTGCCCTGCAACACCGATCACTGGTGCAGCCGCGAGCCCCGTACAACGAGAGAAAGCGACGGGACAGCCAAAATATCATCACAAACCGTGAAGCAACAAGAAAAGTGATCGTCGTTATAAGGATACTAATACATAATAGTCATAAAGTTGATGTCATAGTCTATACACATGTACAGGGAAGCAAGGATTCATGGTGTAGTGGTTGGGCGCACCGTTGGCGCTTTCGCAGTGTAAGGTCGATGGTTCGATTCCTGAGGGCAGCGATCATTTTGACTTCCAGAAAACGGGTTACAGCTCCTTCGAATAATTATCTATCATTGGAGGTAGTACTTCTACACTAGTATAGTTACAACCATGGTACGGTTGCAACTGTGCCCTGGTTGCAACCATGGGCCTTACAGGGGGTTGGTTGCAACCCTGGCACTGCGATGTATGAAGCGCAACTTCCAACTCACAGACGTCGCTGTTGTCAAAGAAAGAGATATGACGGTAAACAACTCCACCGTTCGTTAGTGCTTGCGCATCATGCGGGTTGAAGGGATGCTTGAGGCTGGCACCCTTGTGGGGAATTATGATGCTGGACGGATCCTTCCATTTGTCAACCACCCAAGTAGTCCGAGGAACAGGGCCTTTTCGGAGCCGCAAGTATCCGTTACCCATGACGTAGCTGGAGAAGGTCAGCTGGGATATCCATCTACGTCAGGTGAGTACTAAAACTGACCTAGTACTCGATGCTACAGAATATTCCGGAGTTAGAATACTCCGTCATACGGCAGCCTCAGCCTCAGAATTTTACGTACCAGTGTCCAGCATCAGTTGTACTGGGATGGAAACGTTCGGTTGAACGCGACTGATAACCAACTATGTTTCATGAGTATCAATCATATCGTCGGAATGTAAAGGTGGAAGATGTCAGTACCATCTCCACTGAGTACATCACATCTAGTAGAATTTGAACGTCCTGTTATCCTCCTTAATATACGTCACAAATTTGGTAAACTCACAAGTGCGCTTCCACGTGTCCTTCCGGATCGTAGTCCCATCGACGGGTCTTAGCCGAGAGGTAGTGTAGGTTGAAGCATTGGAGGCTCCGTGTTCGTTTCCTTGAGCGAGTGTGATATGTTCGATCTGAAGCAGAACTATCAGTGATCTACCCGAAATTATGAGGTGGGTCCATTCACATACCGTGGCATTCAGGGCGGAGATATGGCTCTCGTGAACGTCGGTTCTACAGTGGTGATTCGCCAGGTGCATCCGTTGTGACAGCCTATCGGCAGATGCGGATGCATCTGGTGCCGGCCGGCCCGGTCGCGCTCGACACCGCCTTCCCCAAGCGCGCTCGCGCACCCCCGGGTGCGACGCTGTCCCGAGATGTCTGGACACCGGCGCCTCAGGCGCTGCCACCTGAGCTCGCTGTCTCTGACAGTGAGCTTGCCTCCCTCTTTGTTTCACACCACATCTTGTATATGATTAGTGATTAAAATATATTTATTAGTAAACTACTACATAGGTGCGCTAGTAAGTAATACCACGCCCCGCGATAACGCGGAGGCAGAGGCAGGGGCGTGTGATGCGGAGCAGGGCGGCACAGACGAGGATGAGGCAGAAGGTCGGGACAAGGCGGAGGAGGGGGAGGGCGACGTGAAAGACGTGAACGCGGGAGACGCGGAGGCGGGCGACGCAAAGGCAAGCGACGTGGAGGTGAGCGACGTGAAGGCAGAGGAGAGCGACGCGGAGGGCTTGCGGGGGGACGCGGAGGGCGCGGACGAGGCGGAGCAGGTGGTGGGCGACGCGGGCGGGGGTGCGCGATGCGAAGAGGGAGGAGGCGCAGAGCAACAAGGGTGCGCGATGTGAGCGGAGGGCCGCGCGGGCGGAGGAGGTGCGCGGAGGGTGACGCGGATGGCTCGCGGGAGGAGGCGGAGGCAGAGGAGGGTAGCGCGCGCGGAGGAGTGCGGAGAGGAGGCGAGCGAGGCGGGCAGAGGTGGGCGATGAGGCGGGCAGCGCGCGCGGAAGTGGACGAGGTGGAGGCAGACGAGGTGGAGGAGATCGGCAACGCGGAGAGGGAGGACGCGGACGAGGACGAGGACGAGGGCGGACACGGAGGCGGGGGGCCGGGACAAGGCGGAGGAGGGGGAGCCTAGCGACGCGCGTGGGTGTGGGCGGCGGGAGGCGGCGCGGACGCGGGCGACATGGAGGGGGGTGGTGACGCGAAGGTGGGCGACGCGCGTGGAGGAGGTGGGCCGCGTGGAGGTGGGCGAAACGCAGCAGGGCGACGAGGAGGAGGGCGAGGTGAGGGAGGCGCAGGCGGGCGGCGCGAAGGCGGGCAGAGAGCAGCGTGGGGGTGAGCAACGGGGAGGAAGGCAGTGGCGAGGTGGACGAGGTGGACGCGGAGGTCAAGGCCGGCGGCAGGCCGGATGGGCGAAGCTGGAGAGGAAAGGTGGGCATTGGGAGTGCAAGAGGGCGGAACGGGAGACTCACCAGAACAAGGGCCGCGGTACATCGCCGTGGCCCCCTAATTCTAATCCCCATGCTGAGGACGTCCGGATGGACGTCCTCGTACGGTGTGGATGTGGCGGGCAAGGTGGGCGAAGGACGGCATGGAGGTCGAGGTTGAGGTCGAGGGAGGAGGAGGAGGGGAGTTGAACGGTGTCACCAGGTGACACCGGAGTCCAATAGCAGACGAAGGACGACTGTATAGTCGCTATCGTCTGCCTGGAGTACGGTGGAGGCGGAGCAGGAGGAGGAAGAGGAGGCGGGGAGGAGAGCAAGGACGGCGGGAGGGACGCGTGGCGTGCATCACAGCCACGCGTCGATGCGCGCCACGCGTCCTTGCCGCCCACCGAGGCGCGTCTCCACGGGCGCGCATCACGGATCGCCAGATCCGTCCAGATGCATCCGTAGCTGCCGATAGGCTATCGCAACGGATGCACCAGGGAAATCACCTGTGCTCGTCGGTTACCGATGCACCGCGGGTCGATTCGTCCGCAACAGTGAAAACGGGCTGAGAGCCGTTTTCATCATGAGGAAAACGGATAGGGAACAGCCTCATATGCTGTTTATCAAACGCAATCTGTTCCAGCATTAGGACCGTGCTTCTAACCGAGGACATTGAACTTACCAGTGTTTCAGCTGAGTTGGTCGGAGGAGGTTTGAGCGTCCAGACGTAGACATCAGCAGGAGTTGTATGAGTGTCGCTCATGATGATAGCAGTGCGTAGCAGAACGGGAAAAGCGAGTTGAGGAGGACTTCTCTTCGTATCATGGTACTTATATGTCTTCCCTGAAATCGTGAAATTGTGCCGTGGGTATGGCTATAAGATCTAAGGCCATGTCCTGTATTTGGAATGACTAAGCCGAAGTCCTGTCGCATAAATTTCGAATCTCAACAACGCGTCTGCACCCATCAGGCCGAGGCCGATGGCGCCGCGCCCACAAACCACGTCCGGCGCAAGCGCATGTTCGAGAACGTGCCGCACACGGACCATGCCCGCACAGTTACCACGCCGTGGCTCAGCGGAAGCGGAAGCACCTAGGCGGCACGGGCTCATCCCTTTTGTGTATCCAGGAAGTGACGTAGCCCATCAAGATGTTGCGATTCGTGCCCCCTATACAGCGTGGAAGACGTAAGTGTGGCGGGGGAACCGTCGACGTCGCGCCGATCCTTGCCTGATGCCGATAAGCTGAGTTTCCTGCACTGGGGAAATAGACGTACTGATGATCTACGCCGGCCCCACATCAACAGGATTGGTCGTTTCACCCAGATCCTGGCCGTACAGACGCATGTCTTCCTCGGGCTCAAACTATCGCGCGTGCGGAGCCCGGTGAGCTGCACGAGCGAACGCGCGAGTACCCCGGACACTTGAGACGGGAGATCGAGAACTAGAGCGAACGATCATATCAGCCGATTGGTACGGACGAACAAGTGGACGGGGCGAGCCTCGAAGCTGTCCTCGCCAGTGTAGGATCCGTCACTGGCAACGTGTAATGTCACGAGCTCGCGCAGGTCGAACGACGTCAGACTCTGCAGGACCTGCGCCGCCTCTGGGCCTGATCATACGCAGTGCATCAGTGCAGGGAGCGCGGAAGCGGCGGCGGCGGGACGTACCCCGCAGTGTCCGGTCGCCGAGAGCGTACTTGACATCGAAAGTGCAAGCAGTCTCGGACGCGTTCCACTCCTCATAGAACCCGGTGAGATCACGGTCGCTCTCTATCCGGCGTTGGTGATAACGCAGAAAGCGCCGGAGATGTGAACCGTGCGTCGCTCTGTTTCGCTTCGAAGATCTCCAAAATATTTGGTCGTGAACATCAGGAATGGGCTGACGGATGTTTTGTCAGCTCCCGTACACGGGTTCCAGACTCTACAGCAGCTAGTACCTCCGTGCTCTTATCGCCGGTCTTCAAGTCGAAAAAAACCAAATGATGCGCAACCAAAGATCGGGTCCGCGTGTGGGCACTGCGCACGGTACGTTCTGCCAAACCGGGTCCGTTGCTACATGGCGGCTGCGGTAAAGATTCCGTGAGTCGGACAGGCGGATGGTGCGGATGGAGAACGTGCCTGCTGTTTAAGAGAGGGATGGCGTGCGTGTTTACGTTGTAGTATGTATAAGTGTTGGTACCTTTGACGTTGCAAACGAGACTTGCGGTTTAGACGCCACATCAACGCGGTCCTCGAGCCCAAGCGCTGCCATGGTCTCGCACGCTTTCTTCCGTCCCTCTCCCCTCCCACAACCCCTACACCCATAGTCAGAATTTGCTTCGGTGCACGCCTGGTACATTGCATCACATAACCTGCTGGAGCCCATATATCCGCTGCCAAATCACTGCCTCAAGTACACGACGCCCCGCGTCACCCGCAGTGTCGCACCCTGCCCCCATCCCTGGCAAGGATGCCATGTTCACAGTCCAACACCTCCTCGCCTCCGACCACCTGATCGCCGCTCTCATCCCCCTCGTCCTCCTCGTCCTCAGCCTCCACATCCTCGGCCACCCCAAACACCTCCTCCCCCTCATCCTCGGGCCCGCCCGCCCCCGCGCCGCCGTGCCCGCCCACTTCTCCGTCGAGCGCGCCGCGGCCTCCTACGCGCAGTACGCCCGCCTCGCGCGCGCCGAGCTCGCCGTGATGCGCACCGCGTACGCCCGCCTCCGCTGGGCGCACCGCCGCGCCGGCTACGACCTCGGGTACCCGCGCAAGCTCGCCCGCGCGGACGACGCGGTGCGCACGAACGCCGTCGTCGCCGACGCCGTCGCGCGCCTCGCGCACCGCGCGTTCCCGGACGAGCTCGCGCCCGGTGGGGGCTTCCTCCGCCCAGGCGTGGCGGGGGACCTGGGGCGCGTGCGCGAGGCGCTGAAGCACTTCGTGCGGGACTGGAGCGAGGAGGGCCGGGCGGAGCGCGAGGCGATCTTTGGGCCGGTGCTGGAGGTGCTGGGGGAGGTCGAGCCTGCGCGGCGCGAGAGCATGCGGGTGCTGGTGCCGGGTGCGGGCCTCGGGAGGCTCGCTTGGGAGATCTCGCAGCTGGGTGCGTCCGTTCGTCCCGTCTTTTGCGTGGGGGGTTCGCGCTGACGGCGGACGCGGCAGGGTACGCGACCACCGCGAACGAGCTCTCGTACTTCATGAACCTCGCCCTCCGCTTCCTCCTCTCCGAAGACTGCACGCGCGCGCCGAACCAGCACGTCCTCCAGCCGTACGCCAGCTGGTTCTCGCACCAGCGCACCGCCGACGCCGTCTTCCGCGAGGTCGCCTTCCCCGACGCCGTCCCGCGGCTCTCGGACCGCTTCGCGCTCGCGGAGGGCGACTTCCTCGCGCTGCGCGCGCCCGCGGGCGCGGACGGCTACGACGCCGTCGTCACGCTCTTCTTCATCGACACCTCGCTCAACGTGCTCGAGACCCTCGAGCACGTCCACAGCCTCCTCCGCCCTGGGGGGCGCTGGATCAACCTCGGGCCGCTCCTCTGGACGAGCGGGGGCGCGACGGCGATGGAGCTCAGCTTGGAGGAGGTGCTGGCGCTCGCGGCGACGGTTGGGTTCGACGTCGCCCCGCCAGACGACGGCACGAAGTGCGCGCGGCGGACGGTGGAGTGCGAGTACACGGCGGACAAGACGGCGATGATGAGGTGGTTGTACCAGGCGGAGTTCTGGGTGGGGACGAAAAGGTGAGTTCGTGCGCAGGACTCGTGTCGGCAAACGAATTGAGGGGAAGTTTTACTTCGTCAAGGTCGTAGCGACATGTGTCTATGTTGGCATGAGAGAAAAATGCGATTGCCTTCGTCTCTCTGTTTTGTCCGTATTGTGGCACGACCGTTTAGGTACTGCATATACGAACGGTATGTACCCACCTTGCGCAGGCGTGCGGGCTACATCATCTCTCAAGGCACGGACAGCCCCTCTTCCCACGTCCTTAGAGCATGCTGGCCTGATCCGTTCAGTCAGTCGCGTTCGTGTGAGAACAGCTGTTTGTCTCGTTGCGAGCATTTTGTTGATGTTAGTCGTTCCAGGTTTCTGAAGGGTTTTGACAGTTCCTACCTTTGTTACAGAATCTCGCCATAGGTCGAATCTGCTGGGGCTCACGCCGGCATACGCCATGCGAGGCTTAGACGGTCGGCGCGTCGCCCACCCGTTACGTTGCACCGTTGCGCGGCTGCCGTCGGGCCTGCACCTTCGTCAGCAACGCTGCTTGCCGCCTTTTTGCCACCGCGAAATCGCGAGGAATCGCGACATCTCTCACCTGCTCTGTCCTCCCCGACCACGACGGCCCCATGGATCAGGCCCCAGGATGGACAAGAACCTATCGAGCGGAGGCTAGCCTGCCACAAACAGGCCTCCCAGCTCGTTGGCAAACCCACCCGACCGCCGACCACTGCGTCAGCCCATCCTCGGCGTAGTCACAGACCAACTTCGAACCTCATCTTGGACGTCCTTCTTCTCGGGCCCGACGACGCTTCAGAATCAACGGCCTCTTCATCCTACACTGCTATACATAGACCAGATATCGCCGACGTGCCACGGAAGGCGATTGACGCGTCGGGTCATCGAGCGGTGGCGCCTGGCCGGAAGACATCTCGCTCACGAAGACGGCGGAGATGTCGATGGGGGCTTCCATTCCCGCAATGTTCGTCGAATGAGCCCGCGCGGGGTTGTGCGGAGGAGGTGCGTCCCGCGGCTTGTCATCCATTATCGTGTTATTATATTACCCATGGACAGGGAAACACAGGGCGCTGCTGCAGCAAAGCGGCGCCCCGACGCCTTGAAGTGCTATTTGTGAGGCACACATCAGGCGTGGCCATTTCACATGGAGGAGCACCCTCGGCGAATGAGCTATGAATTGTCTCCAGAGACCACGCGCGTTCAACGTGGTGAGCATATCCGCGTCCGTCCCGCACCCAACTGACTTCTAACACGCGTCGGAAGATCGGCGCCCTGCACAAGCAGAGAATGGTCGACTCGGCGCTCCGTTGCCCTGCACGACGGGCGCATGGCCAGATGTGGACGCGCGACATGGACGCGCGGGGCTGGAGCGGAACTGGGGAGAAGGCGGACGATGGGACGTCCCACGATCACACGCGCCGGAGGAACTTTGGGGCGTACAGAGCCCGGCGCGTGGCTATCAATGTTGCCCGGACACGGCGCACGGCGCAGATGAGCACCAAGGCGTGCCCTGCACGATCTCTCCACGCACGGTGGTCTACGAACGGCGAGGCTCTGGCGAGGCTCGTCGCCGCGACAAGCGAGGGGGAGGGGCGCGCGCGGACGCGACGCGTGACGTCATAGATAACCTTCCACGGCGGGAGCGCGAAGAGAAGACGTCAGGCCAGGCTCTCGCCCTGCCGGCACGCTGCGCTGCCCACCCAATGGCCGCGCGGAGAAGACGCGTAGAAAAATAAGGCCATCTCGAGGTCCCCGCGCAGCCCGTCTTCTTCCCCTCCCCTCCCCCGCCGTTCCCTCGCCCGCCCTCGCTCTTCCCTCCCAACCACCATCTACCCTCACGTCCTGCTCTCAGCTCTTCCCCAGCTCTAGCTCTTCGAGATGCGCTCCTTCGCTGCCGTCCTCCTCGTGAGTCTTCCCTCGCCTTCGCTTCCCGCGTTCTCTCCTCCCTTGCTCTCGCTGACGCGTCGATTGTAGGCCTCCGTTGCGTCCGTCGTGGCCAAGCAGATTGTCATCACCGTCGGAGGGAACACGACCGACAATGCCACCACCGTTTTCCAGCCCGCCGAGGTCACCGCGAACATCGGCGACACGGTGTTTTTCAACTGTGAGCATACTACTTGCATTCGTGCGCATGCGTTTCGTGGGGTCTTTGTGGGCACTTTTCGCAGTGTCCCCCGAGGACACTTGGTACCTCGCTTATTACGCGCTCTTTCAATGCGCACTATCCTAGGGGCAGTTCTTGTAGCATCAGGCTGGCGGAGATGTTCGCCTTCATGGCGCGTTCGACGCCAATGTCCGTTGTTGCCGTCGTCCCTTGAACTCTCGAGGCCTCATCCACCCTGTGACAATGTGCTCACCTCTGCTCTCGCAGTCACCATGGGCAACCACACTGCCATCCAGTCCACATTTGGTGCCCCGTGCATCCCGGCCCACGACATTAATGTCACTATCAACGGCTTCATCTCCGGTTTCCGTGATGCCGGGAACGGGACCGCGATCACGAACTTGCCCGTGACGATCTCGGACAACAACACGATCTGGTTCTACGACTTCAACACCTGCGCCCAGGGCGGTGTCGGTGGCATCAACGTCAATGAGAGCAGCACCGAGACTCTCGACGGTTTCATCGTGAGTGTCTTCCGCCCCCCGCTCCGCGCTTCGAGCACCCGATGGTGGTTCGAAAGTGAACATTCGCTGATATTCCATCGAACAGCGCAATGCGGAGCGCCTGAATGGCACGAACGCCACCTCCTCGTCCACCTCTGCGTCCGCGGCGAGCACCGCGCCGTCTGGCTCTACCGCCGGCAGTCACCCGTCCACGACGAGCGCGTCGGGCAACAGTACTGGTGCCGCCGGGCGCTCCCTTGTCCTCGGCCTCGCTGCGGGGCTGCCCATGGCCGCCGCCGCGCTTCTTCTATGAGAAGGCTCGGCTAAAATCCTGGGGCTCTAGATTGGCCTGAGACGGACATCGTTTCACGCGCCTTCCGTGCGTTGCTCGTTCCCATGGACTCTTTCCTGAATCCTGTGGTGCCGTGGGGCAGCGGCGCCTGCCCGCGGCTGTGGTCTGCGCAGAGACGCTCCCAGTTTCGTACCCATCTATACCCTACCCTCTCTAGTGCGCCTTTGTCGTTCCCGAGACGCTTAGACTACGTACGCTCCCTCGGCGTCCGACTCCCGCTCGTTATAGTCTCTGTGCTTCTATTACTGTACTGCATATACCACATACCTCTTCTGTTTCACACACGCTGTAGAATCTCGCTGTTTGTTGTTGCTACTGCTCTCCGCGTCACTGCCATGTTTACTAAACTACTACTTGTGCACTCATGACATGCTCCTTCAAAAAACGTTGTGCCACTGGAGGAAACGGCAGAGACACTGGAGAGAAGTCCGAGGAGTATAGCCCTGCCGCAAACGTATAGAGATATCGACCGCGGGCGAAATCAAGTGTCGCGCGAGTGGGGCGAGTGCGCGTTCGTCGCCGAGCACAACTGTGCAAGTACAGACCTGCAGCGGGAACGTAGTACCACACCACGGGCCCGATGGCGATGACGTCCGCCATGCCCCAACGCGCCCTCTTCGACACCGTTCAGCCATGAATTCGAGCCACGCGCACTGCAACGATATCCTTGCCCTTATGTAAGAGAACGCGCTATGGGGAGGGTCCGCAACCCGGTTCGGCAGAGACGACGTCGAGCCCTACACTGCAGAGGAAATGTCCAGACACCGGCTCTGCATCCACGAAGTAGATCCGCACATGCTCGCAGTCATCAGGGCCCAACGGAACACCTTGCTGTGCTCGATGTGGTCCCTGGCGCAGTCGTGCTGGTCGTCCGCCGCCGCCTCCCGTCTGGCACCAACGCCGACGCCGCCTGCGCGAGCGACGTTCAGCGCCGCGCCGGACGCCGCGCCGACGCGCGCCCACAGCGAGTGCGAGCCCGACGCCGCCGCCTGGGCGCAGCTCCCGAAGCGCACGACGAACCCGCAGCGGCCCGACGTCGCGGCGCCCGCGCCGTTGACGAACGGCGCGCGGCGGACCTGCTGGAACGCGAGGACGCGCTCGCGGGCGTCGCGGGAGCCCGCGAGCCGCCACCCGGACGCCTGGAGGGCCGCGATCGTCGCCGGGAGGACGACGTAGCGGAAGCGGCCGAGGCCGGTGGAGGGGAGGCGTATGGAGTCGGCCTCCGAGGACGGGAGGGAGTCGGGCGCGCCGGACGACCGCGGGCGGCGGGCGAAGTAGATCTCCCGCCACTCCCAGTTGTCCTGCCACGGGTCGAGGGCGTCGGCGTCGACGCGGACCAGACGGTGGCCGTGCGTCGGTGCGACGTGGTAGAGCGGCAGCTCCTCGAGTGCGTACGCGCACGGCTGGAGGCGGAGCCCGTAGATGGTCGGAGAGCCGTTCGGACCGCATGGGAGCAGCGCGACGAGGGCGTCGTCGATGACGACGACGCGCAAGCGGACGTGGATGCCGTAGGGGGTGGTCGCGAAGCTGGGGACCTGGCGTACTTTTGTGTTCTCTTTGAAGTCGCCGGCCTCCTGCGAGAATTGAACGACTGTCAGGACGCTGGCGTGCACACCTATGGTATACTCACAGCATAGGGTTCAAGAGGTTCGACATGAAGAACCCGAGAGACGCAATCGGAGCTGTGCTTGAAGTCGTTCGTGGACCGCGGAAGAAGATAGTCGTTGTAGACATTGTGGTACACGCAGGAGCGGCTGGTAGCGTCCACAATGTCGGTGTCGAGGTCGGTGAGACTTGTGCCAACGTTGAGCTGAATCGGCTCCTCGTAGGCAGATCCCCATGCGAACAGGGACATGTCTATGGTGGTTCGCAAGATCTCCTCCTGGAGGCGTGTGAAAGCGATTTCTCCTTCGCCGTAGATCGGGGTCATGTGGATGCCGAAGATGCCCATGAGAGAGTACGCGCGGTCTTCAGTCCGAGTTGTCTCGCGGTCCGCTGCCCAGGACATCCGCTGCGCGACGCTCGCTGTCTTCACGTCTTCCTCCATGTACAAGATGGGTCGCCGAATTCTCGTCCGCTTCTCGATCGCGAGCGCGAGTCCGACTCTGTCACCGAGCAGAGTGAAGTCGTGGGCGAGGAAGATGACCGTCGCGGGGGCGAGCAGCTCCTGCAGGGTCCAACCGCGATCGAACCACCTGCTCTTGTAGAAGTGATGGAGCCACCGCGGCCGCCCGATGGAGTCGAACCACGAACACAACTCGTCGTCAGAGTCAAACCAAAAGGGATAGCTGCTCTTCGGTCCGTCGACCGGGCGTCCTGTGGCACGTCGTCGAGGTACGCATAGCAGACGTCCGATTTGGCGTAGTAGTCGTACATCGAGTTGATCGCCTCCGAGAGCTCCGCGCTGCTCGTCTTGTCGATGCAGCACATATCGGCCCAGAGCCATTCGTAGCCGTCCTGCTCGGCGAAGGCGAGGACGCCTTTGAGCTTCGCGGATCGGAGTGTGTCGCGAGAGGAGACACCAGACTGAGCGCAGCTCTTCAAGTGCTTTTCGAGCTCTTGGAAGGTCATCTCGCGGTCGTTGGTATCTGTGCTCCAGACGTGAGAGAGGATGGCGTATGCGTTGGGCACGTCTTCCGGGACGCGGAAGTAGTGTATTGTTGCGTCATTGGTGCGGAGGAGCCACATGTATGAGGCCTGACGATAGCACGAACTTCGAGATAATGAGTTTGGTGGATTGTGTGTCTATGTAGCCTTTGAGCCAAGTATCCGAGCGCAAGCCCTCTTCCCCAGTGCATATATAGGACTCACTGAAGGGCAAGATGTGCTGATCGACATCCGACGATGATATGGCCTTGATGTAGCTCTGCTCGGCGGCATTTCCGCTGCCAGACGGCCACATAACAAATCGTAGGAGGCATTATAAGCGCCATGTTACTTGGAACGGCGGGCCGCTCGGCCCGAGACCAGTCCAACATCATATATCCACATAGATCACAGCTTCTTGCACTTGTCCTTCTCCTTATGCTCCTTCCACCCTTGCTTTAAGCACTCTGCATCACAGAAAACAGCCTTTCCCGCGCAGCTGCCTGTGAAATCACCGAGACGTTGGAGCAGGAACAGCTGAGAGGGATATCCGAGCACCCACCTGCGCATTTCTTCAGCCCCGCACCAGGTCCTCCGGCTCCACATCCGAAGCAGCGTCTCCAAGGACCCGCACGCGCGCTGCGCGTCTCCTCCGCGAGGTCGACGTCCTCGAAGCCTCCGCCGGGGACGTCGAGCCTCAGCTGCCACAGGTCGCCATACGGTCGGGTGATCACGTCTCGGCGTCCCTTGATATACTCCGAGTTCGTGTACCCACCAAAGAGGTACATCTCCCCGCTGCCGCCGCCGCCATCTCAATCGCGAAGTTCGTGGAAAGTGGAAGGAAAACGCACGTGTCGGGGTCGGCGACCAGCTTGCACTGTGCGCGGTACGTGGGCCACCCGCGCGTGATGACCTGCCGCCAGTACGGCGGCGAGTTGTCGGCGGGCTTCGTCTCCAGAACGAAGGTGTCGGCGTAGTACGAGAAGTGGAAGTAGAAGCGTCTGTCGTGGAGCGTCGGCACCGCCGCGTTGTACCCGCCGAACACGACGACCTTGCCCAGCTTCTCGTTCTAGAGTCGCGGCAGTCACCGTACGTCAGCCTCCGCGCGCACACCCAAAAAACGCGCGCAGACGTACATGCGCGACCCCCGCCTCCGCGCGCGGGCACGGCGGGTTCCCGTTGATGCGCTCCTGCTGCCATTCCCGGCGCGCGATGTCCCACGACCAGCAGTCGCTGTGCACGTAGGACTCGTTCGCGGCGTGCTGCATCTGCCCCAACTGCATCGCGCCCGCGCGGTCCGCCTCCCCGTACATCATCCACAATTTCTCCTTGGCCGCGTCGGCCCACATCATCGCGTGCTTGCGCGGCCCCGGCCACCCAAAGTCGGGCTGCACGCCCCCTCGGGATGGCCGCCCAGGCGCGTCCAGAGGTGGTGTCGAGGTCGAGCGCGAGGAGCATGTTCCGCCGAGCGCCCAGTTCGTCGTCCCGCCGAAGACGAAGAGCGTCCTGCGGACGAGGGCGATGCAGAAGTCGTTGTAGCTCGACTCGAGCGGCCACGGGCCCGAGCCGGGCGCCATCTTCGTTTTCACCTGCGACCACGTGTCCGTGCGCAGGTCGAAGACGTCGAGCGTCGAGCGGCCGTGGAGGAAGTACGCCCGCGCGTTCGGGGGTCGACCTCCATCTGAAAGTTGGACAGCCGCCGCGAGCTACGCTCGGGGGAGACGGGGTAGGCGGGAAGGGCGCGCCAGCCTGCCTCAGGGTCCTTGAGGTCTATGTAGTGGAAGTCGCGGTACCTGCGCGCGACGTGAGCGGCGCTCGAGTGATGGGGTGAGCTTACCAGGGTCCCGGGAGCGCGTTTTTCTCCCCACCAAGCACGTATAAGCGACCTAGGTCTCCGTCAGTCGCAGTCTAGTCTTATGGAAGATCGAGTGCGCACTGTTCCAGACGAAACTCGCAAACCCCTGACGAGGGGCGATGCCCTTCACGCGTATCTTCTTCCAGCTTCCCATGAGCTGGAGACGGGGGTCCTTGATCTCCTGCTGGGTCACCAAGCCTGGGTCTGGGTGTCGCAGCGCCGTCAAATCCTCCAGCTTGTAAGGCCCCCTCTCCATGAGTGATTCTAGATGCCCGCGGCGTATGGTGGGCATCATCCCGATATTCTCGAGCACCTTCTGGAGTCCGTGATGATATCGATGGACGCAGCGCCGGTGTTACCGAGGTCCATGAATACCTTCATCTCGTTGTAGAAGCCGATCGCCCGTCCGTCCCAGTAGTCTTGCGAGTTCAGATGCACGTTCATCCACTCTAAAAACATTGTGAGCAAGGGCGCTTGATCTCGAGGGCGACATGCCGACCGAAACAGGGGATAGGGCGGGTGAAGTAGATGTTGCGGAGGATCGCGTGCATCTCCACCGCCCAGTTGAGTGCCTGCAATGAGTCGTCAGTATGCGTTCCTCCGACGATAGCCTTGGGGTCAAACCTGCACATAGTTCCCAGTCGCGCGGTACGATTCGACGAGCAGGTACGAACAGCACATGATCTTGAGCATGCGGCCTACATCCATGTTGATATAGATGGGCGACTGCATCCCCCCGCCGTTATATGATGAGAGCGGGATCAACAGTGCAGTTCGGCGGCCGACCAATGCTTCTATGGTCTCGTGGAGTTTCGCGATTGTCGCTTCGTGCTGGCCGTCTTTTGCGAGTGCTTGAGCATCTTTGAAGAGGATTCTTCCTTCAACCAAGGAGATTACCAGATCACCTGCCGGAGACAAATCGCGTAAATATGTGTTTGAAGAAGAAAGTACACTCACCCGTCAGGTTCCGATCGACTTCAAACGCCTCGGGGACGGATGGCATGATATAGGGAGAGAGGGATAGTCCTTGTATAAGTGGTGCAAGCAAATCCGATGTAGGCAGGCTGCAGCGTCTGGCGGCCCATCCCAAGGGGAGACTAGTCTGTCCCGGCAAAATGTGTAGCATGACAACGACGTCACCATGTCACGCCGTCGTCGGCAGCATCTGAGGTGATTACGAGATCTGCTGTGCTCTTCACTACTCAAACTCAGTATGTTGATCTTTGGAGAGAGATCAGGGCCAGCACTTCAGTATAGAGAGTCCCTCATCCCGGGCCTGTCGCTACTCCTCCCCTATCCTCCGTCGGACGCGTTGCATCGAACGGCTGCCTGAGAACCTTCCGTGGCACCTTCCATCACCAAAGCTTTCTAAGCTCTATGTCGGGCGAAGACGACTCATCCAGCTCCAACCGCGCGCAGGCCCGGAAACAACCGTGTTGGTGCTGTCGATGTTGCGGTGTGCTCTGCTGTAGCAAAACCATAAGAAACCATCGCGGAAATCCTCCGGCTACGCACCAGGCCCCCCTCCGAGAGTCTTATGCGAGGACCACCCATCGACATCGCAAGCTGCGTCTCGAAAGCGTCGGCTGCGGAAATCTTCCGTTCAAGTAACACAGACGCCGGTGGACGAAACCGGAGTTGAAGCTTGAAGCTTGAAGGTCATGAAGCCAACGCGCTGGGAAAGCCGTCGAAGCGGGCCCGGCTTGGCGAGCGTGCGGAAGCTGGCGAGAATCTCGGCGGTACCAGGGTAAGTCTATTTGCTTGCCCGCATCCGCTTGATCTGAGGCTGGGGCGGTTCAGATTTCCGATGGGGCATTGTCCAACATAGCTGGCGGAGTCTTGCCAGTTCACAGGCGTCCTGGTTCGCGGAGCAATGGGAGGTCCTGTGGCTACTAGCCATGAACAGATCTATTATCTTCGCAATAACCGGCGTTGCCGCGAGTGTTCGGCGGATACACAAACTATACCGGACAGTCCGATGGACTCAAACGCCACTTATTTCACACAACTTATGAAGAATGAGAACGTCAGAGTAAACCCCCTAGTAGGATACTTATGCTACACTGAATGTACGAAAGGATCGAGGAGCGCGGTAGGATACATCGCGAACATAGAGCTACAGTAACGAGCGTCGTGACCGTCATGAGTGTGTCCGTATACAGCATGAGAGTCCGTAGGCCGATTGTGGAGATTAAGGAGCCCCACTCAGTGGCGACCCATGTACAATATGAAAAAAGCAAAAACCGACACCCGCCAGGGAGATGAAGACCGCACGGTGACGCGGCCAGCGCGTCTCGCGTGCTATGTCAACGCAACGGTAGCAGTGGAAAAGGTGCACGGACCGCACGCGCCCTGCGCGCTCAACCCGGTGCTCCGCACGTCGCACGTCTGCAAGCCAGAGAGAGCGCAGAACGACGAGCCAGTGGCGACCGCGCCCGAGAGCTGCGTGTTGTTCGTGAGCGTGAGGGCCTGCAGTGTGGACGGGAACTTGGACGGCGGCGCGCCGGAAAGCGCGTTGTTGTCCAGGTGGAGCTCAACGAGGGCGCTGAAGCCTGAGAGGTCGTCAGGGAGGGCGCCGCTCAGACCGGTGGACGAGAGGTCGCTACGATGATAAGCGGTGAGCGAGATGCGCAACGAGATCGAATACGGAACACGTACAGAGTTTGAAGCGTCCGTGCAGCTGAGCTCGAAAGCAGAGCAGGCATGGGGTTGGTCGCCAGCTGTTGGCTGTTGATAACCCTGTCATGGGGTTAGGGCCACGAGCGAGGACAAGAAGAAAACAATACTCACAGATTAACGAGAGGCAGAGACGACACAAGTGACGTGAGGTCCCCTGACATCTGAGCGTTCTTGACCAGTGTAAGGGTGCTCAGATTCGATAATGAGCCCGAAGGGATGGAGGCAACCGCGGTGGATTCGAGGGTTAACGATGCGAACGAGGATAGTGACTTGAAAGAAGCGGGGAAATCGCCGGCTGGAATGTTGGAGTCGCCGGCGATTTGCAGGCTAGTCAATCCTGTCAGAACCGAGAGCTCATCCGGGATCTTCGCAGGTACGGCAGGGAAGGAGAGTTGTCTGCACCGAGATGTCAGGGACGACACACCACACCACAAACTGAAGTACGCACATTGAAGAAACCCTTCCAAACCCATCGCACCGCACCCCAGACCAGGAGCAGAAGCGTACGTCCTTGGCCCACCCGCCGTTCGACAGCCCAGTCTGCCCGTCTCCACTCGCATTGTCGAAGACGCTCCTGAGCGCGCAGAACTGGATGGCGTTCATGATGTTCTGGCCGTCTTGGGAATTGCTCGACGTAAAATTTGCAGGTACGGTTTGGAGCGTCGACAAGCATGTTGAGCAAGGGTAGGAGTCCGGGTCGGTGGGCGCATTGAGAGTGAACTGCGACAAGCACTGCTGTGCGTCGGCGGAAAGCGCGTTGGGGTCGGTAGACTGCGCGATGGATGAACCCCGCGACGACAACTGGACGACGCGCACGTTGAGGAAGATGGTGTTCCCAAAAGGAAGAGCAGGAAGATGATGAGTGCGACGATGAGCACCCTGTGCCGTCTCCTGCGGTCGTCGTGTGACTGGCAGTGATGGCAGAATCTTCGTTTCTCGATCTCGAGCGGTGGCCACGACTGGAGATGCGGTTGGCGCATGGGGGGCCACTGCTCCTTAGGTCCAGGGGCTTGTGATGGAACCCTAAGGTCGAAGAACATCTTGGTGAAGCGGTCGCGGAGGTGGGGTGTGTGCAGAGGGGAGGTCTTGCCGAGTTCGGGATCCCGTGAAACGGAGTTGACGGTGGCGGTATTCGTCCAGGCGGACTGCGAGCGAGTGTGACGAGGGTGAAAAGGAGGGTGAGTAGGAGGATGTGATGATGAGCGTGAAGCAGTGGGAGAGTGAAGCGACTCTGGAGAGAAATGAGAGGACTGGATGGGAACGTCGACTGGAGGGATTGTGATAGCAGGCGGCGCATGTGGCCGGGGATTGCGCTCCCAGTCATACTTGGAAGAGGAGAAAGCAGAGAGATCGCTCATGATGGGGTCGTGGGGGGCGTGCAAAGAAGGAAGGAGGAGCAGAGCGACATTATGCGCTTTATGTAGGAGGACAAAACAGAGACAACGCAGCGGCTGAGAACAATAAAGTACGTACAATAATGGGCGCCATACGGTAAGAGAACGCTTAATCTGGTCGGCATTCTGCACCGCCAATCAACTTTGCACGCCGTATAACGAGAGGGTAGCACACCAGGTTGTCCGCGAGGTCGTCGAGGCCGTTGCGAGAGACCGACGTTGCGAGAAGCACGGTCGAGGATTGGTGTCCCGTTTGTTCGAGGAATACAACGCGTTGCTGTTGAGACATGCCTTGCCAATTCAATGAGTATTTTTTTCAAGAGAAGCTGTCGAGTGTGACGAATCGGATCGAAAAGGTCGAGTGCCGTTGCGACGAGCAAGGCACTGAGCAAGCGCAGAGTTTTCCTTGAGAATGGGATCCAGTTCCCGAGCTGCGCGGACCTGTGTTTGGCAGTATTTGCACGCCGCCACGCGAGCGGGCGCAGTCTAAGCGCCCACGGCCACCGCCTGCTACGGCGGCGAGCGCGTCGGAGACAGCCACGACATCCTCCACGACCACCCTCTCCGTCCCTACCCACGATGAGCGACTTCCTACGGCGCGAAAAAGATTCTCTCGACGAGGAGTTCGGCACTCCCACCGGCGGCGCATTTGGCTCCTCTGGCGCCGACATTGACTTCGACGCTGCGGCCTCTGCTTTCCCTGAGATCTCCCTTGACGGCATTGGGGACCTCCCCGCGGCGGCCCCGGCAGCGCCGCCGATGAGCACGTCCAACAGCTTCTCGTTCGACGACTTCAGTACCCCAAAAACACACGCGACCGAGGTCACGGTCACTGGAGACGATGAGATTGAGAAGTTCGAGAGCGCGTTTCCCGACATTGAGATCCCGCTGGTGTGTTTGTTATACTCTCGCTGCGCTGGAAGCCAGGACTGAGTGCACACCTCGTAGCAACCCGCCGTACCTGCGATGTCTATGCAGGCACCCGCCTTCGCGCAGACACCGACGTATGCGCCGCAACCTGCATACTCTTCGACGCCCATCCTCAGCCAGTCATTGGAAGAGGATGAGCCCCAAGTGATCAAGTGCGCATCGAGCTTATCCTGTCAGATTTACATTGCTTATGCATACATGTGCAGGGATTGGAGAGAGAAGCAGGCCGCGGAGATCAAGGCCCGCGACGATGCCTCAAAGGCCAGACGGCAAGAGACCATCGGAAGGCTGAGCGCGCGATTGATCAGTTCTACGAGGAGTACGCCGCGAAGAAGGAGCGCAACATCAAGGAGAACAAGTACGTCTATGTGCCTTCTGGAATGTGTTTGTCCGTTCTGACAGTGCTGCGCCAGGGAGCACGAAGAGCAGTTCCTCTCCGAACTTTCCGATTCGTTGTCGCATGGGACGACCTGGCAGCGCATCTGCGATATCCTTGAGCTCCAAAACTCGCAAAGCAAGACTATCGCACGGTCAGGGCCTACCACTTCAGATTTGACGCGCTTCAAAGAGGTCTTGCTCCGGCTGAAGCGCGAGGGAGAGGCGGCGCCGGGCGCAGCAGGCTACTAGATTGGTGCATGTGGTAGGATTGGCCGGGAGCGGACGGTAGTTGTGAGTTATTCTTACGTTGGATTCGCTATAGTATCTTCTGCGCACACCATGTCGGCATTTCCGCTGTATGCAGTCACGCCGAATTGAGCCTGAACGCATCCGCAGCGTAAACAAGATAGATGAAAGGGGCAAGGAGCACTGGCGCGTGCTTCCATTCGAAGGAGATTGGCGTCTGCCGCATGCACCTGCTCTGGACGCATTTCACACCCGAACCATGGATTTCATGGTCGCTCAAGTCTTCCATCGCATTTATCTCACGCAATGTATCATGCACCCATGCAGCTGTCACCGCAGGGTTCTGGCATCACCAACGGACATTCTTCGCGTTCGCGGGTTCCAAGCACCGTCAACGGGCCTGTCCAGCTCGCACACTGATATATAGCCCTACCCCAGCCCATTACAACTTACTTCGGCAGTCATGGACGTCCCTCCCCTTCTCCACCCCCAGCTGGCCGCCAGCATCTCCTTGCTTCCGCCGTACCCGAAGTTACATAACACCTACGGAGCTTTACTGCTTGGCTCTCTGGCCAGTCTGAGGCGAGTGGTTTGTTTCCTCGTTGAAGAGATGCATGCAGTGGCTCATCGTCACAATTTCAGTCTATACGGCGTGCTCGTTCATCAGGTTATTCGATATGTTCGAATGTACAGCAAAGATAGGTTGATCAACAAAGCATTCGTGAGCCATTGAAAATGATCTCCCTCGTTTCTTCATCAGAACTCACGCCTCTGGTTTTCGCAGGTGATCGGCATCATGTCAGTCTTCATGTTGTTCAAAATAAAGGGCTTTCAGTGAAGAGATTTTGTTCAGTATTGTCGACACAGTGCATTGCATAGCGTGCACTCACTCATGGTGCGTGGTAGGATCCCCGTGCCGAGTTAATAACTGACATCCATCCAGTTATACGTACCTAGTGAGTGGGTATTTCCAGCCACTAGTGCTATTGGGAGGCATCTGGTCTGTTTTCATCCTCGACACCAAGTGAGATTGCTGCTGACTGAAAGCTTCCCAGGTCTATCCAGGCAAGCCCGTTGCTATGTTCAGGTTCCGCTCACTCACCTTTCTCGGTCCAACTAGATCCAACCATTGCTAGCGGTGAGCCGAATAGGTCCACGGTTCTAGCTTCGGATCGCTATAACACATGTTGTTAGGGCTTCACCATCCTTCTATGCCAAAGGTGTCGTTTGCTGAATTTGGGGTTCTAATGCATGGCTCACGCCCTTGTTAGCTTCTTCGCTAGAAGGGTTTATATGCGTGAGGCGTCCTATTTTGCCAGGCAATATGACCAACGTCGCTGATTGCCAGCAGTCAGCCCACAACACCGATACCTGGTGGTCGTTGCTGTAGGTTGAGCGATCGTTCTTGTACAACGCTTCTCACTTATCACTCATGATGTCTAGTTGATCACAATGCTCGCCACCTTCGGTGAGTTATTTCTTTCGTCATGAGCCAGGTAACTGACAATGCCTCCAGGGTTTGCATTAGGTCAGTAAGACACAGTTGCGGACAACCCCAGCCTCACTGTTGTTCACATGCAGCCGGGACAATCATAGCGTCAGTGGTTTTTGATTACTCATGCGATTTTGAATGTAATGTTGACACGCGTCATCAGACTGAAGTTCCAACGATTCACTCAATACGAGAACTTCTACGTTGGTGGCCATATATATGTCTCTTCATCGACAATCCTCTGACGCACCCGCACAGTGGATCGACTCCGCCGCATGCGGAGCAGGCATGATCGGAGACACGCTTATGACCACTGTCCTCGTCGTGGTTCTGAAGCGTAACCGCGGTGGCATCAAGCAGTACGTGTACTTCGACGTGTCCATGCTTCATCTTCTGACACTACACAGGACCGACAGCATGTTGAACAAGCTTATACTCTATGCCATCAACACCGGTTTGCTCACAACGTACGTTGTTGTCTCCACAAAACGCTGATGGTATTCACTGAGGAACTTCGTGATCAGGATCTTCAACCTGTTCGCGCTGATTACTGTGAGCATGCCCGGTCCGCAACTAAACGTCATCTTGCCCATTCCATTGCTAGGCTATAGCGGTTCCCGACACATTCATATGGATCGGTATAGAGATTATCACGATGCGGCGTGAGTGGTGACAGCTATGTTGGTTCGCGCCCTCTCGCTGACAGTCATGACGCAGTTTACACGAACTCGGTGCTTGCAGTGTAGGTGGTAATGATTGAACTGCGCTCGATTGCTCACGTATATCCGCATCATGCAGTCTCAACTCACGGCAGTCCCTCAAGGATGCAGGAAAGTTATCTGGCCCAGTCCAGATCATGTCCACTCGCGTCGGGACCTCGACTCAACTCGCGCACAACCTTCCTGCGATGGAGATGGGACAGATGGTGAGTCAATCTGCCATCGGGGTTTGGAGTATTTCTAACACGTCTGGGTAGAAACCCTTCCATTACTCCCGTGGGTCTGGAGCGGGCATTCAGTTCGCAGGATCTGAATCGCAGATGACCTACTAAGGACAATACAGACGAGCTGGAGAGAACTATCTACGCCCCATGTCTTACATTCACCGTCCCTTCCTGATGTACAAACTGCTTATGTCTATCGCACGAACACTTCTTCAAAGAGCCCTCTCTACCCGTCCAGCCTGACGATCCTCCGCATCTTCCGCTCCCCCCGGTTCCGCCGCGCCGTCTCACAAAACTCGAGTCCAAAACACACGTCGTCCCAAAACTCCTGCTGCGCATCCTCGCCGCCCCCCGGCCGCTCCCTCCCATCATGGCTCTCGAGCACGACATACGCCGGCCCGACCTCGCTCAGCTCCGGGAACATCCTGTCGAGCGCAAACGCCGCCGCGAGCGCGTTCGCCGCCCCCGGGTCCGGCGCGCAGTCAAACTGGAGCCGGTGCAGCTCGTGCGCCATGAGCGGCACGTCCGGCACCGCGCCGGGGCGCACCCTCGCGAGCAGCTCGAGCAGGTCCCCGTCGCCGCCGCCGCCGCCGCCGCCGCCGCCGCCGCCCGCGCTGAGGTCGAGGAGGGCAGCCGGAGGACCTTGAGGCGCGGGCAGCCCTGCGCGAGCGCGATGAGCGTGCGGAGCGAGACCGCGCGCGCCGCGTCCGCGTCGACGTCCGCGGGGGGCGGCGGGGGCCGCAGAGCGTGAGGTGCTCGAGGTGCGGCCAGGCGCGGGCGGCGGCGGCGAAGAGCGCGTCGTCGAGGCGGACGCCGCGCGTGCCGAAGTCGAGCTCGACGCGGCGGAGCGCGCGGAGGGTGAGCAGCGGCTCGAACGCGTGCGCGGCGGGCGTGGGGTCCGCGAGCGGGAGGGCGGTGTGGGAGATCGCCCAGGAGAAGTGCTCGAGCGCGCGGAAGCGCTCGGCGACGAGCACGCAGAGCGCGCGCCACTCGTTGAGGGTGGTCGTCGCGCTGTGCGCGGTGTCGTCGCCCATGCGGAGCACGCGCAGGTGCGGGGACGCGCAGGAGGTGATGACCTTGGACTTGGCGGGCGAGAGGCCGCCGTCGTTGCTGATGTCGATGCTGTAGAGGGACTCGAGGTGCTCGAAGCCGAGTGGGATTTCGGTCTCCTCGAACTCGAGAAGGAAGTCGGCAGTCAGGTCGGCGAGGGCTGGGAAGGTGGCGAGGAGGCGGAAGACTTCCAGGGAGACCCATCCCTGCTCGATCATGATGTACCGCAGCTTGGGAAGCGTGACCATAGGTTCGAAGAAGGACTCGGGAATCATGTCGTCCCCCATAGAGAACAGGGTGATGTGAGTGAGATTCTTGGTGCGAGCAACGATTTCGTTGACCAGGTTTGCTGGTGCTTCCGAATCCTTTCTAAAGCCGTCGTCGTCGAAGTACCGGAGCTCGAGGTTGTCTGTTAAGGGTCCAACGAGCCGGACCACGTCAAGATTATCGACAGAGCCAGCAGTGAAGAAAAGGTTTCGCAGAGACGGCAATATAGGTTTTCCACCTGTCAGACTTTCGATGTGATCCCAGACGTCCTGAGGAAGCGTCGTGTGGTCTTGTTCCTTGAAAGTGAGCTCCCGTACAAGTCGGGCTGACGCTATAAAACGATCTTTGTCTTCTGAAGATACTTCCCCTTGTACGGTCTATCCACCGTCAGATATCGAGCACACGTGGATATGATGGCCTGTTACTCACATGTATGTTCTTCTCCGAGTCTAGAACCACAGATGGAAGGAGCTTGAGTAAAGGTTTGAGGGACGGGAGGATTTCCCATAGCACTGAATCCAGATGTTTGAACCACGCTCTGCACACCAAAGCGATCTGAAGTGCACTGTGGCGCCGCCCCGGATCAAATTTCTCGGGAACGACGCGATCCATGATCATGAGGAAGATCTCTGGTATCGAGAAAGCGCGATGTGTGGAGTTCATGGCGGGAGGAGCGTGTCGCCGCCGAGTCGAGGTGGCGGAGAACAGGAAGGTGAGGGGGGATCTAAAAGGACGGCCATGGTCGTATTATTGAGGGATCGCAGGGATCGCCTGAGGCTGCAAAAGTCGGCGTAGAAAAGGCGTGCCGATATTCAAAGATATGCGCGGCACGTTTAGTAACAATGGCATCAATAAGGCGGTTTATGCATCCAAGAGCAACTGCGTAGCGCACCTTTGGTCTCTGGTGGTAACAACCGAGCAATGAGAAAATACGCTGCTTTCCCCTTGTACGTCTCCAATAATCATTTGAACGAAAGCAAACCTGATACCAACGTTGAGTACCACATGCACAAACGCGATTAGATAGACGCCCAATGTTTACAATGCCACACAAAACATACTCACTTTGCGATGAATCTGCTCCTTCTAGGGTTACGCTTCACTACGGTAGCACCATCAGGTAAATAATGCCGTATTAATGAGGTAGAATCACCTCAGCTGCTCTGTATGCAACTCCAGGGATCGGCCCATGGGATCAAGCGTTGACTTGGTGAACCAAATCTTCTGTGCCAAGCGATGGGGGCCTCTGAAACCCCATCCGGACGCCTCTCCCCGGAATACCTTTGTGGAATCCGTCCAACGCGCGATATGGTCTTCTTCGCACGAATGCAGGGGAGGGGAGTCGGGGGAGATTTCGTCGAGGGCAGTGTCGTTGCTGAAGAAGCGCACGGAGGCGTATTGGACATAGTTGGGGGGAGGATCCGGGGAATGCGCGAAGTAGGGGTTGAGCTGCAAGCCAGATGCGTCGGTGCCGGAAGTGGTAGGGGACTGTGATCCGCCGCTGCCGTCGATCCCACAACACCCAAGCGTGATGGACATGCGGACCCCCAGCCCGGATGTGAAGAGGAGCACCGCGGGCGGCGATCCATCCCACGCCTCTACCGGACGCTGTAGAGGCATCAGTGAGGTCAACTCCCACGGCCCCACTGATTTCAAGTACGCAAGGCGCAGACGGAAGGGCGGGGAGAGCCCACGGTTGAAGAGCGCTACGTGCATGCGGACTTGGCTGGGCTCCGCGCGGTATGGTGGGGCGATAGGGATGTACACGCGCATCCACTCCCACAGCTCGTCGAGCTCTTTCACGAGCGGAGGATTATCTGGCTTGAAAAGGCGATCGGCGTCGCTGTCGGAGCCGGTGGAAACGCAGTGGTAGAGCCGACGTCCACCTGCTTGATTCTTGTTCGGGTCGCGCATGAGCATAATCCAGAAAGGATCGTCCCAGAGCGAGCAGGATAGTGATGCTACGGCGTACTTGTCGTCGAGCTGGATCATGGGAAGCAGGCATAGAACGCCATGGGGGGTGATTGCTTCGAAAGTCGGGACTTGGCTAGGTCCGTCTTCACGCTGTGAAGGAGCGTCCCAATTGAAGTCAATATACAAATGCTCTGGGTCAAAGCAAAGAACCTACTCACTTCTTGAGCACAAAGGAATCTTCGAGACTCATCAAACTCCGTGTACGCATGATACCGATAGCATTCCACTCGAGGAGCCAAGAGAAACTCGTACCCCTGCAGATGGCCCGCCGCCATCCGCGCCCTCCGAAGGAGCTCCTCGACGCTTGACACTGGCGTCACTGTTCCCCACGCGACGAGCGATGTGTCGATCGACGTTCGCATAATCTCCTGTTGCAGCCTGTAGAACGCGTTCTGGCCCTCCCCGTAGAGCGTCGGCATGTTGATCCCGAACAACCCAAACAGGCAGTAGGCCTCGTCCTCGACTCGCGTCGTTTTCCTGCGCGCGGCCCAGGACATGCGCGCCGCGACCGACACCTCCGCGACGTCCTTGTCGAACCGGAGGACCTCTACCGGCACCTTCGCAACGCGCTCGAGCTCGTCCGCGAGCTCGTACTTGGACCCGATCAGCGTCCAGTCCGCGGCCATGAAGAGCACCGTCTTCGGAGCGATCAGCTCCTGGAGCGTCCACCCGCGCGTGTGCCACCGGCTCTGTGCGAACAGCTTGCCGAACGGGCCCGGGGGGACGTCGGCGAGGTAGACGTAGCAGACGTCGGAGAGCTGGTAGTAGCGGAACATGGAGTTTATCGCCTCGGTGAGCTCCGCGCTGCTCGCCTTGTCGATGCAGCAGGTGTCGGACCACGCCCATTCGTAGCCGTCGCGTTGGGCGAGTTTGAGGAAGGCGCAGACCTTGGGCGAGATCAGGTCGCGAGGGTCGTCCGAGTCCGTGGTTTTGGCTTCAGAGACCGTCGTGGGGGTCGAAGGCTCCGAGCCTTGAGGAGCAGAAGTGATTTCTGGGGCAGCGCTGCCGCCTATGCTGGTCAGGGCAGGATGTTGGCTGAGAACCCCCATCAACTGCCGCAACTGGGACGACAGGTCCGCGATGACCTGGTTCTGCGCGGAGGAGCTCTGCAGATGTATTTCTGTCTCCTCGCGGAGGTTGCTGCGTCGCTCGGAGATGGCGCGTACGGCCTGGAACGTGTCTTCTCCTTCACTGAGCCATACATGCGAGAGGATGGCATAGCCTCCGGGAATCGCTTCTGGGTCGTTGAAGAACTTGAGCTCGGCGGTCGCAGTGCTGAGGAGCCACATTCTGGCGGTACGAGAATATTCAGCCATTTGTGAGGGGAGCAACAACGCATGGATCCTACCTGAGTCATGGAGGAGTATGAGAACGAAGGCAGACGCGGCGATGATCGATCTAGCAGTCGCTGTTGGCAGAGTCCCCGGGGGCCACAGACAGTTTTCTCACAGGGTAGGAGTAGGCGCGCATCGCCACTACGCCTCGTCGTAGCCTCCAACGTCATTGGCAAGAGACATGGCAATATACCTGTTTGCGCTGTGTAGAACATGTGGCATATACCATCACTATACCTCAACGCAGAAAAATGGGTCTAGCATGATGGATTACACGCTATATATACAAGTGCACGGACGTTCTAGAAATGGAAACTGGGAATATGGCTGTAGCGTGCCCTGACAGAGAGCATACAAGACAGTAAGATACAAAAGAGAGCAGATCGACAGCGGGAAAACATGTTTGGGATACATTTAGCGGGATGCACCGGTAGGATATATGGATGGTCCAGGATAGAAGAGCAGAGCCGGCAGATTAAATAATGAATTTGAGGTTCGTGTCCTGAAAGAGCGGTATTAGATGCATGTGAATCTATGCCACTGCGACTTACAATCTCATGTGAGCTTGAAAGCTGCGGTATTTGGCTGTACCTGTCCTTCAGGAGGGTTCGAATGGACGCCAACAATTCTTGATAGCTCTGGTCGGGTTTGTCGCGCAGCGACGACATGAAAGCCTGACCCATGATGATGAGCCAGCTATTTGATTTGGCAGAGGATCGAATTCCATACCCAGCTCATTGCGCCCACCGCAGAGCCGTCTTCGAACGTGTCAGCACTGGTTTGGGTGTCGCTGCATCCACTCCAGCAGATCTAACGGGTTGTCACCGTACCGTTGAGGAAGCGCACAAGCCAAGTGATAGTCGTGGCGAACTGACCACATCGGCGGGAGAGGAGTTGCGGTCGAACCACTCGGCCGTCACACCGCCCTTTTTGGTATAACCGCTTTGGGAGTACTAGCGCGCACCGTCAGCTCCTCGTTGCTCACTTGGGGCACGAGATACGTACGGTGTACGGGACATCTGAGTGCAGAAAATCCCTGTCAGATCCTGTTTGAACCCATCTACGGGACACATACCCATGACAGAGCCGGAATGGCATGACTGAGAATTTTGTGAGCACTGCAGTCTACTTTCACGATGTGCGCTTACGTCGAAGATCGCCTGGATAGGATGATCGATATGTTAGTATGGAAGGGGTAGAGGCTTATGAAACACCATGTACCGTCAAACGGCATCCGACTGGGAGTGACGCGACCTAAAAGTTGTAAACGTGGCAGTCAGGGGACCAAGGCGATCATCTGTACACGTTGAGAGCGTACCAAAACCTTGTGAATAAGCTGGAGACAGTCCAGTCAGCGACAAGCATGAAGTGGGGCTACGGATGACGTACGTCGTCGAGTATGTACCCAGCCTTCTGGTAGTCCACCGGAAATATGACTGGTTGACAGCTCAGAACTACCCTTCAGAACGAAACTCGACGAGGGACGTACTTTCATCCATGCTATCCACTTCGTCGCCGGTTTTACTTGGCACCTGAGATCCGTGCCCCGAGTCTAGATGGATGTATTGCGACGTGAGCACAAACATATCAGGGCCAACAACTCCACAAGAGATCGTACAGTGGAAGAAGAGCGAATCGTGCGGATGCGCCCCCGTGACGAGCCAATGCATGGCATCGAGGATGTTCACTCGCGTCGGTATCGCTCGGGGATCTGTAGCGTCGTCTGTGAGCATGAAAATGTCCTCGTTTGCGAACCTTCGATCTACATAGGAGGTCCTGTAAGCATTGGTTGACGCTGGGAGAAGAGTGCGACGCACTCAAGAGAAAGCGGCGAACGTTCCGCGCGTCGTTGATGCACCCACGCAGCGGGTGGTCTTGGCCGAGATAGTTGACTCCAATCTGCAAGCCGTCAGCGGATGTCATGAATTGCTATACGGTGCCACATACGCAAACAGCCCTCCTTCTCCCGCTGCATTTGGAGTACTGGAAGAAATGGTTTTGGCCTTCCGGATGGTGCGTCGAAATCGGCCTCAGTTCATTGACGTTGTCGCACCCATGGTACTTCCTGACTACCACCCGAACGTCCATTAGCGCATGAAACCGCCATCACCGCAGAGGCCGGAAGGGCTCACTGTTCGTGCCAGAGTACCGCGGGTTCGGATCCCGCGGCTGGTGCATCATCCGGGGTTGGTGCGCATGCGGCGCCTGCTCCGCCATGTGCTGATGCACGCATTCGACGAGCTTGCAGATCCACTCGTGGTGGGCGGGGTGGAGGCCGAAGTGCTCCGCCGTGCCGTAGTGTGCCCCCTTCTTGGCCTTCGGTTTGACGAGCGTGACCTCGCGCGTGAGCGCCGGAGATTGTGTCTGGGGAGAGCGGTACGGCACGGGCGCGTGCGGCGCCGATGGAGGTTGGTATTGCACGGGCGCGGGAGGGGCTCCGGGAGCCGTGCGGGAGGACGTCGCTGTGCGGCGAGACGCTGTTGTGACGTGGCGGGACGGGGTGGTTTGTCGGGACGCTGTCGTGGGATGGCGGGATGGCGCGGTGTGGGATGGCGCGGTGTGGGATGGCGCGGTGTGGGATGGCGCGGTGTGGCGGGATGGTGGTGTTTTGCGGGACTGGGTGCTACGTCGGGAGAGAGAGGTGTGCTGTGTCTGACCGGTGCGGCGAGAGGGAGTGCTGTGCAGGGCAGAAGTGCTGGGCTGCATTGAAGCGGCCGTCCCTGTGTCACGGGAAACTTGAGGGGAGGGGGGTCCGCGAGCGGAGGCGCTATGGGTCAGAGATGTCGAGTAGTCGAACGAGTGCGTTGCTGTGGCTGGAGTAAAGGGAGTCGGGACATATCCAGGTGGGTTCGTAACACGGGAGATTGCACTGCCTTGTGACCGGGGGCTTTGGTGGGTGGTAGGTTGTTCGGAGAAAACGGAGTCCGGGATAGGAGTGGGGTCGTGGAAGCGAACACGGCTTTGAACCGTCCCCTTTCGGCTGAGATTGGGAGGACTTGCGGTGATCGTCTTCCCCTGGGAGAAAGCGATACTAGTGTTGTCCGCGAACCTAAAAAGAGTATCAGTCTAAGGAGAGCGTATACGTACCCTCAATGTGCATACGGTTCATATTCTGGGGGACTGGCCCGTATTCAGCGCACAATTTCGATGCACAACGCTCCGACGTACCGTATATCGGGAGTGTGATCGGTACTTCCTTGGATTTCCGCCGCCACGTCGACGAAGGAGCTGCCTAATCCGGATACGCTCTCGTGCTCAGGACCAGGAGGATGAGGATACCCATGGGCTTCGTCTCCATGTGGGTACTGGTAAGCATCGTCATCGTAGTGTGCGTACCCGAGGGGCGGACTGCCTTCGGGAAGATAGTCGAAGGCGCCTTCGTGTTCGTAAGACTGCTCCGGAAACTCCAGAGGTGGTGAGAGAAGGTCGGGGCGATAGTCGTCACCAATCTCGCTGACACGGAGTGGTATGAAATGAGCATGACGGCGGACAGATCGCGAGAGCAGTGCGGGCATCTCACGTTGGAGACGCAGACCTATCGCTGAATGGAGGTCAGCATGACAAGCAGGCCTGGAAAACAACGAGAAAACCGCATACAAGTCGGACTGCCCGGAGCGCCCCGTGCGCACTGATTGGCCTGCCTGCGAAGGAGACTTCACTGAGCCTGGGGTGGCTTTGCTCTTGCGTTTGCGAAGTTTGCGGAAGAGGCTCGCCATATGATTCGTTCGATGAGATCGGGTGACGTGGAACTAGGTTTTGAGGAGGGTCGACGGAAAGGATCCTAGAGTTCAGTATCCTGAGTGCAGCGGGTGACGGACAAACAATGTGTCTAACTTGACGATAAGAGGAACGACATGACTGTTTGCGGGTCAGAGATGTGCGGCTGCAGTGTAGCAGTGAGCTGGTCTGCTCCTGCTAACGTAGCATGGCTACAGAATCAGTCAGTCATTTCTCCAAAAGACGGCGGAGATGAGCTCGTACTTGCCAGACAACGTTGTCGAAACGTTGTTCGCGGCGGGCAGAAGACGTACACGTGCGTCAATCAAATCGAACCAGTTCGTGGTATTACGTCATCTGAGCGTTGTGCAGCTCCCGCGGCCGGTGGGTGCTTGATCTGGGCTCCTTGCATTCGATCGCCCAACATTGTCGAGCTCCTCGACAGCACATTCAAAATCCACCATACGTGCGCGGATCTTACGGCAAGCTCCAGGGAAAAGAAGCACATGGAACGCGTCGACCTACCTTCTGCACCTCCTTCCAGTCTGAGGGCAGCAGTGCCTTCAGGGAGAGATCTCTCTGAGATTGTCGATGTGCTCTACACGAGCGTGAGTGCCGCGGCCACGAGGCCGCGAGTCATCCGATAACAGTGTGCGTTGATCCGCACCGGGGCTGCTCCGCACACGAGGCTCGCGCTCGCAAGCTGCATGCCCGATGCGTTATATGCCTGCGACGCGGCCACCGACACTCCTGCTCTATACCCTCATCCCCTCCAGCTCCCAGTTCTCCGTTCACAGTGCGCGCGATCTCATTCCATCGCGTTCGCCGACTGACAGCATCGTTTGCAGCGATGATGGAAATCGACGCACAGCTCGCGCAGCTCTTGGGCACCATGACCCTCGACGTCCACCGGCACAAGGCCCTCTATGTGAGCTCCCTCTTCTGCGCGACCGCCATGACGCAACTCCGTGTTGATTCGATCTCCTCTTTTCTGGAGAAAGGCAAACGAAGAGCCGGCACGGACACCCCAGCCCACAGACGACGCAGCCATGTCGGACGCGTCCTCCGACAGCGAGGACTCGACGTACCAGGTGCGCATTCCCCTCCTCCTCTGCTTCGTCTTCATCTTCGTCCGCGGCCCTCACCCCTACCCTCTCCTCGCATGCGCGCGCAGCTCACGCGCTCAACACACCCCTCCACCTCCACCTCAAGCAGCAGCAACGCAAGCGCGCCGCCGCTGTTCTCCGGCTGCGCCTACCTCCAGGCCGTCTCGGCCCAGATCCGCGCGGGCGTGTACGGCACCACGGGCGGCGACTTCCTCGAGACGATCTTCACGCACCGCGAGGCGCTCTTCGCGTACCCGGAGGGGCACCGCGGGTGCGCCGCGGGCTTCACCACGCTCGCGCGCGACCTCGAGACGCGCGCGTGGGCGGCCGCGCCTGACGGGGACATGTCGCTCTGGCATGGGACGCCCTCTGTGGGCGCACGCCCGGACTGGGACGGGGACAGCGAGGCGGTCTCGGCGTTCAGGAATGAGGCGTGGGTGATTGCGAACAGGTTCTGAGTGCGTTGGTGGAGATGTGTGTACGATGGGTTCAGGAGTGTGTGTGGATCCTGTATAATGATATACCCCGGAAGACTTTCTCAGTCTACATCGATGTATATATTAGTTCGCGTGGTTGCAATGCATATGGAGGGAACTAGGGCATGTGCCGTCGAGGCCCAGTGGTGTTCAGTCAAATGAAACAACAAGACGCTTGAATTCACCCCGCGTGGGTGTGAATTGGGAGCCCTACTTCATTTCGATACAAACCAGTTATCGTCTCTCCGTCTCTCATTTATATTAACCTCCGCTGGCTTGAGCACCCTCGGTTCGGAGTTGCGCGGCTCGCGAGGATTCCCCGGCGCGCCGTTTACTTCCGGATTTTACTTCGTGGATTGGTCGCCGAGTGGTCGCGGTTGGTTATGTAATTGCGAGCGAAGTCGAGATCGATGGACCGTTCCTCGAGAGGGCAAAACCAACATCTGTGTCTCAAAAACGCACTACGGACAGCTTTTCATGCCTCAGTTTGCACCTGTATGGTCATTCACTTGAGCCATACAGAGTCTCTCGCACAAGTGTGAGTGCTTCAGGTATGGCTGTCTACTATTGGGTTGGCGCACGCGGCTTGTGGCGGATGTACCCTCAGTTGACAGTCAGTACTTAATACATCCCATACCGCTATGTAGTGCCCCCACTATTAAGATTGTATGTCGTGTCTCACAAGGGCTAGTTAAACGACGGTACCGGAGTTGAACTATATAGCGCAGGCGACTTATACATCTCACTCAATCACGCGGCTCGCGCTGACGTCCGCGCAACCCCACCGACGTGAGAGCGGTTGGTGACGGGAATCGAATAGACCCGCTTCGCTAGCCCAACCCTATGCGCGTGAATAGCTAGAGCTTATCTGCACATGGCATGAAACAGGCGCAAGAATTATTAGTGACGGTCAGAGTGGGCGATTACGAGGCGATTCTCGAATGATTAGATGGTGATTATTGGACTGATCACCGGCCGATCAAAGCCCCCAATCGCCCCCATAATCGCCCTGAGCTCTGACCGTACCATGCAGAGACGATCAAGCCCCGTTGCTTCAGCGGCGATTACTCTGCTTTCTCACGCGGTAGTACCTACTTATCATTGTGCCCGTTTTATGCCACGCAGATAAGATTGGTTCGTATCGAAACGAAGTCGGGCTCCCATAATCACCACAGCCATAATCGCCGCTTTAGCGGCGACAAAGCACCTCCAGAGCCGCTTTGCAACGGATGTACGGCCAAGCGCCTGATTTCTGGGTGCTAACGTGCTGAAGAGCGGAGCAATCGCCAATGAAGCAACGGGACTTAATCATCTCTACATCGTACGGTCAGAGGTCAAGGCGATTATGAGAGCGATTAAGAGCTTTAACCGGCCGATAATCAGTCCAATAATCGCCCTCTGGCCGTCTAAAATTCTGCGGCGTCCAGATATGAAATAACACAAACAAGCGCAGACATCCAGTACAGCAATGACGACGTACCCGAGACGACTGTGCACTCGGATGAGTTATTGCAGCCCGGACAGATTCTGTCTCCGCCTGTGCCCGGTGGGGGCCAATTTGAGCGCATATCCTCCGTCCACAAGCCTCGCGCCTGTACAACAAAGACACCCTTGCTGGAGCGCCGGCAAGGCCGAAACCACGAGAAGTTATGTTCAATCATTTTGAGCGCACATGATGAGATGATACTAGATTGTGCCTCACCGCCGTGAATCCGAATCCGATCAAAACTAAGTGACATCAGGATGGCGAATGATGTCAGGGCCCAGAGACCTGATGTATGTTCGCCCTGAACACTGCACGACCCGCCGGTATTGATTTGCAGTCGACAGCATGTCTGATTAGGCTTCAGTTTGAGGCTGGGTGCTCTGAGCAGCTGCATCTGAGTCGAGCGCGGACGCGCGAGCCTTCTTGAGTGCAAGCTTGACGCTTCTGATCGAGTTCTCGCGCGCAGTGATGAGGCGTTTCGCTTTCGCGATGTCGAGCGACGTCTCGAGCGCCGAATACGGGTCTGCAGCTTTCTTCGGTGCGAGCGTGGATGTCCCGTCGGCCTTTTCGGGGCGGGTTTGCAGCGGAGCGAGCTGCTTTCGGAGAGAAGCCAGGACGTCGTCCAGAGACTTGAGAGTCGAGACGGCCGTCGCCATGTCGTCCTTCAGACGGAAAGTGCGACAGACTTCGCGCGCGCAGGTCTCGACGTGGTCGAAACGCGCGGGGCCTAACATCTCGCCGCCGAACCTGATTTCGGGGCGGACAAGAGTAAGTATGGCTGGCGCAAGCGGAGCCTTCTAGCAGTGCGGCTCGCGCACCGTGAGGATCGACTCAAGTCGGTGATCGAGCGTCCTCCCCCACGCGCTCGCCGCTCCACTGGGCACGACAAAACCGACGGGGAACTCACCACCGACTGACGACGACGACGGCGTCGATGACGCCCTCCGCCTGCATCACCTTGAGCACCCTGCCGCCCGCGTACTTCTCGCCGTCGTCATCCGAGCCCGCGACGAGCTCAAAGTCGTCCGGCCCTCCGAGCCCGGTCTTGCCGCGCTGGAGGACCATGCAGCGCCACGCCGCGATCTCGTGCGACGCGGGCCGGGTTGTGTGCGCGACGTGCTTCAGGTGGATTTGGGCGCGGCGCGCGGCGTCGGGGGTCGAGGCGGGGTAGACGTTCGCGACAAAGGCGGAGCCGCGGTCGCGGATCTCCTGGGACGTGGCGAGCGGGGAGGGAGGGGGCGGGAGGAGGTGACGAAGGCATCGAGATTGGCCATGGGGGTGAAACCGGTGCACGGAGGAGAGGAAAGAGCGTGGAGAGGCGGGCGCAGCAGGGCGAGCCGTGCGCCGGACGTGCGAAACCCGGTGGCCGTTGTGGAGCGAAGGGGGCGGGCCGCTGCTCGTCGGCTGCAGGAGCCCGGCTGAGGCCGAGGCGATCGAGCTCAGACTGCCGAGGACGCAGCTGTGCACGACTCAAGCGATAGTGCGGCGACCAGACGGTGGGGGTGTGTGCAGCGCGTCGAATGGGTTATATTTGTGCGGACAAGACATGGGAATATGAATGGGAAAGCGAATGGCCCTCAAATATGCAGACGTTCACCGTACTAGAGAGATCCAAGCTCGTTGAAACCCGTCGTGGCCGGAACAGGACGTCCCGGGTAGGTTGAGGATGACGACCGTCGTTTCTCGTTTCCCGGCCGGTCCTGGGCGCCTCTGTGTCGCCAAGAGAGGCGCTCAAATTCGGCCACCGCTTTTGTTCCCCTTCCAGCGTCGACAAGTCTGCACTCCTCGACGCCCTGCGTCTCTCTTTCTTTCCGCTCTCACCACCCCTTCCTCTCTTCCCTCTCCTCCTCCTCCAGAGCGACTCTGCGCTTCGTCTGCATCGAGCAGGCTTCCCCATTCCCCAAGCGGGCACAATCGCTTCAACCACCCTCCCTCCCCATCCAACATGCCCGACAGCGACAATGGCATCACTAGTATCATCAACGAGACGACGAGCCAGCGGACGCTGGCGCCCGTGGCCGTCGCCTCACAGGTCGGGTTGATGTTGGGCATCTCGGTGCGTCCTTAGCAGCTCAACGCCGAAGCGGTATCGCTCACAAGGCCGAATGCAGTTTGCTACCGTGATTCTCTTCAACCTGCTTCGCCCAAGAAACAAGGTCAGCTTTCTCTTCTGCTCATGCATTGTCCTGCATTGTCCCCTTCTTCGTCCCGTCGTCGAATCTCCCTCTCAATGAGCGGTTTGGAGGGAGTGCGCTCCTCCTCCACCTTCGGCAAACGCCCGGCGTTCATGGAGCACACGCGTACCCAGCGCTCTATCCGTGCCGCCTGCGTTCACATAGGTGGTGTATGCGGAGATTGGAGATTGGTCGCGTCAGACGTCTTCTTTACCGCACTCCATGCTCGTCTGCAGGAGGCCCTCTTGATTGGGTGGACGGTCTGCTGCGGTCACCTCCGCAGTGTTCCTCCCACATCACGCTCTGCCATGAGAATCGCGCACGGGACGCGTCGAGTGCGCGCGCACGTCTGGACCCTGACCTCTTCTCCGGCGATATCTTCCGCCCCGGTGGCCTTCGTCGCCGTCGTGGGATGTGTACCATGCTGTCGGCTTTATGCCGCGCTTTGATTGACACGGCTCCTATGTTTTCTGAAATGTTTCGAGCCTATTTGCTCACCGATCGCTCCTGTCCAGATCATTTACGAACCAAAAGTCAAATACCACGTTGGCGATAAGGTTCCACCGCGCGCATCCGATTCATTCCTCGGATGGGTTTCGCCCCTCATCCACACCAAGGAGGCCGAGCTCGTAGACAAGATCGGCCTCGACGCTGCAATCTACCTCCGCTTCATCCGTCTCTGCCGCTGGCTCTTCACCGCGATCACATTCGTGTGTTGCGCAGTTCTGATCCCCATCAACGTCACCTACAACCTCGCCCACGTCAAATCCAAGAACCGCGATGCCCTCTCGATGCTCACCATTCGAGATGTCTCGGGCAACCTCCTCTTCGCGCACGTGGCCGTCACCTATGTGATCACCTTCCTCGTCATCGGCTTTGTATACGTCCACTGGCGCGAGGTCGTGCGGCTCCGGCGCTCCTGGTTCCGCTCGCCCGAATACGTCCAGTCCTTCTACGCCCGGACGCTCATTGTCAACAACGTTCCGAAAAAGCTCCAGTCCGACGAAGGCATCCGCGCGATTTTCGAGTCCGTCCATGTGCCGTACCCCACCACCTCCGTTCACGTCGGTCACAAGATCGGTCGTCTTCCGGAGCTCATCGAGTACCACAACGACGCGGTCCGTGAACTCGAGGCCGTCCTGGTCACGTACCTCAAGGGTGGCAAGATTGCGAAAAAGCGTCCGACTATCACCATCGGTGGTTGGCTCTGCTTTGGCGGCGAGAAGAAGGATGCTATTGACTACTACACGTGAGTCGCTTGGTCTCTTTTTTGAGCGTTCCAGTACTTATGCGAATGTCAATTTGTTTAGCGCGAAGCTCCAACGTGCGGATAAGGCTGTCCAGGAATTCCGCAATCAGATTGACTTGCGGAAGCCCGAGAACTACGGTTTCGCGTCGATGGCTGCTGTTCCCTATGCGCACATTGTGGCGAATATGTTGAAGCGCAAGTCCCCGAAGGGTGCAGCGGTTTCGCTCGCTCCCAACCCCAAGGACATCGTAAGTTGCTTGTCAATTCACTTCATCATCTGCGAAACTAAAAACGCTACCAGGTGTGGAAAAACTTGGGCCGTACTCAAGCCGAGATTCGTCGTGCGCAGACAATGGGTTGGCTGTGGCTCATCGCCATTTGCGCCTTCAACACCATACCGCTCTTGATTATTTCCGTTCTTGCGAACCTGGCGTCCGTGAGTGGCCACCTTCTTGCCAACCAGCGCTCGGACTTACCTCCGCGTCGCCAATTCTTTAGATCACCGCTTACGTTCCCTTCCTTCAATCGTGGTCGGACGCTTCACCGGGCTCCTTCACATTCGTGTCTGGTGTTCTTCCTTCCACTGTGTCTGCGCTCTTCGGATGGGCCCTTCCGATCATCATGCGTAAGCTGACGAAGTTCATGGGCGCATACACGCACTCGCGCATGGACCGTGCCGTCGTCGCCCGCTACTTCGCCTTCTTGATCATCTCGCAGCTTATCATCTTCACCCTGATCGGTGTCATCTTCAGTGCGTGAAACTGAAAATGCGGTCGGGCGCTCATGCTGATGTGTCGCGTGCAGATGCGGTGAAGCAGGTCGTCCTTCTCATCGGCAAGCACGCGAGCGTAGACGAGATCTTCCATAACTTCGACAGTGCGCGCGTCTCCCTTGGAACCGCGCGTGTATGTGAAAGCTGATGGGGTGTTTTCAGAGCTTCCGGAGACCATCAACCAGACCTACATCGACCAGTCGTCCTACTGGCTCACGTACTTCCCGCTTCGTGGTTCCTCGTGATCTTCGATCTCGCCCAGCTACTCAACCTGTTTATCGTCTCGTTCAAGACGCACTTTTTGGGACGGACGCCCCGTGAGATCCGCGAGTGGACGCAGCCTCCTGAGTTCCAGTTCGCCGTATACTAGTAAGCGTCTGTTCTCCAAGATCCAGACACGCCGCATGCTAACATGATAACGCTCAGCTCGAACATGCTCTTCATGGCCTCCGTTGGGTTCTTCTTCGCGCCTTGGCACCGCTCGTCGCTGTGGCCGCTTGCGTCATTTTCTGGATCAGCTCGGTGGTGTACAAGTACCAGCTTATGTTCGTCTTCGTGTCGAAGACCGAGAGTGGCGGTGTGAGTGTCTTCCGAACTGTGATAGTTGGGTGCAGCTAACAAGCCCTTTTAGCGTATGTGGAACGTGGTCATTAACCGTCTGCTTGCCGGTGTCATCCTCATGCAGTGCATCATGGTCCTCAGTACGTCAACACACAATATGTTGCCTTATACCCACTGACCGCCTTCCACAGCCATCGGTCTCCAGTACACATTCAAGTCGTTCTACTGGATCGCTACCGTCCCACCTATCTTCTTCATCATCATCTTCAAGGGATACATCAACCGTGTCTTCCAGCCCTCGTTCAGGTACTACATGCCCACCGAGGAGGAGCTCCGCGACGCCGAAGTCCACTCGCAGCGCAACGACAACGCTCGGAACCGTCTCGAGAAGCGTTTCGGCCACCCGTCGCTTCACTCGGAGCTTTTCACCCCGATGGTGCACGCGAACATGACGCACCTCCTGTCGCAAGTGTACCACGGCAAGCTCGGGACAGAAACCGCCAAGGTCGGCGACATGGGCGGCCGGAAGATGGACACCACGGTCGTCGCGGGCGGTATCAAGATCGCCGGTGTCCAGGAGAACGACTTGGCGTACGACCCAGCCATGTACAGGCGCGACCGCGGCGACGACTGGGACACGCGCTCGATCGCCTCGTCGAACATGCTCTCGGACAAGGCGCCATACCCCGAAGGCGGGCGCTCGTCCCCCGCGCCCTCGAAGTTCGCAGGCTACGACCGGTACCTCGCACAAGGCCCGACGTCGGAGATCGAGATGACGCGCCTGGACATCCCCGACAACCAGCCGCTCCTCAACCAGCAGGGCCACTTCGTCGGCCAGGGCCAAAGCTACTACGACCCGATGGCCGCGTCGCAGTCGAACGTCGACCTCAACTACGCCACGCCGCTGAGCGAGAACCCGCACATGCCCCTGCTCCCCGCCGCATACGCCCCCGACGTGGCCCGCGAGGCGTCCCTGCACCGGCCGTATCCCTCTGGTGGCCAGTACACGCCGCCGCAGCAGCCGTGGGCGCCCGGCCCCGGGGCGTACATCCAGCGCACCGGGAGCCCCGCGCAGGTCTACAGCCCGCACCACCAGCAGGAGGACTCGGGCGACTACTTCAGCGGGAACCCGGCGGCGTCGCACGTGGCGAGCCAACGCTCGTCGCCGGACTCGTACAGGAGCGGCGTCCCCGCGCGCACGCCGCCGCCTGGGCTGTACGACGGCCCGCAGAACATGGCCGGCCGTGGGGCGCATCGAGCGCCACCGCAGTAAAGTTGGCTGGCTGGCTGGCTGGCTGTGATCCGCCTTGTACGTAGTGTGTTTACTGTAGGCTCTGTGTTCTCCCCGCTCATGCGCGCTGTAGTGTTATCGTCGTCGTTGCCTCCCCTCTGTTGATATCCTAAGGTGACGGGCTAGTCGTCGTAATCCCCCTCCACCTCCTCGTCTGCATCTCCCACCCACGCTGCTTGATATGTTCTGTCCTCGCTCACGACCCCCACCGAACCCACCCACCATATGTGCATTATACTAGTACCACCCGCCCCAGGCCCCCCTGTCACTGCCGCCCCGCACCACCCTGGCGCGCCCCGCGCCCGCTCCCCCGCTCTCCGTCCTTACGTTAGAATCTCCGGCTGTTGTGGTATATAGACGTGGGCGCTCGCACCCCCTGTCGCCCCCACGGACTGCGGACTCGTCTGGACTTTGGACTCGTGCGCCGTCATCGCATCCCCCTCACACGGACTTGTTTTGGCACGAACCGATCGACCACAGCGTCGCCCGACCGAGTCGGGCGGACCCCGCGCTCGCTGTAACAATGGCACTCTTTATTTCCTCGTCCGTCGTTTGAGTGAGCTTGAGCTGAGAGTTTGAGCGCGTGATTGATGCGAGGCGTCGAGGTTTTGCTGCTTGAGGCCTTTGAGGGCTCGAGCTTGAAACGCAGCCCGCCGTAACGCCAAAATCAGTGTACAGCGAAACAGGCAAAATAGATTAGCGGAACGAGGAGAGGTAGGTTACATGCGTGTCGTGACCGTCATATACGCATCGAACAGGCTATACAAAATCCTCCTAGCCAACGCTCTACGCGTGCACGCCCGGCTTGCGCGACAGCCCCTCGCACCGCTCGAGCTCGGCCCCGTACGCGCGCTTGGTCGCACCCCACGCCGCGACCCACTCGTCGATCTCCTTGCGGAAGAGCGGCTTCTGGCGGGCGACGCGCGCCGCGTTGCGCTCGAGCTCCGCGAGCGGCACCTCCTCGTAGTCGCCCTGGAGGAAGGGCTTGGCCATCGTGTAGTGCACGACGCGCGCCTCGCGCGCGAGCGCGTCCCAGAGCGCGGGCGTGCGCTGCCGGATCGCGAGGTTCGCGTTGTACGCGTACGGGAGCCGGAGCGCCTCCGCGCCGAAGTAGAGGTTGAGGAACGCCTGCTCGGCCTCCTTCGGCGGATAGCGCGCGGACGCGATCTTGGACGCCATGTCCGCGTAGAGCGCCGAGTCCGGGCGGAGGAAGAGCACGCCGGCGTTGAAGGCGGTGACGTACCCGGGCGAGGAGGTGTACACGTCCGGCACGGCGGCGAAGGTGTACGGGAGGCGGAAGAGCTCGTCGAAGGAGCGCTTGACGAGCGTGTCGGCGTCGACGTAGACGGCGGCCTTGTACCCCTTGCGGTCGAGCGTCCAGAGCTGGAGCTTGGAGTACTGGTCGAGGAAGTGCCGGTGCACGCCGGCGTGCGGGGGCGCGATGCGCTCGATCGGCGTGGGCTGCCAGCCGGACACGCTGGCGATGCAGAGCGCGCGGGGGGAATTTTGTCGGGGAGGTAGTAGAGCAGGCGGGCGGCGGAGGTGTTGGCGAGTTCGAGGGTGTGGCCCATGGTCGCGACCGCGCTCGCGAAGGCGTCGGTGTAAAGCCCGGTGACGATCGCGTGGTCTTGGGGGTTCACGGGCCGGGTGGATGCGAGGGCTCGCGGTCGACTATGGGTGGTGGTTTCTGTTTTGCGAAAAGGAGGTCAGCGTGTCCCTGGCAGCGTAAGAACAGGGGAAAAGGTCTATGCACGCATCGGGACCTCACGCCGTTCGATGGGTCGACTGCGGCGTCCTCGCTCCGCGACTGCGATCCAGCTCAGACGCATATACAACATGTCCCCGCTACATCAGGGTTCGCGTTCAGATATGCCCCGAGCTAGTCACTGTTCAGGAAACCGGGCGTCAAGAGCGCACCCCCAGGCATAGCGAACACAGACGGCAAAAACCAAAATGGCCCATTCGCCCCTGCAGCATCCGCGCCCAACCCGCAAGCCAAGCCTCTGGCCAACACCCGTCCGTCCCCATGCGACCACCTCCGTCCTCCCATCCCCTGCGCCCCGCCCGTCCATCCGCCCCCGAAGTGGCAGCCCCCTCCCGCGGAGTCCGGACGCACACAGCCCCGCCCGCCCCTTCCCACCCGAGCCACGAAAAAGAAAGGGAGAGAAGAGCTCAGAACGGGCACTCACAGCCCCTGGTAGTCGTCGAGCGGCGCGGGCCACGCCGTCGCCAGCACCCACACGAACCGCACGTTCACGAGGAGCGACGCCGCGAGGAGCCCGAACACGAGCGCGCGCCGCCGCGGGCTCGCGGCGTCGCGGCGGGGCCCGCCCCCGCCGCGCGCCTCGCCCTCCCAGCGGGGGAGCGGGATGTAGTCGCGGTAGGACGCGTTGCCGAGCTTGAACATGGGGGCGGGGCCGGACGGGGGCCAGGAGGGGGGTCAGCGGAGGGGGCGGGGGCGGCAGCGGAAGGGGTGAGCGCGGGCGTGAGGGGAGGGGGTGAGCGTGGGGAGAGAGAAGGATGGGTCGGGTTCGAAGGCGAGGAGACTGCGCACGGCGGGCGCGCGGTTGTTGTGCAGCGTCGGGGCGGTGCGCCACGCCTTGGCGCTCGCGACATATACTGCGGGATCGATGCGACATTTACATGCTCTCCCTGCGCAAGTCGGGGACGCCCGCTCTCCCTCTGTCATATACTTATTGACATGTCGACCTCCTCGCGCTCTCTCAACACACACACCGCAGCAACGCAAGGAATCCAGAGCCGAGTTTTTTTACATGTCAAGGGCGGCGGCGGCGAGGGCATGCACTATATGTGACCAGAGCGAGAGTGATGGCGAGACCGAGACCGAGGAGACCGGGGCGGAGAGGGAGGGTGCCAGTGCTGGTTCATGAGGTGAAACAAACGGCCGTGCGCGGCCGGGGGCGCTAAGGTATGTGTGTCTAAGTAAAAGTAGAGAAGGGAAAGGAAGGAGAGGAGGAAAGGGAAGGCGTGGACACGGTCGACGGTCGACGAGACGGCTGGCGTGGGCTAACGGTGGTCGTGGGATGGGGAGGTGGGAAGGAGCGGAAGATGGAGATAACGGGCGGCATGGGCGTGAGGACGGGAGAAGACGACGAAGCGCACGCGACTGCGCGCGTGGGCAGCGACGAGACATGAGCCCGAGGCAGGAGGAGTGGGGGTGAGAGAGGAGGAGCACGCGCGTGCGGGGCGAAGAGGAAGAAGGGGGTGGTGCAGGTAATGGAAGGACGAAGGGGGCCAAGGCCGGGGGGTACTGCACAGCGAACACACTCGACTCGTACATTGCCACACACCGAACCCCCAGACAGCAGGCTCGGACAGTGGCTCAAAGAAGGACGCGCTGCACAGGGCAGGGAATGGAAGACTTGCAGCGCGAACGGGGTCGCCTCCTCTCCGCAAACGTGGCGCGTGGCCGGGGCACTTGTACACTATGTACTTCGGTTCGTTTACCTAAATGAATGTTCCATATGTATAGCGGAGCCGGGGAATGAGAGACAGATGGCGAGACTAGGACAGGACAGGACAGGGATCGTGGGACGCGACGGACAAGGAGAGGCAGTGAGAGAGCGAGCCCGGTGGGTACTATGATGGCACGATTCCACCTGCTGGCGGTGACCTGAGCGGTAAACGCTTGAAGTCCGCAGCTGCCCACACAATTTTGTCAGTAACCGCCGGCGCCGAGAGCAAGCAAAACAGAGACGCACTCTCGGTGTACACCGTGTTTCCCCACCACTCGAGGTTGACGCCCCCGTTCGGGAACTGGAGGGTGAAGAAGATGAAGAGAACCGCGAGGACGGTGCCGCAGTCCAGCGCGCTCGAGAGGATGTAGTTGAACTTTGACCACCACCCGAAGTTCCGACGGCGGACGAGGTATTGGAAGATGAAGCCGGCGAGGAACCAGGACGAGTAGTTGATGCCCGTCGCGGGCGGGATAAGCCCGACGCCATTCAGGATGACCGGTGTGTTGATGTACTGCACGTACCGGTTTGGCCACCGCCGTTGCCAGTACCAGAACGGCAGCGGCAGGACCGCACCGATGATGATCGCGTATAGCTGCGGGTGGTAGATCGAGCTCGCTCCAAACTGCCGTGCGGGCCCGATCAGGCCCCAGATGACCGAGGTGGTGTAGATGACCTGGTTGTGCGGGCATGTGAGGAAGTCCTTCTGGTCCGTCTGGCAGATGTCCTCGATGTTGGCGAACATCCACTCCTTGACGGCGACCTGGAGGAGCCCGACGAACGCCGTTGATGTCATCTGCACGATAAACGTTGCCCGCGGAGGCAGCTTGATGTAGTGACCGAGCTTCAGGTCGCCCACGAACTGTGAGCCCTCAGCCAGGGTCTGCGTCGCATACGCCTTGAAGATCTGTGGGTGGGCTGTTAGTGGGCGGACTGGGATGGCCTTGTCCATCAGCGCCTACCATGTTTGGGATCGGCTTGCCAGGGAGGATCATGCCGGGGATGATTTGCGCAATCAGGTTGATACCAATCTGCCGTGCAGGTGAGAATGGGCCGACGTCGCAATCGCCTGCCGAGACTCACGCTCTGCCCGGTCATAGCGAACACATATCCAGAGGGAACAAGGTAGACCGCCGGAAGTGCGATGGCGATTATGAGCGCCCAAACTGGGATACCCGTATGCCACAACTGAACGTGCATCAGTCAAGTGGACAGCAGGGCTGTGTGAATCGACGCACCTCGGCCGTGAGGATAGCCAGCCCGAAGCAGGCAAGGAATGAGAGCAAGTACCACCAATCCGGGACTTCGGGGTATGCACGCATGAGCTTGGCATGGATATCGTCCTTCTCCGTCCGGACCTGGGTAAATCCGCGGATGACCGTGCGACCGTGATAGAGCACTGTGTGAACGACGACTGCGGAGGCAAGCGCAAACGCGATCAAGTAGGTGATAGCGTAGGATGCCGGTAAGAACAGTGGGGAGTACTCCTCATACTGGGTCTGGTTGAACTCGTTGTTGGCGGTGAGAACGCGCCGAACGTCGTATTTGTCGCCAAAGCGATCGTACAGGTCGTTGGACATGATCGGGAAATAGGACAGGTCCCAGGACTGCGTGATGATAAGCGGAAAGGAACGACAAGAGGAAGCAAGATACGCACGTTGGTGTAGTACAGTATGGGGCACAGAACCCAGTACACAATGAAAAACCCAAGGAAGACCTGCACTTGCGCCCACCACGGGACCATAAGCGGGCTGGCAATCCAGGAGATCTGCGACCAGTCGAAAACAAGGACGCTCATGCCCAGGCCCCCAGACACGCCGAACAGTTGGTTGACGACAATGTCGTTGGGCTTGATCCAACAAACGAACGAGAAGATCGACAGTGCTTGGAAGAGGAAGCCTGAAAGGAAATGTAAGTTGTGATGAAGTAGCAGATGGGATAGAAATCACAGACCAGGAAGGAAGAAATAAAAGAACGAGCCGACGCAGGCGTAGCAGAAGAACCTGAAACGCGAGACTCCTCCGCGGGCATCCTCCTCTTCCGCATGGAGCGTGTTGAGCAGGGTGCAAACGATCAGGTTCTGCGGCCAGACCATGCTTGCGGGCCAGACCAGGAACCGCCGGCATAAACCCGCGAGAGAGAAGCCGGTGAGCTGGGTAGTCAAGATGAGCAAGGCATTGAACCCGTAGCCAAGCTTGACGCCGTAGTAGATCTCCGCGACGACGACCGCATTAAGCGCGGTGGGGACACCGATCGAGACGTTGGCCATGATAAACACCAGTGCGTGCTCCTTGATATTCCAAGGACCGGGGTTGAGGGAGAATTCGTATCCGCCGAGCCAGCGAGGTAACCTGAATACGCGTATCGGGAGGGTGAGGGCGAAGAGCTTCCCTAATGGGTGGGCGAGAAGGATGAGGACATTGGAGACGATTGACGGTGCTGGTTGTCGAAAGTTGAAGAAGAGATTTGCACAGCTGAAGCGACGCTTAATGCGGGTAGATAACACGAGGAGAGAGGGACATACCCAGACGCGAGGGTGAGGAAGAGCCCAATGACCCACATTCGTATTGTCAAGGCCGGCATTTCTGTATCGTCGACGTTCGACACAGACGCCCGTACTTCAGGATACGGACTGTCCTCGTCTTCGTCAAATTCAAACTCCATCCTTCTTCATAGGACGTAGTCAGCACTTTCGTACGCGCATGGAAAAGCAAAGGGAAGAGGGGGTGATGAGGGAATCACAGACAAGGGCATCACAGCCTCTGCCGGGCGGGAGGGGGCCCATCGGAGGAAAGGACGAGATCTTGAGGAAATTCAAGACTTACTTGATTGACGCAGAGTCTGCGACACTCGGGAAGCTCGTCGACATTGCTGTCGATGGTGGCCGCTCCTTGCCTTTCCTGCTCGCGCCCTTGGGGAGCTCCACATGGACTTCACGCGAGCTTAGAGCGGAGCTCACGCCGGTCAACCTCCCAGTGCCCGAAGTTGGTGCGTCCGAGGCCGTTTGTGGGGCCATACGGTGCATGCGGTAGGGGTTATCATCTCCACGGGCTTGTGAGTCGGTCGAGGGGGGCGATTCGACCGGACTGAGGGGATACGGATGCCGGTGATAGGGCTCTGAGGGCCCGGGGACGGGTCCCACGCGGTCTACACTGGCGGGGTCGAAGACGGGGGGTGGTGGGGAGATGGGGTCGGTGGCGGTGGGGGGTGGGCCAAAGGCGAAGACGTCGCCGGCGTCGGACTCGCTGTCCTCGTCGTCTTCATCGACGGAGTAGTCATACGTGTACTGGGGCTGGCGGTCGAACTGGCCGCCTGCGGTGGAGGGGGCGGCGGTGGTGGGGCGGGCGGAGGACGGCCTGCCTGAGCTGGACGTCGGACGGAACGGCATGAGGAGGGGGAGGGCGGGGGAGAGAGGGGAGGAGGGGGAAGAGTCCGACGCAGCCCATTTGGCGTCCGTCTTCCCTCCCAGGCACATCAGCTCGTTCCTGGCCTCCCCGAATAGGAAAGCCCATCCTCCTCCCCCGTCGCCCCCGCCGTCCCCGTCCCCGTCCCCGTTCGCTGCCCCGCTCCAGCTCCCCGTGCGCCCCCTACGCCCGCGCTGCTCGTCGTCGCCCTGCACGCGCTGCTCGTTGCCCTGCCCGCACCCCCCACCGTGCGCGGCTGCGCGGAGCGATCGCCAAGCGCCGGCTGGCTATCTGCGAACTCTAAATCGGCGTACCTGGCAGCCTCCGGGCTCACCACGACGACACACGGTGGGCACCCACGCGCCTGCACCCTCGCGCCCGCTCTTCACGTACCGGACAAGACGCCGTGCATGTCAGGCACTCGCCCTCGTTCCCGCTGTTCGTGTCCACAGCGAGCCCACGGCGCCCCGGCCACCGCGGCCGTTCCGATCGCGTCAGGCTGTAGATCAACACGCGAGGCGCGGTGGCTGCCCGTGGCTGAGGCACACCTGTCGTCCCTCCTCAGTCCTGTGTCTCCAAGCGAGAGAGAGAGATTCATGAGCCGCCTATACGCTATGTAGTATGTAGTAGTACAGCTCTAGCTGGACGAGAAGGCGTCCCACGGCGGCTGGAAGAGCTGTGGGTGCGCCAAAAAACAGCCAGCCTCAATGACAAGCGCATATGTGCTGCACCACATAGCCGGCCCACCTGTTGCGGCCTTGCTGTCGAAATGCTCCCGTGTCAGACTTCACCGAGACTAGGATCAACGATGGATTTACAACGGGCACGTGGTGTAGTTGGTTATCACGCTCGCTTAGCATCGTCAGGCTTCAGCCACGATGAGAATGCGAGAGGGGTCCGGTTCGATCCCGGACGTGTCCATACGTTTTGCCCATCCTGTACCCATTCCTGTAGGCTCCAGCGCCCACAACATTTTGCGTGTTTCCGCCGGCACAGCCGAGGGGACCGCCAGCTCCTTGAAGCTGTTCTCTTCTCCCATCTCATCTCCGCAACCCTCTTTCACAAGCGTCTCATTCTTACCGTCCTCCGCCGACTACCTTCGAAGCCTGCCCAAGCACACGCCCAGAGCCACACCCGCCCGGGGAGCCGACCTCTTCTCGCCCAGGTTTCCCGCCCAGCGAATTCAAAACGCTCGGCCTCCGTCCCGCAGCTGGCTTGCCTGCCCTAGTCCGCCAGGAACGCGCCAGTCGGCCTTCAAGAGGCGAGCCGTCAGCACGGGCGTCCTCGATGTCGTGCCGTGCCTCAAGGCTTCGCGACGGCAAGCCTCGCTCCAATTTCCGCGCCTCTCCAGTCCACCCTCGCTGCCCGTCCTCAGGCCAGACGGTGCCTGGACGCGCAATCATGAAAGGAAGGCCTCGGCGCGACGGGAACGCGTGGATACGATACGGCTTCTTCTCTCGTCCTGCGCACAGCACTCCCACGCCCGGCCCTCCTGAGTCCTATCTCTAGGACGCGGGCCATCAGACCCGTTTTCGCGGGCGCGAGGCGTCGAGGCAGCGTGCTACTCAACTCCCTTGGTCTTCAGACTTCGCCTCTTCCGCGCACGGCTTTGTGCTGCTGCAGCCGAGCCGCGCAAAATGAACGCTCCGGCGTTCCGATGCGCCCCTTTCATCAGCGCTCAGCCGCGGGAAGCGCTGCCGCTCGCACCATCATCACCCGACGTTCCAGGCACATGGGGAGGTGAACATTGGAATTAAGTAGATGTGAAGGGTCGTGTATTAAATCACAGGTACGGTCCTACGGACGCCCGTGCCTGGGTCGACTCGCGACAGCAGTATGTCGTCATTCACCGGCACTGTGGGCCCTGTCTTCGCCAGACAGCTCACTTACTTCAGTTTCTGCCATGGGTCTCACAGCGACCGACGGCTCGGCTGTTGGACCCACGCGTATATACGCGGATTCCGAATACCTGGAACGCCGTCTGCGCGTGGAGGACAACTGCCATTGGATCTTGAGGTGCGATATTCATATGGTCTGGATTCAACTCTCGGAGCTTTCCCTTCAAGTGATCGTGCACTTATTTCCGGATTACACGGCAGTAATGGTGTTGGAAACAACGACGGGTCCAGAAGCCGTATCACCCCTACTTTCAAGTCTCCGGACCTGATCAACGAATCTACGAGCGCACGTACCCTTGAGCTAGAACTTATACAAGTATACAAGCTTTTGAAGACCCTTCTCTGCGGCAGCCTCGCGGTCCGTGGAAAACGTTCGAAAGCGAATTGAAGCCTGCCTGCTTACCTGAGTCTCTTCGGACGGTTGTTGCCTCTCTGATCTCTTCATTCCCTCTGGTTTCGAGTCAAAGATCACCCAAGATTTGGACTCGCGGATCAGTCCCTACGGAGCCTCCTGCGTTCTTTTGGACACTCTGCAATCAGAAACGCCAAGAATCGCGCGGGGACTTGCAGGCAGGAAACGGCAGCGCCTTTCATGGTCCGCGCTCGTATCCGAGATACAAGCGTGCACTAGCGTCCCCACAAGTCCACTCTCAGAAGTGCACGACCTCTCGTGGCGCGCTAGCCTCGAGGCGGGGCGTCATGGGGTGACAGACACGAAGTGGACCTTGGCCTCGCCTTTAGGGCGCGCAGTTCGACGTCTGGGGCGTTGGCTGGGCGCGGCACCGAGACCTTCGACACCGACAGTGCGCGGTGATCGGCGCACACACAATGGGGACCTGCGGCAGTAAGGCTACGAGTGGTGGTCGGTTGGGCCGCACACGTACTGGCGAAGAACGTCGCCGTTGACAACGCTGCTCGACATCCTCCAAACAGTCCAGAAGCTCGACCGAACATGTCCAAGGCCACGCGACATTAGCACGCTAGTATTGTAACTCACTCTACGCCCCTCTCCCTCACGCCTCCGTCGCGGTCGACTCCCGCGGGGGCTCCGGCTTCGGGTCCGTGTTCTTGACGTCGCCCCACAGGCCGGAGCCGAACGTCTTCACGGAGTTCAGGCTGACGAGGACGGCGACGGCGCCGAACTCGGCGCCGACGTGGAACAGCCAGAAGAGCGCCTTCTCGACGGGGGAGTTGTTCGAGCAGCGGCCGGTCGCGTCCAGCGCGGTCGTCGAGCACTTGAGCACGTCGATGCGGTAGATGCACGTCAAGAGCTGCGTCCGCGCGCGTCCGTCCGGGGGCCAGTGAGCGCGTGCGCACATGAAGAACGAAACAGACCGAACGCACGAGGAGGGACGTGATGAGCAGCGACCACGCGACGGACCGCGTCGGCACGCGGGGGAGGCGGAAGAGCGCCCAGCAGAGGACGAGGTGGATCCACGACAACAGCGCGAGCGCGAGCGCCGCGCTCCCATACCTGCGTCGCGCGTGGTAGCACGGTCAGCTCCGTCCTCCGTCGCGCGCGAACGAGCGAACACGCACCACGCAACCCGGATCAGCGTGGATCGCTCCCCCGTGAGCACCGCGTGCTTGAAGTTGACACCCGCGACGATCGCGAGCCCGACGCCGCCCAGGAAGAGGAGCGCGGTCGCGCCGCACGCCTGCCGCAGCCAGAACCGCATCCGCGGGTGGTCCGCGAGGGCCTCGTCGAGGCTCGCCGTCCCCCAGCTCCCCGCGTCCCCGCCGCGCGCCTGCAGCTCGTGCGCGGGGCCCTCCGGGTTCGCGCCGGGGTGCGCGGAGAGGAAGGTGCTCGAGCTCCGCGCGGGGGCGGCGCCGGCGCGCGCGTGCGCGGGGGTGAGCTTCGGGTGGAGCGGGAGCATGTCCGAGCCGAGCGTGGAGCCGACGAGGAGCGCGCGGATGAGGTTCGTGACGTCGCCGCCGACGGTGAGGAAGCCGCCTGCGAGGGAGGTCTGGAGGTACGTGAGGAATTTGAGGTTGTTGCGCAGGCCGGGGTGTTGGGACGCGACGGCGCGGATGCGAAGCCGACAGCTCTGAAGCGTCGCGAGGAAGGGAGACGGACGGGTGCGGGGTGAGATGAAGTCGAGCTTGTGCTGCGATGGAGAGCACGTACCGTTCGAGGCAGAAGAAGAGCGTACCGATAGTTACGAAGGTGCGCGAGTGGCGGCGCACGATGCGGTAGGTCATGAGGGAAAATACGGCGGCGTAGAGGACGCAGAAAATGACCGAGGGCACGAGATCGATGGGGAGCGGCACCCCGCCAATGGGCGACGGGAACTGGTGAGTCGAGTTGGACTCGGACATGGTGAAAGCCGCGAACAGCAGGAAATTCGGCGAAGAAAGCGAGTGAGAGAGCAGCGGACTGGGTCGCAACGAGGTGGAGGACAGGCAACAGCGACGCGGTCGTTTTCAAGACGGCCTACACAAGCCGCAGCGTCGCGACTCGCAGCGTCCGAGTCTGCAGCGTCTTGGTTGAGGGAAGGGGGGCGGACCGAGACATGGACAATACGGATTTCCACCCAACCTGACCCTCGCGCGTGGCGCTAGTCCACGAACCACAGACGGTCACCGTGTTTCGTCAGCACGGCCCGCACGCCCGTCTTGGCGGATGCACCGCCTGCACACTGAAGCTGGGCAAAAACCAGGCTCCTACCCAGCCGGACCTACAGCGTTCCCGTTCCCAATCCTAGAGCGGGGCACGTGTTTGATATGTGTGGAGCGGGCCGTTTGCGGACGGGCGAGCTAAACCAGGAGATAGGGACAAGGACAAGGGCGGATGACGGAGAGTTGGAAGCGGAGGGCGTTACGAGATTGATGTTAGACGAGGTACCGAAAATGGATATGTCAGAAACCGTTGATGGGGTATGTTACACGGAGACATGCCTAATATACCTTGAACGCGGGAAGGGAACGCTGTAGGACGGCTGGGGTCATTGGCCAGACGCCCGCCAGACGCCCGTCTGCCGACGTTCCCACAGCCAGCTCAGAAACTCGACACGAACGCGGAATATCCAACAAATGCTCAGCGCCTCGACGTCGCGTAGCGTTCGGGTCAAGCGAACGTGGCGGCGAGGTCACACGCACTCTCTGAGGGTCACAGAAGGCGTGCAGACGTTGAGGTGACTCTAGAGGAGAGGGTAGGAGACTGAGTCGACATCAAGAAAATCACCAAGAAGATTCAAGATGTTGCACTAGCTACCTGCCGGGTGCTCCAAAACAAGCCACTCGTCGCTGACGACAGCCTCGTTACACGCTGAAGATTCTAACATGTATGCATACGACACCTTCGACGTCGAGATCAAGCACACAATCCCGTGCAATCGAAAAGCCCCAAGATGCCCTTTTACACCTGACATCCAGTGGCACGCTTATCCAACTAAATCACGGCGCCACTGCCGAAAGTCTTCGTTGTCTGAATGCGCTGCGGGCGACTTCTACTCTGGACCAGATCAAAAGGCTGAGACTGTCGCATACAGTTGACTGGAAGAAGCTACTCACCATCCATCCCGACACCCTCATGGAGGAGATGGGCTTGCACGTTTAGAGCTGCCCGCACGACGACGTGTGCTACGGCGTCTTTTTTTGGCTGTGACTATCTGGCGCGCACATTTCGCTTGACCCGAACGCTACGCGACGTCGAGGCGCTGAGCATTTGTTGGATATTCCGCGTTCGTGTCGAGTTTCTGAGCTGGCTGTGGGAACGTCGGCAGACGGGCGTCTGGCGGGCGTCTGGCCAATGACCCCAGCCGTCCTACAGCGTTCCCTTCCCGCGTTCAAGGTATATTAGGCATGTCTCCGTGTAACATACCCCATCAACGGTTTCTGACATATCCATTTTCGGTACCTCGTCTAACATCAATCTCGTAACGCCCTCCGCTTCCAACTCTCCGTCATCCGCCCTTGTCCTTGTCCCTATCTCCTGGTTTAGCTCGCCCGTCCGCAAACGGCCCGCTCCACACATATCAAACACGTGCCCCGCTCTAGGATTGGGAACGGGAACGCTGTAGGTCCGGCTGGGTAGGAGCCTGGGCAAAAACCCTCGGCCTCGCTCCGCTGCGCGACCGCTGAAGTGCGTCTACAGACACTCTGTCGCGAGAATACACGCTTGGCTTTGCCAACTGTTGAAAACTCCATACACCGGTATTTCCAAAATGTCCCCAATCGCAGTCGAAGGCATCCGCGCCGCTTCGTCACGAACCTTCTCAGTGCGGCAACGCAACCATACTGCGCAAAGTGCTTGGGGCCCCACAAACACGTTCCAAATACCGTTCGCGTATTGATGGAGACGAGCCTGAGCCTGGCAGTGGCGAGAACTTCGGGGCTCGAGTGCCTGTAATGATCTTGGCGTGACCCGAGTTGAGCGACCCGAAAGCGAAAGATGGTAGAGAAGTAAAGGACGTCAAGATCACGATAAACCTCGACGACAGACTAGATTTGCCGAATGGGTGTGAGGCCCTGGGATGCACGAGCGCTCAGCTTCTACACTGAGACAAGACGTACTCATGGATCTCAGGATGCGGTTCAGATCTCTGCAAGGTGGTCCACTCCGCGCGTTTGGCACCTATGCGCTCTGAGCACCTCAAGGCTCTGGAGGGGTTGAGAGAGGCTAGTAAGACGCCTACGGGGTCTGTCGCCTACAAACTTGTAGCGTCCGAGTGCACGCTAATCGACGCAGCTCGGCTTTCTTCAACACTCCAACAGATTGATCGCGTACAACGCAAGCTTGAAATTACGACGCGCCACCATACATATGCCGTTCGGGAAGTTACAGTATCTCCTCGTCCTCCTTCGACAGTCACCCCTCTACGACCGCCGCCATAGCATACGCAAGCTTCCAAACCGCGACGGCTTCGCGCCCCTCGCGCTCCCGTTCCCCGTAAGACCCGATCCACGAGAATCCATCGCGGGCGCCGTGGAAGCGAAACCGGGGTCGGTCGAGATCGACAGTCGGGGCGCATCCCCCAAGACCGGTGGAGCGGCCAGAGGTGCCACCGCCGTCTCGTTCTCCTGCTCGCGAGCAGGCTCCAGCGATGCCGCGCCCTGCTGCGCCTGCGTCCCCGGGAGCGCGTGGGGGAGCGCGACCTGCCGCTCGCGCTCGCGCGCCCTGTACACGCTCCCGTCGAGGACGAGGTGGAGGACGAGGGTGTCGAGCGCGCCGGGCGCGGTCGCGGGCGCGCGGCGGAACGCGAGCCCCACGGTGCGCTCCTCGGTGCCGAACGACCGCGTCGCGCCCTCGCCCCAGTCCGCGACGTGGTGCAGCGCGCAGTCGTGCGTGGTGTGGAAGTGGTCGTCGTACCAGTTCTCCGCGGTGAGCGGGAGGGCGAGCGCCCAGTGCGCGACGGGCCGCGCGGTCCCGTCGGCGCCGCCGCAGGTTCCGAGGGACATGTAGAAGCCCTCGGAGGAGGAGGAGTCCGTGAAGTTCATGTGGATCGTCATTGGCCCGTCGGGGCGCGCGGCGTCGTAAGTGAGTCCCGGGGGAGGCGTCATGAAACCGAGGAGGGCCATGCGGTTGATGAACCAGTTCGGGATGCGGAATGGTGGCGAGGGCGGCGTAAGCGAGTGCAGAGGGTGGAAGAGGGACAGCGGGTCGCGTGTTCGGTGCAAGGGCTGTTCTGGAGCGATGATGAAGTCATGCCAGTGCGCTTGATACGTCTTTCCGAGGAACTTGAGGTTGTAGAAGTCGTTGCCGAGCATGATGGTGCGGAAGTATTCGCGAATCCTGCCGCCAGCGCGCTTGAAGATGAAACCGACATTGTATGTCTTCCGAGAAGGGTCCTGGAGGATCTCTCGTGATATATGGAGGATGATACCGAGATGCTCGCCCCGGCTCTCGCAGAGCAATACGCCTATAGCGATCTCGGTGCCTTCAACCTCGAAGAAAGGGAGATGACATTCGAGTCCTTGGTGTGAAATCGAGAAGCGAGGCAGTTCGACCGTCTTGAACGGACCTTGCGTTCTGCGCACACCATCCAAGGGCTCATTCTGTAGAACAAGTCAGTCGAAAGCTCATTCATCATGAACCATAATGGGACCCACATGCTCAGGTTTCCACTGCCACGGAAGATAGGGTTGAATCGGGGTATTGAGCAGAGGGCTGAACGCGGTCCAATTCGCCCTGAGGAGTTGGTAGTCCTTTGGTGACCACGCCAACAGGTACAGGTGCGTCTCCGGGGTAGAGTTGTAGAAGCGATACATCTCGTCGGTGGTGAGCGGTTCCGCGACAGTAGTTGACCCTAGCCGATAGCCCCACGCGAAGAGGCTGGTGTCGCCCGAGACCTTTATGATCTCCTTTTGCAGACGCCGGAATGCGTCCTGGCCTTCTCCGTAGAGTGTCGGGAAGCTGACGTTGAAAATTCCCATGAGGCAGTACGCTTCGTCTTCCACGCGGGTCGTGCTGCGCGATGCCGCCCATGTCATGCGCTCCGCGACGGAAAGGATGCTGCACGAGACCTCCGCCTTCAGGACATCCATCCTGACGCCGGAGATCTGGTTGAGGAGGGCGGCGAGGTTGAGCTTGTCGCCGATGACGGTCCAGTCGCAGGAGAGAAAGATGACGATGAGAGGCGCGATGAGCTCTTGCAGCGTCCAGCCACGGGTGTGCCATCGGGCGCGTCGGAATGCGGAGTCCGGCGCGTCGAGTACGGTGTTGGTAGGGACGTCGGAGAGGTAAGCGTAGCACACCTCGGCACAGGTGTACCAGATGAACATGGAGTTGATGGCCTCGGAGAGCTCGGTGCTGCTTGTCTTGTCGATGCAGCAGGTGTCGATCCAGACCCAGCCGTAGCCGTTGCGCTCGGCCAAGAGGCAGCACTGGCGGATCTTGTCGCAGACGACGTCGCGGGGGTTCTCGTTAGTGATGTTGCATCGTTCGATGATCGCCTGGAGCTCTTGAAACGACTGCTCGCGCCCGGCTTCCCATGTATGGGATAGGATGGCGTATCCGCCAGAGACAAGTCCCGGTGTCGAGAAGAAGCGTAGCTCAGCTCGATCGGTGCTGAGCAGCCACATTTCGTTCACTGAAAGGTTACGTTAGCCCTCAGACAGATTCGTTGTGTTCGCTGCAAGAGAGAACGTACCCCAGCAGAGACCGCTTTCTGGTCAGGCAGACTGTCGACGTGGATGGTGAGAGACAAGATGCAACGAGGAGCTGTCAAGACTCCCTGCGGCTTGGGCATTCACTGTCATTCACTGGGAAGACTGTCAAGGCCGACCAATCAGCGCTCAGCACTTCAACCATTACGTAATCAGCCCCACACAAGGCGAGGCTGCCCCCTTCCCAGACCTTTATCCGCTTTTCCCCCTCATCCCTCCCGCTTGTCCTCACTCGCTGTGCGCCTGAGACATCGATTCACTTCCCCGCCTTACTATTCTCTTCGATGCTAGTATGCTGTCCGTTTGGAACCGATCGTGATCGAAGGTGAAGTACGCTCTCAAGCCTGGCATAGCTTGGGTTGCTGTGCGGGAGAAATGGATGCAATGGTACAAAAGGTACGGGGATACTCCGCAACTCTGCGGCTATGATGCACAAACTGTTCCCTATTACCTGACGTTGTCACGTCTTCAAGGGCGTGGCGATCGAGTGTCGAATCTCATCCACATCTCTGAGCCCTAATTCTATGTTCAGGTCTTTTCTTTTGTCCGCGATACTTACTAGTTTCTCCCCTCCACAGACATGAAGAGTATGATGGCTGGGCTATGCTCCCCATGGTAGGTTTATCTTATATTCACGCCGCGTCTTCTGCATTTCCTCGTCGAACCTGATGAACCGGTGTTATCGTTATACTTTTTAATGACGAGAGGGCGTGCTTTGCTGCATATGTTCCGCTCTTGTGTGATCAGCCCTTCGGGGCTCTATCTTCTCTCTGATATCCAAATGCGCCGTTAGTTTCGGGACATGTCTACATGATGATACTAACACGAGCCCTTTCCAGATACCATGCGTCGATACATCGCAATGTACATGTATAGTACAACAAGCGATCATGCCAATACATCACGCTTTGCTACCTTCCCCAACCCAAGTCCTCATCACCTTGAACACCCTCCTCTCCCACGCCGTCGCCATCCCGAACATCCTCTTCCTCCACTCCGTTGTCGACGCCCTCTTGAACTCCTCCGACCCAAACCCGTCCATCGACGCATACTCATGCAGCGCCAGCAACCGCGGCGTCCCCTCCGCCCCCGGCACCAGCTCCCCCGGCGCCGCGCGCGCGCCCGTCGGCGCTGACACCTCGCGGAGGACGAACCGGCGCGAGCGCCGCCACCCGGGGACCGCGGCGAGCAGCGGAAGGTGCTCGTCCGCGTACCAGCGCGCGAGCTCCGCCTCGCGCTCCGCCGGGACCGCGATCTCGACCGCGATGAGGAACGGGCCCGGCGTGAGCGGGTCGTAGTCCGCGCGGCATTCGTTGCCCGCCCCGGCGGAGCGCGCGTGCGCGGGGAGCGTGAGCGGGGTGAACCCTGGGATGGGCGAGGGCGCGGATGCGGACGACGGCGGGGGCGGGGGGAGGGCGTCGTACGTGCGGCGCGCGACGAGGGCCATGCGGCCCATCACGTCGCGCTCGCGCGCGGAGCGATTCGCGGGGAGGGCGGTGTACGCGGGCTCGTCGAGCGCGGCGCAGGAGGTGAGGTCGTACGTCGCGAGGTACGTGGGCTGCTTGTCGTCGGTCGCTACCCAGCGCGTGGCGTTGTGGAAGAAGGGGAGGGGCGTGCGGAGCGGGACGTGCTCGTTGTCGTACCAGTCCGTGAACTCGGCATTGGTGACGTTGGGACCCGTCTCGGTGAAGACGTAGAGGAGGCCCGTTGGGACAGTAGGTGTGGACATCGCGACGGTCGTCGGCGTCGGTGGTGATGGTGGGAAGGGGATGAGATGTGCAGGGCCTGTCCCGGGCAATATATGTAAACGGACGAGGGGCAGGACCGTGGTGTTGATACATAATCTAGACTATCTTCAGAGTCTTGTCTCACGAGGGTGACCACGCGCGAGCTTGAGCGGGAACGTGACCATCCGGACCGGCGAAGCATATTACAGCAGATTGCAAAAATGATGAGAATCGGCGCTTTTATTTTCGGGCTGTCGCGACGTCGAAAGTTCGCGCCCAAAGTTCCGACGCATCTTCCGGTGCATCTTCCGAGGCTCAGGCGCCGGTGTCCGCCTATATCGGGAAGCTGGTTCCCGCGCCGCGCCTGCGCTGCTGCGACGCGAGGTCGAGCTGCCGCGACGCGTCTGCACACAAGTTGTTCCTTCACTGCTGTAATTCAGTAATCATGTCTTATTCACCTATGTTCTACCACAAAATCAGCGAAGGTCTCAAACAAATCGTGCTCGATCTCTGGGATCCTGGCTGGACCACCGACGACCTCTGCAAAACCTGCGAGGCCGACTTGTACCGATGGCACGAACGGTGTTAATCCCGTTCCACGGGTGGCACTGGTACCTTGCACATCACCTATGCATACATCCTCAGCCTGTCGAGGGCTATACGTATGAGCAAAGTGAGAAACCCACGAAAGGCTGCCCCTTTTGCACGTGAAGACGATCGTGTAGCTCGCGCAGCGGCAGGTGAAGGCTTACTTCAGGCCCGTCCTCTGAGCCTGATTCCAACTCGTCAACCTCAGGCGAGCTTCAGCCCTCTTTTAATATATCGTCTTCCTCGTCTTCAATCGTAGTGAAGAGGGTGTAACGAACACAGTGTACTAGAACAAGGACGTTGCATGCCAAAGGACGCGCCGCAGCAGCGCGGGCGCGGCGCGGGAACCAGCTTCCCGATATAGGCGGACACCGGCGCCTGAGCCTCGGAAGATGCACCGGAAGATGCGTCGGAACTTTGGGCGCGAACTTTCGACGTCGCGACAGCCCGAAAATAAAAGCGCCGATTCTCATCATTTTTGCAATCTGCTGTAAGCTACATCGACCATCGCATGGCCAATAGCGGATGTTCATGCTGTTCTCTTCAAGACTTCGCGGAAGTTGCGAACATCGTCGTCTTCTCTGTGTGGCGATCAACACTGCAACATCAACTGCAGCGTCGTGGTGGGACCACATACGAGATGAGTCCGCGCTCGAGCTGACTTGCGGTGAGCTCGCGCAGGTAGGGCAGCAGTATCTTATCGTATTTGTACGTTCCTTTGTACTGAAGGTGCTGTCAGTGAATTGACTCTATCCTGATGCAAATTGTCACTGACCTTGAGTAAGGCCGGATCCGATTCTCTGTGTACTTTCTCCAACAGTGCCGGGATGAGAGGGCTATCCGCGAGGTCTTCGATCTTATGCAAGACTGGATGCCTATTAGCAAACGAACAATCAATGTTGTTTCACGGCGAGTGTTTGCTGAGGGCGTACACGCCGAAGATGATGGCTCCGGTCCGCGGGAGCTTACGGAACGTCTGGTGATCGACGCGCAAGTAGAGGTCTTGGGGATGAACGTGGGGCTCAGGGGGTGCGTCCGCAATGTGATCTATTTGAACGATGGGTCAATGCGTTATACTAGTAGATGTGTTAGGTGGCTAGTGACGCACGCCAGAAGAGGTTCTCGTCATCCACGATCATCCAGCTCGATCGTTCGAACGGCTGATCGGGTTTGAACTTCTTGAGAGTACGCTCAACGCTCAGCAGGAGCTTCTCATTGAAATGGGGCACTGGCGCGTGCAGCTCTCGAAGAGGTTTTCCGATCGTCTCTGACAGTAGGTAGGATCCTGTGTTAGCACAGCGGAGGTGTGAGCACAAGGCACCAAAGTCATCACGCCGTCGAACGTACCAGGGAATGCAATGAGCCCGCCGACTAGATATATCTGGCCGTCTTCGCGTTCCCTCGACATGAGGAAGTCGTCTTGTACCAAGCTTTTACAGCTGGTTCAGCTAACCAAAAACGCGGCGAGAAATTGGACACGCTCACCATGAGATGATGCGCAGAGCTTCAATGCCAGTCGCTTTGTTGAGATCTTCGAAGCTGGTGTTCGTCACGAGATTAACGATACTGTTGGCCATGTCGGAACGGAAAAGAGTAGGGTATCGTTGAGGCAGGTATCTAGAAAGCTCTTCCAGGAGCTCTCTGCATGCTTCGTCGTTCTCTGGCAAAGAGTCGAGAACATTCCTCCCTGCATAGCCGCGAGGTCAACATCGTCTCACAGAACCGCACCGGCATTTGGTGTCTTACCTTGTGACTTGATCACTTCCGCTTTGTCCTCAACATACCGCCGATAGTGTTTGTCTATCTCGATCCAGTTGTTTGGATGCATAGGCTGGTGAGCCATAGTCTGTTCGAGTCTCGAAGTGAGCTCATGCGCCGATGAGTCTCAGGTCAATAAACCACTACCTGGAAGTACGGGTATCGCACGGTCTTGTTGACATACAGAAACGACCGCATTCGTGCAGTTTTCAGATCGAAGTCTATACAAGCGTCGGGTTGTAGCCGAGATCCGCAGGCGTCCTGTTTGCTCCTCGAGCCGACAGAGTCCGGTGCGTACTCTCCGGAATCGATATGCTCACGCTGTGAAGTAGCCCTTTGGAGGTCGACCCTTGGACGAAATAAGAAGTGGAGTAGCAACACCGCTACAACTACCAGGGAGTTCCCTAGCCAGAAGCTCATCGGTAGAGATGTCAAAGTGACCCCCATAGCATTGGCGACTGTACTTGAATATTTGAACTGAAGAGGGTGTTGTTCCCGGTATATGGAAGGTGCAAGATCGACTTAAATACGCTTGGCTGTCAGCTTCAGATGTGAGGCAAAATATGTAAAGACACGCACATAGTAGGCTCTGACGAGAGGGTCAGAGAGAAACGCAATTATTCAGGCTGTGGGGATCGAACACGCGAACACAAATGAGTTCTCACGCCTTTTCGTCGAGCCGCCCGTAAGACAGGAGATCATGCATGCAGTCCGAAGACGACTCGGAGCATACAAAATCCTTTACGATGGAACTCGATGGTACCAGGAGCCGCCGGACACCCACAAACAGTGAGATGCATGCGTCAACTGCGATTCATTTGCTCTGAAGCCACGGCCCAGTGTTTACAGGCCACGCCGGTACCGCGGTTCACCGTTCAACTCGACTCCGACCACTGTTTCGAAACCCCGACCGCCGAGCGAACGTTATCCACGTGCGGAAACAAGCGTTCCAAAAGCTCAAAGAACTCGACCTTCCGCAGACTGAAGTCCTGCGCCTTCTCGATAATGCACGTCTCGACCTCCAGCAACTCCAGCAGCGAGCGGCCCGTGCGCGACCCTTCCTCTCCGTCCTCCTCCGCCCCCAGCTCCTGTTCTTCCTTCAGCGCCGTGTCCAGAGCCTTCTTCCGCCAGTGAAGATGGCTCAAGCGCAGCTCGCGCAGCCTGCGCGCATCGCGCGCGATGCCAACGAGCGCACCGATCCCGGGGACCCATCGGCGCGCGGGAGCGCGGCCCTGCGACAGGCGGAGGCGGAGACGGGCGAGGCGCGGCCACGCTTCCACGAGCGCGGCGACGCTCGCGTCGTCGGCCATGGAGAAGATGGGGGAAAAGTGCAGGTCGACGTCGGTGAGGCCGGTGAGGCCGGTGAGGAGCGGCTCGAGCCATCGCGTGAAGGGCGGCGGCTTGGCTCGGAACTGGATTCTTTGCTTCGACGGGGCGAACTCGAGCGTGAAGGCGGTGAGGGCGGGGAATGTGTGCGCGATCGCGGATGCGATGGGCTCGTAAACGACGGGCGAGTGGCTCGACAGGCGGTGATTGACGCGGAGCGTGCGCACAGCCGGGGTACGGAAGATGGTGATGGCGTCGCTGTGCCACGCGAAGTCGACGATGGAGAGGGACTGTAGAGTGGGGTGCGTGCATGGCTTTGTACTGGGGCGTTCCTCAGAGTGATCGACGATGAGCGCGATCGTCATTTCTTCGAGCTGTGTGACCTTCTCTAGCTGGAAATTGCTCAGATTGTGGACCGGGATGGCGTGGCTGGGTGGCAGCCGGCCGAGGTCGATCACCTTGAGCGACCCGTAACGCCAGAACTCGTAGAAGAGTCCATGGATGGGAGCAGCGGCGGGTGTCGATGCAGTGAAGTGTGTGAGAGAAGGGGCGAGATGAGCGAGTTGCCGTCCAAGCGTGAGCATCATGCCGTCCCACAGTTGCTGTGAATACCACATTGACTGATACATACTGAGGTGGAGTCGCCGCAGAGTGGGCGGGATGAGGAGGAAAAGGTCATTATCTGTTGCGTTAAACATGTTCCACTCCAAGGATCGTAAAGCCGGGAGTAGAGGGGTATGCTTGAGCCGGGAGAGTTCTTGCCACACAGGCGGCATGATGTAGACAGGCTCGTCGTGTTCAGCGGCCGATCCTGGAAGGTATTCGGGAGCTATGACTTGCACCCAGACGGAGTAGCGACAGAATGACTTCAGAGCAGGTACGCCAATAGTCCCAACATAGTTCTAGAGGCTGTTTCTCAGCGTGAAGAACCGCGATATGCAGAATCCACTCACTAAGGCGGGGATCCCTGGAAGACTCGAAGGCTCTCCGTCATATGATGTCCCTTGCATATGAGACACATAGCCGGTGTCAACTTGTAGTTCCAGCAAATCGAGCAACGGTTTGACGGATGGAAGTCTTCGCCAGAGTATCCGATTTGCTACCTCGTTGAAAGCCTTTGAAACGCGAGCGCATTGGGCAAGGTCAAAATAGCGTTTCGCCTTGGGATCACCGACGAGGGGCCCTGCCGTTTTCAGGAAGACTGAGAGAATTTCCAGCAGGACGTCGTAGTTGAGAAGAGCTGACGTGGCCATTATAACTGATGGTCTTGGCAGAGTTGAAAGGATGAGAGTTACGGGCGCTGGCATGCACTTAAGCGCCACACCGGCCGAACTCGGCTGTGAGTATCAAATCCTGAAGATACTCGGAGCTTGAAAACATAATCATCTCCAGATCAATATGCGCTCCATATTAGTATTTATGACGCAAATGGTGGCCATGGGTTGGACCCCAGTTCAGTGTAGTACAAAGATGTCTGAAACAGTACAGGTGCACGGAGAAGAGCTACCACGTAGTACTACAGCTGAATTCGCGTGAGTACGAGTTACTCCTGACACAGCCTCTCGACCATGGCTCTCGATCGATCGCCATAATGTTCACTTTCGCAGGACGAGCGCACTAGTATACGCCTCTTCGCTTCATCGAAGCCGACGTTTGGTGCGTTTGAGCGACCAAAGTCTAACCTCGACTCCATCTCAATCGGATCCCTGTGGCAGCGTCGCGCGGAGCTGCTTCATCTCATGCTGTATGACAGCGACCTCAGCCATGACGGCTGCCAGCTGCGACTCGAGCAGGTTGAGGCGGAGACGGATGAGCTCGCCGTCCATCGAGGGTGGGCGATCGGAGGGATACTTGGGAGACGTGCAGGTGACCTCCGTCGAAGAGGTGCAGCGGGACGCTACAGAGGGAGCGGAAGCAGACGAAGTCGGCGCCTGTGGGCTGCGTGCGGGATGTGGTGTGAGGAGATGCTCGAGAGTGACGGGGTCGAAGTACGGTGTGTGGACGATACGCGCCCATATGGGATCAACGTACGGGACGGCGCTCGGCCGTCCATCGCAGAAGGTCATGAAGCTGAGGAGGAAGTCGCGATCGTAACTGCGGTCGACATCAGTGAACTTCCCCATGCGCACTTCCAGGAGGACCACGCACCTGATGACGGCCGGGTGTAGGCGTGGCGCGGGCCGAGGAACGTGCTCGGGGTACGGCACCTCGTCAAGGTTCGTGATGGGCCGTGCATGCGCCAGCAGACGCGCAAACGACGACATCGCGAATGTCGCCAGAGGTGCGTCGTCCACGACTGTGCTCGACAAGTCCAGCAGGGGCGCGACGTTCTGCGGCGCGTGGCTCGCGCTAGTCCCTCCCGCGTTCGAGGACTCGGGGGACATCCCCATCTGCTCCAGCCACTGCTGCTCCAGGTCTTCTTCGTCCGTGCCTTCCTCGTTCTGCTCCAGTGCCGCCTGCTTCTGCGCCAGACTCTCCTTGATGTAAACGTTGAGATCGACCTCGTCGGATATTACCACGACCGGCGGCGGAGGCGGCGCGACCACCTCGTCCGTGAGCTCGGGTGGAGAGCGGGCTGGGGAAGCAACCGGCTTCTCTGGCGTGGCGGCGAAGGCGGAACCGGGCGTGAAAGTGGGCGCCGTCGCACTTAGCGCCAAGGGCGGATTCGGCGAGGCGGGGCTGCTTGCGGCGGTTGCGGCGGCCGCAGAGAAGGGCGTCGCGGTGTTCGCGGGGGCCGCGGGCGACGAAGGTTGCGCCGTCGGAGACGTGGCGGTGGAGATCGTGCTAGGTGACCATCTGGGCTCGTCATCCCAGCTGACCTCGTCGACGGCCGGCGTGAAGATCGTGGAAGGGGATGGGGATTGGGCTTGGACGTCGTCCTCGTCGGCAGCTGGAGGCTCGATTGGCCGTGGTTCTGCATACCGCCGGCATCAGTATGTGATGTGGATGACGGAACACAAGATGATACGCACGCCAGTAGGGTGGCGGTTCAGATCGTCTTTCCGTGACGAGCGACAGCGGGACCCCGCCTGAGGTTGGTCTTCCTCGGCTTGGGCTCCATGCGGTGCCTCTGAACGTGAACCCGCGTCCCCGGCTTGGACTCCATACGGCGCCCCTAAATCCGCGTCCTAGGCCGGTCCCATCGGAGGGCGCGTCACCAGCGGGGGGAAGTTGTGATTTGAACCGTACCAGACTTGCCGCCTTGCTTTCCCTCCGACTGATCAGCTACCTGACTGTATGACGCCATTTCATAAACCGGTTTCCTGAGACAGCTAAGCAGAGGCAAGGGCGTGGAAGATCAGTATCAAGCGGCGAGGGAAGCCCGGGAGATGAGTGCTGTTAAGGACCGCCCCAGTGTGCTGCAGCAGCACAATCAAAGTTCACCGCAGAGGCCACGAGACCGGTGCGTGCCCATGGCCTACAGACGTCGACGTGGGAACGGTGCGTCTGGAGTCATCGCCCGAAGCGAGCCAAAGGACATCAAGTCATACATTACATTCGCTGTCGTTGCACTGCGTGTCTATCGTCACGTACAAGCGTCGTCGTCGTAACTAAAAAATCAACCGTCGCACCTATTGCCGTCATCGTCCTCCATCACCACAGAGCGATGGAAGCGGCGATCCCACAGCAGCCAAGGCAAGCGCTGACGAAGATACTGATCTCGATCGGGACCGCCGTCCAGGCGTAGGTGAGAATGCCAATGAGCGCGAGGAGGAAGCCGAGGGAAGACATGCCCGCACACACAGAGTGTGCGCGCTCGAGTGTGCTGACCATGTCTTTGAGTGTCTCGATCGCGGTGTCGATCGCCGTCGGAGGTTGCGGGCCTTGCTCCGGATCCTGATCACGTTTGCCACCATCGCGGTAGACTTGTCTTCGCGCGCGCGGCTGCGGCGTCCGCAGCCGCACAGGTACCGAAGCGGGTGGCTACGATAGACACTGACGAGGCCGCGGAGTTCCGCGTTGACCTGGTCCGGGACAGAGGCGATAGCTTCCGTAAGCGCGCTGAAGTCCACGGGGCTGGTCGGGCCCAACGCAGAGCTATTGAGTTGGAGGGTCGACGATGCCCATGGTTGGACCCTTGCGCGCGTCGTCTTTCGGTCGACCGTCTGTCACGTTCCGTCAAGGGCTTTCGGTATAAGGTCGTCGTTGATGAGGGTCGCGTTTGAAGCCTCGCGTTCGCGCCTTCGTGCACCGTTCGCGGGGGCGTCGCGCATCGTCTCGGTATGACTTTCTGCTCTGCCCGCTCTGCGTCGTTGAGACGGTAACGAATCAAGACGAACGACCCGATGTAGGCGACGATGGCTGACAACAGAGAGACACGTGAGTCTGACGGCCAATCTGAAGGAAGCAAAGGAAGGCGTCGTATGATTCAAGAATGGTTGCAGACCGACAACTTCGTCAACGACTCGCATGGGACGAACGGCATGTTTGAAGTGCATATACCCCTTCAACGAATCCATGAATCGAGAACGACAGGGACGACCAGGATGCATATACAAAGCACAGTGATTGAAAGAGGTGTGTATGGCCTCATGCACGGAAGCGAAGTAGGCAAGAAACCAGGGCAAAAGGATCATGAACTCACAGGCACAGACATGGAAGATGATTGCACCTCCCAGGCTCCCATTGATGACCTCATCTCGTACGGACCATCCGCTAAGGTTGTCGCTTCGAGTGTTCGAAGTGAGGGAGAACAGCAAGCTGTCGATGGAGACGAAGAATGTTGTCTGCAAGCAACGGTCCCTATTGAGACCGCGAAGAGTATGTAAGTATGCGAAAAACTCACCACGACTGCCTGCTTCTGCAACCTGTCCAGCCACACCTGTACCACAGAGAGCAACGTTTGCTTGATCACATCGTCGGGTGATGCGGGGCCGGATCCGGAAGCTGTACGAAGTAAAAGGACTGGTCAGATGGGGGCTGGAAGAAAAGGGCATGGTGAACGGACCCGGGGCGAGGGCAACGGCTGCGCGGGGGCTGAACATGGGAGGTGGTGGCAAGAGAGGAAGAGCAGGCAAATCGGGTGCGCAGTGGGGCGAACTTCGGGGCACCTTGCCACTTTAGAGCACCAGTGTGCTGATGCCTTCCGTCATGTGTGGGTCCGACGACCTTCGGAGCTTCGAGTTGTCCATTAGATAAACGTTTTACGAGTGCAGGGAGGAAGCGGAGAGGAGGTCAGGAAATAGTGTGGGTTTTGGAGGAGTGTGCAGTGGTCGTCAAAAGTGAGGGTTCTGCAGGTCGTCGCTTTCAAAACTCGACTGACGAATGTCCCAGCCTTCAGGCGGAGAAGCAATTGACTGCAGACGCCGACCGTGCCGGAGGCCCGGATCAATCGGCAAGACCCGTGGGCTTGATGAACTCCGCTGAGTCTCCGATCATCTGAAAATACAAGAGCTGATCTCCAACCGCGAAGTCACTCCAGCTTACGATGATGGAAGTACTTTGAACGACTCTTAAGTATGGTGGTTGCATTTTCCTCCGAAGCATGCTTACATGAAATATTCACGGTCTCAGCAGGTCTCTTATTGTTTCAACCTATCGACTTTCAAGTTGATCGTACCAGGCTCCAGCCGACGTACATGCCGTAGCCCATCCAGTAAGCCGTGAAGCTTGAAGCTTCACTCGGTTCTGAACGACCCACAGGCTGTAAAAGCTGATGTGGCTGCTCAACACCTCCACGGTAGAACTGAAGTTCTTCGACATTCCAGAACAAGTTCCGGAGGATACGCCATTCTCTCCCACGTATGGTCTCGAGACAACGAGGACACCTTCCAGGAAGTAGGGTCTATCCCAGAACGACTCCGCCACATCAAGAAGCTACATCCTCTCGGGACACTCTGAGCTTGATCCAAGCTTCTGCAGTGCTGTCTCGTCAGGTGCAGCGAATCGTCTCAGCCTGCCCGCGTCCTAGCAGCTGTGCTGTATGCTTCACCTGAGCAGCAGTGCAAGTAAATGTCGCAAATTCGAACACCTGGATCCTCGCGATTCGTCTCTCCTAAAGTCCGTGATTTCTCAAACTCGCACACCGACACGGGTACACATGGGCGTGGTGTGACACCTGTTGCATCGACAAGACCAGCAGCGCCGAACTCACTGAAACAATCAACTCCATGTTTCGGTATTACCAACTTCCGATGTATGTTACGTCTATCTCCACGACGTCCCTCCAGGATCATCGGACCGGACTTCGCCCGGAGCAAGTGGCACACACGAGGGTGGACCTTACAAGAACTCATTGCCCCCAAGGTCGTACTGTTCTTCGCCTCCGACTGGACATTGATTGGCACCAAGTTCGAGCTCGCGCGAAGCCTCGAGCGTATCACTCGCATCCCCCAGCCAGTCCTCCAGCTCAACCAGGACATTACCACGGTGTCAATCGCTGCGCGGATGTCGTGGGCCGCACGCAGGGAGACCACGCGAGTAGAAGACGGGCATACTGTCTGTTCGGTTGTTCGGGATCAATATGCCGACGCTATACGGGAAGGCAGCAACGCCTTCTACAGGCTGCAAGAGGCGATCATGCGCACGTCGCCGACATGTCGTTGATCGCTTGGGGCTACTTCACCAGTGTTTCCAGCATGGAAGAAATCGCTCTCGCAGCGGAGGTAAACGCGAGCCACCCGCAGCGATATGGACATCTCTTTGCACCGGGGCCACAGCAGTTCAGGTTCCAGAGCTGGACCGAGTTCGACGCTTCGCACGACATACAATGCGCGGAAGAGGTGCGTCACATCACCTCCCCCACTGTCCGCTGCATAATCTAATCGCGGCCACCCATAGCTGCCTCGGGGCCGCAAATCTCCTCCCCGACCCCACACCAAGTCCGCGGAGTGCCAACCTTCGAAGGTATCACCCCTCACGGCGTCCTCGCCGTTCTCCCCATGGTCGACATCAACCCCACCTGCGCCCTCGCCGCCTTCTCGTGCCGCCGCTTCGAAGGCCCGGTCTGGCTCATCCTCCACCGCCACCCCTCCGGCACGCACATCAACGGTCGCGACCTCTACTGCTGCTACTCCCCCGGCCTCCTCCCCATCTCCGAGCGGCTGCTCGCCCCTTCCCCTAGGCTCGAGAGCGCGCTCGACGGCCGCTGGGCCTGGCGCCACGTCTACCTCTCCCTCGCACCACCGCACCGCTCGGAGCCGGACGTGGTGCGCGCGCGCGTCGGGCAGCTGAACCGCGGGCGCGCACCGCCGTTCCGCCTGCGGATGGGCGAGATCGCGGCCGTCGGCGCGTGGCGGCTCGTCGTCGTCGGGCTGCCCCTGCGGCAGCGATGAGGGGCGTGTGGACGGGCGCGGAGCCAGCGACGCTCGTCTTCGAGGGCGAGTGGGGCATCCGGATGGTGGTCGTGCTCGGGCGGTGCGCGGGCGACGCGGGACCCGGCGGGGGCCCGCACTACGCGGTGGTGCGTCTTTTCGATGCGGAAGCCACGCAGGAAGAGGTGCAGCCGGACCCTCCGCATGCTCATGCGTGTCAAGACGACCACATCGAGCTCTGGACGGAGCAGTCGAAGAATTTTAGAGCGATGGTGAGCGTGTCTGGGTGGAGTAACAGTGGGACGTATGACTTGACACAACGGGTTTGGTTCACGAAGAGCCTCCTCGTACCGGGAGAGCATACATTAGAGCTTCACATTGAGGCCATGAAAGCGGTCGCATACTCGCTCAAACGATCAGGTTTTGCCACTTGATACACATGGCGTGCTAGTCACAAACATCATTGATTCGTGCGTCAACTAAGCACCAATCTCATGGTCAAAGCCCAGCATAACCCCACGGATCATCAAAGTCCGAACTCGGGCACCTATCAATCACAAAGTCAGACCCAGTATATCCCTCGACCGTCACGGAACAGACCAGCATCCGTGGTTGGGGGAAGACTCACTTCAGGTATCAGCGACGTGGCGCGACATGTGTCCGAGGTGCAACACCAACGTCGACCCGGTCCCGTCTTGTAAAGGCGAAAACCAGAGGCTCTGCGAGAGCATCTGGTCGCGCTTCCGGAACCTGACTAAGCTTGTGAACGTCTTGGAGAGCCCAGGCCAAGAGGCGATGTGGTCGTCTGCGCATGCATGGGAGCTTGATGGAGCGACTCTCGGGTCGACTTTCGAATCGTGAGGATGAAAGTTGATCGAGGCGTAGTGAGGATATTGGGGAGCGGTCCCGTGCCCGGTCGCCCTTGAGCGGCGGGTACCATCTGTGTTGCTAGTCCCTACGGCCTGTGTGCAGACCCCCAGAGTGACCGTCATCCACGGACCCTGTAGGCCCGCTCGGTAAACCACCATCGCAGGAGGTTCACCAGTCCACGGAAACGGGACTTTGGTAGCGCCAACAAGGACCCAAAGCTTGAGTGTTGACGAGACGGAGTGAGGCGAGATGAAGAATGGCCCGTGGCTAATGTGGCTTGTCAACACTCTTGGAATACTTGGTTCTGCGCGGTAAGATGGGCGCATAGAGATGTAGATGTCGCGCATTTCCCAGGCCGCTGATGGTGGAGAAGTTTTGTGAAGTTGGGCTTGGAAGGCTGCGCGGGGATGAAGGAGCCGCTGCGACTTTTGGTGCTTCACGACTGAAGAGCAGCAAGTGTATGTTTGACGGCCGCCTACGCGCTCGCCGTCTTCACATCGACGCAACACCATCCAGAGAGGTGCCGAGGTGTTCTCGTTGAAGCAAAAAGGTCGACGATAGAGTACCGCTCATTGATGTCGAGCATTTTGAACCGCGCGAGCACTCCTGAAGGAGTAACGGTCTCGAATCTTGGGAATCCTATGAGATCCGCGTCCCCGTCGGACATGATATATGGATTAGTGCGCCCGATCTGTGGAATGAACTATCAGGGTCGACGTCCTAGGGATAAATTTGAAACACACTCACCTGGTGGCGACTATGCGGGTGATATCGAGTTGAGTTGTGATCCATGAAGCACTTGACAGAGGGTGCGAGAAGGTAATTGTAGGCGCGCAGGCCCTCGGACCATCCATTGGCAATCTTTACGATGTTTGTGAGGTCGCCGACAGCTTCCCCTCGACCCCAGGCGACCAAGGAAACGTCGACGGACGTCCGCATGATTTCCTCCTGTAGGCGATAGAACGCGTTCCGACCCTCTCCATAAAGAGGGGGCAGATTGACCCCAAAGAGCCCGAAGAGACAGTATGCTTCGTCTTCGACACGAGTGGTCTCGCGGCCAGACGCCCACGCCATCCGTGCCGCGATGCTTACGTCCGTGACGTCCGCTTCAAGGCGCAAGACAGACTCTGGGATCCCAGTCGCGATCTGCAAGTTTCGCGCGAGCTCGTACTTGGTCCCGATCCGCCGCCACTCCGCAGACATGAATACGACCATCTTCGGCGCGATGAGCTCCTGCAGCGTCCAGCCGCGTTTGTGCCAGCGGCTGCCGTTGATGCGCGTGGAGAGGTCGCGTGTCCGGCGGCTGAACGTGACGTCGTGGAGGTAGACGAAGCAGAGATCGGCGAGCTGGTAGTAGCGGAACATGGAGTTGATGGCCTCGGTTAGTTCGGCGCTGCTGGTCTTGTCAATGCAGCATGTATCGGCCCAAGCCCAGTGGTATCCGTAGTCTTCGGCCACGGAAAGGAACCGCCGAATCTTCTCGGAGACGTAATGCCGTGGAACGTCCCAGTGTGTGTGACTGAAAGGCAACTGCTCGTCCAAAGACCAGAGCCGGGCGGCCGGAAGGGTGAAGTCGAGAGCTGACACCGGGCGACCGGGGTGTAAAGATCCAGGGCCCGAATGGACGCGCATAAGTGCGGAATGCACTGCTTGAGCGGCAACATTCTCCACGAAGGCACGGAGGTCGTCAACCGGCTGAGGAAGTGTCGTTATTACCCTGGACGCTGCCGCCCCTTCGCGCGTTTTGCACAGCTCCGAATGCATTCGCAGTTGCTGGAAAGTGTCTTCATCACTAGCATTGCCCCAGACATGGGAGAGTATGACATATCCCCCAGAAACATCTTCAGGGCCAGTGAAGAACCGGAGCTCCGCGGTGTGGGTGTTGAGGAGCCACATGGCCTGCGATGTTTCTAGATCGAAGGCTTGAAAGGCATGAGTAAGCATTGAATGCATCGATGTGACAGGAAAACACATACCGACTACTCATGAACAAGAGAGGTATTGTCCGAACCCATATGAAATGGTATAGAGCAGAAGTTGGCTGAAGTTTTTTGGCGCGCGTGGGCGTGGCATATCCACCCCGCGTCAACTCCGCCCAAAGTCGAATGTAAGCTGTAGCGGAGCTTCAATCACACAACACTCAGACCAGTGCACAGCTCGCTGTTGTTCAATTTTTCAATCTCCATTGTGCTTCATGAAGTAAGTATTCCAAGCTCTTCGCATTCCTGACTACGGTCCAGTGTTGGCGCGATAGGGAGAGAACCTCGATTTCTAGCCAAGTACGCTCAAGTTTCCAAACATTTTAACGTCGTTGCCACCCCAGTGCTATGAAGAAGGGCTCGCGCCGCGCCGACGGTTAGAAAGAATGTAGATAGACACGGTATACGGCTGGAAGCCTTTATGACAAAATAGACTTAGACAAGAGCCACGACATGGCGATACAGCATCCACGAGGATTAATCACAGTCACTGCGCATATAATGACGAAATAACAAGAACTACCAGTGCAGAAACGGAACAAGTTTATAAATCACATCAGCAGCGCGACGAAGTTGCTTGGGAAGACGTTGTGGCCTGGCTGCCGTCGAGTGTCGTCCAGCAGCTCTCCGCTCCACCAGCCGTCTGGGGGAGTGGCGGTGACGGCGATGATGTCGCCCTTCTGGAAGTCGAACTCTTCTTCCGTCGTGGCAGTGTATCCAAATATCGCTTGTACTGGCGACAGCGAAAACTGCCATCAGCAACCCTGCGCGCGAGGTAGCATTGAGTCTCAACTAGTACGTACCGTAGAAGAGCACCGGGTTGCCGTCGTCCGTGTACTGGCCGGTCGGAGGCGGGTTCCCGCTCGGGGGCTGTGGTGACGAAGATGGGGGTATAGGTTCGTGCTGGGCAGGGTGCTGCTGGAGCGGTGGCTGCTGCGGTTGCAAGTGCTGAAGTTGGGACGTGACTTGAGGAGGGGCTGACGGGGCGCTAGATACCGAACCCACCACCTGTGAGGGCTGTGTGGCGTGGGCCTGGCTGTACGCCTTCTTCGGGTCTAAATCGTACAGATGTCGTTGTCCCGGCGGTGGAGAGCTGTACGCGGGCGCAGGCGTTGATAGATTCGAGGGCTGAGGATGAGGGTACTGCGGTTGGGGTTGCAGCGGTACTGGTGGTGGCGGCTGTTGCGGCGGGGCATGCGGCGGATGCGACGGATGCGAACCGTTCGAGCCTCCGGAGTAGCGTTGTTGACTGCTTGGGGATTGAGGTATCGAGCCTCCACCTTGAACTGCCTGGGGAGGGCGTGCCGTGCCGTTGCGGCCGTTGACCGCGGATGGTTGAAACTCGGTCAGTGAATTTATCGACTAACACAAACATGCGTCAGCGCCTATCTTCGGAAGTGAGAGTTAGAGTGAGCTACCTGTGAGACGGTGCCATTGGTAGTGCCATTCGGAGGAGACTGTCGAAGAGTGGTAGGGGGAGTGGGAGGTGACGCCTGACTCTCCATGCGAACCAACGTCATTGATGCTCGCCGAGCATTTATTGACAGCGTCGGGGATCCAACGCTGTTACGATTCGCAGCATCTTCGGTGGGGAAGCGATGTGACTGACGCGGGTAGTTGGCAGGGTGGCTTGACGGTGGCTGGGAGGGATCGTATTGCAGGTCGGGATTCTCGAAGTCGATGAATGGCGGGGGGTCAGGCATGACATTCCCGGTTCCGTACGTGCGTAAGAAAGCCCCGATCTCCTTCTCCGTCTCCAATTGTTCCAACGCAAGGCGAACAATTTCGCATGACTGGCGCGAGTATGGGTAAATGCAGAAAGAGGGGGGACCAAGCAACTTACATTATCGACCGAGACGCAGACAGTCGAAACGGCATCCGTGTACGCCCATACGTTGTTGAACAGGAACTCGATCCGCTCTTCCTCCAAGTCCTGGCACCCATCACAGAACGCTCTCCAATGGTCTTCCCACCGCTGTGTCGCCTCCTGCAGCCCACGGACGAAGTTGGCGTAATCGCGCCGGTTCGCCTGCACCGTCTCCAGCGTCCGTTGGTGCTTGATGCGGAGCCGGTCCAACTCCACGCCTTGCAAAAGCACCGACTGGGCCGCAAAATCCTTGATCCGATTACAGTCCGCCTCGTACTTCTCGCGGGCGCGCACGACGTAGCCCTCTTGATTGCGCTTCATCTTGAGCTCCTTGTCAACCGCTGTTAGCTTTTCGCGACGGTGCTGCTGCTGTTTCCGAAGGAACTCCAGCGTCGGAGTCTCAAGACCGGTCTTGATTCCGTTTGCCACGATGAGGTGGGCCTCGGCCTGTTTCGCGGTCTCGTTTTTAAGGGTATCCAGGGCTCCGCGCATTTCGCTGTGAACCGGGCATGTTGGGTGGGAGATTCGCTTGAGAAGAAGACACAACACACCCTATCTCATGCTTGCCGATCGTGAACCTCGCAAGGTCTGCCAGACCGCGGGCGTACCGCTCCTCCAAAATCGCCCTGCCCACACATCCACCATGAGACGCGATAAGGCACGAAGATGTGCAGACTCACCTCTCTTTCCAGAAGCTCATGAGCTCCTCCGTCGTGGTCATCGCGCACCGCATGCGCGCAAAGAGAACATCCACCCCGCTGTCTCCAAGTCCCCAGAAGGCATTGCAGAAGTCGCCGGGCGGAGTCACATAGTCCGGAGTGCCAGGGCGGGCGTACCGCGAGAGCGAGACTGAGGACGCACGCCGCCGGACTGACATCGTGAGCGGTCGACGTGGACGTTGTGGCCGGTTGTAGTCGGGAAGCAGATGGGTGTGAAGTGCGGGGCCGGGCTCGGAGGAGGGCGTTCCGGCCTTTGAGTTGAACGGAAGCGCATGAGCGCGCAGCCCCGCAGTGCCCCCGTCCGAAGCGCATCTTTCCTCGACGGATACGCGCTCGTCGCTGGGTCACACGAGAAGCACGCTTGAACGCCCAGAGTGCGCACGAAGAGCGGGATGCTTTCCTCGTGGTGTGCGCACGGATTCCGACGGCGTGGGGGCGGTGTCGCTGAGTCGTTGGAACACTGTAATTTAATGAACAGGATACGCGTGGGGACCCGTCAACGGACGGAGAATGATAGGAGTTTGTCCGTGATGACCAGCTGGGATAGATGGGTGAGGGTGGATGTAGGGTGGATGTAGGGCGGGCTACACATTGCCACTTACAAGTAGTTTGATTCCTGCTGGCACCACCGTTCTTGTCGCTACTACATCGCTCTCTTCTGTGTTTTCATCGGCGACAATGGACATCATTTTTGATGGTGGCGATGGAAGCAAGATGTGGGCGGTGATCGCGAAGGTGAATCTCTGGGAGCGAGGATGGCAGAGGGAGGGATGGAGGAAGTTGAAGCACGAGGGGTCGCAGGGGAAAAGAACAAGGATGGCGAGACAGATCACGGCTGCTCGGGTGCATCAGACGTCGGAGGAAGACGATTGTGACTGTGAGCGTCTTACCGACGTGACTGCTCATCTTTGATTCTCTGAAAGTGATGTAATTAGCTTGTTGAAATTTGCTGTAAGCGGCAACTATTAATTTATGTAAGCATTGTTAATAGTGATCCCCTGTGACTATTTGTGACGCCTGTGTAACGAGTCGTTTCCCATGTACAAGCGTGACCTTAGCTTCTGGCCTGACTTGAAGTCGCCAATTACGAAACAGGTACCGCACCGGCAGCGCACCAGTCTCGCTAATCCTGGGAACGGAGTCAGATGGCAAGTAGACGGTACAGCGAGCATCTCAGGCAGACCACCCTGCGCCCCACGTCCATCTCACGGTGGCTGACCTCTTCGACCGCCCTGCCTGCACAAAGTGAGTACTCGCCGCACGTTCTGTCTATGGTGACTGATAAACGCAAGCCAGATGGAGATAGAGCTCATCCCTCGCGTTCTTCCCCCTGGTGAAAACTCACTGCGTTATTTCGACGGGTTCAAGGCGAAGCCAAGCACCAGCAGCGTCACAATAGAGCAGCTGGAAGTTGCGACGGTCGTCGAAGCACCATCCCGAAGACACAGTGTCCCAGTAGTCAAGGCCCACGGAGATGACGAGACGGCGGAAGACGCTCAGCCGCCTCAAGCGCAGCCTCCCCTCCCTCCGCTTCCTCTCAAGGCTCACTTTATGTATGGCACGCTTCTGTGGACCATGTTCTTGTCGGGGTGGAATGACGGCACGCCTGGGCCGCTTATCCCGCGCATACAAGAAGTCTACCACGTACGTCTCCTTCCTGCATGCAGGACCTGAACCTTGATGTTGACTTTCGGATTATTCAGATTGGATTCATAGTCGTATCGCTCATCTTTGTCTTCAACTTCCTGGTGAGGCTTTATCAAGCTGACCATGTGGTATTGGTTTCTCACGAAGACGTGACCGTCTTGCAGGGCTTTGTCACTGCGGCTGCTCTCAATGTCTGGCTCACTGATAAGTACGGTCTTGGAAAAGTCATGGTCGTCGGTACAGTGAATCCTCACATCGACTGACATTCAAAGGCGCTGAGCACCGTTTTGCTTTCCCTAGGCGCGGTATGCCAAATCGTAGGATACTGTTTGGCGGCGCCAGCCCCGCCTTTCCCTGTCTTCGTACTCGCACATCTCTTCAACGGACTGGGGATATCTCTTCAAGTAAATCCATCCATCAATGGTTTTTCGAGAACGGATGAACTCACACGCATGGTTACAGCTCTCGGGCTCAAACAGCTTCGTATCCAGTTACCGTCAGAACGTCTCAACAAGGCTGGCTTTGCTACACTCCATATACGGTACGCGATTTATAGATTCCACGGGAAGATTTGCTAACGTGAAATATTAGGCGCAGGAGCCTTGGCTGCACCACTTGTCGCGACGCAGTTTTCGCAGATGACTCACTGGTCCTTCCACTACCTCATCTCACTCGCCATGGCGGTCGTCAACATAACGCTCCTGGCGGCGGTGTTCCGGCTGAAGACGCACGACGGTATCTCCCTGTCGTCGGTTGGTACTTATGCCACTCTACTAATGCCTAGCTTTAGAGTGTCTGCGCGAGATTGGTATCACGCCTGCAACGGACGGGGCGACAGACGAAGTCACAACGAGCAAGTACAAGCAGATGATGAAGCTCCCCATCGTGCACCAGCTCGCGCTCTTCATCTTAATCTATGTTGGCACCGAAGTTACGCTCGGAGGTACGTGATTTCTTCACCGTCCCTCGTGGAGCTTGAAAGAACATCGACGCAGGGTGGATCGTGACGTACGTCATCGATCTCCGTGGCGGAGGACCCTCGTCCGGATACATATCGTCCGGATTCTTCGGAGGCGAGTCGCGCGTTTTCACAAGCACTCCTTCATGCAGGCTGATTTCTGTCAAAGGCCTCATGGCGGGCCGTATCTTACTGTTGGGAGTCAACAAACTCGTATGTCTCTCGCGAATGGCACTCGTATGCATCAGGTCTAACGTGCATCCTGACACAGCTCGGAACCCGCCGCGCCATCCTGCTCTACGCCCTCCTAGCGATCGGGTCAGTCCCTCCGATCCGTGTCACGCGCTCTCGCTGACAGTCATGCGTGCATACAGACTAGAACTCGTCGTCTGGTTAGTGCCCTCGCTCGTCGGCGGCGCCGTCGCCGTCGCGTTCGTCGGTATGCTCCTCGGGCCCATGTACCCCCTCGTCGTGAACCACGCGCGGCAAGTGCTTCCCCCGTGGCTCCTCTCGGGCTCGATCGGTTGGATCGCGGGCTTCGGACAAGCTGGGTCTGCGTTCCTACCGTTCGTCACTGGCGCGCTCGCGTCCAAGGTCGGGATCAAAGTTCTGCAGCCTGTGTGAGTACTGCTCCGCTTTGTCATGAAGGCAATGGTGATGTGCTGACGGCGTGGTGCAGTATCGTGTCGATGATGGGTGTGATGGTCACCGTGTGGGTGTTCGTACCCCATGCACCTCGCCGCTTGGAGTAGATCGGAAAATGACGATCCAAGTAGAAGTGGTCTCTGTACAACGCATGTGCAACGATCCAAGTAGAAGTGGTCTCTGTACAACGTATGTGCAACGATCCGTCGTGTCCGTACGTCTCCCGGTCCTAGAGAAAGCGAAGCGATATGCAGCGACAGAGAAGCAAACTAGTCAACAACGTCCAAGTCACCAAGCGTGTCCTCCCTCCTCTCCGTCCTTCTCACACCACGACCGCCGCCGCCACGAGCACGCACACGCCCAAGCACGCGCTCGCGAAGATCCCCAGCGCCCTCGGCAGCCCCGTCCAGAAGTACCCGAGTGCCCCCACAAGCGCGAACACGAACCCGACGACGGCGAACGCGCCCGCCGCGCTGTGGCACCGGGAGAGCGTGCGCACCATCCGCGCGAGCTGCGCGACCGCCGCGTCGCGCTCGCCCATCTCCGCGTCGGGGGCCGTGGGCGCGCATCCGACGGACCGGAAGATGCCCCACGGGCGGACCTGGTGCACGGAGACGAGCGCGCGGAGGTCGAGGTGCGCCTCCCAGTCCCAGACGGAGGGCACGCGCGTGTGTGCGGAACTTGCGGAGAGGGTCGCGGTCTGAATCGGGGGAGCTTTGACGGCGGATGAAGTGGACGCGTCCCGCTTGGGGGTGGCCTCGGCGGCTTGCTCGGCGGCTTGCTCTTGCTGCTCGGCGTCGGTGAGGCGGTAGCGGATTAGGAGGAAGGAGGCAACGTAGGCGAGGATCGCTGCAGGCGACGTCCATGAGTACGTCATACTCAAGTGGGTGGGTAGAAGGCGAGCCTTACATGCGCACACATGGAGGATTATCGCACCACCAAGGAAGGCCATGATGACCTTGTCAGTGACAGTCCACATGTCTGGGTTCGAGTCTCGAGTTTTTGCAGGGAAAGAGTATAGCATGCTGTCGATGGACACGAAGAACGTCGTCTGCAATGCGGTCAAATCGAAACCGCGAGGTCGAACGAAGGGATGCTCACAATAACAGCCATCGTCTGCAGTCGATCGAGCCACACCTGGACAACCGCGATCAACGCTTGCTTCGGAGAGGTGGGTGGGGCTAATAAGAACACATGAGCCATATGCTCAAACGCGCGGGAGTCTTGCAACTAAACGCCCACCTGAGTCTACGAGCGCGGCGGAAGAGCGGAACATAGCGTCTTGTAGGGGCAGTCGGAAGTGGGGGGCCTCAAGTTTTCCGAGACCCCTGATGGAGCGACTTTTGTACTCGCGCGCTGGGGTGAAGGGGGAACCAGAACTTCGTGTGCCTCCGAGTCAAGTCGGTCACCTGTCTGGCGTCCGTAATCGGACCCGGGCTCATCCCGTCACCATCCAGACCCCGGTGGCCTCCGACGTTTCGCGCGTCCCGGTGAGGACTTCGGGAGCTTATGCTTGTGAAGGATCATCCGGCCGACGAGGAAATACGAGTGAATTGGTGAGAAGGGAAGGAAGCGGATCCGGGAGGTGGATGTGCGCCTGGGCGGCTCCATCTTGGCAGATGGGATTGGCCTGGTCGCGCGAGGACGTTTAAAGGCAAGGTGTTCAAAGGCAAGGTTTTCGAACAACAACCATGGAGGCGAAGCTGAGGTGACCAGACCGATACTCGAGACAAGTCCAAGATCCAGACAAGCCTTGTGGCTACAATCTCGTGAGCTCCGCCCTAGACCCAATCACGGTCCCCAGATCTACGTGCTCCAGATGAAGCTCGAGCGCGCCCGGGCATAGCCGCGACGGCCTGAACGACAGCCGGACGAACACCGAGAACCGCGGCGTCGCCATCCCCGCGTTCGCGGGCAGCTCGACGATCCGCGCGCCGTCCGCCCACGAACGGACGTGGTCGCGATTGCAGTCATGGGTAGGACCCGGGGCTGGAGGTGGCGCATCGTAGGTCCATTGGGCGTGGTCTCGAGGATCCGAGCGAGCGACGGTGTCGCTACAGCGTTCCACGGTGGCCCAAGGCTCCCCGCTGTTGTGGTGTGGCGGACATGCCAGTCGCGCCCGGGCCGTGTCGAGCCTGTCGTATTGCCCAGGACGTTCTGGGAGTCCGGAGAATGGAATCGGGGATGGGAGGGGCAGTCTCCCGAGGTCGGTAGGCAGCAATAACGCGCTCCTCGTGGATGGAGTCCGATGCCTCTGTGGGCGCGAGCAGGAGCAGCAGCATCCGAGTCGTACGACCAGTCCCACCAGCCCGTCGATGTACCGGAGCGCGAGCGGCGGGCATCCGCGCCAGTCGAGTGGGACAGCGGGGTTTGGGGGCAACACGACGCGTGCCCCGTTGGCACGCATCGCGGTGAGCGTAGCGCGAGGGACGCGGAAGGGGGCTGTCAGCGTGCGGTTGAGTGCGCCGGAGCCGCCCGAAGGTGCGACGGAGACAGTGGGAGTGGTGCGCTGAGCAATGTACAACTCTTTCCATTGGGGGCGGGGGGAAGAGGTGCTGCCAGACAAGGATGGATGGATGGACGGGTCGGCGAAGACGAAGGCGAGCCTTGGACTGCAGAGACGATAAAGGGGCCCAGCAGGGCTGGTAGCATCCGGACTGCGTTCGAGTCGAAGAGCGAGTTGAGTGTCGTCGAGTGCGCTGAATACGATACCCAGGAGTTCGCCAGATGACAATGATATGATTGGAAGGCTCGCAAGGACGCCATGCGAGGTGACAGAAAAGGTAGGATGCCGGGCGGCATCCCATTTGGGGCGGTTGCGGTGGCGTCGAGTCTGCAAAGCACGTTAGCTGTGAAACGGGCAGTCACTGCATGTACGCACTGATGGCGGTGTGAATACCACCTGCGAGCCCACGAACGCGGAAGGGGAAGACGCAAAGAGCGTGGGGGAGTCACTATCCCGAGGTCGATCCTCTTGCCAGTAGCGCCGATCGTCGGCGAGGACAAGCTGCTGCACCTCGCCCCACGCGAACAGCGAGGTATCGGGAGACTGCTTCATGATCTCCTCCTGCAGCCGCTGGAACGCGCGCCGCCCCTCCCCGTAGAGCGTCGGCATGTTGACCCCAAAGATGCCCATCAGGCAATACGCCTCGTCTTCCAGCCGCGTCGTCTCCCGGCGCGCGGCCCACGACATGCGCTGCGCGACGCTGACGTCCGCGACGGCCGTCTCGAGCGCGAGCACGCTGCGCGGGATGCTCGTCGCCTGCTCCAGGAGGTCCGCGAGCTCGGCCTTGGTCCCGAGCACGTCCCAGTCCGCGGAGAGGAAGACGACGAGCTCCGGCGCGAGCAGCTCTTGCAGCGTCCATCCGCGCGTGTGCCACTTGCTCCCGCGGAACCTCGCGCGGAACCGCTCGCCCGTGGTCATCCCGTTCTCGCTGCGCGAGTCCCACTCGTCTTCCGCCCCATACTGGACTTCGAATGGGCCTCCGAACGTGTCGAGCGGCCATGGGTACACCGCAGGATCCGAAGCCGCTTCTCCGAGGACGCTTGGATCGTGGTCGTTCGCGTCGGACTTGCCGGATCGCACGGGACGGACGTCGGAAAGATAGGCGTAGCAGACCTCCGCGAGGGAGTAGTAGCGATACATCGAGTTGATCGCCTCCGAGAGCTCTGCGCTGCTGGTCTTGTCGATACAGCAGGTGTCTATCCAGAGCCATTTGAAGCCGTGTCGCGCCGCGAGCTTGCAGGATTCGCGGATCTTCGGCGACGCTTTCTTGAGCGGGTTTGAGCCCAGTTTCCACCGAGATCTTCGGCGATGAAGGCGTCGTATGTCCTGAAAAGTCTGCTCTGGAGGTTCTGGGGACTTGCTCCACACGTGGGAGAGGATCGCGTAGCCGCCCGGTACATCTTCTGGAGAGCTGAAGTAGTGAAGTTCGGCGCGGTCGGTACTCAGCAGCCACATGTCCTAGAAGAAATAGAGAGAGATGTGTTAGATGTCTCGGGATAGTCAACAAGATGCACAAGTCATGCAGGGGAGTCAAGGACAGCTGTTGCTCTTGGCTGTCGGCATTCGATCGTCTTATGTATCCTCCAGACGTGGACAACATAAATGGAAGCCGACACTGTCGGCTGTGTATTGCGGTGTCAGTCAAAAAAGACAGCGGAGCTTGCAGGTGGGGGACTTACGCGGCTTTAGACACCCTTCTACGAGTAAGTTGCCTGTAGTAGACATGGTGTCCGTTGTGGTCAGTGGCGATGCCGAAATTCCGTAGGACGCGGAGGATTGCTGCCATGGGGCGGTGTGCAGTTGCAGAGTTGAGGCCTCGTGGCCGGCTAATCACTGCTACAGCCTTTGACAGCCCTTACTCCGTAGTTTGCATCTCGAGGTCTTGAGGTGCATATGGTGAACGTTGATTGTATTATTGATCAAGAAGGTACGAGAGTACCTCCCAGCCGTCAAGTATACGTATGCAAGCAAGGGATACCTCATAAGCGACCCTTCAGGAGACCGGTCATGAGTACGTGATGGATGAGAAGGAACAGCGGGGGGCAGATTCGTAAAGGTAGCACGGACGCATCGATACAGCAGGGCTCTCAGACTAGAGATGTTGTAGGGTAAGCTGTAAGCATACAGTATAGGTGTGGAGGCAACGTCACATCGTCCAGTTCTTTGGTATCTTCTTGTCTTCTCCTCAGTCACGACGCCCTGCGAAGCCCAGTGGAAAAACATGTGGAATAAGTACTCTCCCTCTCACAGCTCTGTGAATGACGCGGCCCTCGATACCACGCGCGAGGACGACCCTCTGGCGGACGACACAGGGGCCACCACGACCTCCTCGTACGAAGGAGGCGCCTCGCCCTCCTCGCTCTCCTGGCCTGCCACAAGGCGCTCGAACTGCTCCGGAATCGTGCTCCCACTCTCGGTGAGCGACGACGTGGGCGCAGACGAAAGGGCATCCGAGGGCTGGCGCGAGAGTGGCGGGCTTGTTAGTGAGTTCGCATCGGAAGTGGTTCGCGCTGGGGACTGCGGCTGGGGCGTGCGTGTGGCGCGAGGGTGGGAGGGGGATGCGTGCATCATGGTTGTGGGCGGCGAAATATGGTGGTGGAAAAGTGAGGGGAATTCACGGAGGTGTGGAAGGGCTGGAGGCATGGCAAACGTGGGGGTTGAAGGGGATGGCACGGCAGCGGCAACACTGATGTTGGCGTCTGCGAGGATGGGACCAGATAGAGTGGAGCCAGCCGCAGGGTGTTGCGTGTAGGGCGGAAGTGCGGTATGTTCAGGGTTGCACAGAGGCTGCAGAAAGATTGCATGAGAACTCGAAAGGACAAACAGTCAATGGGAACCTAATACGTACTGAAAGCAGGTGGACAGGAGTCTGGACGACAATGTCGAAAAGCTTCCGCTTGCCCGTCGACGGGTCCAACGCCAAGTCATCACCACGCTCAACGCGGATGATGACCTTTAACGTGTGCGCAATCCAGATGTTGCTGCGCTTGTTGCGATTTGTCGTATGCAGGCCAAACTTGGGGATCTGAAGGTCCTTGCGGAACTTCCATGGGCCTGGGCCCATGTAGCTCGACACGACCTCGCCTACGTCGTCATCGGGGTCGATGATCTCATACAACGGAGAGTGCTTGAAGGCTTCGGGATCTTCCGACTCAAGAGGCAGAAGGGCTGGGCCATCCTTCTTGGGGTGTTTCAGGGCGAGTAACGCGTGTCGCATAATCGCCTCTGTACGTGCGATACGTTTGAACCCCGTCCAGTAGTCCACGCGTTCTATAAACGACGTCAACATGAGCCATTGGGGCGGCACGGAGCGAGCGCACCTTCAATCAGCACCGAGATGCGGTGGACCTTCATCTTCGTCCAGGGCATGAATGCGACACTGATAGGCATCGTGCCTCCGATCGCGAAGCTCCGCCCAGAGATGATGATAAGATACTGCATCTGCGTGTCCCACTGTCGTTCCACCACGATGCTCTCCGACTCTTCCGTATCATCTTCTCCGGGGCTCGCCACGACTGTGATGTCCCGGCTGGCCGTGAGCTTCGTCTTGAAGGCGCCTGGGCGGTGGACCACCGCCTTCAGCTTCCACGAAACGGAGCCGTAGTCGACTTGCAGCGAAGGGGGGGAGTTCACGGGTATCGCGAATGAGATAGGGTATGTGTACACTCCTGAGCGCCCCGTCAAGAGGCGTCCATGCCGAGATAGACAACGCCGAGAACATACCTTTACGGAACTCCTTCCACCCATCGCCATGCTCTCGACCTTCGTCCGCCTCGAATCCCAACGCCTCGCTGACCCGAGCGAGCGTTGAGTGTTCCTTGGGCGGCGTGCTCACGTCCTCCGCCGCCTGCCCGAGAGACCGGTCCAGGGTGCGTCCCCGCGGGGGCGTGCGGTCCCCCGCGTGCGGAGGCTTGCTCTCGACGAGCGGCGAGCTCGACCGCACGCGGTCCTTCATCGCGTCGAGGAGCGCGCTCGCGAACGGAAAGCGCTTGTTCTTCCGGCCGCGCACGCTTTCGTCCCCCTCTGCCTCGCGCGTGCGCGAGGGCGTGCGCGCGCTGCGAACCGCCGCGCGCGAAGGCCCGGGGTAGTGGAACGGGGTGGTGCTGCTCCCGACCTGGAACTCGTGGTCCTCGTCGATGCTCATGCGGCGCGAGTCGGCGGCGTCTCGGGAGGACCAAAAACCGGAGGAAGAGCGACCTGTGCGAGAGGTAGAACGGCCGACGCCTGATGCAGAACGTCAGATAGCGTCCCAAAAATAGGGAGGAGGGGACTCGCCGTTGACATAATGCTCTGTGTCGACCGCGCGCCGAAGGTCTTCTCTACTGCGCGCGGGTGATTCGTCCCCGTATCGGGGGAGGCCGGGAGACAGCGGGGTCAACGGGGGCACGACGTCGTCGTTGAGGGAGACGGTCGGGGAGTACGGGGGCGAAGCGATTGTAGGAAGGGTGTTCTCGCGGTGGGCGACGACGCCGCGCTGGAAGTGGGTCTGATCGACGCTCATGTACCGCCGTGGCATGCGCCCCGAGCCCTCACGCGAGTGCGGGGAGCGCCCGCGTTCCCGGCGCGTGTGCTCGCCCGTGGAGGAGTGCTCATTGGAGAGACTTGAGCGCTCCGAGTGGTCTTCGTCGTCGTGCTCGAGCGCGAGTCCCGGGCCGACTGAGATGTTGCGGCGGCCGCTCGCGCCAGGAGCGGCGCCCGCGCGAAAGAAAACGCAGGTCTGGGAGTGGATGACATGGTCTTCGGTGATCTCGACGCGTCGCGCGCCCACACCTGCGAAGGGGGGCTGAGGGGGAGAGGGAGCGTATCGGTCGAGATAAGAACGCACCTTCGGGCCATGCAGTCACTGTTTTCCCCAGGAGCTCTACCTCGATGCTGGTGATTCGGGTAGGCTTGGCGAGCGTTAGGACGAGAAGACCGCGCACCATGCCGGGTGCAGCGTCCGCCTGGATTGTTCTCTGGCGGCCAGTGGCGTCCCCGGCGCGAAGGAAGACAACGGACTCGGCGAGGCGGACATCGAGTGCATTCTTGTGCAGGGTCGCGACTTTGGGCGGGGCGGGGGGCATGAATGGGGGACAGGGAGACGGAGTGGGGGAGGAGGGCGAGTGCAGAGGCGACGGAGCTAGGGAGCAGGTCTATGAGCTCCTGTCGCTGCCGCCGGGGGCGAACGGCGTACCTGACTTCATTTTTCCATGCACCAAGGCCCGCGGCCCGGATCTCTGCAATTCCGCAGGGTTAGGGGCTGTGCGTCACGACTCAGCAGGCGGTGCACCCACCGTGAACTTGAGCTTCTGGTGCCGCATTGGCGGCGGACGGGGGGATGGCAGAGAGAACGCTCGGGATGCTGGTTATATGCGCCAGCACCGCCAGCACCGCCAGCTCTCGATTCCTGCCCCGGCCGGCTCACGGGTCGCGCGCGGAAGCTGATCGCGTCGCATTCGTTAAAGGCCACCGTTCTTGTCCGCTGACCGCGCTTGACCGGGCCACTCGGCGTCGCAGTCGGGGAGCCGGCTTCTGTTGCGCGAGATGCGTTTACCCACACGGGCCCACATACGGCCCGGTGCGCTTGCCGCGCCATCGTCGCGGCCGCGCGCTGGATGCGTCTGGAGCGCGGGAGATGGGCACTCTCGAAAAAGGGAGGCCTCGCGCTGAGCTCGAGCACGTGGGTGGAAAGGAAGATGCTCGGCGGATGGCCGTCCTACTCCGTTCTGAGGCCTGGACTTCGGGCGGCTGAACGTCATACTCATTCTCCCTCGGGGCTCCAGGCGCGCTCTGGGCCCACATGTCTCGAACAACAGCCCAGTTCCCCGAAAGATCCCGGAGATACACGGCCTATGGCATATCCAAGATCTCACAAAGTAGATGGTATCGTGCAGTGTGAACTGTCTAAACTACGGATTCTACATCTTCGACTGGAGCGCCCGCAGCCGTGCGTGCTGCATGCTCTCGTCTGTACCAAACATCAGATTATGGCTAATAACAACGGCAAGTGGACTCACAGTTGGTGTTGAACAAGTTGTCACCAGGGACGGAAACGATGTGCGAAGTGAGGGAAGAGGTATCGAGCATCTCAGGCACAATTTCCTTCAGGGTGCGTGCCCCAAGCAGGCGCATGTTCATCTCGAACTCCTCCTATATGCAGGTTGAGCATTCACACCGACACCGTCAAAGTAGGGCGAAGCACGTACGTTGAGAATGGTGAGGGCGTGACTGACACCCTCATATCCGTATGTCGAGAAAGCGTAGATGAAGGGCCGTCCCAGTCCGACAGCGTTGGCGCCCAGCGCGATGGCCTTGAGCACATCGCTTGCGCGGCGGACACCTCCGTCGACAAACACTTGGAACTTCTCGTTGGGGAACTTGAGTCCGCGCTGCTTGCCTAGCTCACGGACGACCTCAGCGAGGACCTCGATCGCGGAGCGCGAGAACTCGAGCTGACGCCCGCCGTGGTTGGAGAGCACGACGCCCGCGAGTCCAGCATCGTAAGCCAGTAGCGCATCTTCCCAACATTGCACGCCCTTGAGGATGATCGGCACTACAATACAGTCAGAATCGCATGCGGGAAGAGTGTGTAGGCGAGGGGCATACTCTTAGTGATGCTCTGGAACCAAGGAATATCCTTCCAGTCGAGACCGGGGTCGATGAAGGACTGGGAGAACACTCAATCAATGAAGTGAACGCGCATTCACGAAATATGCTCACGCTGATCGCACGCGCCGCTCCCTGTGAGCGGTCGACCTTGTCCTCATGCTTGTTTGTAGTGACAACGTCGGGGTCTTCAGCTTCGAACTTCTGGCGCATATCCTACAAAGTGGCCTCAGACATCAGAAATGACACAAATCTAACAAATTGTCTATCGACTGACCTTCTCGCGTCGACCAAGTTGAGGTGCATCGACGGTGATAAAGAGCGCCTTGATGCCACGCTTCTCAGCGTGTTGTATGAACTTCTTCGTGATCTCGCGGTCCTTGTTCACGTACCTACATAAAAAAGTCAGTGGATATTGTTGGGTAGAGAATATACTTGTAGCCACTCACAGTTGGAGAAACTGAGATTGGCCAGGTTGAGCGGCATCAACAAGCTCGTCAAATGAGCAAGATGCAAGCGTCGGGATCTGCGCATGTAATCAGTCACTCGGATGTCGTGGTATGTCTAAACACGGATCTACCATCTGGATGATACCGTGCTCCGCCGCAGCCTTCGTCAAGTTCAGCTCACCATCTGGATGGCCGAGTTTCCCAAGAGCTGTTGCGGACTATGCACGGCGTGAGCATTTGCCCAACGAAAAACACACGAGTGACGTACAATGTACAACGGCATCTTAGACGGCTGGCCGAGGATCGTTGTTGACCAGTCGACAGTGGTAACATCGCGTAAAATGCGAGGCCGCCACCACAACCTACGAACACCGAGTAAGTGTTGTCGCCAATTTCCCTTCCGCACGGGGACCTGCGTACCTGTGGTACGCAGCATGGTTCTCTCTGAGGGTGATCTCGTCCTCTGCAGCAGAGCTGTAGTACGCCCATGCCTTGTCCGGTATCACCATCCGAGCGATTGCCTGACGTAGAGGGTCTTGAGGGTCTGTACATGCAAACCACATGAGAAAAGCAGACGTACCTCGAAGTCGTGCAGGTTCAGAATCTCCGAAAGCGACGGACGGTTGGCGACGCGCTCCAACCGGGCTTTCTCCTCGTCGGTGACCTCAACCTCCACTTTGAGAACGGTGCCGGGGTCAACAGGACCCAGGCTAGATGCGTGTCGAGCGTCAATGACAAGGAAAGCAAAAGAGAGCAATGGGAGCTCACTGCTTCTCGGGCGGAAGGTGCGTCGTGATAGCGTCTGGAGGGTGAATGGGTTCATATTCCGCTCTAAAGGGTATACGGAGTGTAAGGGGTTGGAAGTCAGAGCGCAAAAAGCATACACGCACGTAGCATCTTTGCCTGCATACTTGAGAATGATCTTGCTACCTCCAGGGTGGTCTAGAGTGGATGTATGCGTGAGGACACGGACAGAGTCCACTTGAGTAGAACTTACCATCGAGGAACTCGGTAACGTCATACACTTTTCCTGCAAGCAACAATCCTCCATGAATACGACAAGAAGAAGAGAGCAGGTGTCTGAATGACAACGCACCATGGACGATGATCCAACAGGTCTCACGCGAGTTGTGTTGCGCGACCTCCTTCCCCGAGTATGTCTTGCCAGTGCTCATGGTGCTGGAAGAATGAAACCGAGGCTCAGAGAGGGTGTGGTGAAGGTGTCAAGAAGCGGGGGAAGGGGGAGGGAGGACATTACTACGTGAACCTCGCTCAAATATTGTTGCGAAGCTGAGCCCACAGGCCTCAGCTTGTGGCAACCCCGTGGGGCCGGGCCGGAGTGCCGACGGGATTCGGGCGTCCGTACGGCGCCTGGCGCCTACCCGGGACTCCACTCCTCTCCTCCGCTCTCTCGCTGCCCTCCGTTCCGTTCGCCGTGAAGCACGACAAAAACTTGGTCAGGCTATTACTAGGGCGACGGGAAATAGCTCGGCGCCACGATGAATAAAGCTGGGATTGGATGCGAAGAGGTGAGCAGTGCATCGGTCCAATATAGCTCTTCCCCTCAATCCACCGGGCGGTGTTGGATGTGCTGGCTCACCTTAGCCGTGTCATGCGTTACACGTGGCTCGAGCATGTTGCTGTGATTATAAGCCAACGGTTTTTCCGGCCAGAATCGGAAAGCTGCGGATACCCGCACGGCGTGGGCACACTCCGCGCAGGTTTTTGCATGTGCTCCCAGTGTTCTCGAACCTCGATGCATGGCGTGAGCGCGCTCAGAACCAACCCGCCGCCCATATCTCGAATTCGTTTCACCACGCGGTCGAATGAGCGCTCCACAGACGCTTGATGGACATTGGACCGCTCGCAGTTCGATGGCAAGACCCTCAGCGACACCCTAACGCCGTTCCGGTGCCAGACACAGGTCGCTTGAGGCGATTAGTGGTGACGACAGGCCAGTGCTCCGCGTCCGTGCCCGGGAGCTTTCAGCCAAGTAGTGTCTCTTGAAAGAGCATGCTCGACCGTTCTCAGTGGGCGTCGACCTCCCGGCTTCCATGCAGCGCCGCGCATGGTCTAGAGTGCAGAATTGTGTGCGTTGTGTGTCCCCCGATCTTTGAACAGCACTCACGAGTTCTTCAGCCGACCGCACATCAAGGCTTCCTGAACTTTATCGGGAGCATATAGGTCCGCGCACAGCGCACCACCCACTCGAGCCTGGCTCCTCTGCCCTCCCCTCCCCTGCAGAACTCTCATCTATTGCGCGCCTTTCGCCATGACTTCTGGTACCAGCTTCAAGGTCGAAATTGTCGATGACCCCGCCCTCCATTACTCTCTCCCCCTCGATCAGATCTCGACGAACCCCAGCAATGCTCCCGACCAGAATCTGAATGACGACGAGACCACAGCCAGCAAGACAGCCTGGAACAATACGATGTCCATCATCGTGCAGCCCGTTACCCTCTGGTACAACTTCACTGGTGAGCCCATTTTTTACTCGAGCCTGGTGCGGGAGATACACGGGTTTCGCCATAGGTGTGTCCCGTGTGGCTTTATACGGCGCCATCCTGAGGCCAGATCCCTCTGGTGGCACGGCATCTGCAAATTACAACCTCGATGGCAATACGACTCACAAGGAGGTTCCCTTTTCCTCCTTCGTCATTCCGGACTATCCTCTCTTCGTCTCCGAGCAGTTGGACCCCGGTCGCACTTACAACCTCTCCGTGGATGTGACCGCTAATGCTCAGAGACCCTACCTCGTTGACTACCTTCTTCTTTACAATGACTTTGCGCCTTCCCCAATCAATTCGGCTACTGCAACAAGTACTGCGACTCAAGCTCCCCAGTCGATTGACTCGATCCTCAAACCGTACGTCTGGCCTGTGATAGGGGCTCTAGGGGGCGGCTGTGCTCTTCTTCTCGCTGTAGTGCTCGTCTTGAGCGGAGCACTCTGCAAGCGAAGGAAGAAGGACCGCGTTCCGTCGTGGAGGTATTCTGGTAAGAGTCACCGAGCCACACCTCCAAGTTCAATGATTCTCATTTTCTTACTACACTCATCCAGAGCCAAACCTTCCGCCCCCGGCCGTGTCTCCGCAGCCATCTGCACTCAAAAAGAAGAGCAGCATGCCACTTTCCGAGAAGACTGGCCTCCCAACTTCCAAGCCACCGCCCCCAGACGACTCCCCGGAGATCGATACACTCTCTCGCGATTACTCGTACGACACCAAGGACTTCGCCCCCAGCCGTCCCGGTCCTCCATCCTCGTTCCCCACACGCGGCTCGAACTACTCCTCCGTCTCTCTCGGGTCCACCGCCGTGTCGTCCTCTCCCATGCCAACGCTCGCTCGTTCCGGCACCGGTCTCACCTACATGCCGTCCTTCGCCACCGCTCCGCAGACGCCCGTCCCCCACGCGTTCGCCACGCACCCCCCGCTCCACCACCAACAGAGCATGGCCTTCGCCCAGCCGAGTCTCCCGTTCGCGGACCCGTACGCCCGCCAGGGCAACCTGGACGTCATGCCCGAGCTCACGCTCTACAACCCCCACGACGCCGCCTTCGCCGACGCCGTCCTCGCGGGTGCCGCCGCCGCCGCGACGTCCGCCTCCGGCCCGACTGCAGGGACGTCTGCGTCCGCAGCCGCCCGACCTGCCACCCCCGTGCACGTGCCGTCCCAGGTCCGCGCGCTCGAGCATCCCCCGTCGGACTCCAAGATGCGCCAGGAGATGTCGTCGTCGTTGTTGTTTTCGTCCGGCTCCCCCGTGCCCGCCCCGGCCAGCGCTTCCCTAGCTCCGATCGCGGTCGCAGCCTCGTCGAACGCACCGGCGGTCGCGCAGGTGGTGGGCCCGAACGGCTTCCTGCTCGAGAAGCAGGAGGTGCGGCTCGAACCGCCCACGCAAGGGCGGTACCACGTCGTCAACGAGGATCTGCTGCGCGAATCACCCACCGAGACCACAGGTGGATCGAATGCTGTGGGAGGCGCTGCGTCCGCGGAGCGCGGCGATGAGCATAGGTCCGACGGGGAGAGTCCGCCGGCGTACAGCAAATGAAGAGTAGGGTTTTCGGATGTACATTTGGGATCTGTATCAGGAACATGGCTTGCATGTATGGCTTTCCTCGTATGGCAGGGTCTTTACGGGGGTTGTATCTTTGTGTTACGATTACGATGTTACACGACTGTGTCGTTGACGACTTCTAGGGTGGTCAGGTACTAGGAGTTGGTTTGAAATGGTGTATACAGGGCGTCGTGAGTACACGTGGCGATAATGATGGTGGTACGAGTGCATAGAAGAGAGGGAGTGAAACGTTGAACGCTTGCTGTGGTTTGGCTGTGGTGGGCTACAGCCATGCGGCTGAGTGTGACTCAGAGCATAGATATCTCTGGTCAGCACCGTCAGCCGCGAGCGGCGCGTGTCGTCGTCAAGTTCGAGTGAAGATTCGGAGTCGCGTTGCTTTCATTCAAGCGTACATGGCTAAGTACATTCGGCACCTTCGAATACGGCTGCCACATTACATGCCACAGATCACAATACATGCCATAGGCCGGCTACAAAACAAGCACACATTCTCAGAAAGACTGTGCATACATGTCGACCACTCCCAAAGCCTCTCGACCGAGTCCCTGGCACTGGGCACGCTGTTCCCATCCGTCCTCACATCGTGTGGTCACCGATCAAAACGACGTATCCCTCTTGGCCCGCGGGGCTCGATGGTCCTGGAGAGGTCGCAGGTGTCGTATCCGCACTGCTCGACAAGGCAGGCGTAGGTGGCGTCCGCGAACCCTCCGCCACAAAGTCGGACTCGTGGGACTCGATCGGCGCCGTCGACGGTGGCCGAGGAGCGTCCCCGCCCATAGCCTCCCTCATGGCGTCCACGATGTTCTCCGTGCGGCTAGGGAGCGGAATCCGTATGTCGCGGTACGAGTCCGGGACGCGCTGGCCTCGGCGGAAGTCGCCGCAGAGCTTCCTCTTCAGCATCTGGAGCACCTCCGGGTTGATCTGGAGGCGCCAGCGCAGCTTCTGGCAGACCATCCACTCGATCTCGGTGATGTCGCTCGGGCTGGAGAGGATCGCGCCCCGCATCCTCTCGACGAGGAGCTTCGTCCGCCCGTCCCAGTCGTCGACCACCTTCTTCGCGATGAGGACGGCGACGAGGAAGAGGCGGTGGCCGGAGGCACGGTCTTCGATGATCCCGGTGGCCTTCAGGTTCCAGAGGAGGTACAGAGCGCAGAAGATCGCGTCGGCGTCCAGGGTGACCACACGGGCGATGTTCACGATGAACCGGTCGAGCCTGTCAGTGGAAAACGTCTTGTCGACCAAGGGGCTGCGGAAGGTGGCCTGGAGGAAGTTGAAGGCGATGTACATGGCCTGGATTTGCTGCTTCGAGAACTGCGTGGAAAAGGGGTCGGTTGTGGTCAGCCCTGAAACCCTGGCAGCTATCGAGCATGTAGGAGAGAGGGCGAACCAGATCCTCGAGGCTAGGAGGGGGCGGAGTGGCAGGCTTGCTTGGACCGACCAGCGGCGCCAGTGGTTTTCGGTGGCCTTGGGGCCGAGAGGGAACGGACTGGAGCCGCTTGTGTGCGACGCCGATGGTTCGCTGCTCGCGAGGCATACCAGGACAGATGCTTGACCGAGTCCGACAGGGTGGGGAGAGAGAGGAAGGACGGCTGGACGATCCTAACCATGCATGCGGGGATCTATAACCTTGCACACGTGAGAATTTGCAAACGGTGAAAGAACAAAGGAGAAGCGGACGCGCTTACGGTCAGCGGCCTACGCGCCGATGATTCCTGATGAGGGAAGAATAACCATGAGGCTTCTGCGGTAGAACAGGGAGGCATCAGCAGTGGTATGTGGGAGAATGAGAGACAATAAACTACCAATTCACTGTGAACAAGGTGTGGTCGCTTTCAGTTCCGATTGTCAACTAGAGATTATGCTCATCCAAAAGTTGATGCGTTTCGTAGTAGTGTCTTGACGCGGTGGATCTTATGAATCCCAATCCCGTATATTCAGCCCCGGATTTGCCTGAGGCGTCGAAGTGGGGGGGGGGGGGGTTTCTTCCTCGGCAGACTTACCACAGCCGAAGCTGTCTAGTGTCGCCCAAGTCGCCACCAGATGCGAAAATGCGCCATCCAGCGCGCACGTGGCAGGCGCGGGGTGGGACGGGGCGTGGGACTGTGTCTGGCAGCGGGTAGACAAACGCCAGGATCCCTGCACCCCAATGATGTGTTGACTGTCCAGCATTCCTACATCAGCACCGTTCCTGGCTTCGCTCGAACAGCATCGATGCGCCGCGCACGGACCCCAGGCGAGACCCCTTAATATTCGTTGAAATTCCCAGCACAACGGCACGGAGCTCTTCGCAACGGCACCCCATTCAAATCGTTCCTGGGACACACAAAGACTCCACATGCTCGCCGTTGTCTCATCGCGGACCAACTCGCTTGACTGCGGCAATCCTGCTTCGCCACACCAAGAACCACGCGCGGCGCCAACATTCGAACAGAAAGTGATGATGGAAGTTTCTCACCAAGTCGGATAATCTGCCTCGAGTCTACCCGACTACAGTGGTCCACTCGCCGGATTCTGGATCCGACGTTCTCCGGTGGAACACGATTGAAAAACATATTCGCACAACGGCGTCTCGAAGACGGCCGCGGAGGCCTTGCTAGAGCTCCCACACGCCCACATTCCGGACGACAGCGAAGCTTCCCCGGGTAGGGGCGCTTTGAGCATGCTCTGGACACACATAACGCGCGTAACATGTCCCCTTGACCATCGCTCGCTCCCCACTCATCCCAACTCACGAACACGCTTACGACCTCCAATATGACTCACGAAACCCTCTTCGGCTCCTTCGTCGTCGATTACTCCATGATCAACACGAACAACACCCCCACGATCGCACCTACAGTGGGCGAGAATGTGACCGCCATGTTCAACGACGGCACCGACTTGAACAATACGTTCTGGGTCATCACCACTCCGACATCGTTCTGGTGTACCTTCAGTGGTGAGTGGAACCCCATGAATACCATGCGTGAACGTGCTGTATTCAGTGCCCGTGTTCAGGATTCCCGCGCGTTGCCGTGTACGGTGCAGTTGTGCATTACACCGATGATGAGCCTGCGACCGCAACCTACAGCGTCGATGGGAAGATCGCGGCGAACCAGACCCTTGTCTCCTTCGACTGCTTTCCCCATTTTCCTCTCTTTCTCGCAGAACTTCCCGACGCTAGTCGTCAACATACCCTCTCGGTGGACGTCGACGCCCGGCCGGCCGCACCTTATCTCCTCGACTACATCCTTCTGTATGACGCCCCGACGACCACCGCCAACTCGACTGTTCTCTGCGGTGTATCCACCCTCAGCCCCGCGTCAACCACCACCATCTCAACGAGCACGAGCGCTGCCAGTAGTCTTGCGTCGTCCGGGATTCCCATAGGTGCTCTATCCAAGTCTAGTACCACACGACTCGAACTGGCCGCTCTGATTTTCGCGATTGTACTATTGGGCTGTGCCATGGCATGTTTGATCTACCTGTATATCAAACGGTGGTACAGCAGGAAGCATGGTAAGCACATGCTTATATCTTGATACTCCCAATGTGCTCATGATGCATACCCTAGATTCCGAACAGTACAGAGTCACCCCGTGGGTCGGCATTGAACCCTCTCCACATCCATACACGAGGAAATGCCCTTCCGAGGAACACATGCTCCAACACTTTGACACGGACCGTCTCGTCTCCCCGTCTCCTCGCATCATCATCAACAGCGCAGCAAGCTCCACCACCTCCTTCGACACCACTGTCGCTGACGCGCTCTCCGGGCGCGTGGTCGGACACACGTCCATCCCCACTCCGCCGTCCAGTGCACACGTCCCGGCGGAGGAGAGGGTGACCGAATGCCATCGGTCGTCCTCGCGCGCGGACTCGTCCCTCAAACCCCAGCCTGTCCGCGATGTACGCGCCGGGCTGTGGAGGGTCTCGACGTTCCGTTCCACCTCCGACACCATCAGCACGGCGCCTCCAGAGACTCCTTCTGAGGAGCGGACCGGTCCACTGGTGCGTTGGCCTTGGGCGGGGATCGTCGCAGGTTTGCTGCAGGACGAGTTGTCTGCTGCTGTTGAGGCGGGTCGCTCGGCGAATGATGACGACACCTGGGGTGCGTCCGCCGTGTAGAAATTTGTAGAAACCCGCGCTATGACCTTCGAATGTATACATGTGCACTCGTGCAAATTCAATGACACAGCAGCGGATGTACAGAGGCAGTGTGGCATCGCCAGGAGTCCGCGAAGCTCACAATCGTCGTCGCCACACTCGGCCAGCCCTTCAACAACGGGGTAGCACATACACACGTGCGTGCGTCTGATGGGATTGTCCAGTTCGTTGCCACGAAAAATACCCAGCCCTCTGTCGGCGGACGTAGCACCGAGGATGGCGCGATCTGTACCCCTGCGCCCGAGTACGCGTAGCTCGATGCGAGGCTGATGTGCTCCCAGGCCCACTTAGATCATGCGCCCAGATGGCACAGACGAACGCTGCGTGCAGGACACAGACTGAGATATGAAAGAGTCTAGGAGAGGCCGCCTGTGAGAGTGCACTTCGAGCAACGCGGGTCCGGATATCTGGGACTCGGAGTCAGTGGTGGAGAGAGCGCTCCGAGGAGTCCGATGCGGTCAACCGTCGGAGTCCGCGGCCCGAGGCCCACGTGAACGCCTAGCCGAAAAGGGAAACGAGCGCCCGAACCCCGACCAAGTGGCCAGCTGTGGTCGGTGGGCCACCCGAGGCCACCCGTCGCCACCAACGACTGTCTGGGATACCCGGCCCAAGTGGCACTTCGGTATGACTGCGCCCTTGCTTCCTGAGGGAGACGTCCGACTAATGGCATATCATCAGCTAGAATTCCGTGCACGACGCGGCCATGGGCCTCCGACGATGCGGCTCCTCGCCCCGTCACACTGTTCCTGAAGAGCACGCGTCTCCGCCGCTCGACCAGGGGGCGCAGATGCGTCTGGAGCTCGTCAATTGAGTCATGCACAAAATGATGATGGCTGAGAGAAGCCTCTTGTCGGGTAACTAGCGGTTTGTTCTCGCGAGAAAATGGACTGAGCGCTGATCCGCTTGCCGTCCGTCAGATCTGCCTCTTGCTGCTCAACGGCCCGCGGCAGTCACGGGAAGCCAGTCTGTGTGGCATTCTTTGGACACCCTCGAGCGCAGAGAGTCGCGAACCCTTTGTGCACCTTCGCCCCCCATGGAGCTGTCATTGTTCACCTTCATCCATAAGTCCTGGCACGACATGTTTCGAACACTCAGACCTCGCTGTCTCCCCTCGTCTCATCGTCGTTTCCCCTCGTCTCTTCGTCGTCTCGTCCCCGTCTCGCCCCCGTCCCCCCCTCGTCCAGACCTCTCACGAAAACGCTCACGCGTCCCTCATCACGCCCTCTCTTCCCCTCTGCGCCTCTCCCCGAAATCCTTACGACCCTCAGCATGAACACACAAAATTTCGCCACCACCGTCCCTACCATCGCTAGCTCTGCCATCGCCGGCTCCGCCACCGTGTTCGTGTCGTCCAGTGCCACACACCACGACATCGACATGCGCCCATTCATGGTAGTGCTCATTGCAGTCGTGGGAATGGTGGTCGGTATTCTTGGGCGAGTCCTTTGGACGAGCCGGCGGAACAGCAGCCAATCCAAGCAGCCTGGTAAGCGAGTTTTCACCTTCGCCACCCCTCCGTGCTCAATAAACGTTCGATAGACATCGAAGAGCAGCTGGTGCAAGAGGTGCAAGAGGTGCAGAAGCCGCAAAAGCCGCAGAGGGGGAGGATTACGTTGATATTCGAACCCGAATTCTCAAAAGTGGACGCCAACCAAGACTCCGAGAAGGACTCGGCCGCTCCCTGCTCTCGCCTCGCGAGCCTCGAGTCTGGCACCGCCACTGGCGCACTCGAGTTCGCGCGTCCGCATCCCCCACCATTGCAGGCCCCTGAACCTGCGGTGCTGCCTATCAGTACACGTCACGATGGGGCGACGCTGTGGCCTCAGGAGAAGCGGGAGGAAATCTGCCTCGAGCTGGACGAGTTCGGGAAGGAGAGGACGGTCACTCGACCAGTTCCTGCGGCATTGATTTGGTAACGTAGATGAACGTTCGACCCTGGCGCGGAGGCTCGGTGGATCCGACCCGGCTCAACCACTTGCACATAGACTGCAAATGTGCTCTCGAAGAGCAGTTGCTTTGTATCGTTAGAGTACATATCGCCCGTATCCTTATTTGTCCGTAGTTGTATCTTTACTCACTCTCGGCTGTATTTTTACCTGATGTCCATAGATTCATTGATACCGTTGACCAGCACGAGGATACGATGTGCGCGGCGACCACAGCGGCCGAGGACAGTGTGTCGATGGCAAGATTGGGCATCTCACTGACTGAACCAGCGCGCTCACTATTGACACGACACCGGGTTGAACCGGCCCGTGCGAGCACGCGGAGCGCCGCGCAACGCTCTCCTTCCTGCATGCCGTCGTCTCTACCCACCTCCATCGTCCTGCTTCCACAACCTTGCTTAACACCCACGAAGACCTTCAAGCTTCATGGCCGCGCTTCAAGCCCGAAAGCAAGATTTGTTAACTGGAATCTGGTGCACTATCCCAACGACGAAGACAGCAGTTCATTCTTCACTCGCAGGCATTCATAAAGGTGCGCAACATACGCCCTTCCGCTCTTCCTTCTGTACCTCACTGCTGCTCCATTCTCACTGACCATGTTCTTCAGCTACATCGCCCGTGCAACCTTCAACGCCCAGGTCGGGGATGCATGAGATAAGTGAAGTTATCATTGACCCTTGTCCGCTGTAGCCGATGATGGCGAAGAGGGCGTAGCACGAAGAAAGCGAGCAGCCGCCCTGGGCGGTGCTGGTCGTGATCAAGCTGGGGTGATGGGGCGGAGCATGGCGCCGGCGGGCGTGGCCTCGCGCAAGTGGTGTCGGACAACCTGGCGATCGTGGCGCGAACATCTACGCGTGCAAGGTCAAGCGGCTGCAAGCCATCGCGCGGGGCCAGTCTGGCAACGAGCATGTGGTGCGTCGGACGGCCCGGCGATCGGACTCGTTGGGAGCGCAAGAGGAATGTGAGTGGAGACGGTGCGGCGATGAAGCGTGGACATGGATGCCTATACCGTCCTTGGACGCGGACCTCGCAGCATTTCTTGCTCGGCGGCCGTCGTCGCTAGCAGTGGAGGTGCACTCGCTGAGCACGCGTGCGCCCGATGAGATGGGGCCCGTGGTGGCGCCAGCTTCGAAGGGGAGCGCGGGGCAGGCTTGGTCAGAGGTTGAGCAGCAGGTGGCTCCCGCTGTTCGGTCGCGGACTAGGGCTGGCGCGTCGCGCTCGGCGAGACGTGCGTCGTCCTGGGCCTATAGATGTTGTGGGCATGCTTTGGGCGAAAGTCTAGGTAGGTGCTCGATGACTCGATACGCTCTTCATGGCACCTGACAGTGTAGGTGAATAGGATCTCGGACTCGGTGTTGCGTTCCGCTGTGGAATCTGTGCTTTAGGATTTTTATTTGCAACCGTGAACAACTTAAGTATGCTAGCCCACCCAACATAATCCTCGGACGGAAGGCGGGAACGTCACCCGGAGCGGATGCACTCGTCCTGACATGTCTCAGATCCCGCCATCCCTTCCCGCGCGCCGACCGAGCTACCACAGTGCGGGAACACATTTACGTATGTTTCGACATCGTCTTCCAGCGGGCTTTGAATGGCTGACCACATGCGCTGACTCTCAGGTACAGCACCGCGCGCCGGAAGGTTGGAGCGACGGACGCCGATGAAATGGCGACATCCCCAACCCCGTTCGGCCGGGTGGCAGGATATCAGCGCCGACCCAGATATATTCCCATCAGCATCGTGTAAATCCTTTCCCGTGGCTCGACTCCCAGGCGAGTCCTATTCTCTCTGGGCAGATGTCGACTCGCCACACTGATCGACTGCTCCCGGGCGGACCAGCGCGCCCACGGCGCCTCGCCCACGGCAACAGTCATAATCAGAGAGCGCACATGGGAGTGCTTCGCGGGATCAAAAACCACCCACACTGCGGATTTGGGCCTCGGAGTCCGTCAGAAGGGAGGAAGCTTCGCGCCATTCGGAGTTCGCCGGGCTCGTGCTACCCGACGCTGATATGTCCTTCGCATTCTAGGCTTATGAATTTACGGCGGTGTACGGTCGAAAAAAGATATGGAGGCTATGAGAATCCTCATGACCAGGTGCGTTGACTTCACCGATGCTAGATGTCAACAGATACGTCTGGGTAGACGTCGACGGTCGGCCGTCCGCACCGTATCTCCAGCTGCGCAGCTACCCTCAATTTCAATCAGAGGGTTCTGATCGCGCATTCTGCGGACAAGCCGGTTCCCAGGACTGCCAACCTTGGTCGTGGTCTGAAGCGGTCCTCCTCGGAGTTTACGCCAAGCGCCGGCCCACCGGAGTTCTCCCGACGGCGTACGCTCGTGCACGCGCCTGTGGGTGGGATCGCCCGCTCTGCAATTCTCTGAGCTCTGGCTCAGAGACCTGAAGCAGCGCAACCTTGGTGGCTACGCTCGCGCACATGGCGTATGTACGTACACACGAAGGTCAGCGTGGGTCCATGTGTGCGCCACATGTCAAGAAGAAGCCTGGGTGGTTCAGCCGCCTTGAGGAGAAGTGGCAGCAGACCTGGGATGCCTGGACGTCCAGCTTTGGTGCCTCTCGGGGGTGGCGGGCAGACACGAGAGGACGGAGGGCGGGCCAGGGGCTCGGGTCGAACACTCACGTGATGCTGATGGCGAGAGCAACGAGCGCCGACTCCCGCCGAGACCCTTGCCCGCCGCCACTTGACCGCCACCGCCGACGTCGCCGACTCGCCACCGAATATTCAAGCCCGTGATTACCGACGGCGGGGCCCATTGTGTTTAGATGCTTGGGTAGCGTTATTCCCGTTGTTATCTGAAGGAGATATCTAGCTAATGGGACTTGATCAGCTAGAATTCGGGGCACCGACAGCGAGCGAGCGGCGCGGCGACGGGCCTCCGCACCTTCACGTTGTCCCTGAGCCACCATGTGCGTCCGCCGCGGGCGCAGGGGGCACTGCTACGGCAAGCGCACGCCAATCCGCGAGCGCTGATGATGTCGGAGTTGGAGTCGTTTTCCAGCCCCGGATCTCGACCAGAATTGATTGAGCGAGAGAAGCTTCTTGTCGGGTAAGTGGCATTTTTCTCGCAGAAATGCGTGCCGTGCTGATCCGTCTGGCCTCCTAGATCTGCCTATTGCTGCTCAGCAGATCGCAGAGCACAATGGCTGGTCAACAGGCCGCGGCCGTCACGGGACGACGGTTTGTGTGGCGTTCTTTGTACACCCTCGAGCCCATCGGAGCCCTGTGCGCACCTATCCCCCACCACTGTGCTCCCATTGTTCATCTTCATCCATAAATCATAGGACGACATGTTTCGAAGACTCAGACCTCGTCGTCTCCCCTAGTCTCCTCGACGGTTTTCGTCCTCTTCTCCTCATCTCGTCGTCGACTCTCGTCCTCTTCTCCCCGTCTGTCCATCCTCCAGACATCTCACGACAACGCTCACGCGTCCTTCATCGCTCTCTCTCTTCCCCTCTGGACCTCTCCCCAAAATCTTCACGACCCCCATTATGAACGACCACTTCGACAACCTCATCGTCGACGACGTCGTGACGACCACTATCGACTCCAGGCCACCGATTCCGTGTAACACGACATACAATCTCGCCTCCACGGTCCCTACCATCGCCAGCTCTGCCATCGCCACCTCCGCCATCGCCACCTCCGTTATCGCTAGCTCCGCCCCCGTCGGCCCGACTGCCGCTATCCCCACCCTCACCGCCACCGCCATCGTGCTCCAGTCGTCCAGCGCCACGCACCACGATATACGTCCATATATGGTCGTGCTCGGTGCAGTCGTGGCAGTCGCGTTTTGTATGGCTGCGATGCTCCAGTGGAGGAGCCGGCGGAACAGCAGACGTTCCCAGCAACCTGGTAAGCACATGCACACATCGACGTTCAACATGTGCTCAACGTTCCCTAGATGTCGAGAATCAGTTGCCACAAAACATTCAGAGCTCACCGCGGGAGAGCATCATCTTGACCCTCGGTTCCGATTCCTCCGACTCTGCAAAGCTAGACGAGCAGGATGAGTCGTCCAATGAGGACTCTCCCGCTGCCTTCACCCCGAGCCCAACGTCCTCTACCTGCTCCCTTGAGTCCACCGCCACCGTCACGTCCTCCACCTTCTCCCTCGAGTCCACCACCATCGGAACGCTCCCCACCAGCGCCCTCGGGTCCGCCACCACCGGAGCGCTCTCGCCGCGCGCCCACCCATACGGGGCAGCGGGGGGGCCGGTGATCGTCCTGTCGCAAGTGCGCGAGTTGAACAAGGCTCAGCGCCCGTGGGCCTCGGACCCCGAGCTCCATACTCAGGCGGCCCGTGGAACATCTCCGGAGCTCCCACCGCTGCAGTTCCCCGCGCCGTTGGTGCTTTCGTTCAACACGCGGGAAGATGCGGCGAGGTGGTCACGGGCGACTCGGTGGTCGGGTACGCTTGTTGATCAGTCGAAGCGCGACACTCTCCCCCTGTACAGTGATTCGCGTCCTCCGTCGTACAACAAGACTGCTACATTTGTTTTTACTGGCCTGTAGTTTTATCCTTGCTCTCTCTCCGCTGTATTTTTAGTTGTGTATTTGTACCTCTCTCGCACTGTAAGGAGCTCGTTTGACACGAGGATATCATGTTGATCGTAGTAGCATTTGTAGCCCAGTATCAGTGGAATTCCAGTCGGATGATTGTACATATGTGGGATAACTGGTCTATGGATGGACTACGCCTGGAAGGGAATGCGGAGGGCGTTCGTTGAAAGAACACGTACAGGACTATGGCGGCATACATAAATGCAGATCAATGGGCATGGTCAAGTGATGACGCACAACGTGACGGTTCATGAGCGGCCATCGGCCGACAACTCTCGTGCGGCGCACCGTGATGGGGAGCCACGAGTGAATATTTGCGTCTGTGTACCGGCTCTGCACAATGTTAGAGCGGCTTTACCACCTCAGTCGCGTCTAAAAGAACTTCAGATGAAACGTACCGACTGGAATATGTCTTTCTCAGGAGTGTATTCCTAGCACTTATCTCAACTTCGGAAAGCACCAAAGGCGTTTAATAGCGCCGGTAATATAACTTTGCATGCTATGCGTACACCACTGACATCAACGATCGAGTACGGAACCTCCGAGTTTTGCACAAGACGCCAATTCAAGGACAGCGCAGGTGCCGTGATCCGGGCCGCCGGCCCGCGCCACTGCCCGCACTCCACCTTGAAGCGCGCAGGTGCGAACAGTGAAGCTCCATCTACGCGTGACTTGTCTCTCGCCATTCCCTCGCACTCTTTCTTCGCCGTGTCCTCAGCCACAGCCCCCTGCAGCACTTGGATGGGACGGCGGATATCCCCGGATGTCGCCATAACCGAGGTCTCGATTCGGCTCAGGAAGTCGACGATGCACAAGAGCAGGGAAGGGTTCGTCGACCCTCACGCGCTGCAGTCGTACGTTGTTCCTTCTGTCTTCAGGTCGTCGACACAAATCGCAAACGAGACCCCGCGGAGGACGGTGCACGTGCCAGGAAGACGACAAAAAATGGGCCGGGCGGTGGACGGTGAAGCATGGTTCCTGAGAGCGCGGCCGCGCAGAGGGTGTCGGACGATCTGGCGATCGTGGTGGCGGACATCTACGCGCGCAAGGTCAAGCGGCTGCAGGCCATCGCACAGGGCCTGACCGGCAGCGAGTATCTGGTGCGTTTCTTCTTTGCCCCGGATGCGTTTCAGAGGCACCGCGGCTGACTGTATGCGGGTGCAGACGCGTCGGGGGCGCAAGAAGAATGGGGTCGGTGTGGCGATGAAGCGTGGATGCCACGCGGAGGCGGTTCCTTGGACACGAAAGTTGCAGCGTTCCTCGCTCGATGGCCGTCGTCGTTGGCGGTGAAGGTGCGCTCGCTTCGGAACACCTGCGCGTCCGATGGGGTGGGGCCGCGCCGACGACGTGTGGCCGTCCGGCGCAGATGTGGGGCGTGGGCGTGGGCGGGTGGGTGCTCGTCTGTCTGGGGCGAAGGCCGAGGTACGTACTGCGTGACTTCGTGCGTGGCCGGGTGTCAGGCAGTCTAGGATGGGCTGGTTTCGCCTTGCATTGTGGATTCTGCACTCTGTATTTGCAATCATGACTTTGTCCAGCTTCGCCCACGCCATGGGCTCTGTCATCCAATGCAATCGTAGGCCACCGAGGATGTCTGGTCGCAGCATTACACAATCGCCGTACGTGAACAGAACCTGGAGCTCGGCAGGGCTATTCCGAGAACAGAACTTGCAGCGCGGGAGGGCGACTCCGAGAGCGCAGCCGCCGTACGTGAACACTCGGGAAGACGACTCCGAGACCGGTCCCGTCGGCTGCTGTCCTCCGCACGAGCGCCCGCGGCGATCACCGACTCCACTGCGCTCACAGCAGCGATGGCCCGCTCAAGCACAGGTCCATACAGCGCTCACTCCTTCATCCCCAGCGTCCCTCACAACCACATGCGGTATAAAAGGCAGCGTCAGAAAGAGCTCAACAGCAACATCCTCCTCCCATCAACTCCATCAGCCCAGCTACACAGTGCGTGTTGTCGTCAAGCCCACCCACCCCCTCAACTGACCCTCTTTCTCAGATGGCTTCTACCCAGCCTCGCATCGCTATCGTCGGCGGCGGCCCCTCCGGCCTCGTCCTCCTTCTCACCCTCTACAAGCGCGGCGTCGCGGCCACCCTCTACGAGCGCGAGGCCGACTACGCCTCCCTCGCCTACCTCGGCAGCTGCCTCGACCTCCGCTGGACGCACGGCCAGCGCGCCCTGCGCGAGAACGGCCTCCAAGACGTATTCGACGCCAACTCCCGCGCCGAGGCCGACGCCTACCGCGTCCTCGACCAAGACGCCACCATCCTCTTCGACCACACCACCGAACTCTCCACGAACCCCGAGGAGGTGGCGCCCGAGATCGACCGCCGCTTCCTCCGGAAGATCATGATCGACGCCGTCCCCGCGGAGTCCATCCAGTGGGGGCACACCTTCTCCTCCGCGCGCGCGCTGGGCGACGGCACGCACGAGGTCGCGTTCACCAACGGCACCACGATCGTCTGCGACGTCCTCATCGGCGCCGACGGCGCGCACTCGCGCGTCCGCCCCCTGGTCTCGCCCACGAAGCCGTTCTTCTCCGGCATCAACGGCGCGGAGATCTCGCTCGCGCCCGACGTCGCCGCGAGCCCCGCGTTCGCGCCGTTCCGCGCGCTCATCGGCGCCGGGACCGCGTTCGCGCCCGTGCGCAACAAGCGGTTCGCGGTGCAGCCGAACGCGGACGGGCGCGTGCGCATGCTGCTCTCCTTCCGCGGCGACGAGGCCTGGACGGTGCCCACCGCGCCCGAGACGATCGCGGAGACGCGCGCGGCGCTCCACGCGCTCTTCGACGGCTGGGCGGACGTGTTCCACCAGGCGATCGACGGGTGCGACGAGCAGATGGTCTACCACCGCCCGCTGTACATGCTCCCCGTCGGGCACCGGTGGGCGCACGTGCCCGGGGTCACGCTCGTGGGGGACGCGGCGCACTTGATGACGCCGTTCGCGGGGATGGGCGCGAACCTGGGGATGCTCGACGGGTTGGAGCTGGGCCTAGTGCTCGCGGAGGCGGTAAACGCGGGGGCGACGGCGGAGGAGCGCGAGAAGGCGATCGCGGGGGCGGAGGAGAAGATGTTTGAGGCGGGCAAGTTCTGGCAGGAGCGCACGGCGGCGAACATGGCCGCCGTCTTCAACGAGGGCGCGCCGGAGTCGGCGGTCGCGGCGATGAAGAGGCACATGCAGGCGCGGGGTGGGCAGAAGAAGTAGGCCGTTCGCTGTGTAGACCGCAATAGTTACGATATGTCATGTCTGCAAACGATCGTCCTTCCTGGGCGTGCTGATTTCTCAACTTCGTCCGTCGGATGTCCTTGAACTTGAAGTCGCCTGCAGACGCGCTTCTTCGCCGCGAGCTGCCCTCTTGCTCAACGGCCAGATAGGCGCCGATCTCAATCACTCACTGACCGCATACACTCTCCTTCTCCCCCCGCTACTATCCAGCCCCCGTCCTCCCAGCACTCTGAACTTCCCCCCACCCACTACTGTCGACCCAGCAACTTTCTACTTCAACGCTTCCGGGATGGCCCCACTGCGCCCACGGCAGTTGATCGAGGTGGACGATTTGTGAGCGCGTACCGCCCTGTCATCTGCATATCATTCCCCTTAGATGGAGTCGTAGGTCGGCGTCGCAGGCTCGCGCTCAGGAAGGAGGGGTTTCCAGCCAACGGTGTCCGCGGGGCTACCCAAGCGGCACTCTTCCACCCGGGGGCGACGCGGTCGACGAGGCGGCCTCATGAACCCCTGCACAGTAAGGGTGCGCTAGCTCGCCGACGCGAAGACCGGTCCGCAATGCTAAGTCACCCGCGCCGGCCTCCACTGGACCCACTATCTGCCCAAGCAGCTGGATCCCGTCCGGTGTCGCGATCCTCCCCGCGTCACCAAGGGGCTTGAGCGGGTGCGGCGCGACCTTGAGGGGACCGGCGTGATGCCCGACGCGATGATGATCTGCCTCGCGTTCATCGTCGCGTGTGGATGTCCACAGCGAGGCAGTGCTCGTGCACGTTGAATTGAACGCGCATGTTCAAAGGAACATAAGGTTTCACACTTGTCCACTCCCACCGAAGCACCACCACTGACGCAGATTGTGGTAGGTGGCATATGTACAGGATACGTATGCTCAGTGGCTCAGTGGCAAGCTTCATCGAGACACCGGCGATGAGCCCCCTCCGAAAACAATTCTTTACGGGACTTGGCAATAGGTATACTGCAGTACATGGCCACCGCCCGGAAGACTACGCTAACGATTCACACAGCCCCATGTGTTTGCAGCCCTTCAGATAGAATCAAAAGCTTAGATAAGATTGATGCGTTGCCTGCGAAGCCTTTGTAAGACGACTCTTTGTCTGCCTTTTGATCGCTTATCTTACATTCAGGAGCATTGCATTGAGGTCAAAGCCACGCTTATGCCACAGTGACATTCCATCAGTGGTAATTCTATTGTTCCCTCGTTCAGGGCGCCACTTGACACTCATCTTCCTTATAGGCAATGCCGCTTTGATTTGCTTCCCACTGCCAACTACACTGCACCCTCACACCGCCAATCGCAATCTCCCCTTGACCACCGCCTGTATCCTACCCTTCGTTTCCTGCGACAACGCTACCGCAACTGCGCAGCTAACATTGACCAGTATTCCGACTGCCCCTCGTCATGAACACGGTTATCCCGCGTCCTCTCCCAGAGTCGGTCAGTTCCACTGACCTCGCAGCCCATATCCACGCCCAATCTGACCACCCCCGCAGCTGCGCGACATGTGGTTCTCTCGCCACGAATACGAGGCTGCGCTCGCCATCCACAGTTTCCTCAAGTTCGCCATGTCCGCCGACCCCGACGACGACCTCTTGACCACGGCGATGAGGCTCGAGAGCTTTGTCCCGCACGTCATCTACTGCCTCTCGCCTCCCCTCGACGTCGCATACGCCACCCTCTACCTCCTCTGGAACCTCCGCCGGAGCGGGAACCGACATCTCTCCTCCGGCCACGGTCTCTTCCTCGTCGCCCTCCGACTCGCGTGGTCTGTGCTCGAGGACCCTGGCGTGGTCGCGCCGTACCATCGGTGGATGGACGCGATCCCGGGCCTGTACTTCCCCGTCTCCCAGTTCACTGCGCTGGAGATCAAGTTCTGCGCCGCGCTCGACTGGAAGGTGGGCATCAACCGCGAGGACTTTCTCGCCTTCAAGGCCGGGGTGCGGACGTGGGTCACCGAGAGAGGACGGCTCCCGTTGGAAAAATACCTCGAAGATCGCGCGTTCGAGACGCATCCGGGCCCCGGCACAGATTCGGACCCGAAGGGAACCCCGAGCTATGACTGCGTCGCGCATCTGCAGCAGGCCGTTTATCACTGCCCGAACTACGAGCATGTGTCTATGACGGGCTCCTCTCCCGACTCGGCCTGCTCTATTGGGACCGCCTCTTCTGGAAGCCCGGCGCCGCTGACACCGGCGGACGCGATGGAGGTGGCGGAGTCGCCCCAGGCCCAGCCTTGCGCAGGGCCGGCAGACGGTCGCGAGGCCTCGCCCTCCGCTCCCCATCACGGTGCACCGCGCGAGAGTTGTCGGCCGATGGCCGTCCATGAACTGGCACGATGTGCGTTATCGCTTGACCACGCCCATTGATCTGTCTTTCTGTACGCTGTCGTTATCCCCTGCTGTACGTTTTCTTTCCACGATCGCCCTACACATCCAGTTATCCCACATATGTACAATCATCCAACTGGAATTCCACTGATATTGGGCTACAAATGCTACGATCAACATGATATCCTCGTGTCAAACGAGCTCCTTACAGTGCGAGAGAGGTACAAATACACAACTAAAAATGCAGCGGAGAGCGAGTAAGGATAAAACTACAGGCCGGTAAAAATAAATGTAGCAGTCTTGTTGTACGACGGAGGACGCGACTCGCTGTATAGGGGAAGAGTGTCGCGCTTCGACTGATCAAGAAGCATATCCGACCACCGAGTCGCCCGTGACCACCTCGCCGCATCTTCCCGCGTGTTGAACGAAAGCACCAACGGCGCGGGGAACTGCAGCGGTGGGAGCTCCGGAGATGTTCCACGGGCCGCCTGAGTATGGAGCTCGGGGTCCGAGGCCCACGGGCGCTGAGCCTTGTTCAACTCGCGCACTTGCGACAGGACGATCGCCGGCCCCCCCGCTGCCCCGTATGGGTGGGCGCGCGGCGAGAGCGCTCCGGTGGTGGCGGACCCGAGGGCGCTGGTGGGGAGCGTTCCGATGGTGGTGGACTCGAGGGAGAAGGTGGAGGACGTGACGGTGGCAGTGGACTCAAGGGAGCAGGTAGAGGACGTTGGGCTCGGGGTGAAGGCAGCGGGAGAGTCCTCATTGGACGACTCGTCCTGCTCGTCCAGTTTGGCAGAGTCGGAGGTATCGGGACCGACGATCAAGATGGTGCTCTCTCGCTGTGAGCTCTGAATGTTTTGTGGCAACTGATTCTCGACATCTAGGGAACGTTGAGCACATGATGGACGTCGATGTGTGCATGTGCTTACCAGGTTGCTGGGAACGTCTGCTGTTCCGCCGACTCCTCCACTGGAGCATCGCAGCCATACAAAACGCGACTGCCACGACTGCACCGAGCACGACCATATATGGACGTATATCGTGGTGCGTGGCGCTGGACGACTGGAGCATGATGGCGGTGGCGGTGAGGGTGGGGATAGCGGCAGTCGGGCCGACGGGGGCGGAGCTAGCGATAACGGAGGTGGCGATGGCGGAGGTGGCGATGGCGGAGGTGGCGATGGCGGAGGTGGCGATGGCAGAGCTGGCGATGGTAGGGACGGTGGAGGCGAGATTGTATGTCGTGTTACACGGAATCGGTGGCCTGGAGTCGATAGTGGTCGTCACGACCTCGTCGACGATGAGGTTGTCGAAGTCGTCGTTCATAATGGGGGTCGTGAAGATTTTGGGGAGAGGTCCAGAGGGGAAGAGAGAGAGCGATGAAGGACGCGTGAGCGTTGTCGTGAGATGTCTGGAGGATGGACAGACGGGGAGAAGAGGACGAGAGACGACGACGAGATGAGGACGAGACGACGAGACGACGAGACGACGAGAAACGTCGAGGAGACTAGGGGAGACGACGAGGTCTGAGTCTTCGAAACATGTCGTCCTACGATTTATGGATGAAGACGAACAATGGGAGCACAGTGGTGGGGGATACGTGCGCAAAGGGCTCCGATGGGCTCGAGGGTGTGCAAAGAACGCCACACAAACCGTCGTCCCGTGACGGCCGCGGCCTGTTGACCAGCCATTGTGCTCTGCGATCTGCTGAGCAGCAATAGGCAGATCTAGGAGGCCAGACGGATCAGCACGGCACGCATTTCTGCGAGAAAAATGCCACTTACCCGACAAGAAGCTTCTCTCGCTCAATCAATTCTGGTCGAGATCCGGGGCTGAGAACGACTCCAACTCCGACATCATCAGCGCTCGCGGATTGGCGTGCGCTTGCCGTAGCAGTGCCCCCTGCGCCCGCGGCGGACGCACATGGTGGCTCAGGGACAACGTGAAGGTGCGGAGGCCCGTCGCCGCGCCGCTCGCTGTCGGTGCCCCGAATTCTAGCTGATCAAGTCCCATTAGCTAGATCTCTGCTACAGATAACAACGGGAATAACGCTACCCAAGCATCTCAACACAATGGGCCTCGCCAGTCGGTAATCATGTGCTTGAATATTCGGTGGCGAGTCGGCGACGTCGGCGGTGGCGGTCAAGTGGCGGGGGCGAGGGTCGGGAGTCGGCGCTCGTTGCCCTCGCCATCAGCATCACGTGAGTGTTCGACCCGAGCCCCTGGCCCGCCCTCCGTCCTCTCGCGTCTGCCCGCCACCCCCGAGCGGCACCATAGCTGGACGTCCAGGCATCCCCAGGTCTGTTGCCACTTCTCCCTCAAGGCGGCTGAACCACCCAAGGCTTCTTCTTGACATGTGGCGCACACATGGACCCACGCTGACGTTCGTGTGTACGTACACACGCCATGTGCGCGAGCGTAGCCACCAAGAGTGCGCTGCTTCAGGTCTCTGCGCCAGAGCTCAGAGAATGTGCAGAGCGGGGGATCCCACAAGCGCGTGCACGAGCGTACGCCGTCGGGAGAACTTCGGTGGGACCGGCGCTTGGCGTAAACTCCGAGGAGGACCGCTTCAGACCACGACCAAGGTTGGCATTCCTGGGAACCGGCTTGTCCGCAGAATGCACGATCAGAACCCTCTGATTGAAATTGAGGGTGGCTGCGCAGCTGGAGATACGGTGTGGACGGCCGACCGTCGACGTCTGCCCAGACGTATCTGTTGACATCTAGCATCGTGAAGTCAACGCACCTGATCATGAGGATTCTCATAGCCTCCATATCTTCTTTTCGACCGTACACCGCCGTAAATTCATAAACCCTAGAATGCGAAGGCCATATCAGCGTCGGGTAGCACGAGCCCGGCGAACTCCGAATGGCGCGAAGCTTCCTCCCTTCTGACGGACTCCGAGGCCCAAATCCGCAGTGTGGGTGGTTTTTGATCCCGCGAAGCACTCCCCATGTGCGCTCTCTGATTATGACTATTGCCGTGGGCGAGGCGCCGCGGCGCGCTGGTCCGCCCGGGAGCAGTCGATCAGTGTGGCGGAGTCGACATCTGCCCAGAGAGAATAGGACTCGCCTGGGAGTCGAGCCACGGGAAAGGATTTACACGATGCTGATGGGAATATATCTGGGTCAGCGCTGATATCCTGCCACCCAGCCGAACGGGGTCGGGGATGTCGCCATTTCATCAGCGTCCGTCGCTCCAACCTTCCAGCGCGCGTTGCTGTACCTGAGAGTCGGCGCATGTGGTCAGCCATTCAAAGCCCGCTGGGAGACGATGTCGAAACATACGTAAATGGGTTCCCGCACTGTGGTAGCTCGGTCGGCGCGCGGGAAGGGATGGCGGGATCTGAGACATGAGTACATCCGCTCCGGGAGACGTTCCCACCTTCCGTCCGAGGATCACGTTGGGTGGGCTAGCATAATTTTGATCACGAAAGCATTCAGGGCTGCAAATACAAATCCTAAAGCACAGGTTCCACAGCGAAACGCGACAGCGAGTCCGAGATCCTATTCACGTAGACTGTCAGGTGCCATGAAGAGCGTATGAAGTCATCGAGCACCTACCTCGACTTTCGCCCATGACAAACGAGCACGCCCACACCCTCTATGGGTCCGGGACGACGCACGTCTCGCCGAGCGCGCAACGCACCAGCCCTAGTCCGTGACCGAACAGTGGGAGCCACCCGCTGCTCAGCCTCTGACCAAGCCTACCCCGCGCTGCCCGGGGAAGTTGGCGCCGCCACCGGCCCATCCCATAGGGCGCACACGTGCTCCACGAGCGCACCCCCACCGCCAGCGACGACGGGCACCGAGCCAGGAATGTTGCGAGGCCCGCCCCTGAGACGCGTCAAACGCACCAGATACTCGTTTCCAGACTGGCCATCGCGCGGGTAGTAGAGGGTCAGAATCCAGCTTGCAAGTCTTGCTTTTGGGCTTGAGGCGCGACCATGATCTCTTGAAGCTCTTCGTGATTGTGGACCAGGGTGGAAGCAGGACGATGGAGGTGGGTAGCGACGATGGCGTGCGGGAAGGAGAGCGTTGCGCGGCGCTCCGCGTGCTCGCACGGGCCGGTGCAACCCGGTGTCGTGTCGATAGTGAGCGCGCTGGTTCAGTCAGTGAGATGCCCAATCTTGCCATCGACACACTGTCCTCGGCCGCTGTGGTCGCCGCGCACATCGTATCCTCGTGCTGGTCAACGGTATCAATGAATCTATGGACATCAGGTAAAAATACAGCCGAGAGTGAGTAAAGATACAACTGCGGACAAATAAGGATACGGGCGATATGTACTCTAACGATACATATCAACTGCTCTTCGAGAGCACATTTGCAGTCTATGTGCAAGTGGTTGAGCCGAGTCGGATCCACCGAGCCTCTGCGCCAGGGTCGAACGCACATCTACGTTACCAAATCAATACCACAGGAACTGGTCGAGTGACCGTCCTCTCCTTCCCGAACTCGTCCAACTCGAGGCAGGTCTCCTCCCGCTTCTCCTGCGGCCACTGCGTCGCCCCATCGTGACGTGTGCTGATAGGCAGCACCGCACGTTCAGGGGCCTGCAATGGTGGGGGATGCGGACGCGCGAACTCGAGTGCGCCAGAGGCGGTGCCAGACTTGAGGCTCGCGAGGCGAGAGGAGGCCGAATCTTTCTCGGAGTCTTGGTTAGCGTCCGCCTTTGAGGAGTCGGAGAACTCGGGTTCGAAGATCAACGTAATCCTCCCCTTCTGCGGCTTCTGCGGCTTTTGCACCAGCTGCTCCTCGATGTCTATCGAACGTTTATTGAGCACGGAGGGGTGGCGAAGGTGAAAACTCGCTTACCAGGCTGCTTGGATTGTCTGCTGTTCCGCCGGCTCATCCAAAGGACTCGCCCAAGAATACCGACCACCATTCCCACGACTGCAATGAGCACTACCATGAATGGGCGCATGTCGATGTCGTGGTGTGTGGCACTGGACGACACGAACACGGTGGCGGTGATGCCGACGGTGGCGGAGCTGGCGATGGCAGAGCTAGCGATGGTAGGGACGGTGGTGGCGAAATTTTGTGTGTTCATGCTGAGGGTCGTAAGGATTTCGGGGAGAGGCGCAGAGGGGAAGAGAGGGCGTGATGAGGGACGCGTGAGCGTTTTCGTGAGAGGTCTGGACGAGGGGGGACGGGGGCGAGACGGGGACGAGACGACGAAGAGACGAGGGGAAACGACGATGAGACGAGGGGAGACAGCGAGGTCTGAGTGTTCGAAACATGTCGTGCCAGGACTTATGGATGAAGGTGAACAATGACAGCTCCATGGGGGGCCAAGGTGCACAAAGGGTTCGCGACTCTTTGCGCTCGAGGGTGTCCAAAGAATGCCACACAGACTGGCGTCCCGTGACTGCCGCGGGCCGTTGAACAGCAAGAGGCAGATCTGACGGACGGCAAGCGGATCAGCGCTCAGTCCATTTTCTCGCGAGAACAAACCGCTAGTTACCCGACAAGAGGCTTCTCTCAGCCATCATCAATTTGTGCATGACTCAATTGACGAGCTCCAGACGCATCTGCGCCCCTGGTCGAGCGGCGGAGACGCGTGCTCTTCAGGAACAGTGTGACGGGCGCGTCGGAGGCCCATGGCCGCGTCGTGCACGGAATTCTAGCTGATGACATTCCATTAGCCAGACGTCACCCTCAAAAAACAAGGGCACATTCATACTTATTACTGAAGTGCCACTTGGGCCCGGTATCACAGACAGTCGTCAGTGGCGACGTTGGTGGCGACAGTGGCCACTGGCGGCTCGGGGGTTCGGGCGCTCGTTTCCTTTTTCGGCTGGGCGTTCACGTGGGCTTCGGGCCGCGGACTCCGACTCGGACGGTTGACCGCATCGGACTCCTCGGAGCGCTCTCTCTTCACAACTGACTCCGAGTCCCGGATATCTGGGGCCACGTCGTACCCGCGTTGCTCGAAGTAAACTCTCACAGGCGGCCTCTTTCATATCTCAGTTGTCCTGCACGCAGTGTTCGTCTGTGCCGTCGTGAGCCGACGCCTAGGGCTCGGGCGCGTGATCTAAGAGCACATCAGCCTCGCATCGAGCAGCGAGCTACGCGTACTCGGGTGCAGGGGTACAAATCGCGCCATCCTCGGTGCTATGTCCGCCGACAGAGGGCTGGGTATCTTTCGTGAGAACGAACTGGACAATCCCATCAGCTGCACGCACGTGTGTATGCGCTGCCCCGATGTTGAAGGGCTGGCCGAGTGTGGCGACGACGATTGTGAGCTTCGCGGACTCCTGGCGATGGCACACGTGACACTGCCTCTGTACATCCGCTGCTGTGTCATTGAATTTGCACGATTGCACATGTATACATTCGAAGGTCATAGCGCGGGTTTCTACAAATTTCTACACGGCCCAGGTGTCGTCATCATTCGCCGAGCGACCCGCCTCAACAGCAGCAGACAACTCGTCCCGCAGCAAGCCTGTGACGATCCCCGCCCAAGGCCAACGCACCAGCGGACCGGTCCGCTCCTCAGAAGGAGTCTCTGGAAGCGCCGTGCTGATGGTGTCGGAGGTGGACCGGAACGTCGAGACCCTCCACAGTCCGCCACGCACACCGTCGCGGACAGGCTGGGGGTTGAGGGACGAGTCCGTGCGCAAGGATGACCGATTGCATTCGGTCACCCTCTCCTCCGCCGGGACGTGTGCACTGGACGGCGGAGTGGGGATGGACGTGTGTCCGACCACGCGCCCGGAGAGCGCGTCAGCGACAGTGGTGTCGAAGGAGGTGGTGGAGCTTGCTGCGCTGTAGATGAAGATGCGAGGAGAGGGGGAGATGAGACGGTCCGAGTCAAAGTGTTGGAGCATGTGTTCCTCGGGAGGGCATATCCTCGTGTATGGAGGCGGAGAGGGTTCAATGCCGACACGCCTGGGGGCGGCTCTGTGCGGTTCGGAATCTAAGGTATGCATCATGAGCACGATGTGAGTATCGAGATATGAGCATGTGCTTACCATGGTTCCTGCTGTAGGATTGTTTGATGCTCAGGTAAAGCAAACAACCGATCATAAAGCCCAATAGTAAAAAGGCGACATCCATAGCGATCACGAATTGCGTAGTACTAGACTCGGACAGAGCACCTATGGGGGTCCCGGAGGACGCAAGACGGGTGACAGTGCTGGTGATGGCCGAGATGGTGGTGGTTGACGTGGGGCTGGGAGTGGATACACCACAGCGAACAGTCGAGTTGGTCGTCGTTGTCGGCGCGTCATACAGAAGGATGTAGTCGAGGAGATAAGGTGCGGCCGGCCGGGCGTCGACGTCCACCGAGAGGGTATGTTGACGACTAGCGTCGGGAAGTTCTGCGAGAAAGAGAGGAAAATGGGGAAAGCAGTCGAAGGAAACAAGAGTCTGGTTCGCCGCGATCTTCCCATCGACGCTGTAGGTTGCGGTCGCAGGCTCATCATCGGTGTAATGCACAACTGCACCGTACACGGCAACGCGCGGGAATCCTGAACACGGGCACTGAATACAGCACGTTCACGCATGGTATTCATGGGGTTCCACTCACCACTGAAGGTACACCAGAACGATGTCGGAGTGGTGATGACCCAGAACGTATTGTTCAAGTCGGTGCCATCGTTGAACATGGCGGTCACATTCTCGCCCACTGTAGGTGCGATCGTGGGGGTGTTGTTCGCGTTGATCATGGAGTAATCGACGACGAAGGAGCCGAAGAGGGTTTCGTGAGTCATATTGGAGGTCGTGAGCGTGTTCGTGAGTTGGAATGAGTGGGGAGAGAGCGATGGTCAAGGGGACCTGTTACGCGCGTTATGTGTGTCCAGAGCCTGCTCAAAGCGCCCCTACCCGGGGAAGCTTCGCTGTCGTCCGGAATGTGGGCGTGTGGGAGCTCTAGCAAGGCCTCCGCGGCCATCTTCGAGACGCCGTTGTGCGAATCGGTTTTTCGATCGTGTTCCGTCGGAAAACGTCGGATCCAGAATCCGGTGAGTGGATCACTGCAGTCGGGTAGACTCGAGGCGGATTATCCGACTTGGTGAGAAGCTTCCATCATCACCTTCTGTTCGAATGTTGGCGCCGCGCGTGGTTCTTGGTGTGGCGAAGCAGGATTGCCGCAGTCAAGCGAGTTGGTCCGCGATGAGACAACGGCGAGCATGTGGAGTCTTTGTGTGTCCCAGGAACGATTTGAATGGGGTGCCGTTGCGAAGAGCTCTGTGCCGTTGTGCTGGGAATTTCAACGAATATTAAGGGGACTCGCCTGAGGTGCGTGCGCGGCGCATCGATGCTGGTCGAGCAAGGCCAGGAACGGGGATGATGTTGGAATGCTGGACAGGCGACACATCATTTGGGCGAGGGGTTCTCGGCGCTTGTCTGCCCGCCGCTTGCCACGTCCCGGTTGCTGCGCTTTTGGCGTTCGTCTCCGAGTTGGCGTGAAGAGTCGAGAGTGGAGACTACGTTGTCGCACCCAGCCTGGCGTGCGTCTTCTGGTGGCGTGCGTGTTCGGGTAGGTGCTCGACTGTCTGGGACGAAGACATAGATTTCGTATTTCGTGCGCATTTCTGGAGCGCCGAACCCGGCCCCCCGCGCCGATCGCCGAGGTTTTCGCGCCCCTCCGCCTGTGCCTCCGCTTTCGTCGCCTCTGCAAGCACCAAGCCCACTCCCCCCCTCCACAGTGCATATAAATCTTCCATCCCTGCCCTCAGCGCAAGGGGTGCCTTCCGTAAAGTACGGCCACAGCGCGACCATATACTACGGCGCGTACGAACCCAAGCATGTGAAATGACCAACGAGGAAAGAGACTATGCCTCCATCACTTGCTGTACGCCCGCAGCAAATCGTCGACGTTCTGTGCGTAACACCCTCGCACCGGTAGCTTGAGCCGCACCTCGGGCCGCTTCTCCGACGGCACCAGGTTCGTGGGTCCAGCCTCCGCACCGACGGCAAGCAGTGTGGGTGCAGTTGGAATCGGAGTGCGAGGTCGAGACCCCTGCACAGACTCGGTCGCTTGCGTCCACGCATGGACACGTCCAAGTGCATACGCCTGCGACACGACCACCCACCCGGTCGCCGCTTGCGACCCCGCGCTCGACGAGACTGCCGCAATCCCGGGAGCGGATGCGTATGTGCCAACGCGTCCCGCGAGCGTGCCGACGGCGGTGGACTCGACGGAGGTGATGGAGCGTGCCAAGCTGTGGGTTGGGAAGTGGGAGGACGTGGCGGCCAGACGGTACCCTGGCTCGAAGTCTCGCATGTTGCGCTCCCCGGACGGGGCATAGTCTGATGATTTTTCCGGGAGCCGGCCGGAAGGCTCTGTTGTCGAGATCGACGGCATGTTTCTGTGCCCATGCAGTGGCAACGGCTGCTCGGGATCTATGACGCGCACTGTGAGTACAGGACAGGCATAGGACAGAGCAACGTCCTCACAAGGACCCTATGCGTCGTCAATCAGCACCCACCCACAACTAAGCGAAAAGCACTCGAGGACGACGTTGAAAGCTGGCTCTCGTCGGATCTTCATGCTATATCATGCAATTCTAGGGGATGTATTTATTGTGAGAGATCTGTTCGTACAAACTACCTCCATCCATGAGATCCACAAGCAGTTCTGCAACAACACCAATGTCAGCAATATGCTTGCCGAAGGGCCTGCGTCACCGATCTTACCTACTTCTCGTCATTCACGTTCTCTACGTTTTGGCACCCTCAAGCAGTGCCGGCCACCTGCTCTATGCGGCCGTTGTGCCACTTGACCGTGACGCTGCCGTCCTGGTTCCCGAAGTACGCCGACTTGGCCATGTGGCAGAACAGGCCGACCTCGACGATGCCCGTGAGCATCTTGATGCGCTGCAGGAGCTGCTCAAGCATCCGGATCAGCACTGCGGCGGTTGCGCGAGCGACGACGACGGGCTCACCGTGTAGGGGTCCTTCATGAGCTCCTCGGGGAAGGGCGCGTCGATGATGAAGTTGCCGTTGTCGGACACGACGGGGCCGGCCTTGGCCTTGGCCATCCGGAGCTGCGCGGTCGGGGAGCCGATGAGGTGCAGGTTCTGGAGGATCTTCTTGTACGCGAAGGGCACGACCTCGATCGGGATGCCCTGCTTCCACTGCGCGCGTCGGGGTCAGTGGTGGGATGCGACAGGCACGAGGAACGGCGCGGGCTCACGTTCGTGCCGAGCACGTCCGAGTTCTTGCGGTAGTCCGCGACGAGGACGAAGCTGGGAAGGGCGGGTCCAAACGAGCTTCAGCGTCCCGCTTCGAGCGCGGAGCGCGGGCATCGCGAGATTAGGGATTAGAGTGGGACTTACGTATCAGCAGCCTCGGCGAGGACCTTCTCGCGGAGGTGGCAGCCTCCGCCGCCCTTGATGCAGTTCAGGTCGTGGTCGACCTCGTCCGCGCCGTCGATAGTGACGTCGATCACCGGGTACTGGTCGACGTCGCCGAGGAGGAGCTGCGCCTCGACGATGAGCTCCTTGGACTGGAACCCTGCGGCGCGCCCACTTCAGCACGCGCTTGTCGGGGGCGCAGGCACTGACGCACCAGTGGGGATGAAGACGCGGTCCTTGTTGAGCTCCTGGCCTTGGGCGACGATGCGCTCGACGACGTAGGGGACGGTCGAACCTGATGACGCAAGTGGTGGGGACCATCACAGGGTCTCAAACTGCGACATCACCGTACCAGAGCCGATACCAATGACCTTGGAGAGGACGGGTCATGAGCGGAGTGCAGAGCCGATGCAGCGGACGGGCGTACCTTGTGTTCCGGGAGGATGTGCTTGTCGACGGCCGTCCAGGCGGCGAGACGCTTCGCGCCTTCGACCACAGAGGTCGGCTCGGGAACTCCACGCGCCCCCTCGTCAGTGTCCCACAGCGCGACCCAGCAGACGACGACATCTGCGCACCTTTGGACACGACGAGCGGGCCGCCGGGCATGCTTTGGCCCTTCGCGCGGAGCGGGGCCGGGTAGACACCGCTGGTCGGCGTCCTGTCGACCGCGGCGTGAGCGACGGCGGGGGGTTGGGTGGCGATGGGCCCGGCGAGCGTGACGGCGGGCATCGTGCGGGGCGAGGGTGGGTGCGGGGCAGGGGCAGGGGCAAAGGTGTGTGCGATTGGGACGTGGTCGCGGGGCGGGCAGACGGGGGACTCACGAAAGGTCTGGGGTGAGGACCGCAGGCGGGATGGGCATCGTCTTCTGTCGTCCGTGGATCGCTCTTCGTCCGAGCTCTGGTCCGGACTCGAATCGGAGGCTGGCTGGCGCTGTCGGGTGCGGCGGCTGGCGCTGCGGGGCGGAGAGGGTGCGGAGGCGGTTCGAGGGAGGCAAAGTGGGCGAGCGTGGCCTCCTGAGTACTGCGCGCGCGGGGTGGGGGTGGAGAGAGAGAGGAACGTGGGTAGACCGACGGAGCATGGCCTGCCCTCGCGAGTCGCGATCGTCGCTCAGTAGCACTTCCCGCGGGCCCGGTCACGACCCCAGTCGCGAGCCGCGCGCCTCACGCGTCTTTTCTCCCGCCACCATCTACGAGCCGTCCTGCGCTCCCAGCGCCTCGCTCGCGTAGGAACATGAAGGCAATAAGAGGTTCGTTCCCTCCCAGCCTCCATCGCGATGTCGCTCACGACATGCGCTCCCCCCGCGTATTTACAGGTATCCTCCTCACTTGGTTAGTCGCGCTGCCGTGAGCTCTCCGGCATGATCTCTGATTGCTCCTTCTCAGCGATTCCGCGGTGAAGCAGATACTGCTCACCATGAACGACAAAGAGCACTTCATAATCGAGGACCTTGACGACTTCCACGTCGTCATCAAGGCCGAAGCGGAGTGGAAAGTCAGACGCGACCTCGAGGTCGAGGTGAGCAGATCCAGTGCCACTCGAGGAATAATTTCTTTACGCCGCTCTTCAGCTTGAGAAGAACACGTATAGTTTGGAGTGAAGGGCTTTGTTGTGCTCAGCACTACACTGCGGTTCGACCCGACCATTCTTGTCGCCCCTCACACGCTGCATCCGTCGGACGTATAGGATGACGCAGTTGTGGTAAGTAAATATCTTACTCGCGGCCCTCGCTGTTCCACACCGCACAATGGTATTCGACAGATCACTCCGAGACAGACCGGCTCAGTAGACGAGACCTACGGTCTCAAAGCTTGCTGTACGCCGGCGGGCTCTCCCCATCCCACGTGTCGCGCGCCGAGATATGGCGTCGAGTCCCGCCCGTCCCACCCTCCGCCCCATCGCCGCCGCCTTCCGAGAACGACGCTCTGAGCAGGTCCTCGAGGCTCCCCATGTACGGCGGCTCGAGCCGCACCTCCTCCTTAAGCTTCTCCTTGCGCACCGCCGCGTACCCCTCCTCGCCCGCCGCGTCCTGCACAATGGTGGTCAGGGTCGGCGGGGCACGCGCGCTGCCGCCTTGCCTCCGGACCTGACCCTTGCGGTCCGCGGATCGCCGCCCCGCGGCGGCGGCCGCTGCAGCCTTGTGGTACGCACGCGCTTGCGAGGCGACTATGATCCCGGGGGTGCGGGGGGCGACCGGGGGCGCCCCGAAGGCGAGGGACCGCACGGAGGTCGACGCGGTGGACGTGGGGCTCGGCGCGGGATCGGTCGCTCCGGCGTCGGCGCGGGGGAGCGGGCTGTATCCGAAAGGGTTGGGGGCGCGAGGGGAGCGGTAGTAGGTCCCGGTGGGGCGGACCGAGTGGTAGTTGGGGAAGTGGGAGGGAGGGAGGAGCCCGGGGCCCCGCGTCGGGAGGGGTCTGAATGCGCGCGCGTTGCGAGCCGCGGACGTGGACTGGGCGGGAGCGGTCTCCAGGGGGCTGAGGGGTCGAGCAGGCTCTGCGGCGAGCAGCAGCAGGCTCTTCTTCCGGTATTGCGAGAACTGCTGTTCGGGATCTGAGACGCGCCTGGTGAGCGGGCTGGAAACCATGGGGAGAAGTTTGACGGACGAACCAGAGTACCTCGAGGAGGAGAGCACACCTCTCCACCCGCGAGTGCTGCGCACACGGCTCAGAGCCAGACCCCACGCGACCAGGAGGATGCCGCACAAGCCCGCCAAGACCCCGATGACGGGCAGAGCATAGGGTCTGATCGTCGCCTCGAGGGCCGGTACCGACGACTGGCTTGTCGGAACTTGCGGCGTGCTCGTCGCGGAGCTGCTCTCGAGAGCCTGCGCGATGGTCGTAGTCGACTCCAAGTCCTTGTACAGGATGATGTAGTCCAGCACATACGGGGATGCCGGCTGAGCGTCGACATCCACGGAGAGGTTGTACTGACGGCTAGGATCGAGCGTCGAGGAGACGAAAAAGGGGAAGTTCGCGATGTTGTTTATTGAGAGAGGGACAGCCCTCGTAGTCGCGTTCCCATCGAGGTTGTACGTGGCCGTCGCGGCCCCCATCCCAGTGTCTTCCAGCGCTGCCCCGTATACTTCGATACGCGTCGCTCCTATAACAACGTCTGATATAGCGCGCCCGTCGACTGAGACATGGGACCGAACGCACCTGTGAAGCTCCACCAGTAACTGATCGGGCGGTCAAAGACCTGCATCGTGCTGTTCAATGAGGACGTGACAGCCATCGCCAGTATAGACGCAGTCTCCGGTCCGGCCGCAGGCGCGTTTGCATCCAGCGGAAGGGGGCTGCCAACGTTGATCGCAGAATCATCGATGATGATTGCAGTGAGGCTGGGTTTCTCCATGGCGAACGCCTACGGCCTGCGCAAGGACTGAAGAAGGAGAGGAGAAGTGCGAGAAGGAGTGAGGCTGGGGGTCCGATTCTCCAGAAGATCCTGCGCCACGTTATATGCACATGAGGATGTGGCGGGCCTCGGCGTTCCCATGAGAGCGAGCCTAAGGGGGGTGGACCCACAAACACGTCCTTCGGGGGCAGCGGGGACGGCCCGGCATGGACGCCCTTGTATTTCGAGCGGCACGTTGGTGATGATGTGCGTATATGCTGGGATTCCAACACCAACGGTCAGGGATAAGCGGGCTGGTATAAGAGCGCGCTCCAGTGGAGGTACCCGAGGTTCGCGGCTAGACCAAGTCCCTTGTATTCTCGCTTACGTTACCGATCCGAGCCCCCCGCGCTCAGCAGGCGTGGGCCTCGACTCCTCGTGCTTCGGGGCCAGGGGAGCGCAGGACGACCGCGGGGTTGGCTTCCACTGATGCAGGCTTCCACTGCCAGTGCTGACTGGTCTCGTGCGGTGATCTCGGTTTGCAGGATGAGCCTCACGCTCAGGAAGCCAAGACGGCGCCGCGGCAGCCTTCGGCATCATCTAGACAATGCGAGTTGTGATCAGTGAATTCGTCGGGCCATATAGCGGTGCTTCCTTACCAGCAGCCTCTGCTTGGTCCCTACTTCAAGTTTTGTTGGCTGAGGATTCGCAAAGCTTTCAAGAGAGAGAGAGCGGGCACGTCGCGCAGCATCTCTCTCGGCAGTTTGTCCTGATGCTCGATGCGAGGATGCTGCAGACGAAGTATTTTGGGTGGATGTCGGTGCCAGTCCAAGCGACAGGGCGCTTGGACGGGCGTTCCTGACGCGACCTTGTGCCACCCGGTAGCGCCCGACGCGTGGCGCGTCAGGCCGACGCACGCTTCGCCGTTCGACACCCTCAGACCATCCCCTCTTCCCCCTTGCCCACTCTGGTCTTCCGTCTTTTGTTCACCTTGTGCTGCCTTCCACTACCACCCCTACCTTTGGCGTAATACTCGGCGAACCGTCTCTCTCAATGACGCGGCAATGACGTACGCAATCACCAGCAACCAAAAACACAACGTGAATCTCGAGCGCAAGACAGACGCGGACCGGACGAACGACTGGTAGAACACCGTCTCGCGGCGGACCAAGCTTCCTTCCAACCGTCCCCCCCGTATCGTCTACGCCGCGCCGCCCAATCGCTCCTTTGAATGGCGTATAGGCACGTGAACGTGAGGGACGCTGGGCAAGTACAGCGCATACTCTCGGCGTGGAGTGATATATGGAGCGAAGACGTCCTCATGACGAGGAACGCGGCGCGAGTCGGGCGGTCAGACGGCGATCCTGGTCTCTCGCCTCCGTTCAGGATGACGTAGCCGTTGGGAGGGTTCAAACGTTCGTCGGTGGCCGCACGGTGCGTAAGAGGAAGTGGGTAGTCCGTCCTCCCTGTGCGGTGCACTACCCGGAAATCGGGTCGCTTCCAACCCCAGGCAGTGCACGACCGCAAGTTTGGATCGTGCGGATCCGAGGTGGAAGCCCCTCCCGAGGGACGCATAGTTCACTCATGTACTCCCACCTCCTCTCCAATACATATCGTGCGTTTCCTGCGACTCGACGCGCTTTTCAACGTCCAACAACACGCCCGCTGTCCACGAAGCGACCCATATTCCATCCAGGCCGCAAGCAGACAAGACGCGCCGCGCGCAAAACCAATTGGGGACGCTCTCGAGCCGAAGCTTCTCCTCGCGTTCCCCCTGCCACGAAGGGCGACCAAGCGCGTCCCACCGCGACGTCCGCGCAGGGAAGACGACCACCGAAATCTCCGGCGCCGCTGCTCCGCCCCGCCGCCCCACCTTCGTGGTTCCAGGACGGATCCCGACCGCCCAAGCCCACTCTTCCCCCCGCTGTTCTCGGAGCGTTCAAACGTTCATGCACTGGCGACCGCGGATCGGTGACCACACTCAGGAATGGAACTGCACAATGAACGCCGGTGACAGCAGGTCCTCCGCGAACCGTCCGGCCCCGCACAATCCCCGCCGCGCACGCCAACCAGGCTTTTGCCGCACTGAGTGGGACGACGTCGAGTGCCAAGCCTGTCCGCGCCGCGGCGTCCGAACTTTGTGCATGGAAGGCCTGCGGATCCACTGGGCCGCGCTGTCGCCTCCCGGGTATGGGAATGCTTGGCAGGCGGCAGTGCACGGTGCGAGCAGGCGGGGAGAGAGAGGGAGAGCAAAAAAGGGATGGCATATCGTGTGCTCTAGTCGCACAGGGGCATAGGGCATATGCTAATTCTACACCGAGTCGCGTGTACAGGTGATGGATGAGGATGAGTGGATGCGGGGGAGGATGGATGCGGGGGCATAGGCGGGGGTAAATAGTAGTGATGTGCGGACGACAACAAGACAACAAGACGAGAGGGACGGACGCGGGGCAGACACCGGAGAATACCAATAGATAGGTGAATGTAAAGGAGGAACCGAGACCGCCCGGGGTGATCATACAAGACCGTCTATACGTCTTCAACGCGGGCTCTGCTGACCAGACCGTCCGACGAACCGAGGCCGGGGGAGGCTTAGATGACCTCGAAGGCCTTGCCGCCCGCTTCTGCGTCGAACTTGACGACCGCGTCGAGGCCCATGACCTGGAAGAAGGCCTTGGGGTCCATCCCCTGCGCGCTCGAGTGGTCCGTGCCCGTCTTCTTCAGCGACGCCATCGCCGCGCGGATCCCGTGCACGGCCGCGACGCAGCTCACGAGCGAGAAGACTGCCAAGCGATCGCGAATCAGCGCCCCGCCGCGCGCGCACCAGAGCCCAGCCGACACTCACTGATGATCTTCGCCCCGAGCGCCTCCGCCTCGCGGGTGGTGAACGACGGCGTGAGCCCGCCCGAGATGACGTTGACGAGCACCGGCTTGGGCGCGAGCGCCTCGATCGTGCTCGTGAGCAGATCCGCGGTGCGCACGCCCTCGATGAAGCACACGTCCGCGCCGGCGTCCGCGGCGAGCTTCAGGCGGAAGATGGCCTCGTCCATCCCGAGCACCTGCGCCGAGTCCGTGCGGCCGATGACGACGAAGTCGGACCCGCCTGGGATCGCGTCGCGCGCGGCGACGGCGGCGCGCACCCGCGTCACGAACTCCTCGCGGGAGACGACCTGCTTCCCGAGCAGGTGCCCGCAGCGCTTCGTCTGCACCTGGTCCTCGATGTGCATCGCGGCGACGCCCGCGCGCGCGTACTGCGTCACCGTGCGCGCGACCATCGCGGGCCCGCCGAACCTGTGTGCGCATTCGCGTCAGTGCCCGCGTCGATTCGTCAGTGGAGAGAGGGGGGCGTACCCGGTGTCGGCGTCCGCGATGACGGGGACGGTCGGGTCGAGGCTGCAGACCATCTGCGCGCTCTGGACGAAGTCGTTCAGGGTCGCGATCGCGAGGTCGGGCTGGCCGAGGCGGGATGCCGTGGTCGCGGCCCCACTGTGCGTACACAACCGTCAACATCGCCACGCCAAGAGAAGTGGCTAGTGGCGCCGCCACGTGACGAGGACGCACCTCTGGTACATGCAGTCGAAGCCGGCCTCGAGCGCGCAGCGTGCGCTGATGCCGTCGCAGATCCCGGGCGCAACCTAGTTTGGAGTGGCGTTAAGTGAAGGTTGATAGAGGCACAGAAGAGCGCGGGGAGTACGTACGACGATGCCGGGACGGGCGAGCATCTGCCGGAGGCGCGTCGCGGGGTTCCAGGAGAGCTCGCCCTCGAGGAAGTTCTTGGGGTCCAGGCGGGCGTTGTAGTACGGGTTCGGGCCGGCGAGGCCCATGACCGGGGCCGCTGTCTCCTCGACGGGCGAGAGGATGGGCGAGTTCAGCTCGCTGGTGGGCGTGTGCGTGGAGGGCTCGTTGGCGGAGCTGCCGAGGACGGCGGAGTTGATGGTGCTGAAGAGTTCGAGGCCCGGCATTTTGGAGAGCGTGAGGGCGAGGAGGGATGCGTAGGTCGAGCGGCGGAACGTGGTGGGAACAGTGGAGCCTTTGCGAGGCGGGAGAAGGCGGGGAAGTGCTTGGGGAGGGAGCTCGAGGCGGAGGGCGGTGGGCTGTTGGGTTCGTCTCGGAAACGACACGGCTCTTAAATGCACTCTGGCGGCTGACGGGCAGCGCGAGCCCCCGGTGGAGCTCTGGGCCTGGGCGCTGCCGGGCGCATACGGTGAGAGGCGAAGCGGGCAGTCTGATGGGGCGTTCCCGCGCAGATGGGGCAGGGAACCGGCCGCGATAGGCAGGCGGGTTCGCGCGCGAAGCGAGTGTCCGGGAGTTCGACCGGGGCTCGCGACCTTCCGCGCGCGGCGGACGGGTGCACGCAGCGGGGGTCGTTGCGGCGTTAGAGTTCGGTCTGCGCTGATGCGCCAGTACGGCCGCACCCCGCTCCTTCTCCCAAACGCGGGACTCTGACGCGCATATGGAACCCGAGGGGGAAATGCTTGGCGTGGAGCATCTACGCGGGCTGCATCGTGGAAAATGTTGGGGAGCGAAATTATTGGTTCGCCCGCTCGGAGCGGGATCAATGGACGCGCCGTTCTTACCGACGAGCGCAGACACAGCCACCCTGGACGCGCCGGCGGGGTTAATGCGGGCCCATCCGTTCGTGCTGCCAAGCCCGAAGTACGCTTCCTCATGGACCAAAGGAATTCGCCGGACGCTTCGGGCCATTCTCGCGTGGAGCGAAGGGAGAGTACGCAGTGTAACGTGTGAACACCAGGACGAGGAGCACTAGGAGCTTGTACTCCGTGTCAGTCCCTGTGGGAATGAAATATGAGCGATGGCAGTTTAGGCGATGAAGCACCACGTTAACTTTCTCATGGTGCGCACTGCGCGGGTTTCTGGACATGATGCGCTCTGCGAACTTGCCGTCGTCGAAAATCGAGGGAAATTGCGCAGTCTCGATCACTGCGCGTGACAAGGGTTCGCAACGTAAGATGGCATCGATTTCCAGAGCATTCTCCACGACCTGAGAGCTTCGGCGACCATGAGCGCCGCACGTCACGCTACGTGTACGTCGGCGTTGAGTAAAATTGCACGAGCCTGCGCTGTCGATCCACCGACGTGGTCGGGGATGTCAAGCAGACTGCAAATGGCGTGCGGTGAGGACCTGTGCACGAGCGCGGTCAGGGCGAAGATATGCGTACCTTCCCAGCGCCGCAGGTGGGCGACGACCGTATCAAGATGAGGTGCCAGGGCCACTGCAATCGTGAGAGCGTTGCTGCTAGCCAGGGTATTGCGAGGATGTTGAATGATGATACGACGGGTATCTGCCCACGACGCAGTACATGACGCCCTCCGGGAGGGCATCATCCCGAAACGCGTGGGGTGGCATGTGGCAGCAAGCTCGACGACGATGGAGGACGGAAGCACGTACGCGGCCGGAGAGGCGCCAATTTCCTCCGAGCTCAGGCGCCATCGGCGTCAAGCTTGGCGCGCTGCGTCTGTCGCTCCGACTTGGCACCTGCCACGCGACTTTGCCTCGCTCCCTCGTCCTCGCCTTGCTCCCTCGAGAGCCCCGCCAAGCATGCCTTGTACCGTGTAGATGCATGTCTGCGAGGCTACCATACGCACTCGGACCGACAATCCCATTCGGTGAGTGTCAGCAGGACAATATCACAGATCGCATCGTCGTATCGATGACTTTGGAAGTTGGGATTCTAGACGCTCCCAACCTGCCTGCTGTGAGACCTATCTCCGGGTCTCCGGAGATAGGAGCAAGTGGGTACACGCGACAATCTGTCATATGGCTTCTATCGCGTCGGACGCGGTCATGTATGCACTTGGGGCGCGTTTTAGGGCGCACACGACTCACGAGCTTGCACCAGTTTTACACAATGCCGATCGACCGCGTGTGTCTGTCATAGACAGACCCCATACAACGTTGGCAGCTGTGACCATGTGCCACAACTTCACCGCCAATTTTTGTGAGGCCGACGAACGCAAGTACCGCCTACGATTGGCAATGTTTCTTCTTCACATCCATCTTACGAACTCTCGGGCAGATGTTCTGTTTTTGATGCGACAGGAACAACGACCGACAATCCTGCCTCTTTCACCAGGAACGAGACCGGTCGATGTACGCGCCATTGTGCGGACGTCCGCCTAAACCCCGCCCCGTCACTCCTCCGCCTGAATCCGTAACCCCGCCCCATGGCCGTTACTACCGCCGGCCTCCCTCTGCACCCTCGCCGACGGCTCTCCACCCTCAGTGCGGGGCCGAATGGAGTGCGAGGGAGTTGCACCATCCCACGGGGCGGGCCTCCGCGGTGGACAGACCAGGGCGATCCTGCAGACCCCGCCCTCCCGCACGAGAGAATATGAAAGCACGGCCGAAATCGTCGCCGCTTCCCTCACACCCCGAGCTCATCCGCCCGTCTCCGCCACCTCCCCCATCGCACCCCACGTCGCATTCTGCGGTCCTACACGATGGCGAACGTTCACACCCTCACAGGTCCCGAGGTCGCTGAGCACGCAAGCCGTGATAGCTGCTGGATCATCGTTCACGGTATGCGTGCCTTCATCTATAGCTGCGTCTCCCAGGTCGTCTGACAGAATTTATAGGCAAAGTTTACGACGTGACTGACTTCTTGGACGGTATGTTATTTTGCTCCGGGGGCGCTTCTGGTTCTCACAACAGTGCTTTTGAAGAGCACCCGGGCGGGTCCAAGATCATTCTCAAGTACGCCGGAAAGGACGCAACGTGAGTGGACCATCCACTGTTATATATTTTCCCATGATCTCATGTTTGGACGCATCCAGCGAGGCATATGATCCCATTCACCCTCCGGACGCTATCACCACCAACCTTCCCGTCGAGAAACAGTGCGTCTGCTTCCTGCAACGCCAGCGCATACTCTGACATCTGTCATTTCAGCCTCGGCGCCATTGATGCCAGCACCGTTGCGAAGGTTGTAAAGGAGGTGACCGAGGAAGAGAAGATGAGGCTCGCGCTCATGGACGCGCGGCCGCCTCTCGAAAACATTATCAACATGCATGATTTCGAAAACGTTGCCAGGACGGTGCTCCCTGCGAAGTCCTGGGTATGCTCTGAATACCTTTCTGTGTGCATTGATCTCACGTGCGGCACAGGCATACTACTCTTCTGCATCCGACGATGAAATCACTCTTCGTGAGAACCGCATGGCCTACCAGAGGTTCGTTGACTAGATTTCTCACCTGACCTGTCCCTGTGTTAAATCGCTCCAGGGTTTGGTTCCGTCCACGGATCTTGCGAGATGTCTCCTCAGTTGACTGGTCACACACCATCCTCGGTCAGAAGTCGACGCTTCCCTTGTACATCGTGAGTTGTTCGGCTACCCAAGCGCACTCGCCACTCAAACACCGCACACAGTCTGCCACTGCCCTCGGCAAACTTGGCCACCCCGATGGTGAGCTTTGCCTGACCCGCGCCGCTGCCAACTACGGCGTCATTCAGATGGTCAGTCAGCCCCAGCACGCCCCCGGTGACCCGGTCTTCTCTCATGCGGCCCGCCTTTCTAGATCGCGACGCTCGCCTCCGTCTCATTCGATGACATCATGGACGCCGCGGCCCCCGGCCAGATCTTCTTCCTCCAGCTCTACGTCAACCGCGACCGCGAGATCACGCGCAAGTACGTGCAGCACGCCGAGAAGCGGGGCATCAAGGGCCTCTTCATCACTGTCGACGCGCCCCAGCTTGGTCGGCGTGAGAAGGACATGCGCATGAAGGCCGTCGACGACGATGCCGGTGCCAAGGTCCAGGAGGGGCAGTCCGATGTCAAGAAGGACCAGGGCGTTGCGCGCGCGATCTCGGTGCGTGGTCCGACCGCGCCGCTGATCAAGGCACTGAGGTGCTCGTTTTCAGTCGTTCATCGATCCTAGCCTGTCGTGGAAGGACATCCCGTGGTTCCAGAGCATCACCAAGAGTACGTTGGCTCCGTCTCTGATACGCATGCACGCTAACAATCCGCGCTCCTCTAGTGCCCATCATCCTCAAAGGTATCGGCTGCGCGGAGGACGCGGTCCTCGCATACGAGGCCGGTGTCCAGGGCATCGTTCTCTCCAACCACGGCGGTCGGCAACTCGACACCGCGCGCTCCGGCATCGAAGTCCTCGTCGAGGTCGTCACCGCCCTCCGCCTCCGCGGCTACTTCCCGGACCCCAAGTTCGAGATCTACGTCGACGGCGGTGTGCGCCGCGCGTCCGACGTCCTCAAGGCGATCGCGCTGGGCGCGTCCGCCGTCGGCGTCGGCCGGCCGTTCCTCTACGCGTTCTGCGCGTACGGACAGGAGGGCGTGGAGAAGGCGATCCAGATCTTCCGGGACGAGTTCGAGATGAACATGCGCCTGCTCGGCGCGAAGGCGATCAAGGACGTCGTGCCCGAGATGGTCGACGCGAGCTCGCTGAAGAGCCACTTCGTGATGACCCCCGAGGACAACCTCTTCAACAACACTTGTGAGCCCCATCGCCCCCGTTCGTGCCAAGACGCCGCTGACGCCGGTGTTTTTTTTTCAGACCAGCCGCTCGGGCTCGCGAAGTTCAAGGACGTCAAGGCCCGGATGTAGATTGGCGCAGGCACCGCCGCGCCCCCCGTTCGTATGTCTCCATGCATGTATACCACCCACTGCTTTTGTGCATCTCCAGCCGCCGTGTACGCTACTCTACCTTCTTGACAATCGCATCCTTCTTCCTCCTCGCGCCCACCGGAACGCCGGAACGCATCGCGCCAGGAGCAGCGACTGCAGAGTGGTGCGACTCTCGACCTCCGTGGGACCCTCCGCAGGCGGACCGTGGCGGTTGTGCGGAGGCGGCCCACGCCCCGCACCGGTTCCCGCAAGGTTCGCGCCGCCAGAGCCCACGGCGACCCGCGGTGCTCGGGCTTTGCGTCCCTGATCATCGGCTGCGGGTGGCGGACGTGGGAGCACGCGTCTGAGTGAGGCCCGGACTTGACGGAGGTGGTGGGCGCGCCAGGCGCGCTCGCACTCAGGCCTGCCTCCGCGCAGTCCGCGTGCGCCTGAATGTGGACCGGCGAACTGCGGGACGTGGCGGTCGACGTCTTCGACATGTTGCGTTGTCGTCTTGCCAAATACTGCTGGATCGCCGGTGCCCCGTTTGGACCTGTCGTCTTCGCACGCCGCTGTGGGGTCACGTCAAACGCGGCGCCGAGCTCTGAGTTGAGGACGTGCCAATATTTGAGCTCAGCAGAGGGTGGGTATCGCACAGGAGGGCTGATGCAGCGTACGACGCTGTTGCCATCGGTCTGGAACCATCGAGAAGCCCAAAAATACCCCGGAGGGAGTCGAGGGAGGACCGATGCGAGCTTGGCGGAGACGATAAGCGTGGGTTTAGCGAGCTGCAGTATCTGCGCGCGCATGCGGGCTGTCCAGTGTCCATTGCGGTACGCCTTTACGCCTGTCATACGTCTTATTGGGTTGCTATGACTTCCAGTGAGGCAAGAATATTCATATCTGCGCCAAGCGGGGGTTCGCGATCAGAGCTCCATGGGTCCAGCACCGTTCAAGTGCCGTTCGGGGCTCTTCAGTCAGATCTAAACTGAAAGCTTTGGAGTACCAAGTGTCAGATCAGCGCACCTCTGCGTCCTGCGGATAGTCGTCTTGCAGCTCAATCGTGATGTGTCGTCGTGTTGCTATCCCTGAACCTATTCACGCTCACACCAAGTGGAGTTCGAGTTGGGAAGCGGCGAGCCGCAGCGAAGCAGTGACCATTCGGAGCGCACGAAACAGCAGAATACAACGCAGCACGAGTCCATGTCCATGTCCATGTCCATATCCGAGTCCAGTCCAAATCCGAATCCAAGGCCGTATCCAGTCCGACCAGAGGATGCGCCCGCGCTGCACGGCCCAGGGAAATGTCAGCCTCCGCAGAACAAGGCGCGATCGCGATGACGACATACCATAGCCTCCGCCCTCTACGCCCTCTACGCCCGCGCGACACCGGCCTGACCCGAACGCGACGCAACGGACACGACCTTGCGCTTGGGAAGCGGAGCCACCCGCCTCCGTACGCTCGGCTGCAACCGCCCCTCGCTCCAAAGCCCGACCAGCGCGGCGGCGGCGGCTAGCTCCGTCGCGGTCCTCGCCTGCTCTTCGGGCTGCCGGAGCGCAAACACCACGCGAGGTACGTGGGCCTGCCGCTGCTCGAACGGCAGCTGGAGATGTATCGGAGTCCGCGAGGGCTTGCGCGTACTTGCTGGGGCCAGTGGAGCGTCCACGGCGGCCGTCATCTTGCCCGCGTCTTCAGTCTCAACGTCTTCGTCTTCGTCTTCGTTTTCGTTTTCGTCGTGCTCGAGCGACAGGTCATCCAGCATGGCGCAGACCTCGTTCTCCTCTTCGATGTCCATCGCATCTTCGGCCTCCTGACGCCTCTTCTCGGCATCGTCAGCCGCCTTGCGCTTCCTCCGTTCGGCCTCCCCAGCCGCCTTGCGCTTCTTCCACTCGGCTTCCTCAGCGGCGTTGCGCTTCTTCCAGGCGAGCTCTTCCGCAGCCTTGCGCTTCTCCTTTGCGCCCTCTTCAGCCTCGCGGGCCATACTCACCGGGCACGGAACGGGGCACGGCGGCGGCGGGCACAAGCCCAGCCTAGCGGTCGTCAGCCTAACGGCCGCCAGGAGAGCGAGCGCCTCGTCGACGTGCGCCCCTTCACCTCGAGGGCGGTCCACGCCGCGGGCGAGAGAGCCACTCTGCCCGCGGGAGGCCCTCTCGGTCTCACTGTCTCTGGGGTCAGCCGCACCGGAGCCGGGGGAAGAAGGAGCAGCGAGGGGTGCACGATGGAGACGACGGGCGGCGAAAGCTTGCCTGGACGCACGCGCCTGCTCGTCGCAGCGCTCCCAGAGAGCGTGCTCTAGCATGACGGCCTCCTTCCGGCCTGGGACCATGCGCCGGCCGAACGGGGTCCTGAACGCTGCGCGGGCGGTCTTGTTGTACGAAGACATAGTTGCTGAAGGTCGACGAGTGATAGAACAGAGAGGAGAGGGGAAGAGTGGTAGAAGATGAGGAAGAGAGGAAAGATGGGATGGCAGATGTCTCGAGCGACCACAGATTATAACCCCCAAGACGAGCGGAGAGTGAACATAGGAGAGTGCGGATGTCCGTGAACAGTGCGGATGTATGTGAACACAGGAGAGTGCGGAAGTCCGGTTGAGGAAGGAGCGGGAAGCAGAAAGGGTGTTCTTGCTAGGCTGAACCGCTAGGGTCGAGATTCAACCGAGTTGACCGGCTCGGGGCGGGTCATACTTGTTGATGATACTTAGCATCCATGGAGTGCCGCCTCTTGCAGGGAGAGAGGGGAACAGTCGGCTCAGACGTCGAGGATGGCGAACAGCTGAATCACGCATACTTAGTGGTGGTGGGCAAAGAAGGCGAGGAGTGACATCAGCCGCGCACGGCCAGTTTCAGCGCGCCTCCGCCTGCCTCCATACCCTGTGCCTTGTTTCTACTCCTCATACTCAAACATACGTTGTCTCTACTAGTCGCATGGATCTTCCCATATACTACACTCGTGCAGAGTACATTGAGACGGTAGGTAAATGTCTCTCTCTTCGTTCCTCGTGCTTCAAAAACAGCTGACTGTATGCGCCACTTGCAGGACACTGGGAACAAAGTCTCCCGTAGGGCCACCATCTCCGGGCCTCAGAACATCATCTTGGGAGGGAAGACTATCATTGCAAGTGGAGCGATAATCCGAGGAGACCTGCGTAGGACAGGTCCAGGACATGCGGTGGTCATCTCACTGGGGAGGTATTGTCTTATAGGGGAAGGGTGTGTAATGAGGTGAGTACCTTTCTTTATAGGCCATAAGGGTACGCATTTATGAGACATGCGCGGAAAGGCCACCGTACAAAACGTATCGCGGAAACTTCAACTACTACCCTATGAAGATCGGCGACCATGTGCACATAGGTGCAAATTCCATTGTCGAAGCTGCCACTATCGGGAATCATGTTGAGATTGGGAAGAACTGCATCATCGTATGTGTCTCATTCATGCATTCCCGGCGAACGGGCTACAACTCCCAAAGCACCTGTCCCTGTTATACCGCGTCTACCTCACCGCTTCCCATAGATTTAGGGTAGTAGCACACGGCCTGTTGTCACCATTCCCCTCCGGACGGTTCTTTGGCGACCAGTATTGACCTGTTGTCATTTGTAGGGAAAGTTCACCATTATCAAAGATTGCGCCAAGATTGCAGACAATACCGTCATCCCGCCAAATACCGTCGTACCAGCTTTAGTACTGTTCGGTGGCTCCCCGGGTGAGTATTGCTGCGTAACTTTGCACTCCCTTGGTCATAGCATCTTGTCGGCACAGGTCGGTTCATTGAAGATCTTCCGGAGTCGACACCAGAGATGGTTGAAGCTCAGACGAAGCAGTATTACACTCGCTTTCAACCTCTTCCGGCGGACAGATGACTGTTTACGTTCGCCGCCGATAATCTGCTGCTGTCAATACCCTGCCGCATCACTGGTCCGACTATGACGGCCTGCAACGTCGCTTGCAAGCTATCCGAGCGTCATGGGGCCTTCCCGTGAACATTGTCGATCTGCGCTAGCTACCTCATCAAAACGGACCCTTACCGATGGCCTGCCGCGCACCTGTTTTTGACCTGTTCAGCTGATCCCTACTTGCAGTATCGATACGCGAGCTTTCTGTGCGTACCGCCTGTAGCAGTTGATTCACGTCAATGGGATCGAATTGTGACATACACTGCCTCCACCGAGCTCCACTTAAGATAGTCTTAGCAGTGAGCAGTGAGTGCTGAGTGCTGAGTGCTGAGTGCTGAGTGCTGAGCTTGAGCACCGATGGCGCACCCTCGAGACGGTGGCCAAGCCCAATTGCATCATCAAGTTGGGCGCCAAGGCCCAGACACTGGGAGAGCGCGAGGAGCGCCCATGGCGGAACTTGTCCGCCGACGTCCGTCTTCCCTCTGCCCTGCCTGCCCCCGCACACGATCCCTTGACGCCAATGCTGCACATCGTTAGCTAACAATCGCCCTACCATCGCCGCCCCTGCGATATCTGCGACGTACTACGAGCCCCAGACCCAGCCTACTCAACTCATCCTCAAACTAAATGCAGTCCCTGCCTGGCCGCTTCATGCTCATCCATAGTCGGCTTCGCAGCCTCAGGTCATACCTCTTCCGGCACCTCAACTTCTATCGCGTACACCTACTTTTCTTGTAAGTGCCTCAGCGTTCATCTCGATTGGCATCGGGGGCGTGTGCCGCGGATTGAGGGGGAGTGAGGGATTATGGCCGTTGGAGGCCAGGGACACAGCGTGGAGGTGGGCGCCGGTACGGTGACAGCACCCACCACTTACCCGTGGGCGTCCCTGTGCGACTCTGATGCCTGCATATAGTCGCCGGAGGAAGGGCTTTTGGTGGTCGAAGAGGCTGTTCGACGGTCGAGGATGGAGGATGGACCCCGTGGGCGGAGTGAGCGACAAAGATGAACGTGGACACTGACTCTCTCGTTCCATAGCACCTTCACCCCCATCGTCTTTTCCGGAATCATATATGCCTCCAATGGCGAGTTCCCCGTCGACTACGTCGACTGCCTCTTCAACTGCGTCAGCGCGATGACTGTCTGCGGGCTCGCCACCGTGGACTTGAGCGGCTTGACGCCTTTTCAACAAGTCCTGCTGTTCATGCAGATGTGTCTCGGAAGCCCTGTGCGTCGACGAGCCGTCACTTTAGCCATGAACCACTGCTCACGTCTTCATAGGTTGTCATCTCTTGGATGATGGTTTACATTCGAAGGTGAGCATATCCTTCGCCCGTTTTTACGGCTCGCATGAGGGTGGGAGGCGTCGCGACCTATGTTAGGCGCAAACCTAGTTTATTTTCCCTTCTTCGCGTGCGCCAGTCCATTTGGCCGCGCATACGCCGAGCGCATCGTGCTGGCGAGACGAGGTTCTTGTGGTGGAAGGGGCGAACGTGCGTGGCCCGGGCCGCTCTCCGGGCCGCTCTGGCTCCGATTTTCTCGGCGCCTACACCGCGGGCCGGCAGTGGGCGTTGAGAGGCTTCGGGTGTTTTCAATCTGGGCTGCTGGTCTAGGACCATTGTTAGACCACCTGACACTTGCAATCTGTTTGCTTACTCTCTTTCTAGGTCGTTTTTTGCCAACAGGTTCCAGCGCATCGTAGAGGCCGAGCTCGCGCGCAGGGCAAACCGTTCGGCTCACATCCCGGTAGAAGTCAAAATCGAGCCGTGGTGGAAGAGGTTGATCCAATCTTTGGCGGAACCGTTGCATTCGCGTGCACGATCCCGCCATGATACCGACGAGCATGAGAGCATCAAGGGGCGCGGAGGGCGGCAATTGCGGACAGACATGATTCGGCGCGTCGAGGGCGCGCCGAAGCTTGTCGACCCCAGTGGCTGGATCAGCGAAGGAGTTTCTGACAACAAACGCGACTCATCTGCTGCGCCCGTCACGGAGAGTACTGGGGGCTCTACCAGTGGTCACAATTCCGACTCGGTTGAAAGCGATGAAAAGCGAGACAAGTTGCAGACTGAACCCAACGGCGGCGAGCCGTACGTGCTTTATAGCCTGATTTCGCCGACATTAATCTGAGAAGCATTGTCCAGGTCCGGCGGAGAGCCGCCACAGTCCCCAACACGGACGTCCATGTCCACCGCTATGGGTACGTGACCAGCTCATGATCGTCGTCCTCTTCCTGCTTATCTGAGGTTTTAGGTGGCCATCCGATTTTGCGAACGCACACATTGGGGAAGTCACAGGGTGGACCTCAGTTAGGCCGTACCCAAACGGTGGAGTTCGCTTCTACGCCTGCGGCGGTCATCGCGGAGCGTCGCTTCAACACGATCATTCAAAACCCCTACGAGGAGGAGGCTGAGATGTACGCGGACGATGCCCGTCGTAGGTATCTGTCCTATGGTCAAGAGAACGCTGATCATTAACTCAATCACATGATTTAGGTTCTTCCTCTCACCCTTCAATGCCGCGTCGCACGATGTCGCGACCAACCATGTCCCGGCCCACAATGTCTCGACCGACGATCAGTCGTGTAGGGTCCATGCCGCGCACTGGCACAATCCTGACCTCAAGCGGTGCCCCAGCCCCACCGGCGCGGGCCATCCACCGCGGCTTCGGCGGGTTCCCGATGCCGCACGTGCTACTCTCACGCTTATTCGGTCGGGCGTTCCCCGCACTAGAACGCAAGCTCACGCGTACCGTGACTATCCCGCGTACGCGTACGATCGCTTCAGAGAGGGGCTACGTGCCTCCGGGTTCTCGTGCAGTGCCGTACATCACTTTCGAAGCGACTGTGGGACACAACTCGGTCTTCCGGGCTCTCACGCAAGAGCAGCTTGAGGAGCTTGGCGGTGTGGAGTACCGTGGGCTCACGGCGCTGCTGTGGATTGTGGGCACGGTAGGTGTCTTTTTCGGCGTGGAATGATTCTTAACTCATCAAAATCACAGTACCACATAGGTCTTCAACTGTTCGGATTGACAATTATAGCCCCATACATGTCGATCAGCAGATGGGCGAGCGATTTTGTTCCTCCTGCACTGCAACGTCCGGTAAACTCGACGTGGTGCGTCGCATAATATTGCGATGAGTACCTCAAGGCTGACGCTAGATATTTTCCACAGGTATTCTCTCTTCCAGGTCGTCTCATCATACACGAATACCGGCATGTCTCTCGTAGACACCTCCATGGTTCCCTTCCAGACAGCATATCCTATGATCTTCGCCATGATCTTATTGATATTAGCCGGGAACACTGCATTCGTAAGTCCACTCGTTCGTTCGTTGGGCGTCTTAGTAGCTGATCGGCATTTCCAGCCTGTATTGTAAGCTCGTTTGTTTCAGTTCCTGTACTGTGCTCACCTCCCGCCTCCCTCGCCCTCGCGGCCTCAGCTTACGTCTAGATATGTGGGTTTGAGCGCCGCTCTCAGCTGAGGTGATCTTATTGATGACCCCTCTAGCTGGATCTTGTCCAAAATAGTCCCTAGAAAGTCTCGCCTGGCTGAGACGCTCCAATTCCTCCTAGACCATCCTCGACGATGCTTCGTGTACCTGTTTCCGTCCCACCAGACTTGGTTTTTGTTCACCGTCCTAGTTTTTCTCAAGTGAGTACCATTCTGCTTATCTCTGAATTACACACTAACCTTCAGCAAGCTTCACGGACTGGTTCTTCTTCCTGGTGCTCGACATCGGCAACCCGGCGATGGACTCGATCCCCCTCGGGACGCGGTTTGCCATCGGCCTTCTCCAAGCTTCGGCCGTGCGTGCTGCTGGCTTTGGGACTGTCTCACTATCCGTCCTTGCACCTGCTGTTAAGTGAGTGATCTTAAGATGTCTGACCATGATGTGATTGACGATTTTGTCCAGGGTACTGTACGTTCTAATGATGTACGTTAGTGTCTGTGAGTGGTCCATTTCCAGCTCTGAATGCGTGCGCTCACGACCACTTCCAAGACCCGGTCGCCATGAGCGTTCGTTCCACGAACGTGTACGAGGAAAAATCGCTTGGGGTATTTAACGACGAAGGGTCGCTGGAGGAAGAGAGCTTCAATCCTAGCGGGAGCCGTGCTGCGGTGTGGGGTCGGTACCTTGCCATGCACGCGCGCAGACAGTTGTCTTTCGGTAAGTGGTTGTGTGATCGATACCACAAGTATCAAACGTTGACTTGTGCATCAGATATGTGGTGGCTCGGCTTGGCTCTGTTCCTCGTCTGCATTATTGAGAAAGATGGTCTCGACGATACAGCCAACGCCACGTGGTTCAACATTTTCACCATCAGTAGGTTTTCTCCCCTCTGGTGAAATAAACCATGAATTCACTGACGCATTTTGATTCGCAGTCTTCGAGCTTGTCTCCGCCTACAGTTCCGTTGGGCTGAGCTTGGGCATTCCAACCGTGAGCTTTGCGTGAACCTCACTTCGGTTCCATGCTCATTTCGCTGCAGGAAAATTACTCGTTCTCTGGCGCCCTTCGCCCCCTCTCCAAGCTCATCATATGCGCCGTCATGCTGCGTGGCCGCCATCGCGGTCTTCCCGTCGCGATCGATCGCGCCGTCATGCTCCCGTATGAGTTCAAGGAGGGCTTCGACGAGTTCGGCGAGGCCCAGGACTTCCCCGGTCCCCGTCCCTCGCGCGAGACCTCTACGAACGGCGGGTTCCCGTCTGACTGGAGATCCAGCGACTACGCGACGACCACCGACGGGGCTCCGGACGCGGTCTCGCGCGCGGCAAGCGGCCAGCTGGTGGAGAAGGAGAAGCCCGCGGAGGACCTGAACCTGTTGAGCGCGTCCGGGATCGATCGTCCGGAGCAATCGTCCGGGCGCGGGCGGGATGCGACCCCGCGCAGGCCACGGCGCGGGTCGGTGCTCTTCACCAGCTCTGCGACCGCTGGCCCTGGTGGAAGTGGCGCGGGCGCTGGGGCGGGGACGACGGGGGGCAGCGCGTTGCGCAGCACGATGGATGAGCGGACGGAGCGGATCGTGCACGAGCTCGCGCAGCGGGGTGGGCTCATGGGTTGAGTGCATGCTTGGGGTTGTGTATGCGCTATGTACGAGTAAGTGGCCGCTGGTGGTGCACAACATGGGTGGGATGCTATAGACATTAGACTATGTGCCTGGATGGACGCTGGATTCTGGATACGATTTCAAACTAGTTGCTCCGTAGTACCCGATGTATGACCCTTATGATACCTAGCTACACTACTGATCGATTCTATTCTGTCACGTCAACCGTGGCCTATTAGTGGATGAGACGGTGCTGACTGCGGAGTGTTTGAAGTCGGTAGTTGCCGGACACGCCGGCACGCGCGTCACGGAGTCTGCGCGTCCCTCCGACCGGGCTTTCCGTCCTCCTGCTCTCGACCGTCATCATGAGGCCCACGGGCTCCCCGGTTCTCTTCTTCGCCCTTCGACAGCGACCCATCGTTTTCGGCCACGCACGGACACTCTCTTCATTCGCCCTCTCCACCTCAACGCCTCCTCCAACACACGCCTCCCCGTCCCTCCAACTCTTCGCCGCCTTCGCGCGCAGGCGAACCTTCGCGACAGTCAGCCCGACCACCCCTCCCCCGTCCGAAAGCGCAGATGCGCATCCCTCACCTGCCTCGCCCTCACCCTTCGCACCCCCAAACACCGAGCCCGAGGTGTACCACGGCCCGCTCGCGGGCACCTTCCGCCGGCTGAAGCTCTTCTCGCTCTCCTCGCTCACCCTCACCTTCATCATCTCCCCCTTCTTCTTCCTCCTCGAGACCACCGCCGCCATTCCGCTCGCCGGCCGCGCCGCCCTCGCCGGCATCGCCGTCGGCACCTCCGGCCTCTCCACCGCCATCGTCGCCTGGTGCGGCCGCCCGTACGTGACCGTCCTCCGCCGGCTCCCCGCGCCGAGCCCGGACGGCGCGGAGACGGTGGAGATGACGACGCTCACGCTCGGGCTCAGGGAGCGCGTCACGACGGTGTACGACGCCGCGTTCCTCGTCCCGACGAGCCGGCCGTTCGCGGCGTGGGAGCTCGCGGCCGCGTTCCGCCTGCCCGCGGGCGAGACCGCGGCCGCGCGCGCGGCGGGGCTGCTCCCGCGCGAGGAGACCGTCGCGGAGACGCGGACGGGGGCGGGGGACGTGCTCGGGAGCTGGGTCGTCAGCTGGGACGAGCACGGGGAGGGGACGTGCCGCGAGGTCGGCAAGGTCGTCCGGTGAGTCCGCCGCTCTCTCTGGCGCGTGTGGAGGGCGGGGTTGAACGAGGGGCGGGCGTGCCGTTTTCTTTCCCGTTTTGCAGGTACTTCAACGTGCACCAGGAGCTGTTGAGCCGGCCCATACAGCAGCACCGGAGCTAGGGTTGGGCTTTTGGTGGTCGCGTGACATGTGAGTGTTCATCTTTTCGGTGCGTAGGCAGGCGTTGACCCGAGGACAGTATGTTACAGCTTGGGATAATATGCTCTTCTTTCGACACTCCCCTCACCTGTCGGACTCGTCGCTCCAGCATGAGACTATGTTTCGCCCCTTTGCTCCCCGGATTTCACTCTGCCTCGCCACGAGCATTGAAGTTTGTCCTCAGTCGAGTTCAAATCATCTGTGGTACCATGGTTTTACTGAGGAGACGGGGTTATATGCGTTCAGAGATGCCACGGAGGGCAGCGTGAAGGATCGGGGGACGGGTGAAGGTAGTCCTCACGTGATCGTGCCTCTGCATGTGGAGGGCGTTGATCTGTGTAGTAGCTCGAACTCAATACATTCTGGACGGTTGAGCGAAATCCACATCCAGTGACCGTTTGAAGTGCCCAAGAATCTTCAAGATACGCGTTTTGTTGCTTCATGTGCCAGTAGCCAGTATAACGCCATGTTTCTTGTATCGCACGTAAGTGAGTGTGAAATCCCTTGTGCACATATATTGACTCATATATACGGTATGTTACAGCTGATCATGTTGCTTCATGTTTCTTCATGCCGTTTTTTTTTGCGGGGGATCCAAGTACTTAGGAGTCGTCTTCTGCGTTGTCCGTCTTTGGGTGTAATCCCCATGTATCCCATTCTACTCTGAGCTGATCGGTCTGCGGGGGCAACTTTACGCCCCATGTCACCGCATAGTGTGCAAGAGTGAGGTCAAGCTCCTCAATCTCGTCCAGCATTTCAAGCCGCGACATTCTATGTAGGCTGTCAGGAGCACGTCGCATCTCAACGACGACGGAAACACACCTTTCCAGCTCAGCACTCGGAACGTATTCTCGTCGGATGTCCTTCAAAGTCAACGCCTTCGCCGTCTGCCAACCGATGTCCGTGAACCGCTTCGGAAGAGATTCTACCGTGGGGTACGGCTTCACTCCTGGCAAGGAGATGTTTCTGGCCTGGGAGAGGGGGGCACGTTCAAGTTCAGTTCTCGCGAGCGCAGACACAGACCACAAACACTCACCGCGAGGTGGTTGCGCATGACTGACCCGAACGCGTCCTCGAGCGCGAACATCTCGTACACGATGCACCCAAGCACCGCGCCGCCCTCCGTCGCTGCGAGCGCGGAGAAGAAGTCGGTGAACCACTTGAGGACCGCGGTCGAGTCCGCGGGCTCCATGTACGCGAGCACGCACTCGAACAGCAGCACCGTCGGCAGCGTCGGGTCCAGCAGCGGCGCGAGCAGCGGCTCGAGCGTCTCCGACGGCGGCCGCCGGAGGTCGGTGGCGAGCAGGTGGTAGACCGGGGAGTGCACCGTCGTCCCGCCGTTATCTGCGGGTGGTCTGAGCGCGCGCGTTCTGCGGGTGCGACGAGGGGGTCGAGAAAGACCGACCGAACGAGAGGTTGGCGAGCCCGCCGAGCGGTTCGTGGAGGACGGCGTGCTTCCGGATGGCCATCGCCTTCTTGGTCGTGTTCTCCGGGAAGTCGATCTCGACGTACCGCGCGACCGCGTCCTTCCTCGGGCCAGCCTGCCTACATGCGCGCCGGTCAGTCATTGTGCGTTCACCCTCTCACCACCACCCTTTCGCTCTCTCTCGCTCAACGCACCGCGAGCCGCCAGAAGCGCGTGTCGCTGCCGGCGCCGAGGCTGACGACCTGGGCGCCGCGCGGGCAGCGGGCGAGCCACGCGCCGAGGAGGCCGTCGACGGCCTCCGAGCGCACGTACGTCCCGATGTTGATCAGCGGCGGGCGCGGCGGCTGCAGGTGCGCGCGCGGGACGAAGGGGGCGAGGAACGGGTCGGCGAGGTAGCCGCGCTGCACGGCGGAGAAGCGCGCGAGCACGGCGTCCCCGTCCGTCGCGCGGATCGCGGAGTCGCCGCCCGGGGCGCGGCCGCTCGGGTGGTACATTTCTTTCTTCCTGTGGTGCTGGTGCAGTGGGGCGCGGAGGAGGTGAGTCGGGCACGAAGCGCGAGCGGGAGGAGGTCGTGGTTCGGGGAGAGAGGGAGGAGCGCGGTTCGGTTTGGGAGCGGCGCGGTTGAAGCGGCAAGCCGGCCCGCGGTGCTGACGTAAGTGCCGGAGAGCAGCGCGTTGTGCTGGCTCGCGGCGCGTGCAGAGACCTGGCGTGCCCTCTCCCCGTCCCCGTCCTCGACGCCCCGCCCACCATGAGTATGCCTCTCGTTGCTCCCGTCTTTCCCGAGGGAAAGGCGCCTCTCCCGCCCGGCGTGTCGGAAGAAGAGCGCCAGGCGTTCTTCGAGGCCCAAAAGTACCAGAAATGGATGACGGTGGGCATGGAGTCTTGCGTGGCCAAGGCCGTCATGGGTACCGCTGCAGGTCTGTGCTGTCTACTTTCTGGGCCCTGAAGCAGCAAGTTGAGACTGTGCCCCCGCGCCATCCAGGATTCGCCATGGGAGGCTTCTTCTCGCTCATGAACAGCGCGTTCCAGTACGAGGACCCGCTCCTGCGCTCCAATCTCTCCGCGTCGCAGAAAGCCCGCGAAGTCTTTGCCGAGATGGGTCGCGGGGTGTACAGGCAGGGGAAGGGCTTTGCGAAGGTCGCCGGGCTGTTTGCGGGCATCGAGTGCGCCGTCGAGTCGGTGAGCAATATGCATCTATCCCCTGCGGTCTGCAGGCGTCGCTCATGCCGGGACAGTATCGAGCCAAGAACGACATCTACAACTCGCTGGGCGCGGGCTTTCTCACCGGCGGTGTCCTCGCGCGAAATTCTGGGCCACGAGCAGCGGTGGGCGGAGGGATCGCGTTCGCCGCGTTCTCTGGTGCCATCGACCTCTTCCTTCGAAGAGAGACTTCTGAGTGAGTGTCCCGTTCGTTTTGCGTGGGGCGGGTTGGGCTGACGCAGTGTGCAGCGAGGACTGACGCATAGACATCTGCTACATCTACACGCACCTAAGTTATTCATGTATAATACCACCACTAATCACCTACCTGTCTGCTCGCTCCCACATCGAGTCTGGAGAGGTTCCTTCACAAATTCGGCCGAGGGTATGACATCTCAACTGTCCGCAGGAGCAGTGCCATCAGTTGCGGTCAACTTTCATCTCAATCGCGCCACAACACCGTACTCAGGCGGCAGGCGGGTGCGCGTTGGTGAGGATATTGGGCTGGTACTGCTGAGCACGCCAGATAGCACATATAATGATAGAGTGCTACTATTACAAATATCCAAGAGTACAACACCAATGATGCTTACATTGATCACGCTCCAGTCCCACTGGGCCCTAGCCGCCGGACCACACGCGTGCCCACAACCGTCCATACCCATCGCCCCAAACAGCACAGCCCCGAGCCGCCCTCGCTCGCCCGCCTGTCCGTCATCGGGAACGCTCCCAAGCTCGCCGGTCTCAGCGCGGCCCGCAGCTTCCCGTGCTCACGCACATGACTCGCCAGTTCCATCGCAGCGGTGAACTTTCCGACGTCGAACCGCCCGTTGGGCCTCCTGAAGGAGCCTCCCGCGCCGTAGCCAGCGGCCCGGTACGCGGCGCGCAGGCTCTGCAGGAGCGCGTGCACGACCGCGTCGACGGGGTGGGCCTGCGACGGCGCGCCGGGCAGGTGGAACCGGAGCAGGACCTGGCAGCCGCCCTTGCGGCGGACGACGATCCCCTGCTCGCCGTGCACGATCGACGTCCTGAGCGCTCCTCGGACGGCTGGCGCGGGCACGGCCTGGCTGTAGCGTCCGCCCGCGCGGAAGTGGCTGTCGTGCAGGTAGCCGGGCTCGAAGTAGCGGCGCATGAAGTCGTCGAGGGACGGGCCGAACAAGTTCGAAGGGGCGTGCCGGAGCAGGAGGTAGAGGAGAGAGTGGACGAAGGACTCGAGGTCGTCCGAGACCTTGGGGCCAGCGAAGTGTGGTTGTGTAAAGCGTCGTGCGGCCGCGAAGCGGATGGGGATCTGTGCGAGAGCGATGTGAGCCGACGTTTGGACGCGAGCTCCAGAGCGGGGGACCGGGGACTCACGTCGTGGACGTATCCGCTGTGCTGTTCGTCGCTCTCCATAGCCTCGTTGTGTTTCAAACCCAGGCGGGCGGTGGTGGACCAGTCGCCTAGGATTGGGATGTACTCATAGCACCGCACGCCGTCTTTCTTGGACGACTTCTTCCACAGCATCATGTTGTCCGGGGAGACGTTCCCATGCAGGAGCTTCATGCCAAGTGCGACTTCGTGGGCTGCATCGCTAAAATCAGCACACGGACGGCAAGGACGGCACGCCAACTCACCTCCCACGAGCTTTTCGAACGCCTGCAACAACCCTGCCGTGTTCTCAAAGCCATCCTCCACCAAGACACACACCTCCTCCGTCGCCAATCGGTAGTGCCTCCGGACCTGCAGTGGGCAAGATAGCAGACCGCCGCCGCCGCCCTCCACTCCCGCCCTCTCCGCGACCCACGCCGCCGCCATCGACGTCGCCCGCCACCCGACATCGCCGTGGCACACGAGCGTCGGCACGTTCCCAACCACCCTAACGTTGAGCGCGTCGAGGACGTCCCCCTCGCGCAGCGCCCCCTCGCGGTCCACCACCCGGTACGTGTCCTTCACGTACACGAACCGCGGCCGCCACCCGCCCCCGCCCGGCGCCGCCTCCCCCGCACGGACGTGCACGCCGACGTACCCGCACGTGCCCCCGCGGAAGAGGTTCCGGGAGACGTAGTGCGGCTCCCCCACGAACACCCGGTCCTCGCCGACCCGCAGCCCCCACCACCGCGCGCGCGGGTCCGCGAGCGACGCCGCGAATGCCGCCGCCGCGACGTCCGGCGCGGGGTCGTCGGGGGCCGCACGCGCGACGGCGGCGCAGAGCCGCATGAAGTGCGCGGCGGGCGAGTCGCGTGCGACCGCGCGCGCGGACGGGTCGTGGCCGCGCGCGGCGGCGCCCAAGCGCGAGTAGAGGCGGACGAAGCGCGCGAGGCGCGCGTGCGCGACGGGTTCAGTCGTCTCGAACCCGGAGTGGTCCCAGTGGACGACGCGGGCGGAGGTCCCGAAGGCGACGACGGTGTAGACGTCGCGGCGCTGCTGGTGCGCGAAGATCTCGCGCGCGCAGGCTTCGGAGCGGCGGTACGCGGCGAGGAGGGTGGTTGGGTCCGCGTCGGGGGCGGCGAGGTCGAACGGGTCGCGGTCGCGGAGCTCGATGAGGAGCTCGACTTGGCTCCAGCTGGTTGGCGCGCCGGGCTCGGGGTGGTCGTCCGAGTAGTAGAGAGCCAGGTCGGTGGGGGCGGTGGTTGGGTCGGCGGCATCGGGCTGGGCGAGACGGTGGGATACGCAGACTATGTGGTCGATTGCTGCCGAAGACTTTATTGTGGAGTACAACTTGGGTGGAGGTTGAGGTGAGGGCTCGAGAGTTGGTCTGGAGACAGACGTACCTTGGCTCGGACCTCATCTAGGACCCCAACCATTTCTTCCGTCGCCCTCACCTCCTCGGGGGGCTTGAATGTGGTATCTGCCATAAGGAGGTCGAGCCCATCGGTGGATGAAAGTAGTTTCTTGAGGACGACCTCGAAGGGAGTGGTCACCATTCTGTACTTGAGTAACTTGAGCTCATCGCTCATGTTTGTGGTTTGTGGTTGAATCGTGATAGGGTGGAGAGTGGTCAAGAGGAAGAGGGGAGAATGACAGACTGGATGGTAGCAGTACACTGTACAGGAGGGTGTGCGGAATGCCGCAGAGCGGCTGGTTGACCAAGAGCAAGACGCGTCGAACGCGACTCGGCACAATGCGTGTTTAAATGTAGGCGCTTTCACCCCGAGGCATGACCGCCCCGACTCCCGAGCCGCGCCATCCGCTCCGAGGTCACGAAACACTTTTATAGCAATCAAAGAGCACGGTTACGACGTACATTTTCCAGACGTGAGCCATTTAAAACATGGAATCTGCCGGGAGACCGGGAAGGCGACTACTGACCACCCTTCCACCTTGGATGACGGCGAACAGATGGTCCTCAGGGTAGTCGAGTATCGTCACGTCTTCGAGAGGGTTCTTGTCCAGGACGAGAAAGTCGGCGTAGCTCCCTACAGCGATGGAGCCCAGCCTGGAGTCCCGCAGCATCTCAGCTGAAGGAGAGGTAAGGACTATGCAGAACCACTTCATCGAGCAGCACCCACCAGCATTTGTTGTCGCGTGTCTCAGCACTTTGTCTGACGAAAGAACCTTGCTACGAACAGTGAACTGTCCTTGGTCTGAGTCATACGTTATACTCTGATAATTTGCGCCCATACCTCCTCTGTCTGCAGGGCATGCATCGAAGTGAGCAGGTCTGAGCCACTGTGATGTCAAAAGTCAGCATCGCGCGCGCATCAACTAAAGCGAGGCCGACCACTAACTAGCATATGGTGACCTCGGCTTCGTCCGCGATCTTCAGTGCCTCGAGACCGCGTGACATGACTTGCTCGTTCTTTGCCTTCCCATCGAGAGGGAGAAAATCTTCGAATGGTGGCCGGACCATGATGCCGTAGCAAGCCAGTGTTGGGGTCAAGTAGACACCCTTTTCTGCCATCCTGCAAGACGAACTCAATGTGCCGTACGTGGGGACAACGAAACCCGACGTACAACTCGGCGGTCTGCCGGCTGATGAGATTGCCATGTTCAATCCCTCGGACACCATTGTTGATGGCGTGCCGCACCGATTCGTCGGTGTAGGCGTGCGCAGTAGCTGTGCTATGTATGAGCATCTGCTGGCAGGCCGGGTCCAACGTACTGTGGATGTTACCCATCTGCTTGCAGGTCGTGTGATCGCCTGTATCTCTTCAGCGGTAAACTGCACGGTCTCGATGGCGTCCTGCGTTCTTTCTTAGCAGATCGACCAAGGACGCGATCTGCATGTTTTTACCGTCGGAGAAGCAACGCCGCCCCCACACATGATCTTGATGAAGTTCGCTCCCCCTTTCAGCTCCTCGCGGGTTGCCTTGAGCACTGCGGGACGCCATCGCAAGTGCGCCCGAGAGACTGACTGTGTCCGCCGCAACATCCGGTGTTATTGGTGGTTGCAGCGCCGAAGTCTGCATGTCCACCTACGGAAGAACCGTGAGCTGGGGTCAAGACAACCGGGTTGTTAACGGAGTTGATCCTACCAGTTTGCGAAAGCGCCTTCCCGCATTGATACAGGCGAGGCCAACAATAAGGCCTTCTGCGAGAGCGTTCGCAAGTGCCTTGCTCGCTCCCCCTGTTATCACAGGTTAGTGAGCGGGAAGACGTTCACATAGAAGAAACAGGACTGACCTGTGTCGCGAACAGTGGTGAAGCCGCGAAGCAGCATCTCTGTACTCCAAGGTAAATATAAGCGCTACACTAAGATGGGATCGTGCTTACCTCGGAGCACGTAAGTGGTGCGAAGATGGATGAGCTCCTCGGGGTTTGAACCAGCTCGGCCATGGTGCTCGTCCCAGGCACGGCACTCACATGCACATGGCAATCTATGAGGCCTCTGAAGCACATCGTCAGCCCAACTTCCGGGGAAGCCAGCAAGTCACTCACGGCAAAGGAACTTGCCTTCGAGATCAAACGTGTTGATTTTGTCGATCGAAAATTGCCTCGGAGTAGAGAACGAGAGCTCGATTATCGTCCCATCTTCGACATGGATGTCCCATAGATCTGGCGAAATGGTACCTTGCTCAGGCCTGACGACTTGAGCGTTTAGCAGCACGAAAGGGGCCGGTTTGGCGCGCAGCCAGGGCTTCAAGGCGAGCTTCGGGAGGCTTGCGAGGAGCAGTAAGGGCGCAGATACACGTTCGGTGGAAACAAGAAGGCGTACAGCGAGTCTCTTGTCTTATCGGGATTAGGAAAAACTACCCAGGACTTGAAGGGGAACGGAGTATCGGTAGAGACATTGGCACCGCTTGGGGGATTCTGCGCAGCATAGTCAGCGCAGTCCCAGAAACCAGCAGCTATGTGCTGGGGAACAGTGGAAATGCGCTCACTTTTACGGGCAGAAGACTTGCAGTCAAAGCGTTGCGGTTGATAATCAAGAGCCCCGTGGGGCGGTCTCCTATCTTCGGAAGCTTGGCAGGCGTCTAACGGGTCAGAGGGTCACTCGTTTTTATGCTAATGCTTCTACTGTATTGACTATGGTGAAACGGTCGAAGGTACAAGAGGAGTAGGATGTGGCATGTTCGACAAGACAAGAGAAAGATTGTCAACGCGTCACCTCTATACCAAAGGCCTCACAACTTCGCCTTCTCGGACTCGCTCATGGCTCCGGCCTCGACGAGCGTCTTGTGGGCGAGGTGTCCCATGTACGGGAAGCCGACGACGTAGGTATGTGCTCGCTCGGAGCTCGCTTGTCGGCGGGCATATCGCGCGGCGATCCCTTGCATAATGACCGCGGACTGCAAGGAAGGACCCTAGGTGAGGATGTAAAAGCAGTGGGACAGAATATAGCAGGACGTACACGGAACAGCATCCAGCTGCGAGCGAACACCATCTCCGGGATGGGATGTGGTTGGCCAGAGATATGGCAGTACTCGCGTTCGAGGGCTTCGAGCTCGATTGGCGCCTCCTTGACGTTGTTCTTGAACGCAGCCATGACAATGCCGTTTGACGGGAAGGAGTCAGGTGAGATGGCCCATGGCTGCGTGAAGTTGGCGAGGTCGGCGAGCTACATGTATGTGGGCAGAACACGTGTGAGTTATGAGAACTTCGAGATGCAACGGCAAACAAGAGCTGGAGAGACGACGTTCGGTAAACCGGAAAGCGTAGCCAAGTATATATATCCCGAAAAGAAGAATTCATGAAGGGATGAAGCGCGAAGCCCCAGAAGGTTTGGTGCGTGTATGGGAAAAGAGCATGAGAGAAACGACTACTCACCGGGCTCCCCAACGTGCACAATTCCCAATCCAATATGCCAATCACGCGGTTCTCCGTTGGATGGAAGACCAGATTGTCCAGCTTGTAGTCTCCGTGGACAATTCGTGAGCCGGTCTTGCTCTCGTCAGGGAGATGGCTCTGGTACCACGCAACTATCTCTTCGAAGCGCGGTATGTCGCCCGTCCGCTTGCCAGTGTCGACATCAACCGCTTGCGCCTGCGCAGAGGAGACCGCAGAAAGGGACTTGATCTGCCGCGGGAAGTACGGCTTGGGGGACGCGAAAGAGGACAGCCCGAGTGAGGAAGGGGATAGGAGGGAGAGCTTCGCGAGGACACGCGCCGCATCAAGCCAGCTGAGTTGTGGATAAACGTAAATACGACGCCAAAGCGGGAGAAGCGAACGCGAGTGTAAGAGAAGGACGACATACCATTCGCGCCTAGCCTGTGCAGGGACCTCCGGCATCCGTGGGTCCGTGAAAATCCTCCCGTCCAAGAACTCCATGATGTAGAAGGGCGTCCCAATCACCGCTACGTCCTCGCACAGGACGATGGGCTCTGGGATGGGCACCCGCTTCTCCGGCGGGGTGGAGCGGTTGGTGTTGTGCACGTGCAGGGCGCGAAGCATGGTGTATTCGCGCTCAACTTGGTGCGCAGTCTTGGAGAGAAGCTGCCCTGCGGGCTTCTTGCGGAGAACGAATCGTTGGGAGCTGCGAAAACAATATTAAATAGCATGAGGAGGGGGAGGTGAACAGGGGAGATGAGAGACGCACTTGGCATCGGTGAGGAAGTAGGTCGGGTTCGACTGTGTCGAGGGCGTTGGCGTCAGGTTTGTGTTCGCAGACATGCTGGACACGACTCACCTGGCCAAACTGTACCCAAAGACCAATGAGCGAAAGGGGTCAAGAGACGTCCAAAAAGCAGGCGCACCTTGAATTGCTTGATGGTTACCGGGGTCGCGACGGCGGGGACATGCGTTTTGAGGTACGCATTCAACTTGTCCCCGTCGATATTTGCGCGCACTTCGCCAACCTCGCCGCCGACTTTCTTGGGAGAGGACATGTTGAGAGTGCAGGGGGAGGAACAATGGATGCCGCGAGCCCTAGGCCAAGGCTCGGGGACGGCTGTGGTGGTAGCCGGTCATGAAGCATGGGGGATAGGAGAGGTCAAGTGACCGCGCCGGTCTACCTCCCTGGATCCGGTGTTATATGCGTATCTCATGTTTCGGAGTCGAACAGCGGAAGATTTAAATTTCATCCCTGATGTTGACATGTATATCTGCTAACTCACGCAAAACGACGCTTTGTTGAATGTTCATGCACGTCTTCCACTGTGAGCCCGCAGTTGGATTCCCTCGTGGAGGGTTAGGGTTGTCTTCACGTGTCTACACCCAACGCCGCTGATGTCAGTTGCACAACGTGCGCGCTGTTCCCGAAAGTCCCTCTGCACGTCCAGCACAACCCTCGCGACTTTGTGCACCGGTAAACAGCTCGCGCGCAAACGGCTTCAGCTGCACTCAAGGCTCGAACCAGGTGCCTCACAGGTCCTCCTTCATGTTGAACATACAGCAAGCAAAGTCCCTCTACGATGGTATGTCGACCGTCCTGAGCTAGGCCTAATCGCGGTGCTCACCGGCCCCAAGCAACCAAGTACTGGTTCACCGTACTTCCCCCATTCATGTCAATCGCCAACTTCGCCATAGATGCCCCCTTTGGCCGGTTTGCGCTCACCTCGAAGAGCATATTCGAGCTCGACGGTTCGTCTCAGCCGTGCTCTCGCGCTTTCGACCTGGTTCTCACCAGGGCTTATATCTGTCAGGTATCCGCTCATGGATATTCATGGAGCTCGTCTCCATCGTCGCCCTCTCCAACGCTTACCTCCGCTCGCCCCTCAACTCCGCGTCCTTCGGCAGTCCACCCTCACTGAGCCTGTCCCACCCCCCGACGCTCCTCGCAGGGCTTTACGTCATCCACTACATCAACCGTGGGCTCCTCTCCCCCCTGCGCACGCCCTCGCGCTCCAAGTCCCACGTCCTCGTCGCCGCGCTCGCCATCGCCTTCAACTCCTGCAACGGCTCCCTCATGGGCGCCTACCTCTCCTCCCCCGGCGCGCAAACCTTTCTCGCCGACGCGTACGCCCGCCCGCTCTTCTGGTTCGGGCTCGCCCTCTGGGCGCTGGGCTTCGCAGGCAACATCGCGCACGACGAGATCCTGCTCAACCTCCGGCGCCGGCACAAGGCGGCCAAGAAGGACGACGACGACGCGGACGGGTCGAAGCCGAAGCAGGAGCATTACGCGATCCCGCACGGGGGCCTGTACCGCTTCGTCTCGTTCCCGAACTACCTGTGCGAGTGGATGGAGTGGGTCGGGTTCGCGCTCGCCGCCGCGCCGCCGCCGTCGGTCGCGGGCGTGGGGGCGTACGTCGCGACCCTGCTGCCGCCATGGCTCTTCGTGGTGAACGAGGTGCTGTTCATGTTCCCGAGGGCGTTCAAGGGGCACCGGTGGTACCACAGCCGGTTCCCGGACTACCCAAGGAGCGCAAGATCGTGATCCCGTTCTTGATGTAGATGTATCCTGTTGTTGTCATGTATGACATACCGGGTAAAACGTTTTGCGTGCCCGCAATGAAGGAGCGGTTCCGTGGGCAGCGGCGCTGCCCTGAGCCGCAGGCTGGATAGATTTGGAAGAGCAGGCCTTATGGCGCCGGTTTGGCTGACTTCCATGTCGTGAGATACAGGTGCTGTTTCCTCTGTTTACAGGGCACAGAGGGTGGAGGAAGCGAGCGATGGCAAAGACAGGAAGCACGGCGACGTTAACAACGGGGCGTGCGCACTACCTGTGAGAGTGGATGGAGTGGGTCGGGTTCACGCTCGCGGCGGCGGCGGTCGCGGGCGTAGGGGCGTACGTCGCAACGCTGCCGCCGTCGTGGCTGTTCGTGGTGAACGTGGTGCTGTTCGTGTTCCCGAGAGCGTTCAAGGGGCACCGGTGGTACCGCAGCTGGTTCCCGGACCACCCAAGGAGCGCAAGATCGTAATCCCATTCTTGAGATACTACACCCGTCGCACATGCTCTGAATGTAATTGCTAGTCGTACCCATTCTTGCCCGGGACAACCCCGAACGCCCCTCCGCCCTTCCCGTACATCGCGAACATGTCGCTCGCCAGGCCCTCCGGGTTCTCGAAAGCGGCGAAGTGTCCGCCCTTGTCGTGTTCCTTCACGTACACCAGCTTCCCGAACATGGCTGCCCACCTGTCCAGGCCGCAATCGCTGGTCAGTAATCCGTACCCCGAGTGGGAAAGACGGGGTCACTCACGATCGAGGCAGCTTCGCGACCTCGCGAGGGAAGTAAGACACGCCCGTCGGGATGGTCGCTTTCGGAGCGCCGGCGAGGATGTTCTTCGTCCCTCCGTTCGACATCTCGTAGTATATGCGCACAGAGGCAGCGGGCCCAGCGCGCGAGAAGTAGTAGATGGAGATCCACTTGAGGACTACATTTCGGTCAATGTCTTGTCGGCTCACGAATCGCCGCAGGTCGGGATGCTCACCTTCGTCGTCAGTCCATGGATAATTGTCAGTCCATGCGACGAGCTTCTCATAGATCCATGCGAGGAGTCCCACGGGGGAGTCTGCAAGACTGTACCCTATCGTCTGAGGCTTTGTTTGTTGCAGTATAGAGTATCCTTGCTCTGCGTTGAACCAGTGCTGGGTGGCCTGGAGCTCTTCGCGCATAGTCTTGTTGATGGGCGAGAGGAGCATCTCCAAGTAGAGGAGCGGGTTCCTGATAAGGGTGGGAGGAGTTGTGCTGGTCGACCGAAAGTCAGCTGGCTGAAGGTGACCTCGAGAGGCCGAGAGAAACCCACAGAGGGATGTTTGTGTGCCAGGCCTTGATATGTTTGTGTTCGAGTGTGGGTACGAGGAAGGCCCCGAGGATTCCTCCCCAATCTCCACCCTGGTAAACTACGGGCAGAGTTCAGAATAGGTTATGTGCGGGCAAGGGACCTATTCACCATACTCGTTGTACCCGAGAGAAAGCATGAGCTTGTTGAAGAGCTACATGACATCTGTGAGTATTTGAATTTAGACGCAACCAAAGGACGCAGACCTCCCCATACTGCGATGACTTGAACCCGGGCTTCTTCACGGCCTTCGAGAAGCCGAACCCAGGCAGGCTGGGCGCGACAACGTGGAAACTTGGCAGGTCCGGGGAGCTACCGGTGAGTATGGGCAGCATCTTCTCGACCTCGAGGAAGTGCCCCGGCCCTGTCAACCAGATCAGCAGGGACAATAGGCTGAGAACAACTGCGCTTACATCCGTGCACGAAGAGCAGAGGGATCGCGTTCTTGACATCGCTCTTCCTGTGAATATAGTGAAGGTTGAGTGTGCCGAAGCCTTCGACCTCTATGTCTCGCGTGAACATGGGGATCGTGTTGATGGCGGCTTCAGCCTTCCTCCAGTCGAAGCCGTTCCTCCAGTGAGCGGCGAGGCGCTTGATGTCTGCGAGCGGAGCGCCGTAAGCCCATTCTGCGCCTTCGAGTTCGTCGGGGAAGCGGGCCAGGTCGAGCTTCTTGTGGAGGAGCTCGATATCGGCCTCTGGGACGGCGATGGTGAACGGGGTCTCTGCAGCGTACGTGGTGGAAGCCATGAAGAAGCAGTGGGAGAAGCTGGTGGTGCCGCGTGATAGTTATATACGGGGCTGCGTTGCCGGCCACTTCGGTCGAGAAGTCAGTCGGCTACGCTCAGGCGCTCGCCCTGACAGCATCGCGGACAGAATGCGGCGCAGTGCAGTTCGCTCTGCAGTGACATCGGGGAGGTTTCTAACGGCATAGGAAGAGGCACCTTGTTCGCAATGGAACAGTATACTTGGCGTGGCAAGATACCGGTGGAGACGGGGAAAGCCTGAGGGTCAGGAACTTCGTGGAAAAAGAGCATGTAGAAAGGAGAAAGAGAGGCTCGGCTAGAAACCTTCTCGACTGCCAGGGCGTGCAATCTTGCAGAGGTGAAGCCTTCGCGGGGCAGATTCGACGTGAGCTTGGGCGGCGCGATGCGTGATAGTCGTGTTTTAGTGTATTTCGGCTGTTGAGGCGTTTGCTTCCGCCGACTTGAATGAAGGTATAAGGGTTTTCCGTGCGTATGTCGTTGCTACTGGAGTCGGAAGTTGGCTGACACGTGATGCCGCTCGGAAGTAAACGCGACGGCTCCCGGATCGCTTCCGGAACTTTCCAGCCACGCTTACCTAAGCCTACGTACTCGATTACAAAAATTCAGAGTATGCACGCTGGCTTCATCCCTCCCTTTCCTTCCATCCACCATGTTCTCCGCTGCCCGTTCCCTTCGTCTCGCCGCTTCCCGCACCGGCAACTATGCGGTACGTTGTGCTTCCTGCCCATGTCTGCCTGCCTGCCTGCTCAACTTCGTTGCAGGGCCTCCCGCGGTCGATGATTGCCAGGAATATGAACTCCAAGGTTAACGGTAAGTCACTTGCTGGCACGCGACTTTCCCCTCCCTTGCACAATGCTTACGTGCCGCGACAGGTCCCGTTGTCGGTATCGACCTTGGCACGACAAATTCCTGCGTCGCCGTTATGGAGGGCAAGACGGCGAAGGTGATCGAAAACTCGGAGGGTGCGCGGACAACACCCTCCGTCGTGGCTTTCACCAAGCACGGCGAGCGTCTCGTTGGTCTCCCCGCGAAGCGGCAGTCCGTCGTCAACTCGGCGAACACTGTGTTCGCCTTCAAGCGTCTCATTGGTCGTCAGTTTGGTGATGCGGAGGTCAAGCAGGACGCTACCCACTGGTGAGTTTTCCATTACCTGCAACCTTCCCTCCTCCCTCGATTTCCTCAATACCCTGTGACACGTCATGTGTCATATTCTACGCGTCGGCATGCGCGTAGTCCTCGATGACGTGTCGTCGTATCTCCGCACCTGGCTCGGCCGTGGGAGTCAGCGCTAACCAACAATTTTCAGGCCGTTCAAGATCGTTCCTAAGTCGGACGGCAGGCCAGCAGTGGAGGTGATGAACGGTGACAAAAAGCAGACACTTTCTGCAGAAGAGCTGTCGTCGATGGTCCTGACGAAGATGCGTGAAACTGCTGAGCAGTTTTTGGGCAAGAAGATCAAGTGAGTACTCTCCACATTCCTTTGACGTTGCGAGGAAACTGACTGGTTTGTAGCCACGCCGTCGTTACCGTTCCTGCCTACTTCAACGACGCGCAGCGGCAAGCGACGAAAGATGCTGGTACTATCGCCGGTCTGGACGTCCTCCGTGTCATTAACGAGCCCACGGCTGCTGCACTCGCCTACGGTCTCGACCGCGCCGACAACTCCGTGATTGCGTCTACGATCTTGGTGGTGGAACCTTCGATATCTCAATCCTCGAGATGCAGAAGGGTGTGTTCGAGGTGAAGTCCACGAATGGTGACACCCATCTCGGTGGTGAAGACTTCGACATCGTCCTCGTCGAGCACATCCTCAAGGAGTTCAAGAAGGAGAGCGGCCTCAGCCTCACTGGGGATCCGGTTGCCATCCAGCGCATTCGCGAGGCGGCCGAGAAGGCGAAGATCGAGCTCTCGTCGACTTCGCAGACCGAGATCAACCTGCCGTTCATCACCGCGGACGCGAGCGGTCCTAAACACATCAACCTCAAGATCAACCGCTCTCAGTTCGAGGCCCTCACTGCCCCCCTCATCCAGCGCACGATCGACCCCTGCAAGAAGGCGCTCGCAGACGCCGGTGTCAAGGCGTCGGAGGTTAACGAGGTCATTCTCGTCGGTGGTATGTCCCGCATGCCCCGTGTCGTCGAAACTGTCAAGTCGGTGTTCGGTCGTGAGCCCAGCAAGGGTGTCAACCCCGATGAGGCCGTCGCCATCGGTGCTGCCATCCAGGGTGGTGTCCTCGCGGGCAACGTCACCGACATCCTTCTCCTCGATGTTACCCCTCTCTCCCTCGGTATCGAGACGCTCGGTGGTATCATGACCAAGCTCATTACGCGCAACACGACGATCCCGACGAAGAAGACGCAGACCTTCTCGACGGCGGCAGACGGCCAAACGGCCATTGAGGTCAAGATCTACCAGGGCGAGCGTGAGCTCGTCCGCGACAACAAGATGCTCGGCAACTTCAACCTCGTCGGCATCCCGCCCGCGCCTAAGGGCGTTCCTCAGATCGACATCACCTTCGACATCGACGCTGGTACGTGTGTCTCTCGTCGCAAATAATGACGTCATCATTGACCCTCTCCGTCGCAGACGGTATTGTCCACGTCACTGCCAAGGACAAGGCGACGAACAAGGACCAGTCGATGACGATTGCGTCGTCGTCGGGTCTCTCGGACAAGGACATCGAGCGCATGGTGTCCGAGGCCGAGGAGTACGCTGAGACCGACAAGCAGCGCAAGGCGCTCATTGAGGAGGCGAACAAGGCCGAGTCTGTCTGCGCTGATACCGAGAAGGCGATGAACGAGTTCAAGGACCAGGTCGACGCGACGGAGAAGGAGAAGGTTGAGAAGCTCGTTGCTGAGCTCCGCGAGATCGCTGCCAAGGGCCAGACCGGCGATGCGTCCGTCGACGCCGACAAGATTCGGGAGAAGATCAACGAGACTCAGCAAGCGTCGCTCGGCCTCTTCCAGAAGGTGTACGAGAAGCGTGCGGCGGAAGGTCAGGCGTCAGAGGCGAAGGAGGAGTCCAAGGAGGAGAAGAAGGATTAAGTTCCCACTCTTTTCTCTCTCTTGCGCTACCCCCTCTCTCGTCGCATGTCGCCATGCACCACTCTCACGTTTTCCCCCGCCGTTGTCCCCCGGCCCCTCATCGCCGCTCTTGCTTGACTCATGCTTTCGTCGTCGACATGCATCACCCCACCCCCATCGCAGCATAGATCATAATTTTTCACAAAAGATAGCAGCCGCTTTATTGACCCCACCCGTACATTACGCTTCACGTCGCCACACGCATTTAGTAGTCTACAACACACCCCACACCCCGCTCACCAGCATACTTCGTGCTCGTTTGCTTGCTAGTATAGTCACGCTTCACAGCAATGTATTACAGCCTTCACGTCTGGATAGGATGTATGAACGGCATGGATTCCACGAATTGTTTGCGTGCGAGCACTAAGAGCAAGTTTGCGTTCACTTCGACAACACTGCGAGGTCGGCCTGTGCCTCGCACGCCATCCTGCCACGCTGTGATTCTGTACGTGCGTCACACAGACTCGTATCCGCCCTTCGACACCACCACAGAAGAAACGCCCTTCAAGATTGCGGTCGCCGGACCTCGCGTCTCCGTGTCCAGACGTCCATTTCTGCTAAACCCACATTCACATATAGCTTCCACTCGCGATCGACATCACGCTCAAAACGCCTTTCCGACCCGGAACGCCTTCGCTGCCTCGCTTTGGGCCTCGTTGCTCAAGTACCGCGCATAGCTCTTCATCACCCTGTCCTTGTCCTGCAGACCTCCGTCAGCATCTCAGAGTCATCCAGCCCCTCACTAACACGGGGAACGACTCACACTGAACGTCTCCCGCACGCTCTTCCGCTCCTCCAACGCCCTCGCATACCTCACCCACCTTTCCCCCGCCTCCGCGCGCTCATACCCCCGATGGGCCGCCAGCACAAAGTCTCGTGCCACAAACGGCGCGAGCGCCACGTCGACCGTCGAGAACTGCTCGCCGAGAAAGTACGGCCCGTCGACCGCGGCCTCCGCCATGAGCGCCCTCACGCCCGCGTAGAGCTCCTCGCGGCGCGCCGCCTGCGCCGCGGCGTCGTCGCCGGTGGCCATCACGAGCCGGAACCAGGCCGGGACGACGGTCTTGTTCGCGATGTCGGTCCAGACGCGCGCCCGGGCGCGCGCGACGGGGTCCGCGGGGAGGACGTGCGGCGCGTGCGACGGGTAGGCGTCCTCGAGGAACTCGACGATCGCGAGGGACTCGGTGAGGGCTTGGCCCTTGTACTCGGCCGCGGGGACGAGGCCGCGGGGGTTGATCGCTGCGGCGAAAAGGGGTCAAGTTGGAGGGGGGAGGGGACGGAGATGGGTGGGGAGGGAGGGGACGGACCCATGAAGTGCGGCTCGCGCTCGTAGGGGTTCACCTCCTTGTATTGGTACGGGATCCCGCGCTCTTCGAGCGTGATCCATACGCGCTGCGCGTATGGGCACCACTGTACACACGATATCTTCGTAAGCGAGGCGACTCAAAAGGACTGCTTTCGAGCACACTCACCCAAGCGGCGTATAGAGTGACCTCTTGAGGCTCTACGTGAGCCTGGACAGTCTTCAGTGCGAGACCGGTGGCCTCAGGGAGGTGACCAGCGTCGGGGTGCGGCGTCGACATGGTAGATGAGCAGAGGTGAAAGTCAAGAGTCGTGGAAGATGGGGATGTCAGCGGCTTGAACGCGAGCATTTATACCGAACTTTAGCGTCACTGTGTCGGTTCACGTTCGTTCAGCCTGAGAACGTACGTTGGCAACGAGCGTTGTTGACGTTTACTAATGAGACTTCGAACGGCTCGGGCTCGGTCACCTGCAAACGATGGCCAGAGAGCAGAAGCCAGCCGCGCCCGGAGAAGCTCATATATGGAGCAAACAGCACGGCCGGGCTTCGGGCGAGTCTGAAAGTTTGACGTCAGCATCTCCCTGAAGAGAGGATTCATACTAACAGACGCACCGTTGAATACCCCTTGGCGTCCGTGAGTAACTTCCTGGGCTTTGACAAAACTTGCAGCAGACTTCGGGCAGACTCTGGAGCACACCGAGGATTCGAGAGGCAGAAAGCGAGTATTATCGTGCGATACTGTGCGAGTAATAAGTACACACTAATGCAAACACCAGCGCCAATATGCGTGGAATATAGAACACCAAGACTGCGAGGGAGGAGACAACAGCGGGCAATCGCAGAGAGCCGGAGGGAGAGGAAGGGGGAGAGATGGTGTGAAGAGCGGGATGATGCGAGTGCAAACGAAAACAAGATGCCGGGGTGGAAGGGTGCGATGCGGGGAGAAGGGAAGGGGGAAGAGTCTATGATAACAGTAACGATACCAGCTTCTCGCTGTCCATGGACTTGCCAACCAGCCGCGTCCGGCGCTCCTCGTCCTCATGCAGGTGCGCGCCCTTGAGCATGATCGCGAACAGCTTGAGTGCCATTGGTGCGTCGATCGCGATGTCGTCGATGATCTCCGCAATAGGCGTGAAGCCATCCTCGAACGATTGTGGTGAGCACATGTTCTTGGCGATCGCACGGTCGAAGAGGTCCGCAACGAGCTTCGCGTCCGCCTCCTTGGACTCGACTGCCTTCGTGACCAGCTGGTCGACTAGCAGATGCCGGTGCTCGGAGGGCAGCTTCGTGAAGTAATCCTCGGCCTCGCCTAGGTCGCGAACGCTGAAGAACTCCTTCAAGTCCTCGTCGATCCGCGCCTTGGCCTGCTCCACGGACATGGATGAAGCGCTGGGGTCGCCGCCCTCGTCGTCCGAGTTGTTCGCGGATGCGCTGGGAGTCGACTCGGACTTGACGTCGACAGGGACAGAGCGAGGGAGGAGGTTGAGCTTCCGGCGCTGAGGCGGCTCAGGCGCACCACCCTGACCAAGGTCGATGCTGTTCTTCCGGCTCGGCGGTCTGCTGCCCTTGTTGGACGATGTCTCCTGCGCGATCTCGGGGTTGCCGCTGAGCATCGAGAACATGTTAGTGGAGCTCTGGCGGATCGTCGAGTCGCGCTTGGACTTGTCCTTAGTGAACACGGACGAGGGACCAAAGGTCATCGGCGTCGACTTAGCGATCTTGCCGAACTGCGAGAGGTCGCCAGCCTTGGTAGCCGGCGGACGCGCAGCGGGGCCACCAGCGACAGCCCAACCGTCAGGGCCAACGGCGGCACCATCGCCGCGGTCGCCACCGCGTCTTGAGCCACCGCGGGACATACTGACGTTGCGGTTGAAGGCCTCCTTCTCCGCAGCGGCCCGGTCCTTCGCAGCCTAAAGACGGGTGAGCTCAGATAGCCTATGCACACAAAAGGGAAACGTACTTGTTCGTGAATGGCAGCGAGTGTTGCAGGAGCGGCCACAAGGTTACGGGGTATCCACTGGCGGCTACGCAACTCGATGACGTCCTGCAGGAGGCGAATGAGTCAAAGCAAAGATGACAACCACGACGGGAAACGCACCTGAAGCATGAACACCATGCGAGAGTTGACGTTGCCGCTCTTAACAAGCTCCTTCATGCGAGCGAAGTAGACATCCATGTGTGCGCGCGCCTTGGCAGTATCAAGGATCTGACCGACGGTCGTGACGAGCTTGCACAAGCTCTCGATCTCTTCCTCTTCGGGGTTCTCGACGTTGCTGAGGAGCTTCTTGATACATTCGTGCATGATACGCTCCGTGAGCATCTGCAACTTGAAGAGCTCGCCGATGAACTTAATGAGACCGAGACCTTGACGCTTCGCCTTCTGCGCGGCGTAGTACTCGTCCGAGTACAGCGCGCTCTCGCCGTCCTTGCTGCTCTCGGCGGCGGCCTTCGCGGCTTCGTCCTCGGACAACTTCGATGCAGCGGCAGCGGCGGTCGCCTCCTTGGCGACCCAACCACGCTCGAAGTCCTCTTGACAGCGATTGAGGAGGTACTTGCGGAAGAGCTGACCGCCAGTGATGGGCTTGCCCTCGGCGTTCTTGATCCCGTCGTCGTGCACGTTTGGCGAGATCTGCTCCATCATCTTGCGGCACAGGCGCGCGTACATCTCCGACCAAGCAGCCTCGTCCGTCGCCTTCTCGAACACGAGTCGGATGACTTGGATGAGCGTCCGACCGTCCTGCTCCGTCTCCGACTTGTTCGCCCAGGTGATGATCTGGTCCGAGATCGAGTCGAAGCGTTCCATAGTGAGCTTGTTGAGCAGCGACTTGACCTTCCGGTCCACGATCTCGGGCGAGTCCTGGTCTGGCGGCGCACCCTTCTTGGTGAGGCTGTTCGGTTGCCACCGGTTTGCGGATGCCTCGAGCGGCGCAACGGGCTCAAGAGACAGCTGGCCGGGTGCGAGCTGACCGAACTGGCTGCCGGAACCAGGACCCCCAGTGCGCTCCTTCTCACCACCGCGACGGTTGCCACGCTGCGAGCGCGTGCGGCCGCTGCTGGGGTGAGCGCCAGGACCGCCTTGACTGGACGACCGGACCATGGGTGCGGGACGACCGAACGGCATACCTGCCGGACTTCCGGACAAGGAAGGCGTGCGACTCGCGGCGAACCGCTCCTCGCTGGTGCCAAGCTTCTGGGGGGCGGTGGCGAAGTTGCCCATGTTGAAAGGGTTGCCCTGGGGCTTCTGGAAGCCGGTGAGCCCGAGCCCGACGGAGGGTTGACGAGCAGTATTGGGCATGCCAGAGGAGGAAGAGGTACGGTGACGGTGGCCGTGAGAGCCACCACGAGTCATCGGCATGCTCTCATTGGGCTCCAGACCGATAGCGTCTAGAGGAGGGAGGGAATCGGGTTTCTCCTTGCAAATAGCCATGAACTGCATGAGGAATTCACGGTCGTAGCTGCAAAGACATCATTCTTAGCTTAAGATCACACATGAATAAGGAGAAAAGCGTGTCGTACCGGAACTTGCCCTGCTTGGCATTCACGTTGAGCTCAGGCTTCGGGCTGCTGATGCCAACGGGGTACTGGATGCTCTGAATGTCCTCGATGATGCGAGCCGTAGCGAGAGCGGAGGGGAGGGCGGCGGGAATCACGGTACTCTTCGTACCAGAGAGGTCCAGGCGGCCAGGACGACGCTTGCCTTCAGGCGCAGAGAGGGCTGTGTCGATGCGGAGGGTCGCCTTGTCGGAGACCTTGTCCTTGGCCTCCTCCCGCGCCGCTTCGTCCGTGTCATTCATATGCTCAGGCTCTTCCACCTCGCCCTCTTCGCGCTCCTCGGAGGCTGCCTCCTTGGCGGCGGCGGCGGCGGCGGCAGCAGCAGCAACGGCAGCAGTAGCAGCAGTAGCGGCGGCGGCAGCGGCGGCGGCTTCAGCCTCGGCTTTAGCTTTCGCCTCGGCCTCCTGCTTCGCCCGCTGCTCCGCCTCACGCTGCTCCTTCTCCTCCGCCGCCTTGCGAGCAGCCTTCTCGGCCTCCTTGTGCGCCTTCTCCTCGGCCTCCTGGCGTAACCGCTCCTCCTTGAGCACCCGCTCCTCTTGCTCCTTCTTCTTCCGCGCCTCCTCCTCTGCTCGCCGCTTTTCCTCCGCCTCTTTCTTGGCCTTGTCCTCCGCCTCTTTCTCGGCCTTCTCCTCAGCCTCCTTCTTCGCCTTTTCCTCCGCCTCCTTCTTGAGCTTCTCCTCCCGCTCCTTCTGCTCCTCCGCCTCTTTCTTCTTCTTCGCCTCGTCCGGATGGGTGATCGGGATTGCCCGCCGCGCGGGTGAGTTCGGGGTGATGGGCGTGGTCGGCGCGGCCGTGGGCCTCTTGAAGCCATCGAATTTCACCTCCTGCCCGGACACAGACTTGATGGTGACGCCGCGCTTGGGGGTAAAGACGCTGGCGTTCGGGTTCGGGAGGCGGGAAGCGGCGGAAGCTTGTGATGTTGAGGGCGTGGAAGGGGTGGAGGAGTTCACGCTGCTGAGACTAGACGTGTGTGTATGCGGCGAAGGGGTCGTGTGGGGCGGGTGGGTGTTGGGGGGCATCGCAGGAGGAAGAGTCGGGGTACCGGCAGCGTGGAGCGGTTGTTGTTGCCTGCCCGGCGACATGGGCAGCCCGCTGATGGCTGAGCCAGGTGTACCGGGAGGAGGATGGTGTTGAGGAGGCATGTGTTGGGGTATCCACCCTTGGTACGGGTAATTGGGATCCATGGGAGGCATGCCAGGCACGGTAGGATAATACTATAACGTTGTCAGTATGATCCAGATGGCCCGGGAACGAATAGTGGTGCAGCTCGAAACATCCGATATTCCAATGATGATTACTTACTGCATAGTAGCCCCAGGAATGAGGCTGAGAAACTGGGACGCCTCCAGCGGGTACGCCATGCGGTACAGGCTGCGGCTGCCCCACATGAGGCGCCGGGGCCATTCTTGGACTGGGCATGGCAGCGGGGAGGCCGGCGGAGGGCGGACCTCCAGGTGGTGGCCGTCCGTTCACGGCACCATTAGCCATTTGCCGCGGGAAGCTGGGTGACCTAGGGACACCCGGGCTGGGGCCAGGCATGCCATTCTGAGGTCGGAAAGTGTTGTAGGGGGAGCCCATGGGCGAAGGCGTAGGCTGGTGCGGATGTTGGCCCGGTTGGTGACGGGGAGGGGTGCGGGGCGATTTGAGGGGGAGGCGGGGGTCGTCGAGGTCGAAGTAGATGGAGCATCGGCACTCTTATTTTGGAAGAGGCTTCGTACGTCGAATTTAGGGGGTTTCGAGGGGGCAGATGCTGAGGTTGAGGGAGCGGTGGAGGTGGACGCGGGTGTTGAGGAGGTCGATGTCGTCGACGCTATCGACGGCGGGGTACCGGTCGAGAACGACGTCGTCCGTGAATGGACCTTGCCGTTCGTGCTTGCAGGGACGCTGCCGAATGTCTTGATGCCATCGGGCTTGATTATCGGGGCAGTCGAGGGGGAGGAGGATATCGGTGCAGAAGCGTCGTCGATGGACCCAAAGGTCACCGGCGAGCCTGGGAGGGATGAGACGAGGGAGAAGGGAGAGTGGATACGGCACTCACCAGCTTTTGTGGCACTGGTCGGTGTACGAGCTCCTACGCCATCTTTGAACGATACGCCCTGTCCCAAAGTGCTCGGTCGTCTAGAGTGCGTGGGGGCTGAAGGAGTGGTGACCGAAGGAGCGGGAGATTGAGATCGGGTCGACGGCGCTGTCGAAGTATTCGCTGGCGGACCTTTGGCCCAAGCTGACTTTGACGGTAGCTGGGACGTCTTTGATACAGATGCCGTGGACGATTTGCTCATTCTAGGGACATGAGTTAGGGGACATGCGGGGTTGCGAGGAAAAGACGCACGAAAGGCTGCGATTGGTTTGATTGATAATTGGCTTGGATGCGTCGCGTGAAGGTCGGTCGTGAAAGCTGACCTGCCTGCAGGCGAACAAAAGGTCGCGAGGAGGGTCTGAAGCTCGAAAATGCGGATGCTGGCGGTCAGCGATCCGGAGGGGGTCTGTCCTGGTGGAAGACGGAGGCAAGCAGCACGCAGGACCTCGAAACAAAAAATCTGGCCCGCTGCCAGGACCCCGCGCACAGCTGGCACCCTGCGGCACCGCCAGTGACATCACTTCTGGTCTCTTCCGCTCCGTCTGAGTCGACGCCAGCAGCCTCGACGGGCCCCGTGGAGGCCACTGCCGCACGAACAGATATCATAAATGCGCACAGTGGGCCCACCAGCGGGTGTCGAGGCCGCCTTGCGGTCATGCCCCGTGGCCTGCCATGTCCACACGAGTCAGGGGCGCGCTCCTCGGGCAGCGGAATGGGGCTGCGGCAGGGGCTATGGCTCAGGGAGGCGGTAGCGGCCACCGAGTTAAACGAAAGCATTGTGGTTCCGATCGGAGGTTCTCATAAGTTCCAATCCTGGTGGGCTTGGTGCTCAAAGACCAGCTGAGGAGCCAGATCACCTCAAACGCACAACCTGCCACGATGCGCACGAACCATCGCTTGGTGATTTCCCGAGGTAGGCGCATTGCGCGCGGCCGGTGTATCCGCCGAATGCATGGAAACCGGTCACTGCGGTGGCTGGCTGAAAGGATGGACCGCGTCACCTTCTCGTCTTGTGCACTCCCTTGTACAGGAGGTGGCATAGCTACTCGATGACAAGACCTGGAAGTTCGAACACACCCGTACAGCATCTTATGTACGGCCGCGATATGTATCAACCGATTCAACACAGTCCGAGAAGCGCGCCTCGCGTGGACCGCGCGCACACGACAACCTTGCAACCGACCGTCAGCTCACCGTCAGCTGCCACAGCCTGCCACTGCTCCGATCATCCAGCCAGCCAGAAATCTTCGCGTATGAACTTTGGATGTTGCATATAACCTTGTTTGACCCTGACCGTCGACTTTGTCTGTGTCAAAGCAGCGTGTAACAAGCTCAACAGATTAGTACTGAGTACTGAGGGCTGAACCAACTCGTACATGGTACGCAAACCATTCATGGAATCAGCCTGCCGTGCAATTGACACTCATGTCTGTTCTGTAATAGGTCTCTGTGATATTTGCCGCCATCCGTTGCAGATATCAATCAGTCACGAAGCCTTGCATCCGGCATCTCTCCGGTCTTGAAATCTCGTCGCGACGCGGCCGGGCGGCCATGGCAGAAAGCGCAAGCGATACCTCTCCCGCTCCACCGCCTCAGCATGCAGATCGTGGTTCGCCGCGACCTCCTAACCGTCCGTGCCTCAAGATCCTCTCCGAGTCTCCGCGAATCTGAAGTTCCGTTTGCTTGAATCCTCCCTGTCACAGACCGAGGGCTGGGGCGTAGGCCCGCTCATGGCGCAAGTCGCCCACGCGACCTCCGCGGTACCTCGCTCAACCACTCGTTCCTAATGCCATTCCAATCTTGTCCTTCCAGGTCCTCCACGAGACACGTGAGCGCCCAGAGACGCAAGCGTACCTCGACGACCTCACGCACATGCACAAGGTCCCACTTCCGGTCTCGAATCCGGCCGCAGTCCCGCGCTGACCCCAACGGTCCCCAGGTTGTGATGCAGACGGCAGACCAGGCGAGCATCGAACGTCTCGCGAGCCGGCTTGCGGAGGCCAACCCCCCGGTGCCACACCACCTGTGGATCGAGCAGCCCGAAAACGTGCCGACGTGCCTCGCCCTCGCGCCCAACCGGCGCGAGTCGAAGATCAAGAAGGCCCTAGACAAGGCGGGGTGCCGGTTGTGGCAAGGCTGATGGAAGACATGGGCGTAATTACAGCTGGAAGGGGCATGCGCATTGCAGACACATGTCGCTGTAGCAATAAGGCATTGGTGGGAGCAGTCTTGACTCTTGAACACAGGCACGAGTCACCCTGGCGCGGACATGCAAACATGTCATGCGCAGTACTTGCGGGCGCAGCGCATGGCTCGAGGCGGCGACAGTCGGGGATGCTGCGTGGCAGAGGCGGGGAGAAGAACAGTGCATTTATTGATACAACATCACGGATAAAACTGCGTTAGATAGCATGCGCGCAGTCTCGGGTCGACGACGACAGATCGGAGAGAGGGAACTGGCGAGAAGAAACGCACGGCGATCTGCGGCTCTAGTTCGCAAGCAGCTCTAGTACATCTCCAGACTCATGCCGTCGTGGATCTCGTAGTCCGCGAGCGTAATGTGGTCCTTGTAGATGTTATACCTGGGTGGGACAGGAAGGGTCGATGGGTGGCAGACGGACGAAACGCAGGAAGATGGCGCACCATTTCTTGAGCTGAATCTTGCTGGGATCGGTACCGGTTTGCGCGGCGATGAGCTTCTTGAGGTCTCCGACGGTGTCTTCGGGGCTACACTTGACGCGAACTGTACACAGGTTGTGATGGGAAGATGCAAGGATCTGATGAGCCGAGAGCTTGGGGGGAGCAGAAAGCTGCGTACCTTTGCGTCCAAGACGGTCGTTGGCGATGACCTGCCCGCCCAACAGACGTCATTCGCGAAGACGAAGACAGACACGAGAACAGAAGACGCGCATCGATGAGTATGCAATTCAACAGTGTAAGAAGGCCACCCACTTCAATAAGAGGCATGGTGTGATGTTGCGGCCAGGGAGGAGGGGGAAGATGGGGGGCGATGAGCCTGGAGCAACGAGGACAAGGGCAAGAAACACGATCCGAGGACGGCAGATTCGCGGTCCGAGGACTGCTCCCCAATTAAGCGCCTTGGCTGTCACCCAGAAAAGGCGGTCTCCAAGTTTGCCTCCCTCGCGTGAACGGCCTCGGGCATCAGCCACCTCATCGATGGCACTTCCCGTTTAGCTCAGTTGGTAGAGCGCATCACTTGTAATGATGAGGTCAGTCGTTCGAGTCGGCTAATGGGAACGGACGTTTTGCTGCACGAGACGAGGATGGCAAGAATGGATCCGAGTGCGGGTTGACAGAAGGCTACAAGCGATGTGTATAATTGTTGTACATATGTGTTAGATACAACCACTGAAGTACTGAAGATTGATCAAAAAGCGCTCGTCTGGAGAAGCTCTCTGTCTCCTCCAATCTGAACGCGCAACCCACGGCCAATCCACGGAGGTGTTTGTTGCGTCCCAGTGTTGTCCACCCATCCGTTAACCACGCCCTCGTTAAAGAGCACGTATCCCGGGATGTAACGATCCACGAATCTGGGTAGCTGATCAGATCAACGTAGGTAGAACCCACAGAACGCAACTGACGCTTCTACCTGTCCATCTGTCATACCTTTACCGCCATTCAGCGCCTTCATATGATGTTCTTGTTGAAGGCGCCACTTATAGATGAAGTCCAATGGATGATCGTCTGGCGGTGTGATCTGCGACTCGCTGTCCAACTTGCTTACTGACTTGTACGGAACAAGTGACGCACTTGAATAAATGCATCGATCGAGTTCCACCAGGGAATGTAGTACTCGAGTCGTCCGTTGATATCCTGAAATTCTTCGACGCTGTACCCCTTCCTCTTGAAGAAGTTGTCGCCAAGGCCAATCACTGGGCTGGTCCATCGCCGCTCCACCTCCTTGTGATCAATTGGATAAAATCCTGTACACCAGCCCTCGAAGAGAACGACATCGACTGGCGGGCGAACAGTGCTCCCGGGCACGCGGTCTCCCTCGCCATTGAACTTGCTCTTGTCGAAGGCCGGGAGCTTGACTTCGGTGATGCCCGCGCCTGGATCGTTGATGCGCTTCAGCCTGTCAAAGACGTCTCTCCCGAGGCGAATGTCGTGAGTGCCGGGCTGACCGCGTCCCTGCAGTAAAGCGTGGTTCGGGTGTGTTTGAGCGACTCGCACAAGCGCTTCGTGCGGGAGGTAGAGGTCGTCCAGCGAGAAAACGGTGACGGAAAGTTTGTGAGGCTCGTCTTGAAGGGCGTCGCGGAGGTGAGAGGTGAGGAAGGTCTTTCCACTACCTTGAGGGCCTTGTACGCCCACGATGAGAGGTGGACATGGGCCCTGCGGCGCGTGCCGTGATCGATGTGCGTCGAGCTGAGCGAGAACGTGAGAGCTCATGGGCGGGATCGCAGCCGGGAGCGACTGCGCCACGAGAGTGGGCGTGGCCTACCTGACAAGTCAGTTCAATCGGTACGTCGCCGCGACAAGAAGAACATGCATACTGTGCTCTCCATGGCGTGCACAGCTGGACTGAGCGAGATGATGGACTAAAGCCAGGGCAGAGCGCTTGTAAGGATGCGGACCGTGAGCGGCTGTGAGCGCACGAACTCGATCGCGGGAAACGCCGACGCCAATTGCGGTCTGCGCTGGAACTCGGGGCGGCCGCTGTGCGACCACGTACGCTTCGCCGTGGTGTTCTCCCCTCTCCCTCCGCCACCCCCTCCACCCTCACCGTCTAGGTCTCTGCTTGCCGTCCCGCGCGACCTCGGATCCTCAAAATGATGTCCGCATCCGACTCCGAGGCCTCTGGGGGCCCTCTTCAGCCGCTCATGGTCCAGTACGCGCAGGCACAGCGCCAGTACCAGCAATGGCTCGACAAGGTGACGCCCTTCGTCCTTCAACGCTGGTTGAGCACCGCCGGAGTACTCGCTTTGTTCATGCTGCGAATCGTCTTCGCGCAAGGGGTACGTCGCTTTCTACGCTTGACTTCCGCCACAACATCTCACATGTCCACTGGGTGCAATCGACTCGTTTGGCACGAGCAGTGGTATATTGGTACGTCTTCCATTAACTTCTGCGGCTACGCGCATACTCATGGTCTCTTGCAGTGTGCTGTGAGTATCCTATGATCTCACATACTCGTGTCGGCACCTTGTATTAATCTCTCTCAAGACGCCCACGCTATCTACCTCCTCAACCTCTTCCTCGCCTTCCTCCAACCACGGTTCGACCCTTCGCTGCAAGATGATCTGATGGCGGACGAGATTGAAGAGGGTGGAGAGGCGACCTCGCCCCTGCCGTCGAACCGCGACGACGAGTTCCGCCCGTTCGTGAGGCGTCTGCCAGAGTGGCAGTTTTGGTGCGTCGCGCTACAGCCCACATTCCCTCCAATGCGATTTGACGAGCGGATCCAGGCTTTCCGCCACTCGCGCCACCGTGATTGCGCTGTTCTGCACCTTCTTCGAGGCGTTCGACGTCCCGGTCTACTGGCCCATCCTGGTCGTCTACTTCTTCGTCCTCTTCGCCCTCACCATGCGCAGACAAATACAGTGCGTCACTGTCTTGGGCGTGCAATTCCGACTGTTTTTCTGACCATTTCCCGGCAGACACATGATCAAGTACAAGTACGTGCCTTTCGATATGGGCCGGAAGGTGCGCTACGGCGGCGCGGGGCACCGATGAGATGCGAGGTGCAGACAGAGTGCCGGTGAGCATTCGCAGACGGGGTCGCCGACGCCCAGACTAACGGGATTGTACGTAGCCGGAAGAGGGACGGACATACTACGTACTAGAAGGAAGTTGCTGCGCCTACCATACCGGTTGTCATATTGTGTCGACGTAATCTAGAGACGTGTTGTACAACCGTCGTTCTTTGCTTATAGTGCGCCTAATTTCTCTTGCTCTGCGCGGCTTTTCAGGCCGGCATGGTTTTGCGGAAGGACTAGTTACCCCGATGCTGATCGTATCCGCCTCGTCAAGTCCGTGTGTCAACAGACATGAAAATTGGCGTTCCAAGCGGCAGTCTCTCCACGGTTGTCTCAGGCGAAAAGCACACCCAGTACAGTTGCTCGATTCCGAAGCTTCGATATATGTGAACCCGAGGTGCTTTTTGCCGTCCATGGCCGCCGATCTTCAAACGACTCGACTCTAAACTTCAGCTCTCCAAGTTTTGGTGTCCCTAGACCAACCCTCGGGATGATACAAGGCGACACAGCTCTGGTCAACATTTGTCCTACTGTCCATCTCCCTGAACGACACAACTCACCCTCAGTGCCGACCACACAACATCATCTCAGGAACTACGAGCTACCCCAAAACTGTGTGGTTTCCCTCAAATCACTGGCGAGGCACTCTATGCCATCGAGGCTCACGCCGCTCCGCAGGAATTTATTCTGCACGCCGCATGGGTAAGTGCCACCACGACCGTTCTCGTGGACCTATCTCGAACATCGAGGAGCGCGGCATCCTGTACCAACACGAAGTAAACCCGCGTCTTATTTGGTACGGCCCCCTTCTCCACCCCACCCCTCCTTCTTTCCATCCACGAGACTCACGTCGCCGTCTTCTCCACAGCGATCAACCCGCATGGGCTCATCGAGCACATCGGCGCGGCAGTCTATCGCGAGTCCCTCCTGCTCGTCGAGTTCTTCGAGTCCACCGGTCCCCCGCGCGTGTGTGCATCTGGACCGACTTCGCGAACAAGTCCGTTGTGGCCGCGTTCCGGAAGACGATCACGGCGCGGGAACCCGCCGGGAGGACCTGTACGCGGCGATGCGCGCGCTCGCGGGCGAGGTGTGAAGGCCGTTCTTCCTTGGGGAAGAGTTCTCGATGCGATCGCGCTGTTCGTAGTACAAGCGCGGGGAGGTACATATATCATTACTCAACGCTTGGCTCCTTCAGTGGGCTGTATTGGAGAGCATGTGATCTTTGCGCTCGACGGAGTCGGCCTATTTGATTGATCATCGTGCATTCGATCTCGGGCTTGTTTATCAACTTATGGTCTGAACACTCTGTCACGAACAGAAGGGCGTACGCCTGAAGGTTGCATTGGGATTTACCGCCTTACCAACGACTCGACCAATTATTTCGAGAGCACAGGAGGGAGAATTTTCTTCCCTTGAATGTTTGCTCTGCGGTCATGGGTCATGTAGGTAAAGGTGCACGTGTTTGGAGCATTCGGTAACGAAGAGATAAAGACAAATCACCATATACTTGGCAAGTGTTCAGTCATACCCATTCTTGCCAGGAACGACTCCAAAGGCTCCTCCGCCCCTCCCGAACATCACGAATAGGTCCTGAGCCAGGGCATCGGGGACTTCAAAGGCAGGGAAGTGACCACCCTTAGAATGGTCTTTCACATATACTATCTTCCCCATCAAGGGTGCCCATCTGGATCAATATCTCGTGAGCAAGATGGCGATACGGCTAAGATGAGCAGGCACTGACGATCTCGGGACGTAAATGACTTCTTTAGGGAAGTACCCCATTCCCGTGGGGATCGTGGCGCGCTGCACGCGTTGAAAACGGCATTGGGTCCAGAGCCTCCGTTGTGCATCTCGTTGTAAACTCGTATAGATGCTGCGGGGCCAGCGCGGGAGAACCAAAAGATGGAGATCCATCTGAGCACTAAGAGGATTGCGTACAATCAGCTTCGATTTTGCGCACAGTCGGGTATGTCATACCCTCATCATCGTTCCATGGATAGTCATCTGTCCAAGCGACAAGCTTCTCGTATATCCATGCGAGTAAGCCGATGGGTGAGTCCGCCAGGCTGTACCCGATAGTCTGCGGTTTCGTAGTGTGCATCGTCCAATAACCTCTGCCAACGGCGTAGAAGTTCCGGGTATACGCAAAGCCTTCGCGCATCTTCTTATTGAAGGGCGCGAGAAGCATTTGCAGGAAAAGGAGAGGGTTTCTGAGCAAAGTTGGGGCAGCCACACTATCGTCGTAGGGCGATCAGTGGCAAAGTCAATCTAAGGACGACATTACATACACGGGCATATTCGTGTGCCAGGCCTTGATGTGTTTATGTCCCAGCGTGGGGATGATGAGTTTCCCCAGTAGACCACCCATGTCCCCTCCTTGGTAGACTAATTGTGTGCAACACGTCAATCCCTGGTAACGCTGTATGCAGGGAGATCACTGACCGTACTCGCATACCCGAGTGAGAGCATGAGTTTGTTGAAGAGCTAAATGATGTCGCATTAAGCGCCTTGAACGAGCCAATACATAAGCAACGAATCACGAACCTCTGCATATTGGGACGTCTTGAAACCAGGTTTATGCACTCCTTCCGAAAATCCGTATCCTGGGAGACTGGGAGCGACAACATGAAAGCTCGGATGGTCCGACGAGGCGGCTGTCAATAGAGGCAGCATTCTCTCAACCTCGAGGAAGTGTCCTGGCCCTGCGATTGTTATCGCCTCGGCTTAGTTGGAACAGACATGATTATACGAGCAAACGTACATCCGTGCACAAACAGCAGTGGAATTGCGTTGTTCACTTCGCTCCTCTGGTGAATGTAATGTATGTTGAGTACGCCAAAGCCTTCGACCTCGATGTCACGCGTGAACATAGGAATCTCGTTGATCGCGGCTTCATGTTTGCGCCAGTCGAAGCCGTCCTTCCAGTAGGTCGCAAGGCGCCTGATGTCTGCGAGTGGGGCGCCGTAGGCCCAGCCTGCGTGATCGAGCTCGTCGGGGAAGCGCGTGAGCTCGAGTTTCTTGCGCAAAAGTTCCAGGTCGGCGTCGGACACCGCGATCTGGAAGGGGACTTCCTCCGAGCTCTTGTTTGAAGCCATGGCGGGACGTCGGCTCCCAGTGCACGCGGGTGAGATGACCAACGGGCTTGCGTTCGACACGGCTTAAGTATGCCAAGGCCAGGGCCTGCTTCTCATTGCCATGTGGCTGTTGTTGTTCTAGTCCCCGAACCAGGGCCAGCCTGTCAGAAGTGTCAGAAAGATTGCGTAGCTCGCAGACCACGACGAGCCAGAAGCGCGGCAATAGGACGGCTGGAGGAGCGCACGTAAATATTAGTACTAGACTGCCCGGTGGCGTCCGACTTGTAAGCCTCGCACTGTTCGATATTAGTGAGAGCGTAATGTTACTTCAAGCCGCGTACACATACCAACCGCAAGCATGCTGACAGCAGGATATCGTAAGAGCGAGCACGAGGAGTGGGGATGCACGAAACACCCAGGGCAAGTCGAAAGGGCAGCTCAAGTTGGACTCCGATGATTGCGGGATAATAAACTTGGAAGTCCGAGTATCGGCGCCTGAAGCTCAGGTGACCAAGCAAGTCCCAGCTGGCCGTGACTTGACGCTGTGGCTCCGGTGGGCATTCAGCGCGTCTTCCCGCTTACCCTCTTCACCCACCACCTCTTCTCCTCACCATGGCTTTCGGGCTGACCATGGGCACGGAACGTGCCACCGCGCTCCAGAATGCTATCCAGGAAGAGCTTATCAAGCGTAACTACAGTGCGGAAGCAGGTGAGTTCTCGTTCCTGCACCCAGCGCAACACAAGGCTCACTTGTCTCTTAAGACCCTGTCATGGCGGAGTATATCACTATCATGGTCATCAACAACAAGTCTTCCGGTGAGTCTCCTTTTCAAAGCATGCCGGGGCTCGAGAATCCTCGGGCTTTGACGGGCGGCCTGTTCCTTGGTTACACGAACCATAATACTGACCCTTACCTCAGTTCAGATCACCTCAGAGCTCGAAGATCGTAAGTCTATGGTTTTATGGCTGTAGGAGTTGTGCTAAAGGTTTTTTGATTGGTACGGGTAGTCATTGGCTCGGATTTCGGTATGTAGCACATATGTTGCTCCCTGTATGCGTCTAATCTTCTCGCAGACGCCAGCTTTGTAGACTGGCTTTTTGCGGAAGCCAGCAAAGGTGCTCCAGCAACCGAAGCTCCCCCCGCGCCGGAAGCCTCGACATCTTCCGCTCCTCCTGCACGCGACTCCCCCGACCTCCTCCCCCATCAACAAGTCGACAACCGACGACCACCGAATGGCCCGCGTGCCGGTGCCCCATTATACAAACAGGCTCTCTCCCAAGCCATACCTTCCACTTCTCCTTCTGGCCAGAAACGTCCGCGTCTGCTCGCTCCCCGTCACCACAAGGCCATCCGCCCTCGAAGGCACGTCGCACAGACCACCTCCCAACCGGTCCTCGAGCTATGCAGCGTGGCGACCGTGGGGAGCACGGCCAGCGCAGCTTGCTCGATCGCATGGGCCCAAGAGGGCACGGCCCGCAGTTCAATCCTCACGACGACGTCCAGGCACGTATCGACAGCATAACGAACGGACCGGTGGACCCCAGCATGATGATGATGAACGGATTCCCCATGAACGGCATGCCGGGCATGGACATGGGTGCAATGAGCATGGCCAACCCGATGATGCTCCAGGAGCTCATGATGTCCCAGATGGCGATGATGTCGCAAATCGCTGGCGCTATGGGCATCATGAACCCTGCGAACGGCCAGTTCATGGGACCGAACGGGTTTCCGATGCAGCCAGGAATGGGCGACATGAACGGGTTCAACGGGAACGGGATGAACGGAGGGATAGGTCCCAGCGGGAACGAACGCGGACGTGGAGAGGAAGGGGTGGTCCATTCGTGGTGCGGGAGAGGTCGTGGAGGACATCACGGTCAGCCCAACAATTCCGAAAACATCTCTTCTGCCGAGGCCACCCCCGCCCCCAATGGGTCGCACCCCCCGCGCCTACACCACAAGCAAAGTCTGCGCCCTCAGTCGCAGCGCCGACACCATCACCCCCTCCACTTCGACTGGCTCCGCTCGCCCTGGCTTCGTTGCCCCCGAACGTCCGCAATCACCCACACTCTGCAAGTTTGCTATGAAGTGCACAAATCCGCTCTGCCGATACTCTCATCCCTCCCCTATCGCTACGCCGAGAGCGGCATAGTGCTCAGCACTGATGCCTGCGAGAAAGGAAAAGCCTGCAAGGACAAGGACTGCATCAAGTCACATGTCAGCCCTGCTGTCATCAACCCGAACGGTGCGTCGCGATGGTTTTTCTCTTCGCACTTATGTCTGACGTCTTTTCCGTATAGCCGAGCCGCCGAAGCCCCTTGCCTTCACTCCCCCTGTCGCCGCCCCACACCCCAAAATGCTGTTCCTTGCCGGTACGGTGCAGCTTGCACACGCCCAGGTTGTACGTTCTCGCACCCACGCCCTCCAAACCACGCGGTGTCGTGCAAGTTCGGGACTGCGTGCACACGCGCGACGTGCCCATACCAGCACCCCGAGGGTCGCGTCCTCCCAGGTCAATTCCACCGAGGACTCGCGACCGCTCCGGGCACAGGTGCCGACAGCCCGCACAAGACGGTGACGTTCAAGCGGCCGGACGGGACGCCGACGAGTGCGGCGGAGCTGGAGAAGCAGGTGAAGGAGATGGAAGCCCGCAAGAACGAGGCGGAGAAGGCGATCGCGCAAGCGCAGAACGGCAAGAAAGAGGAGGGCGCGCCCGCGGTACCCATTTCCGCGTAGATTTAGAGGTGCGCGGATGATCGCCACTCGCGCCCTTGCTCCCACCCTAGCTTCGTGCTTCCCTTTCTGGCTGTTCCATCCGCCTCCCAAAAGCCGATTGCGGGCCCAGGGCTAGGCGACCGCCGTTGCAAGCTATGGACAGTGCAGTGTGTCAGGGATCCCGTTCTGTGCTTCTCCTATTTTTCTATATACGTATGTGTCCCTCTATTGTCTCCCTCCCAACCCGTCATTATTTCGTACCACCACAACTCTCCGTCTTGTATCTCGAAGTAGGACTACCCGAAGGCGCGTCTGGGGTCTCAGTTGCAATGTCATGGTTCGTGCCCGGGGCCAGTCTCGGCCACTGCGCTTGCGCTGAAACTTCGTCTACTTGTGCGCGTCTCGATACTGGTTGTGACCCACTCATGAGCACGCTCTCATTCATGTCCTGGCACCATTAACCTCTGGCTCACCAGCATCATTTCAGACTGCACTGTGTTAAGTAACGTCAGAAGATTCACCTCGCCGCGCTTCCTTTGTGCGGAGACTTCTCCGCGTAACGCCACTAATCAACCACACCTCCCGGACTGCGCTTCCTCTTCACCACACGAGGGAGTCCAAACGCTTTGTGGTTGGTACGAACAAAGCGCATACGCTCACCCCTAATTATATACGCAGGAGAGCGGGGCCATTGACCCTCATCTCCTTCGACTCTTCGCACCCTTCATCCGCTCTTTCGTTCTTGGAGCGTGACATACACACACCCGACACCATGACGTTCTCCGCCTTCATAAAGACCACCTTCAACGTTCTCTTCGGGATTGACCTGGACGCCGGTGAGCACTGCAGCCGCGAGCCGTCCTCGCTTGCGGTCTGGCTGACCGGCGGCGATGGCCAGATGACGCCCAGCTCTGGGCCCAGCCGTACCCCGGGTATGAGGCGGACGATGACTTCGGGCTCGTGCCCGCGTTCGCACAGCCGTACTGCGCCGTGTCTGGCCTCGCCGGCTCTCCGCGTATGTTCGGCCGGTGGGGTGGCGGCGAGGAGGGTCGCGCGGTGTAGGCTTGAGTTGAACTGGAGTTTCTGGAATGGGAGGAGGGCGTTGGCTGCGCAGGAAGATTGTTGTACGATGTGCGATGTCGGCGTGTACAACGTGAAGCGATGTATGAGGTGTCTGCTTACGAACAGTGTTGAGAGTGTTGCGCCAAGGTGTGGTTGGGTGCAGACGAGGTGTGAACGTTTGAACGTTGGTGCACGCGAGTTTTCTGAAGGAGTACACTCATTCATTCATAACGTCGTAATCGTATCGTAATCACCGAGCAGTAAGACGAGAATGCGGTAGAATACGTGAAGCAGTCAGGCAGTACGGATACATAGAGAAGGAGGAGGTTGTACAGTGATACAGAGAGAACAGACGGATGACGATAAGTGGCAGCGTCCGGTCCACGGCAGACATTTTGGTGGTGCGGTCCCGGCGACCGAGCTCAGCCGAGGAAACTGCGCGAGAAGTCGTCCGTGGAGGTAGAGATGATCGAAGACTTCCGCAGCAGTATCGGGCTGTCAGAGGTAGAAAATTCCGAACAGTATCCTTCGTCCATATCCTCCACAGGGACTTCCCGCATGCTACTGCACCGCAGCAATCGTCTTCTGGAATGAGATCGGAGAGGTGACAGGTGCACCGGTGGGTTGGAGGAAGGCCTGGGAAGCAGCGTGGCGGCATTCAGGATGTCGGAGCGATCGGTCGACGGTGAAGGTGAGAGGGGGTGTTCAATGGGGGTCGCTGTCTGCGGCATGGGCCACACGGCAGATGCTGATAGCCATGGGGGAAGAGGGAGTGGACAGATGTTCGGATCGTCGTCGAACAATCCGGGGAGGGAAACGAAAGGATGGAGGGGCGGTCCGAAGTAAGGTCCAGGCCAGAAGTACCGAGCCCGAATGCTGAGCTCGAAATCAATGAGCGCGGGGTGAGGGACATTGAGGCGCCAGTGAAGCAGCTGGCAGAGATCCCGTTGCGCGGCCTTGAGCTCTTCGGGGGTGCAGAGATTCACGGAAATGTGAACCCAGGAGTCCGTGGAGTATGGGTCGTCGTCGACCATCTTGTTGGCCACCATGGCAGCGGCAAGGAATAAGCAAAGGAAGGAGTGTGGGGAGGGGCACTTGATCGTGTACTTGTACAAATCCGCCAGAGCCGCGAGAAGGTACGCAGCATACACCAGCTCGACGTCATGACGATTCTTCATGAGCCGAAGTCGCAAATCGAAGAAGGCGAGAAGTGCGTTCGCCGTCGTAGGAGAGGATTGGTTGAAAAGGTGTGGCAAGAACCGCGCGAATACGACCTCCCTGGCGAGAGGGGATTGAGGGTCGTCCATGGCGTTGGGGGTGGCTCTTGAAGTCCAAGGAGGGGACATATGATAGACTATATAGCTCACCAAAGTTGTCTCGCGGGTCAAGATGATCTCCAGTATGTGCACAATGGGATTGCATGTTGTTCGCGTGTTTAGAGCACGACGCCTTTGTGCTGTTGCAAATCACTGTAACGCGCAGCTAGTTCATCAGCGATGGGGTCTTCCGCACAGCACAACATTAGACGTGGCTCTGTATACCTTAGACGGATGGCAACCCATGTACGAGGCTCGAACCTGAACGAGACTGAGCGAGAGTGGCCGTAGACCCTGGCGAGCTGGATGAATCCGTCCATCTAACTTATTCCCCTGCATGAAGGAGCTAGAATCTGAGAGATATGCATGCGGCAGAACGAATAGTCGTGGTTCGAGTCAAAGGGGGGCTTGGGAAGGGCAAAGCGCCATTGCGAGCAACAAGTGCGGGGCGCGCTTGAGAGATCTCCACACCATGTCCGCTTACGGCGCGATCGCTCGCGCAGCCTCTGGTCCTCTTCCTTCCACGACATGGCTTGTGCGCTCCAAAGACCCCTCAGCCAATCCATCCGTCACCCTTCATCATCTCACTCTGCAAACCGCGCGTCAGCAGCCAGGTCTCGTTGAATATCTCCACAAAGTCTTTGCGGATGAACTCGAGAGCGGATTGACATACCCTCAAGAAGTTGGCGCGGCAAGCGAGTATACAGAAGACCAGTTCGCAGCATACTACTTCGCTGCGGATGTAATCGTTGCCGTGGCTAGCACATCTGGGTCGAAGGATGGTGCCGACGGCGAGGTCTCTGCGCTCGGGTTCACGGCAGTAGTGAGCGGTAGGAGTTGGGAAGAGTGCATTGCAGGCTGCTACTATGTGAGCTCCCCTGCTGTTCGATGTTTTATGTTCTTTTTTCCCTTTTCAGTCGGAGGATGCACTATTGGGTTGAGGGATCGATGTCGCTCTTAATAAGCGGACGGGCGGGGACAGTGGCTGTCGCGATGCTTTCTTTTGAGTTCGTTGGGTCTATGTCGGCACATCTCAAATTGCCCACCTTGCACCACACGCAGAATCGCTAACATACGTTTTTCTGTTACAGGTCAAGCCCAATTACCCAGGCAGATCGTCTCATGTAGGTGATGTTCCACGGCGAGTACATCTGCCGTACACAGGCTGCTCGTACCGATTCTGGTGATTAGGTAGACATACCCACGATCTGTTCTAAATCCCGTTCATTTCTTCTCGCCTGGGCACTACCATTGGATCTGTAGCTGATACCCAACGGACAGATCTGTAACGCAGGTTTCTTGGTTCCACCTCTCAGCGGGGCCGCGGCTTTGGGGGCGCCCTAGCGCGCTCATATCTCCATTATGCTCCGCGACTGGGTTACGAAGCGAGTGTGTTCAACCTCGTCTATGTAAACAACGTCGCAAGCGTTCGGTGAGTTGGTCTTCCCTTTGAATTGCCTGTAAGAGGTTCTGAATGCTACATGCTTTACAGACTCTGGGAAGCACTCGGCTTCGAGAAAGCAGGCCGTATCCCGCGTGCCGGTCGTCTGAAGAAGGCCGATGGCTCTGGCGAAGAGTTTGTCGACGCGTGGGTGTTTTACAAGAAATTCGACAGCTAGGCCTCCACGCCCGCACCCAGCCCAAAGTCAATACCTGGAGAGAAACGAAGATGAAGAACAGTCGTGGGGTTGCGGGGGGGCGATGAGAAGGATATATGTCTGTATGTTCAATGTACGGGTGATCTCGGTGCGTCAATACATCGGAATGTTGCTTCTTCTGATTGTGCTCGAAGCGCGATGCGCCGGTTGGCTGGACTTCAGCCACTTGTTTTGTCTCCTCGGTCCGGTCGATGATCGGAGGCGGGTACGCAGAACAAGGGAATCCCAATGGGCGCTAGTCAGGCTAGGACCGCCGGCTCTCGTGCTGGTGGTCGGCGGTCACCCTAGCCTGCACGTAGGCGTGCTTTACGCTTCGCGCGTGATTATGCCCTAGCGCCTCCTATTGTCATAGGCAACTCCTCCGTCCGCCCGGAGCCTTTCCCGCTCTCGTGCAGCGCCGACGTCGGTTACTTTCTCGACCACGGCACGCCCTTCCCTCGCGGTGGTCTTCCGAGTCTTCTCTCCATCTATCCTCCGGACTCAACGAAGCGTTGATTGCATCCCTTCATCTACGTCTCTGTTCCTTCCGACTTCTCGTCGGACCCCACCCTGATCCAACTCCAGCGCCGCGATGGCGTGCTGCGGCGCCCACAGCGAGCGGCCTCGCACGGGGTCATGGGCTCCTGCCATGGTCGTACGACATACCGCATCCGGAAAACATTCCTTGCGTTATGTCTGAAGCCCGCCACTCATCAGAAAACCGAGTGGCGGAGGAGGCTTCGGGGTGGGCTTCGACTTCGTTGCAGGGCCGCAGCGTCGTGAGTGCAGACACCCGGCTCCCACCCTGACCCACGGGTGGACACGGTGCAGCTGCGGGGTTAACCGTGCTCGCTGCCATCGTCCTCATCGATGCCCTTGGGGGACGGATGGACGAAGCCCGGAAGGCTGGTGCTACTCACTGCTGCAAGAGACGTCTCGGACGACCGGCTGGTGCTCCGCCGGCGGGCCGTCGAGATTCGGTGTTCCCGTGCGGATGCGGTACAACGGCAATAGCGCTTGCTGCGGGCGTTGTGTCGTGTTGCCGGTGGTCTCTGTACCGATTGAAGGAAGTTGGCGCAGTGCTCCGAGGCTCCTGAGTGTACTGCTATGCGTCGTCGGCTATGAAAGGACGAGGTCCGCCCCGTCCCTTCCATATGCCGGCGGTGACCGCGGAACCTCCTTCTCTCCAGCGTAACGTAAAACGTCCAGGTCCACACTCTGGTCCCGCGGACGCCCCGAAACGGCAGGAGATATCAGACGCTAGCAGAAGCCCCGGGACGATCGGGCAGCGAAAGGCTAATCCGGCCTCCCTGATGCCGCGGCACACCCCACTCCGTCCGACCACTGGCAAGTCCCGCGCCCTGGGGCGTTTGTTGGCGCTCGACGCCCACTGAGAACGATCAGCCACGGCGGAGCGCGGCGTGTCACGGTATCTGCGTGGTGCATAACGGGGAGCTTCCGTGTGCGGCAGGATGGAAAGAGTCTGCGGCCCTGGACGAATGATGAACTGTGACCGCTAGCGCGCCATCGTTGGACGCGGTTCACTAAACTATCGACGGGCGCGCCCAGTGGACTCGGAGCGCGACGGGGCCGGCTGTGCTGGGCCAGGATGCTCGTCGGCTGGCGAGTGCCATGGATGGGCGGTGCGGATCGCGCTCGTAGCCGATAGACGACTACCTCGCCACTCGGTCTGCGGCGTTCTGGGGAACCACATGCACGCTGCGCTCTGTCGGAGGCACGCCACGAGGGAGGTCGCTTGCCGTGTTCTTGACAGGTGGGTTGGCTCGAGGGGCGCGCCAGTGTGTACCGCTGCAGTCAAATGACTCGACCCACAGGCCACGCGGCCCCCAGCTCTTGCAGTGCGTGGCGTGTGAGGGCCATCGGGTGCGTGTGCAAGGCGGCGTAGCGTACGTACGGCGGGATGGCTGTGCAGGAGACCTTAGCGATTGAAAGTACTGTATATTGAATTGTCAGTTGTCTTCAAACGCCAGTTGCAAGTGGCTCAAGTCTGAGAAAACCACTCATACAAGGTCGGGCGCATACGGAGAAAACCAGTGTTACATACGAAGGACGTGACATTCATCACGAAGTCCTTCTCGGGAAATTTAGTGTTCGCACAATATTAATGAGGTCCCAGAGCCGCGCCACAGCACAACGGTGCAGGACAAACGAGTCAGATAAGGTGCGAGCTCTATTCGCGCCGGATAAGAGCACACGTAAAGACGCATTCGCATTCACAGATTCGATTCGCTGTTTTGATCATATATTATAATACAGGGGGCACAGAGAGGGAACATGTGGCGATACATGGCATTTTCGAGAAGACAGCCCCGGACTTCGAGGCTTGCCGCGACGGTAACAACAGCCACCCCTTTTCCCGTTTGCCCCGAGGATCAACAAGTGATAGAATGAAAACTAGCGGCGAGAGCAGCGGCAGGAGGAAAACCTGAATGAGCGTGAGTGGCATGGGTTGTAGCGCTGGATAGGAGCATTGGTGCAGAACGAGCGTGGATCTTTCCCTAGGAGGTGTAAGACACGTTAGAGGTACGTTTCTGAAGGAGAGCAGCTTGACCAATGAATCTTGGGGAGTGAGTGGCTACGATGACCATTACCAGATGATCGGCAGGTCGCTGGGCCCGCGTAGATGCTGCCGCTGGTGGCGTTCTTGGGGGCGGCGGGACGTTCGATCCGGCGGGTGCGTGGGCACTTGGGAGGGTGCGGGTTCGGCGCGTAGTAACTCGCGGTTCGGCCGCGGCTACCGCAAGGTTGCCTGCCCACGGGACGCATGTGGCGCAGACGCGGCGGTGTAGGGGGTGATGGGAGACATGGCAGACGATGGCGCGGATGGGGGAACGTACACATATGGACAAGGCCCTCGCCCCTGGAAGTCGCGCCAGACATTGTGCGCGAACTCCTGGAGGGCTGAGGGCTCAACGTTGAGGTGCCACTTGAGGAAGAAGCAGAATTCGCGCTCCATCTTGTTGAGTTGTTCACACGGGAACATGTCCTTGCCAACGATGACCCACGACTTATTGGAGTATGTGTCGTCGCAGATGACCTTGCTTGCGACCATAAAGGCGGAGATAAATAGCCGATGCCCTGACGGCCGGACTTCATGGGGGGGACGCGAGCTTTTAGTCGTCGAAGGAGGTAGAGGGCGACGAATGTGACGGATGTGTGTAGTCGCGTCCGATGGAGGGTGTAGGCGATGAAGTTCGCGAGGGGGAGTGGGACGGCGGGAAGGATGAAGGTGGATAGTGGCGGCAGGTCCGGACATGCAAACAGATATTTGACAAAGCGCGCGCAAAGCTTCGCGATCTCTTCATGACCGTAGAACGGATCCTGTTGAAAAGGTGAGGGATGATCCTAACACTGAACCGGTATCATGGAGTGGCGCGGGGACTCACAGTCACTTGGTGCGAGCTCGAGATAGAGGCCATATGGGGTATCGTCTTCTGGGACTCCGCCGCAGAGCAAGGCTTTATAAACCAAACACACCAAACGCCTCCCGACCAAAGCAGCTGAAGCGAGTCAGTGGACGGCGCGGTGCAGTGCCAAGCACGAGCCACACAGTCAGCGGGGGTTTTCGCGCGGGTTTCCAGTTCGAGCTCTATCCCGAAGTGAATGCTGATGTGGTCGCTTGATTGAACTCCAGGCCCCCTGCCCGCTGCGCAGCGCCTTCCCCCATTTCGGTTATGGGCCCAGAGGAAGCAGGGCGGGAAGAACATATCGATGGGTGTGGCTGTTGCGTCGTGTGTTCCGTGCAGCAGGCTCCTTGGAAAGAAGCTGCTACGGCTTCCGCCCCTAGTACGCCCGAACGGGCCACGACGAGAACAATCAAGATCGTCTCGCGAGAACTGTGTCCAGGGCGCGTGAGGCCTTGAGGCTTGGGCCTTGTCGGGCGCTGAGAGGAGATTAATCACGCTTGCGTGCGTTTCTCATACACTTGCCACAACGACTGTAGGACGAGAGACGCGGTCGGACAGTAGTGAGGATGTCAGGAAAAGGGCGGGCCACGTCCAACGTGCGCCAACTGAACACCGACGTGGCGGTGCCGCACTTCAGGCCAGGAGTTCGATTCTCGCAGAGCGCAGTATCGAGAAGATCTCAAAACCCGCCGTCGTTATCAAGAAATAGCACGGTAGATGGGAGTGTGCAAGGAGCTTCTACCCATTATCGTTACAAAAGGAGTGTGTATAACGAGGGTGCTGACAATATGTACAATTATGTGGCAGTCAAGGCCGCGCCACTCCGAGTTGAAACGATCCTCGTCCCCGCCAACCACTCATCTATGTCTAACGCCTCCCGGTCCCGTCCGTGTGGTAGCCTGCGTATTTTTGGTACAGGAATGGGCACACAGCTGCGGCTGATGCAGAATGACGCCAGGACGAGCTCTACCATGCAAGACATAGTCCACCGCCGGGGTCGCAAGCTGCCAGGGGCTCGCAGGCGAGTCTCAGGGCGGGCTCAAGATGAGGGAAGTTCCGGATGGTGGCGATATCAGAAGAAGGACTCGCGTCCCACGTCTCTGTCCCTCCGACTTCTTGTCGGACCCCACCCTGATCCAACTTTCCAAGTCCAGCGCGAAATCGATCGATGGCATACTGCGGCGCCCACAGCGGGCGGCCTCACACGGAGTCATGGGCTCCTGCTATAGTAGTACGACATACTGCATCTGGGAAACATTCCTTGCGTTATGTCGGAAACCCGTCACTCATCAGAAAGCTGGAGGGGTGGAGGAGGCCCGCTTCGGGGGCGGCATGGCCCGGGTTGACGTGGGCTTCGACTACGCTGAAGGACCTCACCATCGTGAGTGCAGACAATCCGCTCTCACCCTACAGTGACCCGCGGGTGGAAAGACGGTGTAGCTTCGGGTTGGTGGCCGCTGCGTTCTGAAGTCCAGACGAATCCGCCATTTCAACAGATCACAGTTCTCCCACGGGTCATTTCGGCGCCTAGTCGCATCTTCGGTGCTGCCACTGTCGTCCGAGCTCTCGTCCCTGCTGCTCCCTCCATTTTACATCTCTGTCATTTTTATGCATTCAAGAAATTGAATTTGCGGCTCAGGACTCGCGGAGGGGGCGGAAACGCGACGCGTCGTGACATTTTTGAGCACGTAGAGAAGATCCGTGGACGAAGCTCGGAAGGCTGGTGTTCAGTATGCTCGTCTGCCGACGCGTGGTGGACGGTGCGAACCACGCTCTGAGCCGATATGGGAGACGAATACCTCGCTGCGTCGCGTGTGAGGGTCATCGGGTGCATGTGCAAGGCGGCGTGACGTACGTACAGCCCGGGATGATCGTGCAGGAGACCTGAGTACTGAATATTGAATCGTCAGTTGTCTTCAAACGCCGGTTGCGAGTGGCTCAAGTGTGAGAAAGCCAGTGGACATGAGGTTCGCTACGGAGTCCTTTCTCGGGAAAGTTAGTGTTCGCGCAGTGAGGTGGAGCCACGCCACAGCACAGCGCCGAACCAGCGAGCCAGCTAAGGTGCACGTTCTATTCGCGCCGAGTAGTGACAACACACATTCGCATTCGCTGTTTTGATCGTACACTATGATACAGAGGGAAAGGTGGCGACGGAATACAATAGCGTGTCCTCGGAGAAGCCAAGCAGAACAACAGCGCCAGACAAGAGACTTCGAGGCTTGCTGGGATGGCAACGACCACCCCTTGTCCCGTTTGTACCGAAGGCCAGCGAGTGATAGAGTGGAAACCAGTGGCGAGAGCAGCGGCAGAGGAAAAGTTGAATGAGCGTGAGTGGCATGTGCTGTAGCGCTGGATAGGAGCATTGCGCGCAGATGCCCATGATGAAGTAGAACGAGCGTGGATCCCTCTCAAGGAGGATGAAGGTAAGACAAGGTGAAACATGAGAGAATTTTTTTGAAGGGGAGTAGAAGGAGATGGACGCCCCATTGGGCCACCCTGACCGATGGAGCTTGGAGAGGGGACGACTTGAGTGGCTACAATGACCATCACCAGACGACCGGGTTCGCGCGCGGGTAGATGCTGGGCGGGGCGCCTGCGCGCACGTGAACGGGAGGGGGGATGGGCTTGGATGGCGAAGTGGAAGGCGGCTGCTGCGTCTTGTTCGTAAACACGGGTGCTGGCGCGGACGGAGCGGTGTAGGGGGTGGTGGAGGGCATTGGTGATGGCGCGGGTGAGGGGAGAACGTACGTAGGATACGGTCCGAAACCCTTGAAGTCGCGCCGGACCTTGTGCTCGAACTCCTTGAGGGCTGAGGGCTCGATGTTGAGCTGCCACTCGAGGTAGGAGCACATCTCCCTCTCCATCTGGTTGATTTCCCGGAGTGCGAACATGCCCCGGCCGACGATGGACCACGACTTATTTGAGTAGGTGTCGTCGCAGATGACCTTGCTTGCTATCATGAATATGGTGATAAACAGGCGGTGACCTGACGATCCTCGCGCGGCGGGGAAGCGGGCCTTCATTCGCTGGAGGAGGTAGAGAGCGGCGAAAGTGACCGATGTATGCAATCGCGTTCGATGGAGGGCGTATGCAATGAAACTGGCGAGGGGGAGTGGGACGGCGGGAGGGATGGAGGTGGATACTAATGGTGGCAGGTCCGGACACGCAAACAGATGCGTGACAAAGCGCGCGCAAAGCTTCGCGGTCTCTTCATGGCCGTAGTACGGGTCCTGGTGGGAGGTTAAGAAGACGGAAAAGGCAGGTGGGGAGGCGCGGGGACTCACGGCCACTTGGTGCGAGCTCGAGCCAGAGGGCCGGACGGTAGGCTTTGAATGCCTCTTGAACGGCGAGGGGTGGCGAGCAGTGGAGGGACCGGAGACGGCGGCCATGGGGGGTGTCGTCTTCCGGGACTCCCCAGAGCAAGGCTTTATAAACCAAACACACCAAACGCCTCTCGACCAAAGCAGCTGAAGCGAATCAGTGGGCGCGGAGTGGCGCTAAGCACGAGCCACACAGTCTGCGGGGACTTTTTCGGCTTCCCGTTCGAGCTCTTTCCCAGTGTGAATGATGGTGTGGTCACTTGAAGCCCTAGGCCCCTGCTCGCTGCGCCGCCTTCGCCGCCCGTTATGAGGTGGACGAGGAAGCAGGACGGGAAGAGCATATCGATGGGCGTGGCTGTTGCGTCGTGTGTTCTGTGTAGCAGGCTCCTTGGAAAAAAGCCGCCACTTCCGCCCTGGTATGCCCGAACGGGCCACGCCGAGAACAATCAAGATTGTCTGGCGAGAATTGTGTCGAGGACGCGTGCTTGGGCCCGTCGGAGCGCTTGGAAGATCAATCACGCTTGTGTGCGTTTGTCATACCTTCCACATATGGCCACAACGACCGTCGGACGAGGGACAGTGGTGGAGGGAGGGAGGAGACCAGTCAGGAAATGCGGGCCACATTCCGATGCCCACAAATGACGTGCCAACTGAACGCCGACGTGGCGGTGTTGCACTTCAGGCCGCAAGTTCGATTCTCGTGGAGCGCATTATCAAGAACATCTCAAACCACATCAAGATTAGAAATTGTAGCGTAAATGAGAGAGAGACAACCGAGGGTAGCAAAAAGGAGCGTGTAAGGAGCTTCTACCCATGAGTGACGAGTATCTATACAAAAGGAGTGTGTGCGTCGAGCGGAGCGTATAACGGGGGTGCTAACAATACAGTATGTGACATGAAACGAGCGGACAGTGCTATTGCTACAGTGATTTGGATGGAAAAAGACACGGGTAAATATGGGGACGAAGGCCAACGGTGTATTCAAAGCCGCGCCACTCGAAACGACTCTCCTCGTCCCCGCCAACCACTCGCCTACGCCTAACGCCTCCCACTCTCGCCCGCGTAGTAGCCAGCATATTGCTGGTACAGGAATGGGTACTGCACGCTGGCAGGCTTCGACGGCTGCGGCTGATACACTGGAATGGCGCCAGGACGAGCACCGCGCGGGACGTAGTCCACCGGGGTCGCAAGCTCGGGGCTCACAGGCGAGTCCAAGGGCGGGCTCGGGGTGAGCTCCCGAAGCTTCTGCGGCGGGGGAGACCGGTATTTCGACAGATCTGGCAGCCTAAGGCGAGACTCGGGGTGTACACCAATGGGTCCACCGATGGGGACGTAGGGGGGAGGGTGGCCTGGAGGGGAGCGGGAATAGTTTCCGGGGGACTGCGAGTACGACGGGTGCGAGACAGTGGGCGTGTTGGGGGGAGGAGGCAAGGATGAGGGAGGTCGCGTGCGCGGGGGAGGAGGCAGACATGAGGGAGGGGGCAAGCCCCGGGGCTTGCGGTGCAGAGGAGGGGTGGGTGCGCGGGCCTCGTGCATCGCCGTCAAGGCTCTCTTGAAACCACCGACTTCCTCCCTGTTCATGCCGAAGTCGTGATTGAGCAGCCGCGACATGCGCCCTCGCATCTCCTCGATCGCCCCAGCCTCCCAGTACCCGCCGAAGATATCCTCCGCCCATTTATTGGATGAGAAGTGGGCGCCCTCGCATTGCTCATCGGCGGCGAGGATGAACGCCGGCGCAAATAGCTCTTGGGCAGTCTGCATCTTGGTGTTCATCTCGCATGCGAGACGGTCGATCAACACCATGGCCACCCAGACGGTCCTCGGCCGGTACCCACTGCGAGCAATGGCGCGCGCAATGAACGGGCCAACCGCGTGCCAGTCAGAGCATTCGTTGGCCTTGGTCTGGAGGAAGGTGGCGCAGATGGGCGCGATCTGCTCGTACCACGGCGCCTTGATGAGGAGTCAGTAAGTGTATGTAGCAGTGGCGCAGAAGGCGAGACTCACCTTTTCGATATAAGAGCTGCGCTCAGAATACTCAGATGGGGAGCTTGGGACCGGAGGAGGAGGGGAGCGGTAGGGCATTGTCGTAACTTGACGGATATGCGGAGGGATGTTGAGTAGCTCGTGGCTGGGAAATGAAAACCACGTTGTGCCTCGTGGGGAGGGTTATATAGCGACGGGAATGCTTTGTCGAAGGGAGTGGCGAATTAGAGCGGCCAAGTAGATGTGGCGGCGACGAGTGAAAGGGAAGGAGCGGTGGCCGAGGCGGCGACGTTGTGGTCGGGGGTCTAAGATGGGGTCTTCGCTTGAAAATTGGCGGGAAAAGAGCACCAAGAGAGCTTGTATATAAACCAAGAGGGGTGCCCCGTATCTGAACCCGGCCACCTGGAAGTCCTTTTGTTGACACTCTTGGCCGGAAATCTAGATGATGCCGCACGCAAGTCATCCTGGACAATGGCCTGGCATATCGTTTAACCTTAAGCGGTGGATATCTGTTTCACTTCGTCAAGAGAGCGTACCGACGGGAACGAGTCTAGATTTAAATGCGCACAACTTGATTGGTCGACACTAAAGAACTATCGTGCATATTTGATCAGCGACATAGACCCTCCATAGTGAGGACAACATTACAGAGCGATCGAAACAGCGGTCAACACTGCCTATCGCAGGAGAGAACAAAGACGCACGGCGATTCAGCAAGCGGCGGCTGGCACCCCTGCCGAAAAATGCGCCCAAACGCCCGCACTGGCCGGGTCCCTCTCCGGCTCTGGCCACGGCGGCGACTCCTCCCACTCCGACTCATCGGAGTCCCAGTCACCATCTGACGTGAAGTCCGCTTCTGAAGAGCTCCATTTCGAGCGAAGGCCGGGATGGATGGGGCTGTCGAGCTCCGAGTCCGCGGACGGGGTGGGATAGGCGAAGTCTGAGGGGGTGACCAATACGAACGGGTCCGCACGGAGGGGAGGATAGACGAAGGAGAGGGTTGATTGTTCCAACGGCTCCGGCGAACCGCGCACAGGGTCAAAGGTGGCGCCGACGACCGCCGTCGCGTCTTGCGGGCCGAGGTTGGAGTCGGGGAGGAGGTACTCGGGGTAAGGCCCGTCTCCCGCGTAGTCGCTCCGAACCCTGCGCTCGAAGTCGGCCAGAGCCTCGGGGTGGACGTTGAGGTCCCACCGCAGGTCTTGACAGAACTGTCGCTCCATTTGGCTGAGTTCCTCCGAGGACCAAAGGCCCTCGATAACATTGGAAACGTAGGCGGATTGGTAGGTGTGGTCCTCGACCACCTTGGCGGCCACCATGCAGGCGGCCATGAAGAGGTGTGCGGGCGTTTGTGGGAGGGAGGAATGGTATGTTCGGAGGCGTTGCAAGAGGTAAAGAGCTACGAAGGGCGTAGCGGGGGCCATCTTCCAGTGCACCATCTTGTGCAGGTAGCAACTGGCCAAGGGAAGCAGAGGGATGTCTTCAGGGCCCGTCGGATGTGCGAACAGGTGGTTGACGAAGTGAGTGACCATGAGGGCAAGCTCGTTCTGGGCTTCCGCGCATACAGATTTGCATAACGTTGGCTTCTTGTTCGAGAAGCAAAATACTGGAGACGACATCGCGTGGAGGAAGTGAGTTGTTGTGAGCGAGTTGTTGTGAGATGGTGCTCACAAAAGACGCGGCAATGATATAGGCGGGCGCGCGATGGATGCTTTGTCCGCTGAATCAGTCCGGCCACAAACAATGTTCGACACAGGGCCTCCGCGCCAGACAGACCTGAGGATCATAAATAAACTTGCCGTTTTTTGTGTACAACCCTCTGAGACTCTGTGGTCATCGATGAGGTCTCCAGCCTTCAGGTATGCATGCGAGAGGTCCTGTGCTCGGATAAGTATCTTCGATTCCATCGGTGTGCAAGCGAATCACGGCGCGCAGCTTCGGAGTTTCGAGTCGAAACCCTTTGTGTGCTTGGTGATGACAAGTTGGGAACGGTACATTCGCTAGGGGTTTGTACCTGGTGGTATGAGTTCAAGTCAGTGACACATTGATGCTTGACTCACCGACTCAGTTGAGGTACTATTCTGTGCCGTGGATGTTCGAGCATCAGCGTTGGATCACGGTGGACACTGAATGTATACGATCTGTGCTCGGCGTGTGGCATGACATGCATGGAATATGCGCATGTCTGAGACGCGCCGACGGTGTGGCACTGTGGATGGTGGCTCGAACCTACAAAGCGATCGCACTCGCCAATGGGGTGCGCTCGACGGCGATGACGCTTGCCAAGCGCGACGCCGCCAGCTGCGCTCAGCTTGCTGGCCCTCGTCCTTGCTTTCCACTTTCCACCACCTCCAGTCTCGCCTGTATACACCGCTCCTTTTTCACACTTTTTCGCTCGCCTTGAGCCATTCTAATGTTCCGCCTGCTCTCGCGCTGCCGCCTTCCTACTCACTCTCCCACTGCTGCGTCCCGGACCGCGTGCCACCCGCGTCACCCAACTGCTTTCCCGAGGCCTCGGCTCCTGACATCAGAAACTCAACCACCACATCCCCCACGACCACTTCCGCGCCGGCAGGATACCCCGGATGAGCTCTTACATCACAAGCGACAAGCAGAGGCCGTATCCGGAGAGGTGCCGTCAACGCCAGTGGGTCCGACCATAGGCTTTGGCGGGTTCGGAGGTGGCGGGAATGGGATTCGCGATGCGGTTTTGACGACAGTGTTTGGCGTTGCAGTATGTGAGTGCTCTCTTCGACCTAGACCCGTGCATTGTGTAGGAAAGTTGCGAGGCGGAGCGGAACTGCGTAGCGAGTCTGTTTGGAAGTTACATAACTGGAAATGGTGGCGGACAGTGCCCCGTCCTCTTTCGACTTCAATGTAGGGCATGTGGAAGAGCGAGTCTTTGGAGACTTTCTTTGCCACCTCTGCATCCTCGGCCACCTTTACCTTCCCACATCTTTCGCTTCATGTGCCAGCATTGACCACCCTCTCAGTGTTTGCAGGAGGCGTAGTGTACATGGCGTGGTACAAGGAAAACGTACTCTGGAAGGTTCGTGTCCTGACAAGCTTTCACCCATCCATTGCCGACTATATGCGTTCTCTTAGATTGAAAAGGCTTTCGCGCCTGGCTACGACCCCGCGCTGGACCTTGCAAATATTGGAATCAAGCGTCCCAAAGAAGAAGGCACGTCGCTCATGGGCGACGAACTCGACTGGGATGCAGAGGGACCGTGGACGGAGCATCTACGCCGAGAGGAGCAGGATCTCATTGACCGGATCATCCACGGAAAGGAAGTCGGACACTACTTCGTCCTGTTGGGCCCCAAGGTATGTCAGAATGGTCGTGTTGGTACAACTGCGAAGTTCATGAAGATTTCCAGGGCACGGGAAAGACCACTATGATCATCGACGCTATGCAGGCCATTCAAGCGGACGGCGTCGCCATGTGCGACGCCCATCCGGATCTCGAAGTGTTCAGGTTACGCCTCGGGAAGGCGTTGAACTACGAGTTCAACGAAGACACTCAGACGGGTTTGTTCCAGCGACGCGACCCACGTGAAGGTCGGTACAGTTTTGCAGCTACACCTATCTACTTGCTGATCATCGTTTACAGCTGGTCCTTCGTTGGATCTCGAACGCGGTACGAGCCTCGTGGTTTGCGCGATGCGACTTGGACACTAATGTGCGTTGCTCGCAAAGCGCTGAACAAGTTGGAGAAGGTCGCCATCAGGCAAGCGAAGAAGAACGGGAAGCCGCTCATTCTTGTTCTCAACAACATACACTTCTTCAAGCACGATGGCGATGGAGAGAACGTCTTGCTTCAGTTCCAGCAACGCGCAGAGGCATGGGCTGCCAGTGGTATTCTAACCATGGTTTTCAGCACGTACGTCCTAGTGACCGTGTCGCCATAATGGGAGCTCATTCCACACCCCCCACAGAGACGACGCATGGCCGTTCTTCGTGATGCGCAAGAACGCCAGTCGGATGCACGTCGTCTCTGTCTACGATCTGAGCACCAAAGATGCCTTTACCGCCGCCGTGCGCATGCGCATGAACTCCAACCGCCCGAAGGCCACGTCTTCCGCGTTCCGCGAAGCGGTCGGTCTTGTTGGCGGACGACTCACCTACTTGAGCAAAGTCACGAAGGCTGCGGATATGGCGCATCACGCACGGCACATGCTAGCCGTCGAGAAGGGTTGGCTCTTGTCGCAAATCGGCTTGATCCCAGACTGCGACGACGACGTGATGGACGAGCAGAAGTGGTCGAGCTGCTCGTGGCTGCTGTTGCAGGAGTTCGTGAAGAGGCGGCGGGCGCAGGAGGCTGAGATGAAGGAGAAGATTGAAAGGGGCGAGGCGTCGGAGGAGGACCTAGCGAATATGCCGTTGCCGAAAATCTCATACGTGAGTGCTAGGCCAGTAATGGATGCGTGTACGAAACTGACGGCTGGGTACATGCACGAAGTACGAGTCGCGGCAGATCATGACGCGTGCGGACTTCATGGACGGTGCGGTCGCTTTGCCATCTCCCGTCGTCTCTGGACTAACCATCCTTGTGCGACACAGAGCTCGACCGGAAGAACATAATCTCCATCGACGTCCGTCATATCTCTCCATTGGAAGTAACCTCGAGCTGACTATGTACGCTCCCAACAGATCAACCATGACGTCACCCCTGACTCCATGCTCGTCCTTCATGCCGCGGGAGAGGTCGTCGACGAGGAAGGCTTTGAGGATCTTCTTCAGGGTGTTCGCGACCGCGTTGACGAGATTGAGAGCTTGCACCGTACGCGCGAGTTAACGGTAAGTGTCTCCCCAACCTTCTCACTGTCCCCTCGAGCCTTGCGTCGTGACGCTGACGCGCTGCTTCTCGACAGTTCAAGGACCTCGACAAAGGCGACAGCATCCGTCTCGCAGTCAACAAATCGGGATCGACAAGACTGCTTTGATTGCGCCATACCTTTCGGATCCGGACATGGACATTGACTCTCGGGACGCAGATCGCAGATCGTACCCTAGATCTCGCTACAGATACCATTATACCCTCCCCTTCGCCCCTGGCCCCCTTTCGCATCGTCTGGCACGAGCAACGGCTGATAATATTGACGTGCATCCTCTAGTGCCTTTTCCTATCGTGGCGGTCGACGCTCGCCAGATCCCCCGGCAGGGTCGCGTCTTGCAGCGTGTGGCCTAGCACAATCGCAGCCGTCATCGCTATCTCTCGAACGAGCCGTTACCCACTGCTGGACGAAACCCTCGTCCTCCGCAGGCAGGCCCCATGGACCACAAACGTGTGATCAAGCCCAGATAGCGAGCTCCACGCCGCTCCCTGCGTCGACTCCCCAAACCCCGAGCTCCGCAGGGCCGAGGCGCGAAGCGGGCATAGCCACGGCCCGCATTGCCTGTCTTCGAGGAAGCCCGGACATCGATCGAACGGCCTCGAAGCGGGACGGCGGGCGGGCCTCGTGGGCGCGGGATGTGGGGTACGGAGCGCGGGACGCTGGAGGACGGGGTTGGGGAGTGGAGGCGGAGCGCGCAGAACGGTCTCCGGACTCTGGCCCCGCGCGGGGTCTCGTTCGGCGAGGAAATATCTGAGCGCATCTGGAAGACTGGAAAAGCGGAGATCGAGTGGTGGGACGCGACTCTCCTCCATTGACGTTGTTGGCCTTCGCCTCCACCTCTTCGTCCGGCTCATGGCGGGCCGGAGGTGGGGGACGAGAACGGTTAACATTGCCGCGTGCTTGCCACGAGCCGCGTACGTCGCGTCGGGCTTCGCGCAACGCGACGCGCGCCGTCTCGTGATGCCCATGCTCATGCACGTGAACCCGTGCACCGAGCGGGCCCCAGGCTTCGTCTTCGCCGCAGCCGAGAGCCCGAACCCACTCCACACCCTCGCCCTCGCCTGGTCCTCTCTACGCCGCGGGGTGCGGAGTGCGGCTCCGGCGGCACGTCGTCCGCCACCGAATGAACACCCCGCCCCGCAGGGTCTGTGTTTTCCCCGCACGCGGCGGCGTGCGTGTGCTGTGCGTGCTCGGGTAGGCCTGGGTGTGCATCGCGCTACGCACTCGCACGCCCTGCGCGTGCGTGCTGCAGGTGTCCCTCTGGAGCGCGCCGGAGCCTGGCCCGGGCGATTCTCGGGTGCTACGGCAAACGAGCGGCGCGCAGCCGTATCTGGGCCCCGTGTCTCTCTCGCGAGACTCGATCCCTCGATCGTCGGCGAATAGGCGTGCGCCACGAAGGTGTTGCGCCTGGCGCGATATCCGGACGTCGAGGGTGAGGGTGGCACCGTACCGAACGCCGCAGGGAGGGCCTTCGCCGTGCTTCCTCCGTTCGTTCTTGGTTGGTCTCCGGGTGGTAAAGGTCCGTGGACCGATCTGCGAGAGACGGTGGACCGCGTCCACCGTAGTTGGCGGACCGCTGTGGACTTCGGTCTTGGAGGACGTCCGTCGGGGAGGTCGATAACCATAGGGCGTACATGACCACACACAAACCTCGTCCACACTATTGTCCACTCCATGCGACCGCACGGATACTCCACATCCATCCTCAGCTCCCGCCCGCTGCGGTGTCCCCCCGCACGTCGGCGCCCCGTCGAAACCCGTCCCCTCCACCCATGCACGTACGCACCCTGCCCAACACGCGCGACCTCGCCGCCCCGCTGGCAGCGCAGCGCCGCCCCTCCACCTCCAGATATCCGGATACCCGGCCTGCGCCCCCGGCCTGCCGCTTCTCGCCACGCCTCGGGAGCGGAAGAAGCTCGACGCGCTCGGAGGCCGGATCCTGCAGCGCCGTGCAGGCGGAGGCACCGATCAGCGTGTCCCAGAGCGTAGGGTTCGGGGGGTGCGCAGGGGTGCGCGCTGCATTGACCTGGACGCGGCGACGGTGACGTCCGGTGTCGTGATAGCGACTCGCCCTCGAGCTCGAGGCGTGCACGGGGCCGGCACGGCGCGGCGTGCTCGCTCCCCGGCGACCGCGCCGGGGGACGGCGTGTCGATTGGCTTGGCCCGGGGGGCTCGTGCGCGGGCGCGCGCGCGGTTCGTTATGAAAGCCACGCGGTTGTGGTCGGGCGGCGGTGCCGACGGCCTGCAAGATCAGGGCGGCGGGAGCGCGAGGAAGTCGGAGCGTCCGGGGAGTTACGTACGTACGTAGGTCTCGGATGGGTCGTTACGGGACGCAGGGGGGACAGGCCACGCGCGGGTCATGTGCAGATGCTTGGTCGAGTCATGGTTGAAGTTCAAGCGTTCATCGTCGTCCAGTCGGACGCGCGCGGTCACGGGGCGACGACCCCTGTGAAGTGTGCGCTAGAGAGCGCAGGGTGAGTGCTGAGTCGGGCGTCGGGGACAGCACGGGGTGGGAAGGGCGAATGGGGTGAGAGCGGGTTCAGCCTGTGTGCGCGCTGGGGATGGCGCACCTCGAAGCGCGATCCAAGCGAGAAGCGGGTGCGTGTAGGGCGGAACGCCAGGCGTACTCGGGAACTCTAGCAGCCCCTCTCCTTCGCAGTCCATCCATCGTCGGAGAGTAGATACGACGCGTCTCGCTCGCCGGTCACATGAGCGTCGAAGGGTCCACATTGACTCGACTCGACGTATCCGCGCGAGAAGTGCTTCATTGTCCTCTGTCTGCCTCCCAGGAGCACAATAGAGTGCCGGACGCCGATAATCCCGTTATCCGCGCCTGCTTATCCCGTCGACGATGAGTCGAGCCGCGCACATCTCCGGATGCGGTCTCGAACCGGTGCGCGCGATCTTCACTCCGGATGCGGGATCCTGCGAGGGGCCGTGTGCCGCCGCTGGCCAGCGCCATCGCACGCCCCAGAGCCCGCGCGGCGCGAACCCGCGGCGTACGTGACAGCGTTGGAAGCGGCGCGAACGGACGGGTCGACGGCCACGGAAGAGAGACGGAGATGGGCTTCGCATGCGGTGCACAGAGAGTGCGCGGGCTGAGCGCTGAGCGCTGAGGGACTAGGAGAGGTGGGCGCGTGGTGACGCGAACCGTCGGCGAGAAGCAGGGAAGTCCGAAGCGCGAGGACTGGGAGCGGCGCATCAGCCCTCCCGAAATCCCTCAGGCTCGTGCGCGCGCGCGGAAGGCCCACGCACGGTCCTGGGATCAGCCCCATCGGGCGCAGAAGAGGGAGGAGAGAGGAGGAGGAGGAGGAGGAGGAAGATGGCGTGGAAAGCCACACCCGCCGGGGCCGCCCACACACGCGCGCGCGCGCGATTGGCCCTGGGGGGGAGCGGCGCGCGTCTGTGCTCGCCTTCGCGGCTTCCTTCTGCGCGGATTCCCGGGGCTCTTGCCCTTTGGACGCGGCGATAGGCACTCGGTCCCTTTTCTGGCTCCTGCCGTCTGTGGTCCGCGGGACATACCACGCGGGCCGGCCGTCCCCGCCTCCGAACTCAAGTACTCAGGGTCCTGAGAGGCTCGCTCAATTAGGTAGGAGCTCGGGGAACTGGAGCGGCGCGAGGGGAAAGAGAGGCGCGAGGCGGATGATGGAACTGAAAGGAAGGAGAGAGCGATCAGGTGTGAGGTTGTGGGCGCGTCGGGTTGTCTTCCTGCTTTGTTGGAAACAACGGGAGGTTGATTGCGACCCACAGCACGAAGCGAAGGGGGTGCACAAAGAGCCTTTGTCGACCCGTGTTCGTGTCTCCAGCGGCCGACGCGCACTGAGAGCCACTCGCAGCGCGATGCAATATGTGGTTTGCACGTGGATCGTATGCCAGCGAAACGCGGGAGAAGAACGTAGGCGCTCGTGGCTGTCCCAGAACCAGTACCCGGGGAGACTGCGGCGAGGCGCGTTTCACGTTTATTTGGACAGGGACTTCGCGATCCAAGGACGGACGCAAGCGATGATCGAGGTGCGTGGATTGTAGGCGATCGTCCTAGGATCGTGGTCGTGGTGGACCCGAACGAAAGTTTCCGGAAATGTATCATTCGGAGGAAGCAGGGAGAATGGTAGACGACACGCACCCTACTAGCCATCCTCATCTCCATCGCTGGCGCATCACAAGAGAAAAAGACGAGTGCGACTACGGCAGTGCCAATGATGCGCCCTGTCGTGCCCTGCCTCGAGGGTGAGCGGCGATCCGAACGCTCGGATGATGTCCCCAGGGTTGATTGTGCAATTGTGTACGCTAGACTCGACTTGACAATCTTCGCACTGCGCGAGACGCGACCAGGAAAGGAAAGAGCCGAGAACCTGGCTCTAGAACACCAAGCCAAACCCAAAGACGGCTCAGGAAGCTCGGGCTGCGCTTGCGGTAACGCCGGATGACGGTGACGAGCGCTTCGAGCGGTCGAGATCCTAGGACAGACCACAAGATCCAAACACCGCGGCGTGAGCGTACACGGATCTTCGAGTGTCTTGTCTTTGATCACGATGGCCGGGCTCGACGGGAGAACGAACGGTGTCTTGCGTCCTGATAGTCAGATTTGAAAGAAAAAAAAACTTGACGGGGACACAGACGACCGAAGACAACGGAATCGGATTAGCGAGGAATGGAGAGGTGGTAGGTGGCGTTGAGTAACAGATCCAACGCCCACATTTGATATCCGGGATTGGAAAGAACTGAGAGGCTCGACAGAGTTGACGACAGTCCGAGGCCACGCGGTGCGATGGCGTGCTCGCAGTGATAGCTCCGGGTGTGATCGCACGCACCGCGTCCCACCCGGGCGCGACCCGATGGATGTGCACCTTCTGACAGTGGCAGACTGGGAGACTGCGCTGTGCTGGGCCGGCGTCCTCGGGGCGTCAGGACAACAGCGGGCGGTCCCGGTCAGCATCCAGCCCGGACGGCAGCGTCGCTCAGGAGCCCGATCGTGGCAACATCTCTCGTGCCCAGGATGGCGCGCGTGCGAGGTGACATATTCGGCGAGCTGTGATTTGCGCCGCCAGGGGTGGATAACGGCGGGAAGAGGGAGACGCTGAGATGGAGTGATGTCGATGGGGATTGTT